GCCCAAGAATTCGACTTGCAAGGTGTGAAACTCGCATTTCTCTAACTTGGTGTAAAGTCTGTTGTCCCGCAGGGTTTGGAGAACGTAACGAACATGTTTAATATGCTCGTCCAGAGAGTTGGAAAATATAAGAATATCATCAAGAAAAATGATGACAAAACGTCAAGAGCTTGACGGAAGATGTGGTTCATAAGGTGTTGAAAGGATGCAGGGGCATTGGTCAGGCCAAAAGGCATGACATGATAGTCGAACAGTCCGTAGCAAGTACGGAAAGCGGTCTTCCACTCATCTCCAGGGGCAATCTGGAGGAGGTTGTAAGCACCGCGGAGATCAATCTTGGAATAGATGCGGGCAGCACCTAAACGGTCAAGAAGATCAAGAATGAGGGGAATGGGGTATTGGTTTTTGACAGTGATGTCATTCAACCAACGATAATTGGACACACAGTCATAGGGAACCATCTTTTTTTTCACAAACAAAATGGGGGAGCCCGCAGGGGACTCGGACGGGATGATAAATCCCTTTGCAAGCATCTGATCAAGATACTTGCGCAAGGCCTTCAACTCGGTCTGTGAGGTGTGGTACAGGGGACCAAAAGTTGGGTGTTTCCCTTCCATGATTGGAATCTTGTGATCAAAAGACCGGTGTGGTGGCAGCACATCGGCCTCCTTCTCATCAAAGACGTCTGCAAACTCCTTGTATTCGGGAGGCAAGACAGGGATGGTGGAAGAAGAGAGGAGACGGGAAACGGGAACAAAATTGGAACCAGAAGAGCGCAAACAATTAAGACAAAATGAAGGAGAAGAAAAAGAAGAAGAGGAAACCGGTTCTGTAGTGGGGGACATACTGGCTCCCGGAGGAGGTGGGTAAATGGTGTAGTTGAGCCAGTCGATTTGAGGTTGAAGGGCTTGTCCAAATGGGATGCCCAGGACGATTTGAGCGACATCGAGTTTGGTGACAGAAAAAGTGGTTGTGTAAGGAGGGAAGCCCTGACCCACGAGGAGGGTGAGTGTGATAGCATGGGTCATGGCTGTGTGGTTGTGAGCTCCGTCACCGGATATGATTGTCTTTGGGTGTGGTAATGGAAAGGGGTTGAGGTTCAAAAAGGAAAGCAAAGAAGAATCAATAAAATTCTCATCGGATCCAGGATCCACCAACGCTTGCAAAGGGTAGGCAATGCGCTGGGTAATAATACAGTCAATAGGGGTATTCAATTTGGCGTTAAAGACCGCTCTTAAACCATTTTGCTCGCTTAAGGTGGTCAGGACTCAGGGACATGTAGATCCTACCCTGAGCAGGGTCCATTTTTGCATCTTGACAGCTCCAAATCAGACCTTCCTGATGAGGCAATTTTGCCAGTTTAAGAGCGCCAAGTTTAAGAGTGGGTCCTTGAGGATGCAACTGACAGAAGAATGGTTGACATTCATTTCTTTTCTCTATCCATCACAAAATCACCCCTTCCACTCCCCTTTCAGCAAACACCAACCACATTTATCCACTCTCAACATGCCAACCCACGCTGCTAACTTGACTGACCATGTCCAAATACTTGGTGGATGCATAGATCAGTGACTGAGATACAATTTGTAATGTGTCACAACTGCGCTCCAGCTTCCACGTCATCCCACACTCTATTACGTAAATACTAATTGAGCTGGACGCGTCGCAACACTTATCACTTAACACTTGTCATTACTTCCTTGTTTGAGAGACCCCTCTTGTTTATTCTGGTACATCACAACCATCATATCGTACCAGGAGCTACTTGTATCAAGGGACATTGCTATCACCCCACTTACACAGCAATCCATCTCAGAGATACAACCAACCCCGACTCAACCTGATACCTATCTCCAACCAAGACCTAGACACCCAAGCACCCTCATTCTTCTCCACCCCAATAACGACTCAGGAGATGCGCAATTACTTTGTAACCTAGAGACACTTTCTATACATAGTGACACTCTTCTTCACATAGAGTCTGCTTCCAAGATATCGTGCGTCTTAGATATTTCAGGACTTATTTCCATAGCAACTCATGAGAAAGCATAGCAAGCCAAGGGAACGGCTTAGTCAGCTGGGTGGCGAATATGGGAAAGCTGAGTAAGCCAGTAGGGCTCTGGATGTCCATATAAGTTGATAGTTTTACATAGATTTGAGGATCCCAGCGACCTTGAATACGTCTGACTTGCCTATGAACTAGGAATCGCAAGCGAACAGGCCTATTCAAACTATACTAGCTAAGCCGACAGGAAGTCATCAGCCTTAGGTTAGTGCGAGCCCCTATCAAGTCCAAGATAGCCTTGCTGATCAGGTCCCAACACATACGCGTATATTGTTGATTGGAATCGACATATACATATACATAGATAGCCCCTTTTCTTCATTAAGTCAAGAGATACTTTATACTGCTGGACAGCTATAGGGACACTGTGGGTAGGACCTGACATAATGGCTTTCCTAATCCCAACGCGTTGATAGGAAGGGGCCCTGAGCTTGTAATACTAGAGGAACTCAATAGGATGTAGGTGCGTGTCAATCATTGGAGACAAGAGGGGAAGTGGATGGAGAGGATAGAGGGCAAGAGCAAAAGGAACACATTCAACATCACTTTTGGACATGGCCAATGTGTTTGAGACCAATGTGATCTAATCGGGTTAGGGCCAGCCACGTGCTTATCCCTGTGGCCCTGAGGCCACCAGTTTAAGAGCGCAAGTTTAAGAACGCCAACCCCTAATGACAATAAGGCCACTCTATTTTTGAGTGTTTTGGTTTTTGTGGGTGTGGGAAGAAGACGTTTCAGAAGAGAAAAGGAAAGAAGTGTTTTTGGGTTTTGTGGTTCAAAAATGTTTTTGTGGTTTGGGGTTTTTGTGGGTATCATAACAAACAGAAGAAAACGAAACAGGGGTATATGGTGTGATATTGGTGTGTGGTAGGGGTCCAAGGCTTAACACCTCGGTCTGGACCCATGGGCCGAGGGTCTCGCGTTTCCCTTCTCATTGCAATGAGCGATTGAGCGATGGGGCAATCCTTACGCGCATGTTGGTGACCACAGACTTTGCACAACCCGTGGGTAGCGTGATATGCCTTTTCCTCGGGCGACTGACAGCGCTTGCCATTGATGGTCACCCAGACCTCGTGCTTTCTAGGCGGGAGGCCTGGAAATTGGGGAGGCTGAGAAGCTGGTTTGTTGGGGTGGAAAGAGGAAGAACGAGAAGAAGAAGAAGAAGAAGAAAAGGAATTAGAGGTTTTGGGTTTGGAAGAAGGAAGGGCTTGTAACTGGGTATCGATACGACGAGCCACAGCAGTGAAAGCAGAAACAGTGTCTGGGAGGAGTCCTCCTTGGGACATGACAACAGCACGGAGGATATCCGGCTTCAAGCCATCCTTGAATTGCTCGACAAGAGCGGTCTCGTTCCACCCAGTGTAATGGGCTTCAGCAAGGAAGGAGGTGTAATAACAGGAAACGGTAGAAGTTTGTCTGAAAGCTTTCAGACGTTGGATGGCCACTTGCTTACAATCAATAGAAACGTATGCAAGGCGGAGTTGCTCCTTGAGCTTGGCCCAGGAGTCAATAAGATGGGGAGCGCTTTCTCTGATTCCTCGGAACCAGATAACGGCCTCCTTCTTAAGGTAGGTCCTGGACAGGGGAAACTGCATGTCCTCGGGCATGTGCTTCACCAAGAAATAATTCTCCATTTCAAAAAAGAAGGTGGGGAGTTTGTCGGGTGAACCCGTAAAAGTATTGGGTACCGCGACATCGAACTTCTTAGTCGACTCCGAGGGAGGAGCCACTGGGGAACGGGACATAGAAGAGAATTGGTCGTTTAAACGAGAGAAAAAGAGATTGACAGCAGAAGGAACATCATGGTTGCTCACCAACGCAAGTTCTGGAGAATGAGGTTCAGCAGAATGAGCGTTACTAGAAATGGAAGGTGCTCCTTGCTCCTGATTGGCTGACGCGCCTTGACCCTGTTCAGGGTTGATGGGTGGTTCTTGGGGTGGGTTTTGGGGAGTCTTGTTGGCCATGGTGGTGGTCAAACATAGTGGGTATGTGCGGGTGGGAACCCAAGTCTTCCTGGGTGGTATGGTGGTGGTGGGGTGGGTGGGCAGTGAATCGCCTATTGGAGGTCGAAGAAAGATGTATTCTTCTGTAGGAGTTCGGGTAGGTAAGGCGCAACCTAGGGGCGGCTACGTGGTGGATCCAGCTAGGGGTGCTAGATGTCGACCTGGGACAGGCGGATGGTGATAGGAAGGAGAAAGGTGATGAGGAATATACGAGAATACATCTGTAAGGAAAAGGATATGGAGACGCAGCAGATGTATGTATGGGAACCTCCTCTTGCCTCCGCGCCTAACTCGTCTTTGAGAACATAGCGGCAACCCTAATACCGGACTCTGCGTTCCGATGTCCATGTCACCACATCTCTTCCTCCTGACCAGTTCGTACCAATCCCTTACACTATCCCCATAGACAATTCCCTTATACACAGTCCTAACCTGTCCCTACCCCGTTACATTATGTTGTCCATTCAACCATGATTGATGTATCCCGTTTGGTACTCTGTAGTGTTGTGCATTGGAATTACATAGCCATAACATCACCACTCACTGACACTATACAGAATCACCGGGCAAGAGCAGGCAAAGGTTTGCGCAGTCATCATCAATATCAGCTGCTCATGCAACATTTGCTTTTGAGGATCTTCTTGTGAATGTCCAAGGTCTGTATGTGGCTTTTTGATTTATTATAATGTTCTCATATATTGTTCTCACACAACAATGCAGTGCATCATCCTCTTCTTCTGTTCCTTCATTGCGCTCATCTCTATAACACTAACACAGCCATGCCTCTGTTATCCATTACGGGTCCTGCCATGGAGTCGGCCATTCCCCCAGACATTATCCGGCAAGTGGAGAAAGAGAAGTGGAGATGACTGAATAAATAAAACATTGGTAAAGTTGCCTCCCATTTGATCTTGCGCACACAAACCAAATCCATGCCATTCTCAAAAACTATATACACTCATTCTCTTGACTTTGTGAGTACTTTTCTTTGTGTTCTGGAAACACTAGACCATACTCAGTAGCAAAGGCCAACCAAGCTCAAACAAGATAGCTCAGAGCAATAACTAAGTAGAGTGACATCACTACAAAAAAATATCAGCATACCATCTTCCAATAGGCCTAGCACATGGAATGATACATACACATCACACCTTCCATATAGTTAGTGCGTCCTGGATTTCCTTGGTCAGCATTTGTGGATTTCTGATATAGGGATGTGTATGTGAATAGTTACTCACCATCCTGGAGCAAAAGGTTAACAAGCATCACTGATACAAAAAGAACAATGGTTTCGAAATTGGCCTAAGCATAAGAAGGTCAGGCATGTGTCAACACTGTGGGAGACAACTCACAAAGAACAAAGTAAGGTCTTTCTGCAAGGGCCAGGCAATGATGACCAAGAGTGGAATCATACCAGCAGCTATCTGAATACTGGACCCAACACTGACACCAATGGTGAGTTCCATTTTTCCTTTGCATGCCATCCAGACCGAAGTGACGTGTTCAGCAGCATTGCCAACTAGAGGCAAGAGAATGAGACCAATAAACCTGCAGAACAACTTAGTGATTGGATACCAACGATGTTCTATGTACTCACCTCTTGGGAATGTTGTATTGTTGTGCAGTTTCGTCAATACTGCCAACAAGAATATCGGCGGAAAAGGCAGTTAGGATAGTTATGATGACCAACCAGCCACCAGCACTCCACTGGTCCATGGCGGCAACCTCTTCTTCCTCCTGTACATCTTCGGCTTCAAAGAGGCCTGAGTGGGTACGGAGTTGGAACACGAGGTAGCCGAAATAGGTGAGAAGTAGAATGATTGCAGTGCCTCGAGAGAGAATGAGGAGACCTCGCAATGTACCGTCGGAGGGATCGGGCGCGTGGTCGTTGACGAGTGCCCTCAAAGTGTCTTCAGCCTGGTCTGTCATAGACGCATGGTCTGAAAGATGCTATTAGTTCGACACTTCGAAACTCCCGCCCAGAAAAAAGAATTGAAAGCTTACATGCAGCCGGTAAGATGAGAGTAATACAAGCAAGCGTAAGCAAGGATGAACTAGCTTGCGCGGCGGTCGCTTGAAATGTCGACTCATAGAAGAAGAAACCAGAGCTATACATGTTGTCAGTTGTAGACGAGTGGTTGGGGTATACGGACGTACGCGAAGAAGCTCATACCGAGAACGAGTAAGAGGTTGGAAAGAACACTACCGAGCAACGAGGTCTGGACAAGTCGCAGCTGGTCTGATGATATGGAGTCAGAAAATCGTACTTGTCAAATGCCAGATGCTTGCTTACTGTGGTTAAGAGCTGCAATGGCCACAATGAGCTCAACAGCATTACCAAAGCTACCGCCGAGGTCAGCATGACTCGAGTACGCATACACGAGTTCATTCACGTTGCGTTGAGCAGACCGCCCAAGGTCTGGCCCAGCTTCATTGAAAGCTGCTCAGTGCTGTCCCCGAGAAGCTGCATATACGTCAATGATACGCACACCTCACCGACTCTGCACGTACCTTGGCCAAAGGCACAATCGCCAGGAAAGATGTAGCGAATCGTGCACCCGCGCCCCATCCGAGCGACTCAGCTGTCCATCAGGCGCACATTAGCAGGCGCACTGAACAGGATGTGATACCGGCTACTGACAGATGAAACTCAGCGGGACGCAAACGAGCAACAAGTTGATCCAAGAGCCGAGGAGGAGATATCTAGTAGAGCCGGGAACATCGAGGGGCTTTGAGACGACAGTCTCGCCTCCCTGGGAGGGCAGGAGGGGGGATGTCTCGAGGGCGGGCATGGCGGACGAGATGCGAACGGAGAAGAGATGGAAAAAAACAGCCAAAGAATACGTCTTACATAGTACGTAGCCGCTGAGACGAACACTGTGATGACGTAACGAGACAACAACAGCGGTGAAGGAATGCTCCCGCTGTCGGCGCACACCGCCAGCTATGTACTGTCATCAGCAACGCGTTCGTCCCGCCCAGGTTCCGCCGCTTTCACCTCGGAATTCTCAACCCGCCGGTCTTCTCACTTCTGCCATCTCTCGCACCCCACAGCCCCCTAGCAGCAATGGAAGTCGACTCATCCGCCACAGCGAGCTCTGCTGCCGACAGGAAGCCCAGGTTCGAGGTCAAGAAGGTGTGTACCATCGCTTTCATCACAGCCTTCAGCTGATCAGCTCGGTATTCTATTCTAATCTCTCGATGTCTCCCATCAGTGGAATGCTGTTGCTCTTTGGGCCTGGGGTGAGCTCTCCAACACTGTCGGGACAGGCGGCTGATGTAAAGGGTATAGATATCGCCGTGGACAACTGTGCTATCTGCAAAAGCCACATCATGGACCTGTGCATGGACTGCCAGGCCAACCAAGGTGCCGAAAGCGAGAACGGTATGGCCACGGCTGATATATTCCGTTTGGCATATGCTCACGTGACTCATTAGGGTGCACTGTGGCTTGGGGTATTTGCAATGTGAGTCTATCTTGTGTGCCAGTCGATTTGTTGCATGCTGCCATAACATGGGCTCAGGCTCACTCGAATTAGCACGCTTTCCATTTTCACTGTATCTCTAGATGGCTCAAAACCCGCCAAGGTGAGGCCTATTATCATCATCTTACACGACGCTGCTGACGCAATCTTGAAAGTGTGTCCACTTGACAAGTACGCTGGCTTCTTTGTTACGGGCTCGATCCAGCCGTGTCAGATAGCTGACCGTTTTTTAGCCGACAATGGGAACTCCAAAAGTACGGGCGCTAGTCCGGGACAAGCTCGGCACTATCATTCTCCGCTTTGCCATTCCACATGTATACAGTACCATACAAATCCCGATCATATCATCATCAAATCGATACACCCATGGTCGCATCGAAAGACATCTACATTCTATCTAGCCCGTTTTGGGATCATTGACTCTCGTCCCGATGTTTGCGCGGTTGATTGGGACCACAGCCCATGCTTAAATCGCCCCTCAGCGCTCTCCACTTCCTGTCCAAGTTTCCGCAAACCTTCCTGCAGGGCCTCCACAATCTTAATTCGCACTTCTTCTTCTTTCCCGTCTATGAGATCACCTTTTCCTCTAATCTCTCTCTGCTGGTCTCCAGCGGGCCCTGTGTGATCTGCGTCCTGTGACCATTGTCCGCCAATTCCCAGGGTGCCTGCTTCTTGATGTGCCATCTGACGCCACTGATCCACCAGAGGTTGTATTTCGGCTGTGAGAGGTTGCCCGACGGTTATGCTGATTTTTGCCCCTGGTCTTGGAATAAATCGGGGGGAGCCTCGTGTCTCGTTCATGATCTGGTCGAAACCTGATTGCGAATGGTCAGCCTGAGTGAGGCGGATCGTGTATCTTTGACATACCTGATATCCATATGGGTATTATCTCCGGCATCACCTGTGAATCCATGATAATGCGCCCTCTGCCATAGGTCAGCTCTAATGTAGACTATTTGAGATGGCTGATCTACACTTACATTCCCCATTTGAAACGTAACAGACCTCCGGCGGGATTGGTGAGCTGTTGGTTGACTTTGCCCTCGGGGAAAATGTGGATCTCGAATATGAGTCAGCTGAAATCTCGAGACCATCCTCCCGATGCTTACCCAGCTCCCATCCTGAAGTAACTGGACCGCTCGATCTACGGCCTCCTGAAAGATGCCACCTCCTCGATGCGTCTCTATCACCTGACCTAGATTGAAGAATCTGGCGTGTGTTGGTTTGGTGAACATGATATCGGACGCGCCCAGTGTCCAACGATTGTTGCGACAGGTGCGAGAAGGTGTGGTAAAAGGAAAGTATGTGTTGAGAGGAAGAAGCGACCACATCTGATAGCGCGTCAGTCGAATAGATCTAACACAATGTATGCTAACGATCGTCTCACCATGGGATCATCTACAACAGAGTTGTGATTGCAAACTGCAAATCAAGATTAAACTTTCTGTCTGTCTGATTTCAACCATAGTAGCTTGCACGTACGGGTTACGATCCCTCTTCTTTTTTGTGGCTCACCTGAGCCATCACATTCCAGAGCATTTGTGAGTGTGGCTAGCCCGCTCACTTTGTACTCCTTAGTTGTAAGGCGAAGGAAGGTCTTGGAGGCAAAGGCGAGGGTAGACAGAGTGACTGCCGAGGCAAGGTTTCGCAGCGCCATGGTGAGCGGCACGAAGAGGGCTCGCCTGAGAGGGGTGTGCGGCTGCGGTTATCAAGCGTGCAGCGGGTATCGGGAGGGGCGCGCAAGATGCACGGGGGAGAGGTAAGTCGCGGAATAATGCTACTACAGAGTACACAGTTCATGCATCCAGCCCGAGTCCTGCTCTTTTCTCCTGCGACCAACGAGGAGCCCAAATTTCCCCAGAAAAGTCGTGACGAAAACGCCGACGGTCCAAAACAGCCGGCACCCGCCGCACCATGGCCGGTGATGACGACGATGACTGACGGCCAGCTGACGGCTCTGCTGGCTTTTGAACTCGGAAGATTTATCACTGCCTTACTTCTCCATAGATATAGCTAACGCTTCAAATGATGATAATAATGATATTCAATATATAACACCGCTCCCAACCTCACGGTTGTAGTGACAAGACACGCGTGACGCGAGCACGCTTTTGCCCGGCAATCCAGAGCTTGAACGCCGTTCCCTGACCTTGCCTCATTCACCTAATCGCGTAGGTACTGCGCCCTGATGCATGGTCAGTGTCACGCCTAGTAACAGTAAAGACGCTGTATCTTACCAGTCATGGATCCTGTCAAAAACAACAGTCAAATACGAGGTGTCATTCAACAAGACCTCAAATTGCTTGATGGCATCTTCCTCGGAAAGATCGAGCATGAACTTTTCCTGCACCTTGAGGTATGGCACTGTCAGAGAATTTCTCCTATTGACATAAATTACTCACTTTCCATACTGCCTTGTCAGGCTCGAGCTGGATATCTTGTATACCAGCATCCACCATCAACGCCACAAGATTCAGTATCAGGTTGGCATTCTTCCGCAATCCAGTGAAAGCAGTATAACACAAGCTCTGGAATCTGGAGTAATGAGCTGATCCGGTACCGCCCATTGCATCGACCATTTCCTTGCACACCTTCACAGGTGGTGGGTACGGCTTTGGGTCTCGTCCCAAGATGTAACCGAAATCAACTACAGAGGGTCTCAGCATGTCTCGAATACTATGATTCCCCCATGACGTACCGTGAAAGAAATGTCCATCGGGCGCTAGCATTAGATTGTCGAGATGACGGTCTCCAACCCCCAGGACATACGTGAGAACTGAGTAGCCAGCTGCTACTTCGTCAGCTTAAGGATACGTATGAATGTGATCATACACACCGCAGCTTCTTACAAACGTATCCATTACCCCTGCCTCTATGCCATACGATCCCAGGGCTGCATCGTCGGAGTGCTCCAGCTTCAAATAATTCTGCAAGTTCCCATGTTCCGCCATGATAGACGCGACACTTTTGCTGGGAACAAACTGTATGAGTCCCTCCGAGGTGGATGTTGCCAGAACACTATAGGGGCTCAGGCGCAGGTCGAGGTTTTCCTTGCGTAGTAGACGATCCATGAGAGTGAACAGTTGGATTACGAGCTGATCTTGACGCAAGTCGTCACCATTTTTGAATATGACAGGATAGTCAGGCGAGATGTTAACGATCCCTTCACTGTCGTCTTCTGCAGCTCTGTTTGGCTCGGCTGTTTCGAACCATATCAGAAGCGGCAAAAGGTTGGATTTGAATATGCTCGACTTCTCGGCCACCACAGAAGTAACGGAAACCCGAGCATTGAGGGGTAAGGTCAAGGGCTCGGCGAAAGAAGAGAGACCGTTCTTCGGATCTGACAGATAAGCTTTGAGCTTCTCAATCTTTTTCTGTCGAGGATCCTTCGAAAGACGGACTTCCCTAGCACGTGTTGATAGGGTCTGCACCAATACACCTTGACGTCGGAGTACCTCCCTCTGGGCCGTTCCTTCGGGGCTCTAACACACTGTTAGCTCGAGAGTTCTCATTGGTATGGAAATCCTACTTGAGAGAGTTTATTCATGAAATCATGGGCGATTTTTGCATACATCCTTCCCGCAGGAACTCGACTGTCACACTCAATCATGAGATACCAGTGAAAACGGGTACTCAAAATCGGGTTGGATACACTTCTGTCAATCAAAAATTGAGACAAGCCGCTGTCGCTAGCCTCGTCTTGTGACAGTTGCCGTTTCAGTTGATGTGCGCGTGGTTTATGAGGACGTTGAGACGAGAGGAAGTATTTGTGCTCGAATTTGAGAGCTTGTACCAGTTGGAGAAGGTACAACAAGAGTTCCTGTAAAAAATAATCAGTACATCTTGATAATGTTGCAGCATGATACACTCACCTCGTCATCCGCCCTTTCCAAGCGTTTCACTGCAAAAGCCCTCACTTTTTTGTGCATGAACTCTGGCCCCAGAAGTTCCAGTGCGTCATCGATTCCTACATCTTGGCCCCACAAAGGAAGCAACTTTTCGACAGCCTGCTTCGTTTCGACCGGATCAGACCAGGTGACGCATTTTAGGAACTTTGTCAGCGAGCGAGGCGAACGGAACAGCGAAAATCTAAATTTCCACAGAAGATCCTTGTCGAAAGCGGACAGCGAGGCGGTAGGAGGTAGGCGAAATATGTCCTGATAGAGGGTTGGGTGAGAAGCATTCACAACCAGAGCATTTACTCACGTTCAAGCGATCCCTGTCCGAAGGTCCGGGTTTCAAATCCTTTCCTGCATCACCCAACCGCTGACTTCGTAGCAGCTTTCGGTGCTTGATCTCTACAGGGTTGTCTCTCCATGCGTCCGGGTCATACGCCCTCCATAGATGGCGGTCGCTCGAGAGGAAATTCGGCGGAAGCGCCAGGACAGGTGGGATCGTTGGAAAAAGATGAGCGACAGGAGCAGGCGGGACCGAGAGGAGTGACTCCTGTTCCGAGTAGACAACAGGAAAGTCGAACTTCGGAAGGTCCACGTAGAGATACATGTCTTTTGATTTGGAAGCTTCCCTCTATTGCACCGGTAAGTGGGTGACTTGATGATCTTGTCTGACTTACAAGATGAGCTTTTTCTAACTTTCTAAAAGCAAGACGGTCTAGCCACTCCACCTTGTTGATATCGCCCCGATCAAACTCTTTTATCAACTATTTTGGTCAGCGTGCGAGCCAGGATTCTTTGTCGACCCACAGATTCCAGCCTTCCCATCTCATCGTCCTCTCTATTCAGTACCTCGCTCGGAGTCGTAGAATTTGGCCTCGGGTCCGCTTCCACTCCCCGATGTATATACAGCCGTTGTTGACCTCGTTTGAGTGTTCTACATCCACGTGGTGAGGTCTTATCCTCATCAGCCATGTACCCTTACCTGTGATGGTCAAAGAGCGCCATCTTTGTTCCTCCAATAGCAGTGCATCTGCCAGACTCTTGAACATCCCATATTGTGAATGTTACGGACGACTCGAGGAGGAGGGAAGGGTATTGGACGGGTAAAATTATCGTCTGATTCCATCTAGACAAGTATCAGCCACAAAACAGAGCAGAAAGAAAGAATTACTTGGTTCCTCTTGACAGATCTTTCCATCCTGTTCGGAACGGTAATGTATGCTGCGCCTCTCCGGTCCACAGCATACAGGTGATGTACAGATCTGGGATGGGCCTGCCAGCTGTCAGAACGTTTCTTTTCCGCAAGAACTTACGTATTGGCCTTGGATCTGATGACCCCTGCATGATTCAAAGCTTCGATATGGCTTGATTGTGGTAGCTTTCCTTCTAGGGACGTTCTGTGAAGGGCGTAAGTATATACAGTATAGTCTGGAGGGCACTAGCGTACATCTTAAGGGTGACCGGGGACTTGATGTCACACAGGCGGGCGAAAGAATAGTCCCTGTCCCTCGATGGCTCTGTCTCCATGGTTGTCTGAATGTGGGTCACGGAGTGTCAGTATCACACCAGGATCGAAGCGACGGAAGGCGGAAAGCCGAAGAACAGCAGCAGCAACAGGCCATTAGGCACGCTCAATTACATAAGCACCACCAACACCGGAGCTCGCCGCACAAAAGTTGCTTTGGTTGCAGAATTATCGTGGATGGGTTGACAGTAATTGTAACAAGCATGGCGCCTTCCCAACTCGCCCAGCTCAAGAGCGCCCTCTCAAGCGCTGGCCTCAACCGCCAGTCACACTCCAAAAAGGATAAAAAGGCTTTCAAGAAAGGCGGCGCTAGGGAGACAGACAGACAGAAAAAGCTTGACAAGCTCGACGAAATCAGGAGGAACCTCAACAAGTTTGACGAGCGAGAGACGAAAGTCAAGCATGATGTGGGTGGGAGAAACCTCAAAGGAGTGACTGGACGACCGAGCTCGAGCAAACAAGCAGGCTTGGAACAGGTATGGACTGGCTGTTTAATGTTGAACCTTTGCTAATGCTTGAGTTCAGCGACGGAAAACGCTCTTGCCTGAGCATCAACTCAAAGATCATCGGGGAACCTTCCATGATAGGCGATTCGGAGAGAACGACCCTTCCATGTCCATCGAAGACCGTATGCTCGAGCGATATACCCGTGAACGTCAACGCGGTCAGGGCAAGAAAGGTCTATTCAATCTCGAAGACGACGAAGAGGATCCGTTCGGGGGGCTTGACGAGGGAACCGCTCTTGGAGGCCTCACTCACGGTGGAAGAAGCGTCACGGACCTTCCTGGCGATGATTTCATTGCCCAAGGCCTAGGTGATGATGACGACCCCGATGAGGATGTGGCTAAAGGAAGAATCGACAAGCGACAAGTCAGCCAAGTCCACTTTGGAGGTTTCGAGCCTGCAGATGAAGATCTTGTGAGCTGCGCATATTCGTGTACAGAACTGTACTGATAACCTCGTAGCCTGAAAAGAAAAAGTCAAAGCAAGAGGTCATGGCGGAGATTATTGCCAAGTCTAAAGAGCATAAACACGAACGTCAACAGCAGCGAGAAATGGACGATGATCTTCGAGACCAGCTTGATGATGAGATGGCCGATCTTCAAAAACTTCTCGCCGAAGCTCCCAGCGCTCCAGACTCCTCCCACTTGAATGTCAACCCGAGAAATCGCCCTCCCGCGGCTACTGCCCCAGGTGCAGAGGCTATCGACGACGGGGAATATGACCAGGTCGTTCGATCCCTGGCGTTCGAGGCACGAGCTAAGCCCAAAGACAGGACAAAGTCTGAGGAAGAGCTTGCCAAAGAAGAGCGTGACAGACTGGAGCAGGCCGAGTCTAGACGTCTGAGGCGAATGCGTGGTGAAAGCGTGTCTGATGATGAAGGGGCTGGAGAAGGGTCGCGCAAGAGGAAGAGGGCAAACGAAAAGCCAGATGCGGATGATTTGGAGGACGATTACGTTGAAAATGACTCTCTCCTTGGGCCCGGCCTGACGAGGGAGCAGATTGAGGATATGGAGCTGTCGGGGGAGGGTTCGGGAAGTGAGGGTTCCCAAAGCGATGGTGGTCTGGAAGAGGATGGCTCAGAAGATGATGATGGTTTAGAGGATGACCTGGGTGGGAGTGACATCGCCATGGAAGAGGCAGGCTCTGAATCCGAGAGTGGTTCCGGCGACGAGTCTGGTGTCCTGTCTTCAAAGCAGAAGGCGCGCATCCCAAAACTCAGACGCGCGCCGGCAAAGATTGAGGAGATCCCATATACCTTCGAATGTCCACAAAGCATAGAAGAATTTGAGGATATTCTAGCCCCTCTGAAAGACGATGCTTTACCTATAGTGGTACAACGCATACAATCGTTGCACCATCCCAGTTTGGCAGAGGGAAACAAGGAAAAACTCCAAGTAAGCACTGCTCTCAAGAAGATGTCCTGTTTTCCGAACTGATGACGTTTCAGAACTTCCTCGGCGTGCTTATAGACTACATTCTCATCTTTGCCTCGGAACCTTCACCAACCTTCAAACAAGTTGAGGCACTTGCTCCTCATATCACCTATCTTATCAAGCTCAACCCAATGTCTGCCGCTGGTCACTTTGTCGACAAGCTCAGTGTCATGCAGAAGAACCTCGCCAGGGGCCTCGCTCAGGGTAGCACTCGGGCTCAAGCTCGGACTTTCCCAGGACTGCCCGAGCTGTCTCTTCTGAGACTGATCGGTACTTCTTGGTCAACAAGTGACTTCAGCCATCCTGTTGTGGCTCCTGCGGTCTTGCTCATGGGGCAATATATATCTCAGAGCAGAGTGCGAAAGTTGAGCGATGTGGCATCTGGCCTGTTTGTGTGTTCATTGCTTGTCCAGGTATGTTCGTTCTCAGCAAAACGACGCTCGTGTTAACGTTCCGTCAGTTTGAGGCTCGATCCAAGAGAGTTCTCCCGGAAGCTGTCAACTTTGTGGCGTCAACGATCTTGATGCTGTTGCCTCGAAAGAAGGCTTCCATTTCGGTTCAGACTTATCCCGACATCACCGTCCCTTCGCTGTCTCTATATATCAAGGAGGGCCCTTCGGATTCTCTCACCACCCCTGTCAATATCGTCCCTATCATTGGTTCTACCGGAAGCGAAGACGGAGCTGAGCTGGAATTGCAAAAGTGCAGTCTGCTGCTTGTGGCTCTTCGTCTGGTAGACAAGCTGGCGAGCCTGTACATCGGCACCCCAGCATTCACAGAGCTGATGGCCCCCGTCAAGCAAGTGCTCGAGGGGTCACGTACCAGCACATTGCCAGACGGGCTGAAGGGTGTCCACAAGGAGACTTTGAAGACCTTATCTCGAACCATCATCAACTCTTTGGTCTCTCGCCGTCCTCTTGCCCTTCAAGCCCACAAGCCCATCCCCATCGCTTCCCATACACCCAAGTTTGAAGAAAACTACGCGATCGGACATCACTACGACCCTGATGTTGAGCGCAATGCCTCTGCCAAGCTCAAGGCGTTGTACAAGAAAGAGCAGAAGGGTGCCATGCGTGAACTCAGAAAGGACAACAAGTTCTTGGCGGGCGAGAGGGCAAGGGAGCAGAAGGCGAAGGATGAAGATTATAACGCGAGGATGCGAAAGCAGGAGGGCAGCATCACTGCCGAGCGCGCCGAGGAGAAGGCCATGGAGAGAGAGAAAGCCCGGGACAAGCGCAGAAGGGGAAATTAGAATGCTTGCGGCATCCTGTACTAGACGTGTTTTGATACAATCTTGGTCTTGTGTAACAATGCAACTTGTTCATATCTACGCCATTTAGCAGCAAGCACAATAAACCTCGACATGATCCCTCTTGCAGCCTCATACGAGCGCGCCAAAGACCTGATGCAGACAAAGTAGTGTCCTGACATATGATCCCAAAAATTATGCAGACATCTTGATAGATATATATGCGGGGTATATAGTACATCTACATTCATTATGCCAGTCTAATTGGCGGGCTTGCGGGCGATCCACAAAGCCATGGGACTAGGATTGTCGAGTCAGAAATGCTCAAGCTTTGAGAGAAAAAAGACTCACGTGAAAAGCTTGCTCCTGCCACCAGCAATGAGGGCCTTGGCGGCGACAATAAGACTCTCACCGACATCGTAGGTACCTTTGGGGACAAGGCCGAGCTTTTCCATGAACCAAACAGCGTTCTGGGTGATGGTGTAACCCATCTTGGACGTTCTCCAGCAAGTAAACACTGGGGACTATCAGCTATTGTCCTTTGAAATGTATACGAGACGTACTGTCCCAAGGGGTCTGGGCCTTTCTAAGGTCTCCTTCCAGAGGGTAGTACCAAGTGACAGGGTCAGGCCTGTCGGCAAGGTCTTCCTCGTGTTCGATCTGGAAACCGACAGACTTGAGGGCGTCCCGGGCAGCGGCAAGGTTTCGCATCTCGGGAATACCGTCTCCGACCTCGATGCCGTGAGCGATCTCCTTGTGCTCGGGCACAGAGGGGTCCCAGGCATCGGTCATACACCATTCGTAGACACCAAAGACACCGCCGGGCTTGAGGCACTTGAAAATCTCGCCGTAGATACCCTCAAAGTTGGGGGCGTGGCATGTGGCTTCAATGGCGTAGACTGTGTCCAGGGTCAGTTATGAGCGTTGCAATGGAAAGGAGGACATACCGGCATCGAAAGAACCTTCGCCGAATTGCTCACTGAGCTTCATAAAGTCGCCCTTAACAAAAGAGACCTTGTCGGAAAGTCCAGCCTTGGCAGACTTGGAAGTGGCCCTGCCGATTTGAAAGTCGTTGTTGTTGATGCCGACAATGTTGACATCGGCGAAACGGGCAATCTCTCGAGCCGGGCCTCCGACACCACAGCCGACATCAAGGACTCGCATACCGGGTTTGAGGTGCATCATGGAAGCAAGGTAGTGCTCGTGACGAGCAAGCTGGGGAAACATGAGACCCGGTGGCAATCACAAACAATCTGCTTACGGCTTGGAGGAACGCTTCGCCCTTGTAAAACCGACAAAAGTGGAACGATTCGGCTATGAAGAGTCAGGGCCTTGGGGACGATTGTGCACGGAGCGGACGTACCCCATCCGTACTCATAGAGCTCGGTCGCGCCGTCGTAGTAGCCTGTTGCTTGTCAGTCTGTGTCGCGCCTGCCACTGTCACACGCACCGTTCACGACATCGGTGTACTGGTCGAGCCTGTTGGCACGGTGGGTGTCGTTGTCGTCGGTGGACTTTTTCTCCCAGAACTTGTTGTAGTTGGAGACACGGTCGGCAGATCGGGCGTCGGCGGGCATCTGGAGGGTGAGGTGAGCTCGGAACGGGCGAGGCGAGGGACCTACTTTTGCGGTGATAGATGGGGAACAGAAAAGAATGCGCGTTTTTGTGGCACGACGATCCGAACGCGCTTGTCGTACGAGAAGGAGTTACGTAATAGTGCTCGGGGGGCAGGTTATGTAAGCTTAAGCGGCGTGCTGCGATGAGTGACTGCCTCCTGCTCCTACTGCTGCTACTCACTGCTACTACTACTACACTGTACTGCCTGTGTGAGCCCCAGCGCCGATGTCCGCCCCACCCTCGCCGCCCTCGCCGCACCCAGTACGTGCCCGTCCTCGCCCTCCCCCGGGCCCCGCTCACCGGCGCAGATCTCCGCCGCCTCCTCCTCCACCTCCTCCCAGCCCATCTTCGACTGGCCCCCCACAAATCCCAGCCATGTAGCCCCCCTCGATCCCTTCGACACCTTTGGCCCGCCCTCCTCCAGCTCAGAAGACGGCTTCATGTCTGCGGCCAACCCCGCCCAGTCCCACCACCGCCCCGCCACAGAGCCCGGCGAACATGACGAACGGCCACTCCACAGCGACTCTACCCCGGGCCCGTCTCTGCCTGCACCCACCTTCAGCAACCCCCCGCCATACAGTAGAACAATATCGTCCCCTCTTCCTTCCCGCATCGAGCTGCTGCAACATCCTCACTCGGGAACCCCGGATCTCAGACACACACAAGCGCAGCCTCGCCCAAGTCCGATACATTCGATCTCGGAAGAGCTGGCAGACACCTTGCAGTCCACAATCCAGACTCTTCTCCATCTGCTGCCTCCCCACATGCTCGACAATGCGAAGGAACAATACTCGGGATGTGCCGTCCAGATCCCCGCTACTTCTCTATCAGCTCTCCTGACATCTATGAAAGGGCTCAATTTTCTCTCGGCACAGGCCGAGACTCTGTTCGACCCCAGTGCCACCGAAGAACCTCAGACTCTCCAGAAACAAGATTTCGATGTCGGCGAACTGCTACAAAGTGTCGCCGACATGCTGAGCGGAGACGCGTGCAAGAAGAAGATCGACTTTGTCCTGTTCCATGGAGATGTTGGGCTGAAGCATGTCAGCGTCAATGGAGATTCAGGCGGTCTAGCATATGCTCTGGGACATGTGAGTTGAATCTATGATACCGCAGAGGCTGATATTATAGGTTATACGACAATTACTTGCTGTTGCGAGCGTCAACGACACCATCGAACTCGGCCTCCAGATAATACCCCAATCCTCGTCGCTACCGACCTCTGTAGATTTATCACTGCCATCCTCCGATGTTGATTGGGGCGGTCGGCGCAACTCGTCAGTTTCAGACCCCGCAACTGTCGTCTCTGAAGCCGATGATCAGGCCGATGGTCCTTTGCTGTGTATCTTTGAGATCGTCCACAACATACACCAATCAGCACCCGGCTCAGCATCCGCTACCCCCAAGGCAGAGCTGAATCCTTTCACTCGCCTGGCCGAAGACAGCGCAGCCGCAAAACCCAACCTCGATACAATCTTTTGTCAACGCCTCCTTCAAAGGCAAAATGCCTTGCTCAGGTCAGATGTCCAGCCGTCATCGCCGCTTGGGTCTGGAATGCCTCGTCGAGCCTACGAGCTGTCGGTGCTGCTCCCCAGAGGCAAGCCAATCATTGAGCCACCACCGCTTTCTGCAGAAGAACAAGCCGTCCGACAGCCCTTCTCGTCCCTCGAACTTGCACGCGAACCAACCCTCCTAGAATTACAAGAATTCACAGAATCGCTACGGGGTAGAAGAGTTGCCGTCCATGCCAATCTCAGCAGTGTGTTCGCTCGCCACCTCACGAGCTACCTTGCCGCTTGGGGAATGGACATTTCCCACATGTCCATCGGGGATGGTGATGAAGGTGGTGACAGGGAAAAGTGGTTTGCTGCCACACGGTCAGATTCGGGATATGGAGGCTCTGTGGGGACGACTCCTACCGGAGAACCGTATCATGCTACTCCCAATGCGGCGGGACAAAGAGCTCATTTCGTGATTATCGACGACGATGTGGTCGTGCTGAAAAAAGAGCTTGCCCGACTGTGCTCGGATCTCGCCCGTCCAGCAAACAAATCCCGATTTCCAGAACGCCCGACGATGGTCTCACGAACAAAGTCGACCCCCTCTATCCGTCATCTCGGACAACATCCTGTCACAAAACCAGCGCGAGTGGTCTTGATACACTTCACATCGCTTACAAATTATAACCAAGTACGAGATGCGATCGCTGCCCTGGTGGGATCGCCGGTGACTACCAGCTCTGGGGTCTGCCTTCAGCCGGAAGTGATGGTCATACCGAAGCCCGTTGGTCCCCGCCGATTCCTGACTGCTCTTCGCACGGCTGTCGTTCAACCAACCGTGGACCCATTCTTCTCCCCTATCGCAACGTCCCCCCGATCTCCTGGGGGTGAATACTTTGGTGGGCATATTCCCATTCCTAAAGAACGACAGACGGGTTTCTTTGATTCTGTCGCTGAAGAGCTTAATGAGGAGCCTTCCAAAGAAAATCTCAGTTCACAGAAGGCTAGATCTCCCCTGGGCGAAGTCCCTCCCTCTGCTGCGCAGCTGGTTCAGACGGACCATGGCTTACATCTCTCACTCCCCACCCCTGGCGAGATTGTGGCGACTCCAGCTCAACAGTACTTTTCACAGACCCCCGCCAGAAATACCGCAGCTTCAGGTGTGGTCATCCAGAGCCCAGACGGGAGACCTTACGGAATGTTCTTTGAGCCTCCAAACAAGAGCGAGAGACGCGGGTCTACCCATCGGGTGCCTTCCGAGACTCAACGACGCATATCGGCCAATCGCCGTGCATCTACGGGGGATGAACTGTCCGTTGCACCTAATACGGCTCCTCCTATACCACGAAGATCATCCACCATATCCACAGCTGCCACCGAAGAGAGGCGGAATTCGATCGGGTCGGGCAATGCTTCGGACAGGCCCACCCACTCGCGGATGAACTCTCGGCGCACGAACAATCTTCCAGCGACGCAGCAGCCTGTCGTGGCAGTCGGCCGGGCAAACAGCCGTGGACGGGTAGGCACAGTCACAAATTCTGCAGCAAGTTCCAAACCAGACACCCCTCCTATCGATAGCCCGATTGTGCATTCGCCTTTCGAGGTCAGCAGGGAGTCAATTTTGCCGAAAGTAGACCAGGAGAAGGTGGTGCCAGAGAAGACCGAGCAAGCTGAACGGCCGGAGAAGGTGGATAAGCCCAAGAGGGCGCTGTCTGCAAAAGCAGAGTTACAAGCATCGATCGCAAGTTCAACGGCTGCTAAAAAGGCTTCTGCCAAAGCGGACGTTATTGTTCCACCGATCAACGTTTTGATAGTCGAAGGTTGGTATTTTGCAATCTTTTGTGATGTGCACTAATCTTCTGCAGATAATCCTATCAATCAGAACATTCTGAGCAAATTTCTGCGAAAGAAAAAGATCAACAATCAGTCGGCAAAGGATGGTGCCGAGGCGGTGGAAAAATGGCGGACCGGTGGTTTCCATCTCATCCTGGTGCGTTTCTTTCTGTCGACTGAGCTTGAGCTGACTTGCGCCAGATGGATATTCAACTACCTGTCATGGACGGCATTGCTGCCACGAAGGAAATCCGAAGATTGGAGCGCCACAACAACATCGGCGTCTTTCCCTCTACCCCTGCTGGAGAACATTCTCGTGGCCCCTCTGTAGGCAGCGCGTACTCTCCATCACCTGCGACACCTTTCCGCTCGTCCGTCATCATCGTGGCCCTGACTGCCTCAAGTCTGCAGAGCGACAGGGTGGCGGCATTGGCAGCAGGGTGTAATGACTTTTTGACAAAGCCTGTCTCGTTGAAATGGTTGGACAAGAAGATTGTCGAGTGGGGATGTATGCAGGTGAGTCTCTGTGGGACATGGAAAGGAGCGTTGCTGACTCGATCAGGCGTTGATCGACTTTGACGGCTGGAGACGGTGGAAATCCTCAGACGCTAGCGAGACTCGTCAAGGATTCTCGGTCGGCCCACAACAAGCGGCCAAGTCTCTAGCCAGCCGCTTGCGTATTGAGCGCAAAAATTCTCGCCCCTTGATTCCCTCTGCCCCGAAAGTATCCGTTCAAGTCCCCACCCCTTCTCCTGGCCTCACTCCATCCCTATCCACCACGACCTCGCACACCCCCAAACCGAGGCTACCACCACTAGCCACCGCCGACCCCGCTCCTTTCCCATCGCCGAAAGCATTGGGACAGTCGTTAGACCAGGTGTTTGAGCAAGCAGATCAGAGGTTGGAGAAAGCAAGGGAGGAAACGGGTATCAAAGGGTCAGGAGAGAGGGATCAGGAGGCTTCTGCGTCCGAAGAGAGTACATTGATCGTGGGAGGGGCGCCAAAGGCTGCCGCAGAAAAGCCGTTGCCACCATTACCCAATCAATTGTGAATGATCCTTGGAGAGATGGGATGTAGATCAGTTTCTCAGTTATTCGATCAAGTTATCTTCGCAACATACATTTTGTGTCATCATCACTTCTTCTTATGTAGACTATCCGGAAGTTAGAAGCTGCTTCTACATGTTATAATGTCATGTTGCACCAATAGCCAGAGTACATGCATGGCTTTCTTGGCCTCGATCCAGGGTATATGAAGATAAACAATGATAGTACACGACACGCAGGGCTCAGATCGACAAGACCCATGAGCCATCTTTGAGAACAACCCTGGCGTTCTTCATGATGTCCTCCGACTCGTAGCTCCTCTTGTCATCCTTGCCAACACTTTCCACCCATTCACTCAGGGTCATCTCCCCGCCCCCTATCTTGGCCAGACGCTTCCTCAAACGCTTGACAATCTTGGAGGGAGCATCGTCGGTAGAAGGCTCTGGTGCGGCCTCGACATCCTCCAACTTTCGTTTCTTGCTCGAAGGCTCGACGGGAGTAGAAGCCGGTTCAAGGCTCTCGGCCTTGGGCCGCTTGGAGTTGGCCTTTGACCCAGTACCGCCCTTGTCTCCCTTCTTCTTCTTCTTGGGCTTCTCGGACTGAGTGGCCTGACCAGTAGAGAAGGCAGGGGCAGGAGCGGGGGTTGGGACAGCAGGAGCAGAGGCGGTGTCCTCAGTGACAGCCGGAGATCCCCACGATCTCATTCCGTTGGTGCTCTCCAGCTTGTTCATCGCAGTCCCATAAGACCTCTCCACCACGGGCGCCTGGAAGCCTCCCCTACCGCCTCTTCCTCCCCTACCGCCTCTGGCTCCACGCTCGGCAAACCCTCCCCGGCCTCCTCTGCCACCACGTGTAGGCGCGGGGGCGTCGAACGTGGGGGCTGAAGACTGAAGGTGCATACGGGAAGGGTGGATTGGGGGAGCAGCGGGGGCTTCTGTGGTGGTTGGAGGCTCTGCCTCGGTGAACGTCTGGGCGGGAGCTTGAGTCTGTGCTCGTCAGCGCGAGTCCAAGCCGAAAGGCCATGCGAAATCTCACCCTCTTGCCCTTGTAGAGCGCGCCCTGGTACTTCTCGTCCTCGGTTATGCAGGAGGTGTGGCTCTTGTACTGGGCGGGGCTGTTGAAGGTTTTCGAGCAGTCGAGGCAAGTGAAGGAGGCGAAGCACCTGTTGCGGTGCTGGTCGAGCTTGGGCTTCTTGACTGTGTCTGCGCAGGCATCGCACTGGAAGGAGACCATGCTGGATGAGATGTACGGAGCATAAACAAAACAGAGATCTTTGTCGATCCAAAAAATTGTCGCCACGTCCGGACGTCACCAGTTCCTGGCACCCGGCGGCCGGTCAGCGAGTGTTGTTGTCGTCTTTCTTGCTCTTCTTTCCTCGAGTACAACAGGTAAGCAGGCAAGCAGGATGGCCTCCCCAGCCAAGGAGCCAGGAAGGTCTCTCCTCGCATCCCTCCGCCCCCCGGCAGCCCTCCCAGCTCCCGCCACCGCCCTCGACGCCACTCATCACCTGCATCCCCACGACGCAGCGCACCCCCAGCCGTCGGGGTCCATCCTCAGGAGAGAGAGCAGCAGCTTTCCCTCCGACCATGGCACAGACGGGAGCCTGTATGGGGGCAGTGATGGACATCCCCATTCGCACGACCTCAACATTCCCAGCCCCGTAAGATAACCCCTCCACGTGCCTAACGTGCCCTGCTCATCACCATGCCCAGAGCGGACAGCCCCGCCACTCAGCCCTTCGTTTCCAAGTGGCCCAAGCCCAGAGCCCGAGGTCATCGAGTTCGTACACCCGCCCTTCCCCCAGAGAGCTTCTCGACAACGACCGCGTCATCGAGTCCGACTCTGAGTCGAGCGACGGCTATATCGAGGACGAAGATTCCTCTTCCTCACGCTCTGAAGATTCTGATCCCGTATCGAGGTCTGTCTTCGGTAGGCTGGCCCAAATTCAGAGACGGCACTCTGTCTCAGAACGGGAAGAGGGAAAGAGCGACTCTTCCCTCGATTCTGCATTCTGGTCACCTCTAAAGCAAACCCAGCTCCCTGGTGAATCTCAACCAGGGAAACCTGGAAACACAATTACCAAATCCCCAGACCGGGACCCTGATTCTGCGAAATCCCGATCGTCCAGCCGCCATCGTCCTCGCGGTCGCCTGTCAGATGCAGGCCCCAGAGGAGGCCGCGCAGGCAGCCCTATGCCCAAACCTCAATCTGGCGAGAGCGACGACGGCGGTCTTGACGAGCTCGCCTCCCGCAATCTGCCCACTCTATCAGGGGCGGGCTGGCGAAGCGATGATCCAGCGTTGTATGAGCCTCGCAAGCGAGCCCATAAGCTACAATCTGGTCGATTATCCAATAGGCGTTTCAGCTCTGGTCTCGCACGGCCCTTCTTGCATGGTAGCGAACAGCTTCCGACTACGGAGGACCTTTTTGAGGGCAGGTCAGACGGTTTCACGAGCTTCTTTCGCCGAGCATCCGAACATATCCCAGGTCTTTCCCGTCGCCCAACTAGCGATCACGATCCCCTTTCCCCTTCCGGCACGAATCACTCTTCACCGGTACCGCCCATCTTGGACGATACCCCTGCTTTGGCGCGAGGTATCCAGGCAAATGAGTATAGCGATACCCGGGGTGGACTCGCGCATCGACTGGAAGAAGCCCTATCCTCGCCGTCACATTCAGACAGTCCTCATCGAGGTTCGTAGAGTCCTTATTGACATGGGACAGCATACTCGAGCTCAGCCATTGAGTGATATATAGGGTCCAGCACGAATTCACCATTGTAGCCACTGCAGATATAATTGTACATAGAGTATTGACACTAGATAGCCATCGATATATATACCTACACATTTGCTCCACCATATGAAAACACGCCAATGACTAATCATTCAGCGCACCGCATACCAGACCGCCCATGCTAGAATCAACGCTGTCCCAAGCCCTCCGCCGCCACAGGCAGCAATCCAGTGATACCAATGCCTGATACTTATCAGCTCATACTTTGTTGCGTTGGCAGAACTTACTGTTGTCTGATCTGTACGACTTCTCTCTCCCCTTCAAACCTCTGGTGTTTGTAAAAGTACTTCAACCTCTTCTCCTTCTCTCCCCACCTCTTTCTCAGCCACAGTTCAAACGCCCGACTCTCTTCTTTACTGGCTAGCCCGGTCTCCTCCGTCATCTCCCCGTCCTCCGTCAAAGATTTCGTGCTCAACGAAGGAATCTCGCAGTCGGGGTCGGTGAGGTGGGAGTTGAGGTGAAGGTGAATGTGGACGGTAGGGGGAGGGACAGATTTGAAAAATACGGAGAAGAGGCCATACCAGTCTTCGGGGTATCGACCGAAAGGGACACCGGGGTAGCCTATGGTGATGTCCAGGAGCTGGAGGTCGGGAATCTGCGGAGCAAGTGTTCGGAGACAGAATAAGAGGCCGGTTGTACGGGGGTGAAGCAATGTTTCAAAGTCGTCCTGCTGTGCTATCAGTTTGTCCACGATATAGCCAGCAAGAGATACTGACGATTCCTTCACGTTCCGCATGCTTCTTGCTCTTGGGTCGCTCGTCGTCATTGATGATTGTCCCCTCGGGAAATATCATCAACCACAAAGGCGACCTCTTGCCACTCTCGGACCGTAGTAGGCTGGCCGATTCAGAAGCATCATCCGTGGACTGCGCTTCTTTTCCCAGTTGGCGGAGGGCAAGGGTGAGATTGCTACGATCGGCGGCCCAAGAGCGATGGAGGAAGATGAATCTAAACAATTGCTAGTGGAGCGTCAGCCCGCACATCGTATCGTCCTTTGGCAGATAATTTACCATGGCCCACCCCAGAAAAGGAACGTTCTTCAGGCTCGCCTTAAGCATGATTATAAGTCCCCTTGAATGCCCAGCATATGCACAGATGATCCAGATATAGATCCAATCTAGATATGACTGATGATTAGCCATGATTACCAGCCTGTCCGGCAGATTGATCTTCTGTAGTCTCCCTTGCGAATCATTCTGTACTAGATCGTCAAGGTGAGGGGGGACGTCGGATGTGAATGTGAAGGAGGTGGGTCCGAAGAGAACCGTTATGGCGATCACTACACTCAGGCCGAGATAGTCAGACTCCGTAATATTCAGGGGCCGGGCAGACCAACTCACACAAACGCCCATATCCGTCTTTCGTCCACTCGATTCCCCTTGCAAATACCCTCTTTCCCACAAACGGTACCAGTAGCAGCGGCATAAACAAGAATTGCGCCGAGCCGATACCAATCTGTGCGAGCGTGAAGAAGATGGGGAAGAAGACTTTGGAGAAAAGAGGGCCGTGGGGTGGGCGGTCTGCTATGGGGACCGAGTACAGCTGCTTGTGGGCGTTGGACATAGCGGAAGGGGTGCCGGAGGTCGTGCAGAAAGGAGAGAAGAAGTGAAAAGGCAGACACAAAATCCGTCACTGCAGTGCAACAAAAGAACGAGCTCCGGCGGCCGTCGGTCATCAACATAATGCCGCTGCCGTCACTGGCCACTGGCCACGGAGCAGCGATGACGCCCACGGGACACTATGTCGAGTTGATGTCGAGGGCCTCTCGCTCGCTCCTGTTTCATAGCTACATACTACGCCGTTTACAGACATGCAGGTACGAGATTATAGATGCGTTTCCGTGACCGAATGGCCTCCTCCTGTCCTCCTACATCATCTCCGGGCTTCAGAAACTGGGACGCCCGTGGCCAGCTTGTCGCTTCAATGAGCAGAACGATCCTAGGGGCGACTCCACATACCTGTTGTAAAGCGCGGGCCTCTGAATCGCCCTCCGCTACCGCCACTGCCGTCACTGATATTATCGGCATTACTCTTGGACCTTGTTGCAAAGAAGGGCTGCTGTCTAGGTTCGAAAGGGACACTGGATTGTGGGCGGAAAGGTGCATGTTGTTGTGTCGACTGAGGCGTAGCTACGAAACGCCTTGAGGTGTTGACCATAGGAGAGTTCTATACAATATATCAGCAATGATTTACAATGACAGCATTAAGAGTGGAGACCTACTTGCTGGTGTCTATTGCGAGAGGATTGCAGTGTGGCCATTGGGGTGCCAGCCATATCGGCGCCGTGAGCCACTTGGGAGAAGGCTGTTTTGCGCTTGATCTTTTGATACAGTCAGTGCTGCCATTCGCAGATATATTGCCTGAGAGACACACCTTGTCGAGATCATCCCTGAGTTTTGACAGTTCTCGATCCTTACGTCGCGATTCGTTGACAGATTCCTGGGTCTTGCGTCGGCCAACTTCAAGGTCGTTCTCGAGAGCTGATTGTAAGCTTTGCCAGAGGCACAGATAGCTCACATGATATCTTCTTATGGGCCACTATGGTCGAGCCAGGTAAAACGTGACCTCACTCGTCGATGTGGTCTTGACTTACATTGCAGATCACAGAACGCTGGGGACCATCATCAGCGTAATCTTTTCGATGTGGGACCCCGCGGCTCACCGTTGTTGAGTTGCTTTTCTGAATGACTCTGTCGCTCCTGCGTGTTCTTGAGTATCAAAGCTTGGAAAGCGCTGCTAGACTAGTCAGCTCCGTGTAGCTTCCCCGACAAAGCTAATAGGCCATGCCTCTCCTGAGACAGCTGGTAAGTCCAGAAGCTTAGAGCTCTCGCCGCAATCTCCAGAACAGTGTGTGGTGGAAGTCCTGCCAGAATCGACTGTCATGAAGACTCAGCATGACGAGAGTGTTAGTCCAGATAATAGCGGTTGACGCACAGCTTTGTATTCGTTGGTTGGATTCAAAGTAGTCATCTGGATGTAAGCCCTGGGCCATCAGTCCCTCGACCTACCACAGTGCCGTCACTGTGTCGTAGTCAGCATTTATCATTCAAGGTCCTGGCTGACTTGCGACCCTTGGAGAGACTGGCTGCAAGCCGGACAGATGAGAGAAGTTGAGAACAGCGTTGTCGCGCAAGGTACTGCGGTGCCATGTTGAGCGATTCTCGGGTGCCTACCTGATTTGATACGCCACCTGGCTTACCGCAGAATATGTCTGTTTCTCCATTTCAGCAGTGATCACGTTGAGAAGAGCCAAAACTTACGAGAACAGGTGGTTACTACCGCCTGACCCTCCGTGGCCAGGAAAGCACGACACTTGAGGTTGTTGCATCGCAGCTCATTGTCGGCAGTCGACATGCTGCTGAGGCAGTAGTGGTGGACGGCTAGGTCGGGTATGAAGCTTGGAAGGAAAGGAAACTCGTCGAAAGAGGTAAAGCAGAGACAAGTCGGCGCGCACGGTTGACGTGTGTTGTGTGTAGCCGGACGCGACGCGCATATGACCGTACTGTTTTGCCGGCAGTGCTGAACACACAGCGCCAATACATCGAGCAAGCATACATGTAGCATTCTATGATAGTTTCATTCCATTCAACAAATTTCAACAGAGATTTCAACAGAGTCTTGAAATAATGTACAGCGCCAGAGACTACTTGATACGGAAGAATTGGTGCAAGACCTCTGAGAAGCGGGTGATTCCGTCATGGAACTCCTTGTGCGTAGCGACAGAGAAGGCAAGGCGATAATAACCAAATCCTTTCCCGCCGATGGCATGCTCACCACCGGCATCGAAGCCCCAGCCAGGAGCAAACAAGACCTGGAAGCCGTCAACAATGTTCACTCTCGAAGCGGATATGCTCACCAAGTTGTCGGCAAGCAACTCCCAAAGCTTTTTAGTGAGCGTCAGGGTAGCATCCTCGCCTTGCTGCGAAAGTGCATGGTAGTCGGGATGCTCCTTGAAGTGGACACCCAGGAAGATGAACATTCCAGCTATGGAGGTATCAGCGAAATTCTTTGATCATCGGCAGCGGACATGCCCGTGGGAGGGATAAAGGTCACGAGGGCACGGCCTCGCTTTCCCGTCTTTTCATCCCAGGCGTTCTGGGTTCGCTTGGAGTAGCAGGTCACAGTTCTCGAGCGCTCAGGGAACAGGGAGCTGCTTTCGTTGAACTCGAGATGGAATACTTCCTGGAAGATGTCACACAGCCAGGTCTTACGCATGTTGTACAAGGCCTTGATACCTCTCAACCAGCGGATGTAACCCTCGAAGCCCCATTGCTGAATCATAGAAGTAGTCAACGCAGTGGCAAATCCACTGGGAGCTTGGGTGCTGGCTTCGGTAGCTCGGGTGAGGCGTTCAATAAACAAAGGCGAGGAAGTGATCCAGCCCAACCGAGATCCGGGCGCAGAAGTCTTGGAGAATGTCTATATATTGTTAGCTGCGAGTCGATAACAGAGCGGCCGACTCACATCCATACGGATGACACGTCCGTCGGTGTCAAACGCCAAGAAGCTTGGTGGTAAGGCGTCGATGAATGCTTGGTTACCCTCGCTGCCCTCCTTCATCTCAGCCTCAATCCGGCGATGAGCGACAATGGATCGCTCGTGCTTGGTGTCCTTGGGTGTCCATTCACCAGTGTACTGTGAAGCATCAGCCTACCCCCTCTTGTGAGGCGTATGGAGCTCACCAAACAGTAGTACGGCTCGTCCTCACAAATGACGACATCTAATACGTATAAGTCTTGACATCACCATGTGATGGGATTCTTACCGTATTTCTGGCAAATCTTGTAGATCTCCTGCTTCCTTTCGGCCTGCATGGTAGCACCAGTGGGGTTCTGTCCAGTGGGAATGGTGTAGAGGACATGAGGCCGCCTCTTTCCACGCGTTTCCTCGTCCCAGTTGCCCAAAACGTCCTCCAAATGCCCAGGCAGAAGCCCTTCACCGTCCATCTTGACGGGAACTCTTTCCACCTCGTAAGGGACAAAAGTATTCTCGGCGCCGGGATACGTCCACTCTTCGACGAGGACAGCGTCTCCGACTTCGAGAAGCATGGCACAAATTTTGCCCCATCCGTCGGTTGCACCAACATTGATCAAGACGTCCCAATCGGCGTACGCGGGTTTGTATACTTTTGAGACATACTCTCGCAAAAACAGAGGTAGAGCAGGTGGGCCTGCAGCAGATTGATATTGGAGAGAAGTCGAAAGCTCGATTGTGAGAGGATTAGTAGCACCAGAGGCATACTTTGGGATAGTGAAGGACAAGGTCGGGGATGCGGCCTTGGAAGGGAACAGCCAAGAAAGCAACGACTTCTTCTCCTCCTTTTCCGGAGTACGAGGTGGGTTGAGGGGGAACGCATTGTACTGATAGATGGTTGCTGAGATGGTCTCAAAAGGGAAGACTTCGGGGTGAGGTATACCTATCACAAAGTCAGCAACCAACATTGATCTACCATGGGGCAACGGACCTCCGGCCATTGTAATCTGTGCGTGAGTGTATCAGCATTGGGGCCATGCGTTGTACTCCATGCTGGGGGTGCGTCGTGACTCACCATTCCTGGGACAGCCATATACTTGTAAAGCTCTTTGAGAGCGTTTGCCTCTCGGTGCTTGGCCAGCCTGTTCAAGTGGCGAGTCATGTCCTGGGCGTCTGGCAGCCCGCTCGTGGTGTGCGCATTGTCCTGTGCGGGTATGGCGAAAGAGGAGTCCATGGTGGATATTTGTGGGCGAATGCTGAAGAAAAGAGGCAGTTGAGAAATGGGGGCCATCGAGATCTCGCGAGATGGAGTGGGCTTATCAAGAACGCAGTCGGCCAGCTCCGGACATCGTCGGACAAGGCCGAATTGCATGATTCCTCTACTATATGGTGAATTATTCGCCGTCTTGACGTCCTTGCAGAAAGTCTCCTGTCAATGTGCGCCCAGTCTGTGCACTAGTAGGCGTACATGTATGATACATCTTCCCCTCGTTTCATGATATTATTATATAAATCGTTGCTACTCGAGAAACACTTGGCCCGGCTGGGCACTTCTCGGAGCCTCCATAACCCCTCTACCCCCTATTGCCCCCCCGCTTACATACGGTATCGGCATCGCTATGCTACCCAGACTACCTTGGCCAGGAACTGTCGCGTTCGCTGACCTGCTCCTCCCTATCGCGGCTTGCTTACTCGGCAACTGGAGATCACGAAGCCCGTGGTGCACTGCTGCGTACCCAGCTGAAGGCGGTACCGCAATATCCTCGTATTCGTCATGACTAGACGCAACATCTATGCTATGCTCTGACCCCAGATCTGTACGTGAGGAAAAGAAAGCAGATCTGCTCGAGGCGGAATGTGATGGAGGAATCGGGGCTGGAGTACCCTGACCAGGTCGCAAGGAGCTTACTTGGATCAGGATGGCACATTCCCTCGTCGCTTGCGTCAGCCTTCCCACTGTCTGGCGAACAGCAACCGGGAAGGAGTGAGTCCCTGAAATCGCCTTGACCAGTTCCGAGACCTTCACCACAATTTTGATGAATGCTTGCGCATCATCAGGGAGAGTGGTAGTCGGCAAAGATGATGGATTGGCACGAAGTCGCATCAGAGACTCTCGTAACGTCGCAGTAGTCTGCTCAGCCACCGAGAGGAGATGAATCAGTTCCGTATGTTGCTTGGGCGTTATGTTAGAAGGGCGTTTGGACGTGTGCCCAAAGCCCATATCTATATTACGACTCGACGCGTTACTAGACTGGCTTTGATGATGTATGCCATGGTTGGGTAGCGAGGGAGAGGCACCGATGTCTTCAGAGAGCCTCAGCCACGAGGTGAAAGCTACCTCAGTGGCCGTTTCGATGACGTCCAACAGGTCCTCATCGAAGAGTGTCGCGGATGCCGGCGTAGGTGGGCGAACATCCACGGAAAGCTTTCGCGGATATGCAAAACCGGATGCCAGCGACATAGCATGACTTGAGCCAGACGATGACGAGGGATGGTGGCCTCGTTTCTCAAAGGCGAATGGCGGGTGAGGGTGATCCATATGAGCCATCGCATGATTGGATGCACCATACTCGCTGGTTTCCTCGTCTTCAGGGGACGGGAGGGTGATAGTGCCCGATTCGGCCCTTGCGTGATAATATTCATCCTCCTTGGAATCATGGTTTGCCTCTGGCAATGGAGACCCCATCATCATGCCCCTCTCAACGTCTTGTCCGCTATATGACCCGGCATGCCTTCTTTCCTTGCTCAGAGGGTGCCCTTGGCCCCTTCTCCTCCCCTGATGACCCAAGGGAGTTTCCGAACTCTCGTCATGCCCCGTAGCAAGGACTTCGCTGCGGATCGACTGTGGCGAATGCGATTCTTGGCGCTCAATGATGGGTGAGATTGCTCGACCAGTGAATGAACCGGTCGCCGCCATCGGTTGCCCACCAGAAGAATCAGTGTTGAAAGGGATTCGAGATCCGGTGGCGTCGACAAAAAGCAACACTTTTGCCTCTGGCATCAAACCGGCCATGACCTTCCAAGAGCTTGCCATCTCCGCTGTAGCTCCATACACATTAACCATCAACGTTCGCGTGTATCGTATATCATTGCCACGCATGGCAGGAACTTGCATTTTCAGAACCGCCGCGACTTTGCCGAAGACAGACACGCTCTCTTTGGCGGCATCAAGGACATTTCGGATGGCGGCCGTTGGAGGTGTACCACGACGAGACATGGCATCAAAACGATCCAGCGCATTGATGAGCCTGTTCATGTAAACCCCAGCAGGCTCCATGACTCTTTTGAAAGTACCTGCCACCCGCTCATTGACCGCAAAGTTGATATACTGCCTCAAAGAAGAGTGCAATTGGGATATGGCAAACAGTATACCCCGAGTAGCGTCGATGAAACGTAGAAGGAACACGGGGATCGCCTTGGAGATTGTTGACGTTGGTAATGTTGACAAGCGACGGAAGTAGGAGTTCCGCGATTCGTCTATGACCCTGTCTTGAGATGACCGTTTCTCCGAGAGTGAAGTCAAATCGTCGACGTCAGGAGCCAGATCGGGGGACGGAGAAGTGTCTCCTTCGACGGCAACTGATGTAGAAGAACGGTAGGGATGCGAAGGCATGGACGCCATGATGGACCCTGTTCCTGTTGCCATCTCACCTCCCATATCGCCTCGCCTTTCTTCAATGATTCTAGCGTGGCTCAAGCGCAAATCAGGTAGTGATTTCTTCGCAGTTAGATTGCTGATGCTTGACTGCCCAGGGGAATAGCTTCCGCCCCGCGTATGGCTTTGAGCTGATAAGAATGAATTCTGAGCAAAGGTGACTGAAGGCGAACGGGCATGCGAACGGAAAGACGCATCTGTTGACGATGATGGTGGAGATATGTACGAAGCAGTGGATTCGTTTCGCGCGTGTGAATTGACATTTGGTAAAGTTGACCGGATATTGTTTGCCGTGGAGTCATGGGTATCTGAACGCTGATCCTGTTGCCAGGGACGAGGAGCTGGCTGAGCTGGCCCCAACGGCATTTCCGAGGCAGAAGATACTATTGCAGGCTGCGAGCTCTCTTCTGCTTGTTGGTATCTGCAAATCGTCAGAACCAGACTGAGTGTACATAATCGATCGCCGCTTACCCAAGCGAACCTTTCGGCTGACCGCTCTCCTGAGGTTCATTATTCTGCCTCATCCACAATTTGACACTCTCGATCCACGGTCTCAAATCCTCCTCCTTTCCTCGCTTCCTGTCATGCGAGCTTCCTTTGGATCTACCAGCCGAGATGGATTCGCACAAGGGACCCAGTATACTTCGAGGCTATACAGCGTCAGCTTGGTACGGCGAAAAGAGCATTTTCTCTGCTTACGGGCCACTCTATAGGGTTTTGATCAATCTTGAACACTTTCAGAGCCCCGAACTTGACAAAGTTCTCGGGCAGACGGACGATTTCATTATTGGTGAGGGAGAGAACCTTCAGTCGGACAAGGTGTCCAGAATCGTCAGGGAAGGATACAAGTTTATTCTTGGAGAAATCCAGGATTTCCAAGGCCGGTATTTGTGTGATCTAGGGTACGTCAGAAATGGACAACGCAAAAGAAGAACGGCGTACCGCAACAGGAAACTTCGTGAAATGATTCCCTTTCAGATTCAAGTATCGTAATCTGCTCAGCTTGCCGAAAGAGTCCACAATGGAATTGTCTCGTAAAAGATTGTAGGACAGTGCCAATCTGCAAACAATGTCAGACCCGCGGCGTGCAATACAAGGATATCTGCATACCTCCAGACACCTTTCTGATTCTTCCCGACTCTGCAGTTGAACATGTCTACAGCTCTGTCACCGATCCTATCAATCGCTCGCCGGCTGAGATCAAGGGTGTCGCCCTCGTCCTCTGACCTCTGTAGCGCCTCCTCCACCAGCTTAAGGGTCTGCTGGTCCCTTTGCGAGAGCTCGTCCAGCGAGGCATTGGATATAGACGGCGTTATCCGTGACTCTGACTCGACAGAAGGCGCTGCGCCAGCTCCTGGTCGATTTGTAGATTTTGGTGGAGGCGGCGGCGGGGACGGTGATGATAGATCGCGAAGACCTCGCACAGCCAGTTCGACATCGTTTCTGGAATTGAAGGCAACACCTTCACCAGCCAGTTCTCCCTTGACTACAGGTTCAATAGGACTGTGAGCGTTGTGGTATTCGCGCGAAGAGGAGCTATCCAGAATCAAGTCCCCATACTGGGAAGGGGCTTTGGACAGAAAGTCTGTATCGACTCGAAGTCCTGATCTCATGTCCGTTTCGTCTTTGTTGTAGGCATCTTCAGAGAGGTGACTTGATGAATTTGAGGGTGGAAGGGTGGACCCGTTTCGGGAAGTACCGTTCACACCGCTGTTGTCGTTTGAAAGGCCATTATGGAGTGTTGGTGTGGAGCTAAACATGATATTGTACCTTGATCAGATGTTGAGCGATTGAGCCAGTCATTCGCAGATTTGCGCCAGAGGCTGAACAGAAGGATGTCGGTATCTGGGGCTGTGATACAATATACCTGCTTAAATATCAGTTCAGCGGTCGCTCCGACAGAAGATAAGCTCTTACTCGTCTGTAAAGTTACGAGCCATGTGACCATGCTCATCTAGGTGAAACTCTTGCCCCAGATAGTCAACTTTGACGGCCTGCTGATGTCTCGATGATGCGCTATTGCGCACTGCACCTCGAGCAAGCCGCGGCGATTTGTGTCCGGGGAGTCCAATGGAGCCCTCGGAGAATAGTATGGCGAGGCAAACTCTGATCTAGAATTCGCGGGAGTGAGATATACAGTGAAAGAACAGGCTAGGTTGTGAAATATATCCTGGTCAGACAATGACGGACGACTTCTTTGTCGTCGCGAGCGGCAGCAGCGCAAGCGCGGTTACGTAATATACCCCAAATTGCTGGGTATTGCTGGGTGGTGGTGCAGGCACCGGCAGTGGTGGGGGCATGGGCGTACACACGCGTACCATGCATGCAGTGGTATGATGCTGCTACACTGCTGCTGAGCTTTATTCATTTACAGTGTACAAAAACAGTCTTCAAGTGTCTAATTTTCTCTTCCAGACGACGCTTCCATCGCTGCTGTAGCCGACTTTTCCTGGCTATGATGCTCACTAACGCGAGCAGTTTTGTGCTATCACAATCGGGGCAATCGGAGAACAGTGATTGACGTGGTGCGTGCTCATACATATCATGGAATCTAGTGTTTGTGGTTACAGATGCATCCGACCAATTGCAGTTGCGCTGAATGACTTGTGCAATATCGCTGTACTCAATCACTGAATGGCCGGACTGCAGCGGGTGCCCTGTAGCCACGTATGAGAATCACACCCCGTTGCGTTGCAAGCTAGTATGTCCTAGACATATCGGATACTGACAGTCTTCTTGAGATCATCGTGTGTGTTTATGCAAGTGTCCTTTCCACCATCATGGTGCAACTTTCACTCTGAGGAGTCCGCTGCTGACGCTTCTTTGGCAAGCTGCTCGGGTCTAAGCAAAAAATCAGCATATGCGATCTGATCATGGAGATGCTACATACGACTTCCACACATCTTTGGTGGCATGCATGAGCTCATAGAGCTGCCCGACTTGCTCTTTACTGAGTCTTTCGAAAGCGTCTGCATCCAATTTCTTGCCCCTCCATTGAACAGTTTCTCCCTTTTTTCGACCATCGGGAGTTATGACAGAAGACTCCACTTCGTCTAGATACAACTTCCATTGCGAAAGAAAGCCAATGATGTGCAAGGGATTGTCGGTCGACCGAGTGAGACGGAACTCGGATTTGACGTAGGAATCGCCCATGTAACGCATCTCGGCAGGGAGCAAGCGATGAGTACGGAGGATTCGTCGGTAGAGTGGAATTGGGGGTATGAGTTGAATTGAGGCCTGGGAAACAGACAGCGGCAAAGGCTTAGACGCGCTGGCCAGCAGGGATAGGGACGGCCTCATGGTAGCAGGGAGATCGTGAACAGAGGGATATTATCAAATGGGGGTAAGGGCAGTTGATGTCGATAGGGCGTTGAGGTGTCGTAGGTCGTAGGGCAAGCAGCGCGAGGTTTCGAGCGAATGTTGAATTTTTGACGATTGTTCTGTGGTGTCAACCCCGCCTGTGTCAGCTCCGGGGCGGGGCATGCCGCCGAGATAGCGTGATAAGTGCAGCGTCTGCTACGTACTGGTTGGGATAATCTATTCCTACATCTCTCTTATTTTCTCTTTCGCTTGCCTGCCGTACCCCTCCCATTTCCAAAACTAAAATGGCAAGTTCCCCCTCCCTGCAACCCTTCGGTGTGACCGGGCGTCTCCTCATCAACAACGAGTCGTTTTCCACGAGGAAGTGGTTTCCCTCTGCTTTTTCCACGAGGAAGTGGTTTCCCTCTGCTGCCGGAGGGCCGCTGTTTTGTTCGACCGGTCATGTCCAGCATGCTGTCGGCCAAACGGGACGCCTGTTTTGGGATGCCCAATGAGCTGACCCTCATAGCAGCTTCCAGCCCTCGGAAGGTCTACCAGATTATCAAGGACGGCATTCCGACCTAACCAGTCTGTCCTCTACGCCATGGCTACTCGATCTTTCGCGTCCACACCTGCGGGCATCGAGAGGATCAAGGTCAAGAACCCGGTCGTCGAAATTGACGGTGATGAAATGACCAGGATCATTTGGAAGAAGATCAGGGAAGAAGTAAGTGCTAGAGACATAGCAGCAACTGGAAGGTAGTACTGATGCGATGATAGCTCATTCTCCCTTACGTTGATGTCAAGCTCCATTACTTTGATCTCGGAATGGAGAGCCGAGATGCTGTACGTGCAGAAATGTGACTCGGAAGCGCGATCCCGAAGTTGACGCTTGCAACAGACCAACGATCAAATTACTATCGACTCTGCTGAAGCGATCAAAAAGTACTCTGTCGGTGTCAAGTGTGCCACCATCACCCCCGACGAGGCTCGAGTCAAGGAGTTCAAGCTGAAGGAGATGTGGCGAAGCCCCAACGGAACTGTCAGTTCTTCTCATTGAGTTCGCACATGTGATCTGACCTTTTGCAGATCCGAAACATCCTCGGAGGAACTGTCTTCCGTGAACCCATCATCCTCGACAAAATCCCCAAGCCCGTTCCCGGATGGACCAAACCCATTGTCATTGGCCGACACGCCTTCGGTGACCAGTATCGCTCTACAGACTTCTTGGCTCCCGGCCCCGGCAAGCTTACCCTCACCTACACCCCTGCCGACGGCGGAGCCCCTACCGAAATGAACGTATATGACTTCAAGGGGAGAGGCGTGGCCATGGCCATGTACAACACCGAGGAGAGTATCTTTGGTTTTGCCCACGCGAGTTTCAAGATGGCACTGGGCAAGAAGATGCCCTTGTTCATGTCTACTAAGAAGTGCGTACATGTCCGAGAAGTGCACATCTGCTGATGCTTCACAGCACTATATTGAAGAAGTATGATGGCCGTTTCAAGGACATCTTCCAGGAGGTCTACGAGTCGTGAGTAACGGAGCTCTGTGGAACCAAAAACATCGATGCTGATTACGGGTCCAGCACATACGCGGGCGAGTTTGAAAAGCTCGGTATTTACTACGAGCACCGATTGATCGACGACATGGTTGCTCAGGCTGTCAAGTCTTCAGGAGGTTTCGTCTGGGCGTGCAAGAACTACGACGGTGATGTCATGGTGAGTTGCTTTTTCGGTGATCATCGTAACCAGCCTAACAATCACCAGAGCGATATTCTCGCCCAAGGTTTCGGGTCCCTCGGTATGATGACTTCCGAGCTCATCACCCCCGACGGCAAGACCATGGAGGCTGAGGCCGCCCATGGCACCGTCACTCGTCACTATAGGCAATACCAAGCTGGTCAAGAGACCTCTACCAACCCGGTTGCGTCCATCTTTGCCTGGACTCGTGGTTTGGCTTTCCGTGCCAAGTTGGACGAAACACCCGAGCTGGCCGTTTTCGCCAAGGCTCTAGAAGAGGCCTGTGTCGAGGTCATCGACAAGGACAGTATCATGACTAAGGATTTGGCTTTGGCGATGAAGGGCAAGGACATGACCAGGGACGACTGGGTGACAACCGATGTCTACATGGCGAAGGTGAACGAAAAGCTGATCGCGAAGCTCAAGGCGAGCAAGGCCTAAGGAAGATATCCGGTGGGCGGAGAAACGAAAGCGCAATGAAAGAAGACGAAAAGTGAGCCTGTATGCGGTCCACCAGGAACAGTACAACTCGTCAAGTAGACGACGCAGGGCATCTATATGCATAAGATCATGATTGCCAATCATCGTCAACTTTCCAGAGCTGTGCACGCAGGGCAACAACAAAGGAGGAAGTAAAGCGGCATACGCCGCGTGTTGGATGTTGAGTGATGGTACCTGGTTTGTTTCGGGAACAACGACCAAAGGGATTCTTTCATCGATCAAAACAGATTATTGCCAAAAAAGATATTGTTCTCGGTTGGCTGAGCATGCCACTCCCCCGCTTTCCAGGAGGATCAACGCCATTTCTTATTGTCTCTGCCGTTTCATCGCGAAACTTGTTGTCTCTCAGCACCGCGGCCAAGTTCATTGTCCTGGGATACAATTGTACGTATATTTACCATAAGGACACGAACTGATCTTCTCCAATTTTGCACGCTTCCCTTTGCTCACGCCTCGCTTATCCTCGAACACTTCCCCCACTTTCCCTCTCAACACCTATACCAACACCTACGCAATCTGCAGGGAGGGCTCAGCGTTCGACGTCTTCCTTCATCAGCACCGAATTCCTGCGCAGCCTCTTGGGAGTTTCCAATACAAGCCAAAGATCGACTTGCTACCCGCCACAATGCCCTATGGCTACCAGCTACCTTACGGGGCACATGTCATCGTGCTTTTCCTTTTGCTCCTTACCTCTTTGGTTCTCATGTGAGTCTAATGTATTGTTGACTGCTGAAGCTCATTCCCTGCTCAGTATCCTTTGCACCTTTTCTTCCCCATTCATCTCTGGCATCAGCTGGCTCCGAAATCCCTCTTCGGCAGGAGACACTACATTCGGCTCTTTTGGCTGGTGCTCGCCCGACTATTGCCTGCCCAATAAAGTGGCCTATGAATACGGACAGCAAGTGAACAGGGCGTTGACTGGAGGCATGATGCTTTGGCCCATCGGTGAGCTGCAAGCACGTTTCGTTTGAACCTCTGCTTACAACTTTACAGCCATCATCTTCACCTTTCTCACATGGCTTGCTGTGATCCCTCTCCTCTTCGTTCACGAAAATAGGGCACTTCGAACCGTTGGTAACAGGACCTTCTTTGTGATCATGATGGTGAGTTCCCAATCCCATCATGCCCGCTGAGCCGTTCTGACATACGTGTAAATACAGTCAACCGCCACGCTCGTGACAATCGTCGCATGGCTGTTTTCTATCTATGGATGGAGCATCGCTCATCGTGCTTTTGAGGTCGCTGGCACTGAGACCCACACGGGATCTGCCGTGAGTCTTTGAGAGGTGCTCGCCCACTCGCCAGCTAAAAAGTGTCCAACAGATGTGGTTGGGTCTTACCGCTGCGCTTTGCATGTTGATGTGAGCTGTTGAACCTTCTAATGATTACCATAAAGCTGACCTTTGGAAGTGTGTTCGTCCTCGGATGGCCAGCAGAGGCTTGGGACGGTACTTCTACTCGCGCAAACGGCGGCGCTGGCGCTCGAGGATTGCCAGGCCCTCCTGGCGCACCTGGCGTGCCTGCCAACGGCTACTACCACTATAAGAAGACAACCAGGGAAATAGTTCCCAGGTACTGAGCAGCTATTGCATGGCTGCGAGAGAAGGGATACTCTGTAGTGTGATGGAAATTCTGCAGATTGTGATAGGCTCGTGCATGCATTTGTGATGAACGACACGCGTATCGGTGATGGCCGTCGGCATGTGTAGTCTCCTCCAGATACGTCACCGCGGGACCCAATGTGCGACAACGTCCCCCCCTGGCAGATCGGGCAGGAAAATAAATCTCCATCTTTCATCCATTTTTCATCTTCGCATTCTTACAGCACCGACATGTCCAACACCACAGACGCTGCCAAGGGCCTCGTTGGCAACCCCTTGACCCCCAACTTCACTCCCAAAGACTATGGCATCTTCTTCACCGCTGGAGCCCTCTGCTGCACGTTGTAAGTCGACGCTCTGACAGATCGAGATGTACCTATACCATGTACTGATATACTGCCTACGTAGATCGCACGGTGGAATGACTCGTATGCTTGAATGACGTCGCTCGCGAACCCAGACTGATCTTTGTCCAGCTATTGATGTGGTCAAGACTCGTATCCAAATCGACCCGGCCCTCAAGGGCTTCTCACTACTGAAGGGAGGAAGGCAGATCGTAGCCGCAGAAGGTGCCAAGGGTCTATTAACAGGATTCTCTGCTACTGCCGTTGGCTACCTGTGAGTTTATCGGCATCATGGATCGCTCTGCAGCTGACATCCATCACAGATTCCAGGGTGGAGCCAAGTTCGCAGGCTACGAAGCAGCCGTGAGTGACCCTTTCTCTTTCTGTACAGAGACAGCATCATCTAATTATCGTCTCCTCTGCCTTTGCAGAAAAAGTACCTGGTCGAGCTTTCGGGAAGTCAGGAGGCAGCCGTCAAGAACCGGACCGCCATCTATCTGGGGGGTGCGGCAATTGCAGAGTGAGTATCGACTTTGCAGGGGCACTGGGCACGGCTAATGATTCGGCAGATTCTTTGCTGACATTCTCTTGACACCCTTGGAGGCTACACGTATCCGTCTCGTCTCCGACCCTAAGGTAATGGATCACAATGAGTTCTTCACCAGATGCTGACCTTCTACAGTATGCATCGGGTCTTGTGAGCGGTCTCACAAAGATTGCCTCCACCGAAGGATTTGCCAGTCTCTACGCTGGATTCATCCCCATCTTGGCCAAGCAGGTCCCCTACGCCATTGGTCAATTCACTGTCAACGAACGCTGCACGGAATTCATCTACAACCGCATGTCTCCTGAAGACAAGGAGAAGTTATCTGCCACCTCCAAATTCGGTATCACCCTCGGGTCTGGTATCGTCGCTGGTTTCGCGGCTGCCGTTCTTTCTCACGTGAGCTTACTGTGGTGATTCTATGGACGTGGCTGATGCCCCGATAGCCCGCCGATACTCTTCTGTCCCAGATCAACAAGGGTCATGGCCCCAAGGGTTCCATGATCTATCGCCTCGGCGCCCTCGGTAAACAGGCTGGATTCAGTGGCTTGTTTGCTGGCCTCGGGCCCAGAATGAGTGGGTATACCTCGAGTAGAGTACTAAGGCAGTTGAGCTGACCAAACGGTGTAGTCATGACTGCGGGTCTCGTTGCCTCCCAATTTATCAGTGAGCATCCTTTTCCATCTTGGGGGACTTTTGATGTTGACTTTTACTCCAGTGTATGGTTGGATCAAGTCTGCCCTTGGCGCCAGACCTGGCATCGAGATCCACAAGGAGGAATCTGCCAAGTAATCTGCCAACGCTCAAGTTGGTTGCCCGACATTAGAAGAACAAGAACCGCGATCGAGATCTGTAGAGCTAGGGACCATTTGTATCTGAGAATAAAGATGAATAGATTGACAAAGAGGCCTGGCAAGAGCGAACACAAAGTTGACACATAGACATGAGTAGAGTTCCAAGACGCAAGTCACATAAAGGTCGCTACCGAAGGATCGCGTCTACTTGACATTGCAAGCTCTCATTGCCCTAAAAACCTTTCGGGGAATGCATTGCCAGCTTGTCACCTCCCTGTTTGTGTGGCGGCTGCAGAGAGGTTGTCAAAGATATGTAGACCCTAGGATCCTTCATTATTACGCGCAGAATTACGCGTTCATTTCCATTAACAAATTGATATCGACGCGCTCGCGTCCGTCGCCGCCGTCATCTTTCCACGTCTGTTCTGCATTTGTCTCCATTCTGCCCTTCAGGTTCTCACACCTCCACAGCATTCATCTTGTCAATCACCCAAACCTCAACCGCCCGACTTCTTGAACAATCCGTGATTCACTCCCTCGCCCAGCCCATTCTCACCTCAAACCCACCCTCAATTACACGCCCAATGGCTCGCCTCGGTCCCGAACGTGCGTATTCTACCTATTTCCCCAGGACTATGCCTTTGCTCCAGTATCATCGCTAAACCTAACATCTGTGTATATAGCCCGAATCAACAGCAGGTATCTCAATGACCACATCGGCGAGACGGTCCGTCTGGCTGCCAAGGTGACCGGTGTCTCTGGAGACACTGCTACCGTTCAGACAAGCGACGGAGGCACTGTGAGTGGTGCCATATCCAGCGTTACAAACATGCAAACTGACTAAAGCGCTTCAGGTTGGCATTCATATTCCCAGAGTACGCCAGACAGACGCCACCGCCATTTCCAGATGACTGATCCATCTGCAGGACATGCACATCCAGGACGAATACGTAGAGATTATCGGTACCGTGAAGGAAGATTTAACAGTCAAGGCACACACTCATATCGGACTGGGAAAGTCTCTCGGTACGTCTCAGCGGGATTGTCTTTTTCTGGTCGGCTGATTCATGTTGGTTCTTTGCAGATATGAAGGCAGTCAACAGTGTAGTAGAATTCTCACACAGTGATATCGGGTCGGGTGTACTTCACTAGACTGCTAGAGATTGATATAGCGCTGCATGTAATTATATGATGATATGTGTGATAGCGCTGAGATTGCCTGCAAACAGGCCTGAAATGTGCAGCATGGGCAGATAGCAAAAAACATACAAATTGGGACATGCATTACTGAAAGTATATGACCCTGAACCAGAAGAGAATCCCAACTTGCCCCTCTCTGCCACCGTTACTAAGACCCCTTTTAAGCAGCGTTACGCAGGACTGTACGAGGCATTAGCAAAAGCATGCGATTAGATAAACGCGAGCGTTACCAAGGATAACAGAGTCGCCCCTCAAAAACATTTTCCTGCTAAAAGTAAGAACGGACAATCACCAGAGCAAGATGACGCACGAGATGAAACGGTCCTTGTTGACAGGCTTCTTGCCCTTGCCTTTCGGTGTTTCCGTCCACATCTAACGCGCAAACATTAGCTGCGTCTTACGACTCAGGACTCCATGACCAACCTCCTTGACGTTCTCCAACACCATGTTGCAATGCCTATCGAATGCCTTCACCCTCGCCAACAGCTTCTTGTTGTTCCGCAGAGAGATCAAAACCTGGGACGAGTTTCGGACAGATTGCTGGAGGACGGAGAGGGGACCCTGGGAGATTTCATATTCTTCCAATTCTCTTATTTGTCCTTCGTCGAGTTCGGACTTGGGGACGTGAGCGTATTGACTGGAAAGTGTCAGCTGAAGCATCCTCCTGCGCGTTATCTCGAAGGGGAGCCGCTTACCTCATTTTCGACAGAGGCTGGGGTCAGAAAGATGGGGTGAGAGGTGGGATGCCGAAGCGAGGGGTCGTACAGTACAAGGCAGAGTAGAATACTCGAAAGCTGGCTTGAATTCGAATCGTCAAGGTTCATGCGCGCTCTGCCGCCGCTCGCCTTTGCCACGTAGGCACGCGGCAAATATTATTCTTGTCGCCATTTATCGCATCTTTCTCCCGGTATCATTCAACGTGCAACTGAAAGACAGAAGACTGCCTAGACTGCAAGTCTGATGCAATATAGCATAGGATGTGTATAAGAATGAATTCACTCCAGGGAGAAGTGTGTCGAGATTTCGTGTATCAAAGATCGTGTACTGCCCCAGCTTCTTGCCTCGTGAAAAAACGTCGTTCGAATTGAGTCATCATGTAATCATTCAAAAGGATTCGTCCGCCCCTTCTGCCCATCGTTACTTTCCGACACATCGTGCCCTCCGTCCAAGTCATCTCCCCAGGCGCACAGCGCATGCCACCACCTGTCTGGTCCTCGCCGCGGCGCCTCTTCCTCTACTGGTTGCCCTCTCGCGGCCTGGCCCCCTCGCCAGGTCGGCCCACCATAGGCAAAGCCCGTCTCTTCCGTGGGCGAGACGGCCGGCGATGAAGTCAACGACCTCGCGCCAGCCCGGGGCGATTCCGTAGAGACGCCGGTGACGAGAGAGGGACGACGTTCGTTCCCTGCCAGCGTCGGCGGAGGGGGAAAGGGGTCGGCAAAGGGTGACCGGGTAGTGGGGCTGATTGGGGAGGCGATAGGTCTGGGAACGGGAGACAGTGGTGGTTGAGAGTCGTACGGGTTTGGGTAGGCGGCGTTTGACGATTGAGGCCTGGTCATTGGCAGCTGACAGTCGTTCAGAATGTATGTCATTACAAAATGGCTGTGGTTACCTACCTCGCCGACAGGCTCCTCCCGCCTTCCCAATATCCCGTCTATGGAACCCATCACGCTACTACGCTTCGCACTGGTCAAGATGGAGAGCGACCGGCGGAGTGAAAATGATCCAGACGATCTAGGCGAGGTCGTAGGCGGAGGAGAAGCCGCTAGCATTTTTGAATTGCGTGCAGCTAGCCGTCTGGCGGCATCTTTTGCGGCAAGCCGGGATAAATGCTGCATGCTACCGCGTCAGCATTGTGACACCCTAGACTGGAACCGGACTGACTTGTTGGATTTGGCGTTCCTCTTCTTCGGCCTCTGATATGGGAGGGTAGCTCTGGACGCCGTTTACAGGTGGGTCCTCGAGGGGTACATGTTGCTGTTCCACGTCCCAGGCCCTTTCTTTTCCTTTGTAGGAATGCCTTTGCACGTCCCCAATATCGACCCCTTCGTCATAGACTGCCCTCTCTTTGCCCTTCCTGCTGCCTCCCGGGGAGAGTGTTTCCTCTGAATCATTTCGCAGAGCCATGCCTGCGCGTGGCAGGTCTCCCGAGACGGTCGAGGTCGATGCTATGCTGGAGGCGCGCTGGTTGTAGAACACTGCGCCGTTGCGGGCGACCGGGGATGCGCGGGCATTGTTAGACTCGCCTGGGAGGGGAGAGTACGACTTGGGATGGTTGCTGGGGAGGGAGGGGGGCATTGCTGGTGTTGCTGGCGTCGTCGTCGTCGTCGGCGTCGTTGTTGGCGTCGGCGGTGGACCCGCTCTCTCTCTCATAGAGATGCTACCCGCCGCAAGGGATAACACGCCGGACATCGCCGCCGTGACGTGGCATTCCCGCGCTTGCGTTGGCGCGTCACTCTCCTCTTTCATCTGCTGCATCCCAAGACGCCTCAGCTATACCCACCATGGCCAACATCCACACCGTCGACATCCAGCACCTCAAGAATGGCGAAGTCAACCTCGGTGTACGCATCCCCTCTGCTTCTCAGCTCGCGCTCACCCTCTCCAGACTTCCATCATGGCTGTCAAGTTTGACGGCGGTGTAGTCATCGGCGCAGACAGTAGAACAACCACCGGATCCTACATTGCATGTCTAGTCTCCGGGAAGATGGGGTACTGCTGACACGTCCTCAGGCCAACCGGGTCACCGACAAGCTCACACACATCCACGACCGCATCTACTGCTGCCGCTCTGGCTCTGCCGCCGACACTCAGGCTATTGCCGATGCCGTCCACCAGCACGCCCAGGTCTACACCTCGGTCTACGGCCAAGCGCCCTCCGTCGAGACGGTCGCGACTCTGTTTGAAAAGTTGTGCTATGACAACAAAGACCAGCTCTCTGCTGGTATCATTGTTGCCGGATGGGACAAGGAGAATGGGGGTTCGGTGCTGAATATTCCCCTGGGAGGTGGTCTGTTTGAGCAGCCTTGGGCTATTGGAGGTGTGTGCGGTCGCTTGGAAAAGGGGGCAAAGCTGACGTGGGCCAGGTTCTGGATCAACATATGTCTATGGTTACTGCGACGCCACATACCGGGAAGGCTGGTCAGAGGAAGAGACCATCACCTTTGTCAAGAACAGTACGTGACATTGCTTTCGTATACATGCCATGGCTGACACTGCGTAGCTCTCGCCCTCGCCATGTCCAGAGACGGATCCTCTGGTGGCTGTATTCGTATGTGCGTGATCACCGAGGACAAGGTGGAGAGACACTTTATCCCTGGAAACGAGCTGCCGAGGTTCTGGGAGGGGGCGGCGCTTGTTGGGACTGCGAATGTGGGGAGCACGGCGGTGGCTGCATAGACTGCGAGACATTGTACACATATGAATTGATATGACCCAACATGAAGCTGTGGCTCGGTCGGCGGACGCCGCCAGTCTTATCTCGGTATCGTCATGACTCGACTTCAACTCGATGGACCGTTCTTGACTCGCCAAAAGGTGCTTTAACTACAACTCCCCGCTGCTCACGATGCCCATCCTCGGCCTCAAGGCTCCTGGCCCCTCTGCTCCCGCCCACTTTGACCTCGAACCCCTCATCCGCCCCAACATCCTCGCCCTCCAGCCCTACCGCTGCGCCAGAGACGACTATTCTGCAGGTGTCCTCTTGGACGCCAACGAGAACGCCATTGGCCCCTCCCTCCCCAGGCTCTCCTCCACCCTGGCCTCCGACGATGCCTCCAAAGTCGCAACCGAGACCCTGTCTCTCCTCTCGGAAGCAGAGATTGCCAACCTGAACAGATATCCTTCCCCGACTCACGACGACCTCAAGCGTGAAATTGCCAAGCTGCGTGGTGTCCCCGACGAGAACTGGGTCTTCCTCGGTGTCGGCAGCGATGAAGTCATCGACATGCTGTACCGGGTGCTCTGCGTACCCGGCAAGGACAGGGTCATGACTTGTCCCCCGACCTACGGCATGTACAAGGTGACGGCAAATGTGAATGATGTCGGGGTCCTGGAGGTGCCTCTGATCACTGAGGATGGATCTTTCCAGCTGGACGAGCCTGCTGTGAGTGATTCTTCTTTTTACGTGACGCACTGCTGACACTCTTCCAGCTGGATGCAGCATTCGAGTCCAACCCCGATGTCAAGATGCTCTTTGTCTGCTCCCCCGGTAACCCCACCGGCACTCTCATCCCCCTCCCCGCCATTCAAAAGATCCTCGAGAATCCCAAATTCAAGGGCGTCGTTGTCGTCGACGAGGCCTATATCGACTTTTCTCCCCAGGGAAGCAGTGCGGCGAGCTTGGTGAACGAGTATGCCAATGTCTGTGTCACGCAGACTTTGAGTAAGAGTTTCGGTCTGGCTGCTATCCGGTAAGCGTCTTTTCAATCTTGTATGGTCATATGCTGAGACGATGTCAGACTCGGCTACCTCCTCGCGCCCCCTCCCCTCATTCAGATCCTCACCAACACCAAAGCCCCATACAATGTCTCTGTTCCTACCGCTTCGATCGCCCTCAAAGCCGTCAGCACCGAGGGCGCCGCTGCCATGAGCTGCGCCGTCGCGACGCTCAACGACAACAGGCAATCACTCATCGACGCACTGTCCTCCACCAAGGGCATTGGGCGTATCTTGGGCGGCAACCACGCCAACTTTGTGCTGGCCGAGATTCTCGGCGAGAACGGCAAGCCCAGCAACCAGAAGGCGCTGGAAGTGTACAAGACAATGGCGGAGAGTAAAGGCGTTGTTGTGAGATTCAGGGGGACGGAGAAGGGGTGCGAAGGGTGCTTGAGAATTACAGTCGGGACAGCGAAGGAGTGCGAGGAGGCTGTCCAGTCGATAGCTTCGTTGCTGTGAAGGTGACGATAACTATATGCATGCTATGATATATACGCTATGCCCGATGGCTACCCAGTGAGATGCGACGGTCGCTGGGATGGATGGCAAGAACAATAGGATTGCTGTGGACAGGGCCGAAACCCTGAGGCAGGTGTTGTTCCTTGACGATCACTCCCGTAAACACCGGCCACCGTTTCTTCTTCTTCTCTGCTCGTTCCCCAGACAGAATATTCCACACCCTGTAATACCACGCCCACGCATACCCACCCATATATCTCGGCATCACAGCGAGTACATACAGTGAGTCCACGGGCCGACTCGCATACCTGCACCGACCGCCTTCTGTACGCCAACGGACATCCGTCCACATATAGTCTATCCCCCCTGCCCCCTGGCCAGGCGGGAATTCCCGCAAAGGGCATCCCTTGCCGCCGTCTCACACATCCCCTTGCGCTCGAGCCCCGTTTGGATCACTGTCTGCGGCCTCGCCGTTGTGCTCGCTTTCGAGGCGGTCAGTGCACAAAGTAGAGTGTCCCCCACCCTCCTAGAATATCCGCATTTCTCTTCTCCATCCCGTCGCCACCATCCATTAGAAGAACGCGTTGCTCACACCCTTCCCAGCCCTTGACGACTCAATACCCATACCACCCCGGTATCAACAACAACCCCTTGCGAAACCACCCGCATCCACATTGCTCGATACACTATTCCTATCGGCGACCGTCTCACATTGTACCGCTCCATCGCATCCCATCCACATTCTCAAGGTCCTGTAGACGGAGCAAGAGTGCGTCAGAATGGGTGCCGCATGTTGCAAACCAGAGGTGTGTATCCCGGATTCCACCACGAGTTTCTCTTCGTCCCGGTATCCGTTCACTGACGTATGCATCAGGCTATCGACTTTGAAGGAGAAGTCAACCTCTTTCATTTCTATCTGTTGAGAAGTGTGGGCAAGGGCGCTTTCGGTAAAGTAGGTTTGGCTCTGCATGTCGCGCGACCATGGTAGCTGATGAAACCCTTATCAAGGTGCGAGTCGTGCAGCACAAGCACACGAAAACACTTTTTGCTTTAAAGTATATCAACAAGCAGAAATGTGTCAAGATGAAGGCTGTGGCGAATATCGTCCAGGAAAGGCGTCTACTGGAAGAGGTGCGTCTGGCGGTCGAAAGTGCGAGCTGCGCCGTCGCTAATGTGTGGTACAGATCGACCATCCTTTTGTGGTCAATCTACGGTATGCCTTCCAAGATGACGAGAATTGCTTCTTTGTGTTGGATTTGATGCTGGGAGGAGATCTCCGTTGTACGTCAGCCACATGGCACTTGAAGAGAGGTGCTGATGTTACCACCAGTCCATCTGGATCGAGCAGGCGCGATGAGCGAGGAAGTTGTCAGGTTCTATGTGGCGGAGGTAGCAATGGCTATCGACTATTTGCATTCCAAACGGATCGTTCACAGGTCAGTCCCAGTCATGCTGGTTGGCAGCCGTCTGACGGGTGCCAATAGGGATCTGAAACCAGACAACATCTTGCTAGATGAGAGAGGACACGCCCATATCACCGACTTTAACATTGCCGTCCACTTTTCCGAACGGAGACTACTGACTGGTGTCGCCGGAAGTATGGCTTACATGGGTATGTCTGCCATCGCTCGTCTCGGGACCAACGCTGACAGCCTATGCAGCGCCAGAAGTGTTGACAAAGAGAGGATACTCGGCTCCTGTTGATTTCTGGTCCCTCGGTATCCTTGCGTGAGTCTGTGGTTGTATAGTTGGTGCCCGTGCTGAGCTCAGAAAAGATACGAACTATTGTTTGGCAAACGACCCTTCCGGGGTCGCACCAACAGTGCTTTGACCAACTCTATCCTCAACGAGACGCTGACTTGGCCCGATGATGCGCCTGGCAAGTGTTCTCATGACGGCATGCAGGCTTTGCGAGGTGTAAGTGTGCATTCCAATCCGCGGTGCTTGCGCTCATTCCCGGCAGTTTATGGAAAGAGATCCAAACAAGCGTCTTGGCTACAGGCCTGGTGGTGGCGGTTTGAACGACGTCAAGGCGCACCCTTGGTTCCGAAATATTGATTGGCAACAACTACATGACAAGCAGGTCGTGCCGCCTTTCGAGCCTGATGTAGGTCACCATTTGACACTGCGCATATTGAGGCTGACCGATCAACAGTCGAAACGAGCTAATTTCGATGCCACCCACGAACTAGAGGAGCTGCTGCTAGAAGACAATCCCTTGAAGGCGAGAAAGAGGAAGGAGGGCCAAGATATCGAGCTCATGTCGCCAGAGATGCGCATGATGGAGCAACAGTACGTTTCTCTTTTGGACCCGTCTCACCAGGCTAATCCTGTGTCCAGTTTCAAAGTCTTCGACTATACCAAAGCCCAGCGTCGATCATACTACACACCCGCGCCTCAAACGACCTCTGCTCAGGGTGTGACGAATGTCCCTGCCGATGCCAATGGCGATCTGAAGATCCCCCCCGCTCGCCCGCATACGCCAAGTGACCACACGGGACTGGTCAGCAAGACGGGACTGGACGTAGAGGCGCAGATTCTGGACGGCGGTGGGATGGCAAACATGGGTGGAAGGGGTGGTTGGCGCTCATCCGAGCTTCCGGATAGGGGCGGCCAAAGCATAGATGCCAATACGGCAAGGATCCATACGCCCTTGAGGCAGTCTTCGACGTGACTATATTCTGGAAATCGATTTAGAGCGTTGCTGATAATCTTGTAGAGAACCATATCCGGAATCAGAGGAGCAACTCGCCCACGACAAGGACGTGGGGAATGCTCTGTGAAGTGCTCTGTGATCTTGTGATATTCTCCCTTCTTTATTTCTCCTTGATATACTCTATTTGGCCCAGTACATTTGGGTCTGGTAAAACTTTATACCTCGTGATCCTTTCCACAGAAGGAATCTTTTAACTCTCAGGGGCCCTATAATCCGGCCCCGTTGCCGCGCAAGGCAGATACGTAGATCTCACCTATAATCCGCCATAATGCAGTTTCAGTGGCCTCCCTGTCGAGCCTTGTCATAACCCTTGCGTCGACAGTGACAAGTGGTGTTGAGCCTCTTGGTTCCCCTTCCGTCTGGACTCGCTCTCTTCTCATAACCTGGTGCCGTTAGAATATATACATGTACACATCTATCACCTCAATCAAGCCGAAACTTGTGACGAGCTCTCCGCTGACCCAGTCTTTGCGCTCAAGTCTCTCCATGTCGTGAGGGCGTTTTTGGTGTAGTGTTCGGGGGCGGCACCGGGGAAGATCTTTAAACGATCAAGTCGTCGGTCGCGGAAAGTATTCTTTGGAAGCATACCAGAGACGGCTTTGCGAATGATCTATCCTTGAGTGTCAGCCACGATCCGCGCAAGAATATCTGAACGCACCTCTTCTGGACGCCTTTCACGTAATCTCGAAATGGGCACCTCCTTCTTTCCTCCCATCCATCCTGTGTGCGAGTGGTACACCTTGTCGATCGACTTTTTGCCGGTAAGTCTGATTCCAAGCGCATTTTCCACAACGACATAGTCTCCGGCGTCCACTGTGATATGTCAATAAAAGTCATGACCACACCTGTATACACACCTGCAGGATCATAGGTGGGCTTGTGCTTGCCCATGAGGACCCAGGCTATTCTGCTGGCATAGTTACCCAGGACTCTGTTCTGAGCCGAGGAGTGATGCCATACACGGTTGAGAGCGAGAGCGGTCTGGGGGAGTCTGTCAGCAGCAGCCATGTGGGCCAGCAGACGGGGTGCTCACGTTTCCCTTGACGGCGGACATGGCGGGGCGAGCTGTGGATCGTTCAAGGCTGATGCATGAAATACATGAAATAGTACAATGAAATGCAAGAAGAGATGCCACTGGCGGATATCGCCGAAACCCCGTCGGGGCTCTTGTTGTTGCATGCATGGTGTTATTGACTCTGTTATTACTGCATCCCAGCAAGCATGGCTATCAACAAGAGGAAACGCAGAGCATCACAAGACACCAGCATCAAGGTCGTCATCCCCGCACCCGGCGCGTCGCTGCGGGACTCGAAACGCGCAAAGCTGGCGGTGGCTGAAGAAGACGGCGAGGGCGAGGACGAAGACGCAGAGGGCGAGCTCGACGTGGGAGCGTCGGAGGACGCGCACGGCTCGGATGCAGAACAAGAGGATGCGCCAGCCGGCACGCCATTAAGCCAACAAGTACGCCAGGGGCTGAGCAGTGTCATCGCCGAGTGAGTCGAGCATGGCAATGGCCGACGCGCTCTGCTGACGTGTAGCAGGATGGGCAAGACACTGCCATCGCCTTTGGACAAGGTGCTGACCATATGGCTCCCGCCAACATTTGCAAAGAAGAAGGAGAACACTCTGGGCCATCTCTTGCAACAGCCTTCGCTGACGTGGGAAACGCTGGTGGTGAGTCTAGTATTGTCTGACCATCGCTGAGATCTGTAGGACACAATCCATCGCTTCTCTGAGAACCTCCTTGTCCCCGTTCAGTATCCCAACCCAGTCCCAGCAAGAGCCTCATTCAACATCCCTCCACCACCCTTACCACAGCGCTACCCGCCTCACGCCATCTACAGCTTTTGCGCTTCGCTCTATGATATCCTGCTCAACGTGCAACCTGCTGCGAGCGGAGGCAAGTTTGACGCTGAGCGCTGGGCCCTGGTGCAAAAGACGACGCAGGGGGGAGAGTGGTTTAGCGGTGCTGTGGATGTGCAGGAAGCTTCCAAGCTTGTCAGAAGGGAAGGCCACAGCAGTTTGGTAGATGCTTTGATAGGAGAGTCTCGATTGGGTCACACCTCGGTTGTCTCTTTACATGCCGCCCTGGGATCTTCCAGTGCCAAGGTGCAGAAGCTCGGCGACTCTGTCATCCGACGCGCGAGTTTAAAGGTGGACAAGTGGAAGCAGATGAAAAAGCTGAGAAACGGGTCATTTGGCAGTATCGCTACTGGCGGTGAGTCTAGTATATTGTAAACTTGGCATTTGCTGACGAGACCCAGTCACAATTCCGGCGGTTGGCTCCAAATCGTTTACACCGACTTTTGGGTTTACCTACGATTCCAGCTCTGCCACCGCGAGCCAAGGCTACTTTTCAACAGTAGAGGCCATGCACGAACGCGCAAGACACAATGAATGGGCCAAGAGGGCCCTTGCCCATGCCAAAGAGATTGAGGAAGGCGGCTGGCAGGGAATCGTCAAGGAGGGTAGTGAGGAAAAGGCGACTGGGAAACTGTCGGTGGAGGAAATCTTGACCGAAAATGGCGAGTTGATCGAAGAGCTGCAGGCGTGGCAGGAGGTGCGGATTCACAGGGGTGTGCAGGAACCGACTGAAAGAGAAGAGCTGATAGGTGGGTAATTTCCTCTTTACGCGTCGATAACCGACTAACCTTGACACAGCAAACGAGCTGTTGTCTTCTCTTTCTCGTCTGGCTGGCCATGTGCCTCCTGCCGATTTGGTTCCCACTCATGCTGGCAAGATAGGATGGTCACATGACGCTGCCAAGCGACATCTGTCGACCCCATCACCGTCAATACGAGGTACTCTTGATCCCCGACGGCCGCATGCTCTTCATGACAATACCACCATCCGTCTGAGAACGGGCTCTGTCAAACCGGCTAGTGGGAACGGAGCCAGCGCCGGCCCAAGTGCCAGCATCTTGACGAATGGAACACCAACGCCTCCTGTTCAAAGCACCCCTTTGCATAATTCCGCCCCTTCATATGCCTTGCCGCCCACCGCCAAGGTCAATGTCATGCCACCTCCACCCTCCCCTCAGTACCAGAGTGCCCCGCCTCATCTCCTCGCTCTCAATTCCCCTCACAACTTGCCGCCAACGGTTGGGTACCCCCCGAACCGTAGCCCAGCCCCTTACCGACCACCACCACCCCACACACCCCAGCCGCAAAGATCACCTTACCCTCAGTACACATCGCCGTTACCTACAGCACCGCCGGTGATGCATGCGCGAGGCATACCGCCTCCCATGCCGAATATGCCAAACATGCCAAACATGGTCAACTATATGCGGCCCGGGCCCGGGCCGAGCAATCTACGGCAGAGCGTGGGCCATATGGCGGGAGGGGCGCCTATGGGAGTGCCGCCACATATGATGTATGGACAGCCGCCGAGTAATGGGTATATGTAAAGACTTCACGAGGTGTACGAGTATTGCTTGATTAGTACTAGATATATTGGAGAGGCGGTGTTTCGGTTGTGCGTTGTGATGACGAGATATGGTGCATGTTGAATGATGCATTACTTTGATATCCGCGTCTTGTTCAAGGGTCATGAAGCAGTGCGGTCGCTATGCTAGACTACAGGGTAAAAGACGGGTCACCGAGAATCCGCTGCCTCGGGGTATATACTCCACCATCACTTAACCCCCGATGTGGTTGTCACTTGTAATATTCGGTCTCAATCGTCACAGTGGGCATTGGGTCTGGTAGCAGAGTCCGTGACGTGCCATGCATCCATGATCTATTCATGCGTAGCAAGAAGGAGGTTTGTGCCAGGAGGAATCTACCTGTCCAAGCTATCGACATCTCGATGAGTCGCTTAGGCAGGGCTTGGCCTGAGGGAGTGGAATAAGATGCAAGTTGCTGTCTGTAAACTGCACTGGCCACAGTATATACATCAGATGATGTCAGGTAGCCACCAGGGAAAGAGCAGGCGACGTCTGCTCACCGTGTCACGACGGTGACCATGCTAAATTCATGTATACGCACTTCACCACTTCGGGGGAGAAGAACTTGCTGAATGCGGATCACAGACTGAAGCAACACGTAACTATATCCATTCTTGCAGTGCAGCCCGACAGACTTGCTTCCCGCTCGCCGTCGCCAGGGTAGGAAACCTTGAATGGAGATCCCTCGATAACGGCAGAATGACATCCCCTGAAGTCGCGCGCAAAAGTTTATTTTGATCTCTGCGATAAAGACGACCATCCGCAGTCGTTGTTCCTCCATCCCCAGCTCCTCGGCGGCGGCGTCGGCGGCGCTCTCGAGACTGCCGTGAACATCTTATGCATGCCCAAGCACGGTATGCATTCCCCCTCGACGCCCCGGGAGCCCTAGACGGCTTGCGAAAGCGGTGTTGTCAGCACCGCCTCTCCGCTTCGACTGGCGCTCGCTGTCCCACATGCTGCCGAAGAACCCGTCTATCGGTTATCACAAAATCCTCCGACAGCCCTCGCATCTATGCATTCATAAATCTCCCGTCCATTTCCATCTCTCCCTCATCCTCCTCATGATCCTATGGCCACCCCCCCAGCACGCCATGTTCTCCAGCTTTGACAGGGCCGACGACACCAGCATACTCGGCACTGGCGCCCTCTTCCGTGACTCGCCCCGCCCTTTTGACTCGGCAACAGACGACGACGACCATCGCGGCTCTACCGACAGCATGGCCTCTGTTAAAAATGAGAACTCCCAGCGCCCGGCAGCTACAATGTATGCCACGCGAAGCACCAACAAGAAGAAGAAGGGGTCGTCCATGCCTGAGCGCCCCGTACCTGCAGCACAACAGTCGTCGGCTTCTTCTAAAGGAAAAGGAAGGTCCTCGAGAACGTCGACTGGTCCGAGCAATGCCGATGAAGATGAGCACCAGAGTCTTTCCCCTCCCTCTGGCTCCAAGGGCAAGGGCAAGGCGGGCAGTCATCCCCCATTGCCGGGATTTACCAGTGAGCACACTTAGAAAAAAATGTCGAGTTGGCTGATTAGTCATCACAGGTTGCGAATCATGCAGGCGTGGAAAGTGAGTACGTTTCACCCAAGAGATGACCTGAGCTGACCGCTCCATAGACGACGATGCGAGCCATCACCCCTTGTGCCTCCAGATCACCCCGACGCTGCCAAACTTCCGTGTGCCAGATGCAGACGTTTTGCGATCGATTGCGTCCGGGTCAAGACTACCAGGCGAAAAGGCCCCGCACCAGTGTAAGTCTCTTTCTGCTTCTCTAAAGACACGTGCTCATGGAAACATTGCAGTGACCTCAGGCAAGTAGATGGCTTGAGCAGTCACAATCTCAAGCTGATGACTCAACAGTGCTATATCCGACGCGCAACATGGATACTCTAGAAACTCGTCTGGTGACCAGAATCTACATGCCACTGGGTCTGGAAGCTTGGAAGCCAATGACAGGGATTCGCAAGCCTAATCCACGTATCCACATCCCAACGCTAACCTCCCCACAGTATGCTTCCTCTCGCCGTGTCGGCTCCTTCGGGTCTGGATGAAATTGTACCCGGTCCAACGATAGAAAAGATTGTCAACCTGTTCTTTGATCATGTACGTCCACCTTTCGCTCCCTCGTACACATCTAACGCCATACTCTGACAGATCTATCCCCTCACACCATGTATCCACCGCCCCACCTTTATCATCGACCTGGCCGAACGGAGAGACCGATCGGATCCCGTCTTCTTTGCGCTCGCCCTCAATGTACTTGCCGCGACGTTGGTGCAAATCCCGAGAGTTTTGATGGGCTTGGACAAGGATAAAGTTGAACAACTTGCAAAGCTGTGTCTCCGCGTGAGCCGAGCAAAGATGGCTGGGTTATGGGAAGAACCTACTTCGGTCGAGCTCAACTTTAGTGCGTAGATTTTTTTTCCCAGTCTTTTGATCTCCCTGACGAGGATATAAGTTGTGATAAGCTATCTGGAGAGCATCGTGCATCTATTTCTGGGGAACGATACAGCCCATGTCACGACGATAGCACAGGCCAATCAACTCGCGTTGGCGCTTCGTATGAATGACGAGAGCGTGCGTCTCTCCTTTACAACACTGTGTGCAAGCGCTGACGTTTCGATTAGAGCTACAAAGACCTAAATCCCGTTGAGGGAGAGATGCGGAGAAGAATGTTCTGGGTGAGTCTATATCTTGGATGATGGCAACCGGAAACTGATTGTGAGCAGCTTTTGTTCCAAACCGACAAGAGCACGGCATGTTTGGTGAGTGTCTAGTCTGCCGTAGGCTTTTCCGATCTGACCCTATTTCAAGCTGTCGCGACCCATATATTTGAGGCTTGATGATGTTGCCGTGAGTCTGATCCCAATATTCCATTGACAAGGCTGACATCTCTCAGGATTTGCAGCTTCCTCTGGAAATTGATGACGAGTATATTACATACAACAGAGTCTCGCCCCAGCCTTGTGAACAGGTTTCTCTTATCACTGGTTTCAACGTCATGACCAACCTCAACCGGTGAGTGCTTGATCATCGTCGTTGGGAGCGCCGCTGATCTTGCCGGTAGGATACTGAACGACGTCTTGTTTATGCAAAGAAGAAAGACGACTCGGACGGTTGATGAGATCATCTTTGATCTGCAGCGCGTCGACATGTTTCGCGCAGAGGTCACGAGGATCTATTTTGACATGCCCGACAAGTACAAATTGAGGACAGCCTACGATTCGAGGACAGCACAGTCAGTGATCTTCTCGAAGGGTTTTGGGATGTGTGGCTGACCTAATCTCAGACCTGCCAACGACTGGGAGAGCAAGCTATACAGCAAGTTCGTCGAGTTTTTAAACACTGGCGGTGACAGTGCCTATACTCTCAACAGTCTGCTTGGCTTGCAGGTTCGTCCCATCTCTAGTCTCATCTGCCCGGTCAACTGACGATCAGCAGGGCAACATTCTCGTCAGCCGTCAATCTCTTCGACTCTTACTCCTCCAGACTCGCCAATCGCTACTGCGCCAACTCGCCATATTCACCCCCATGATCCCACAGAGTATGGGCTACGAAGACACGGCTGAAGATATTGCAAGAGAGCTGCTGGATGGCTTGAACAGTTTACCAGTGGAATGTGTTGCCACTAATGGTCCTCTTTTGGTTCAAAAAGGTAAATCCATCGATGGGCTTTTTATGTGTGATGAAAGCTGACGTCTTTGATCAGTGAGATTCGTTGCCGTGCATTTGATGGACTCTCCTAATGCTGGGCCAGGCAATGAAGACAACCAAGCGTGAGTACCCATTTTCCTGAACGAGACAGAGACTGACTTTCGTGCTCTACAGTCAAACGCTATTGATGCAGTTCTTGTCTGTCCTCAGCGTCATCGAGGGAATGTATTCCTTCGGCAAGGAGCTCACGATGCAGTGAGGGATTCGGAGAGGTCACCCATGAAGAAGGAGGTATAATATCAGGCTGAAGAGGGTCTATACGGACATTTTGCGCAACGTACAAACGAGTAATCTTCCAAAAGCGAGAAGTTCACAACAATTGTATTTATAGTCTCTTTAGTCCTCTTGGAAAGATTCCAGCTCAATTGACATGTATGCATGGAACAGTCGTACAATTTACGATGAAACAATCTTGGGCACATGGGCACATAGTCACATACTAAAGCTACAAGAGATACCAAAATATACGTTCAATGAACGCTAAAACTAACTATAGATCATTCCCCAATCCTTCCCCACTGTCTCGCCTCTCCTCCCAAGCTTTCAAACACATCCCACATGACCTTGACACTGCTCAACAACCCATGTCCCTCCCCTTCCACCACCACCAGTTGCACATCGCCCATACATCGTTCCAACCACCTCATCGCCTTTTCGCTGATCCTATCGTCTTTCTGGCCATACCAGACCTTGGTTGGATGATTGACTTTTGTGTAGTCTACCAGCGGGCCAGCGATCTTTGACTGGGAGTTGAGGATGACATAGAAGATGTCGGAAGTTGTGCCGGGCTCGGACTCGGCATGGGAGGCCTGGGTGAGCACGAGCGTGAATGCGTGGCTCGTCGGCGCTGACGGCCAGCTTGTCTCGGTGGTAGAAGGTAGGGAAGCAGTAGAAGTAGTTCTGGAAGACGAATAGGAAGGTCTGAATTTGATAGATGGCGGTGCCGGCATCTTCAAATTGATTGACATGGCGTCAAACCCTTCGCCAAACCCGAAATCATGCTCGGCGTCTGATTCTGCATCAGAGTCATCCATGCCGATAGTCGGCGGGGTGGAGCTCTTGGGAGAACGCGAGGAAGGGGTGTTGATACTAGGGGACGACGATGTTGTGACTCGAGACTCGGAGTGACCTCTCAAGCTCTTGAGCGAACGGATGTGGCCGAGCTGACCGTGCTTGTCCTTCCCCGGTGGTGTCTCGCTCGACCTCGGTCGCAATAGCTGCGACGCTTTCCGCACAATGCCAGGACCTTTCGCAGGGGTTATCTGAGTTGTCGCCTGTGCGCTTATGGACTCGCGGTAAAGTGCTTCTTCCTCGAGGGATGGCTTTGGGCTACCATAAGACACGGGTGCCGCGTTATGGCCCACGGGTTTGTAAGTGAGTGGAGGAGGTTTGCCCAAACGGTAGCTTTGGAGCTTCCACTCGGCTGCTGTCGCAGACTTGATCACCCCTTTGGGCACCCATTTGAGCCATTTGTACCCTACTTTGCATTAGCGTGGCCCAGAGATGATGACAAAAGACATACCTCCATCTATATCCGCACTGACCCACGGCGCAAGCAAATGCAGCGTTCCCCTCACCCTATTCCCTAATCTCTCCACCACCGCAAGCGCATACGGTGCCCCCGCGCTGTGCGCTACCAGCTGGAACCTGTCCACCTTGAATTCATCCAACACCTTTTCCACCACTTTAGCCCATTCATATACAGTCCGCTTCTCTTGCGGCACTTGGGTAGTCTTGCCGAGGCCCCAACGGTCTATGCAAATAATGCGCAAGTTGAAGGCGCGAGCGATATCGTCAAAGAAGGCAATGAGGTAGCGGACGCAGCCGAGGCCCATGAAGAAGACGACCGGGTGGCCTTTCGGGTGACCGACCTCTGCCCACGAGACGGTCAGTGGGGGATCGGGGGATTGTCGTGGGATGGACAAGGTCCGATTGAGATGCGGGGAGCGCAAGTACTTTGCATGGTCGTGTATCTCGCCTTCTGTATGGCTTGCAGTAGAATTCGGAGTGACTGGCAAACTGAAACGCTTTGCCCCTCTGGGAGTGGTCGAAGGGGTACTCGAGGTCCGAGACAATGTCCTCTGTCTTCTAAAAGACCCTGGAGGCTTGTCGACACTGGATCGTCTCGACTGGAGTGTCGGGACGGGAGGTGTCGTGGGAAGGGAAGGTGCCAAGTCATGGTCCAGCTGATCAAGCAACGCCTGTCCTATACGCGCCCCCAGTAAGAACTCTTCAGCGCTCAAGCTGGTGTTGCTGGAGTTTGCGGTAGGTGCTGGTGGAAACCTTTTGGTGACCGGAGGCCTTTCTTGTGAAGGGCGCGTTCTCTGGAGAGCTGAAGCATTCCGGGGATCCTGAGCGTTTGGTTTGCTTTCAGGCGTCGGTAAGCCGTGGTACGCTTTCGGCGCCGAAGGAGCTCTTGCTCGAGGATATGTATTGTTTCGCTCAGGCGGAAGCGGATGCGGGCGTGAAACAGGGGTTATGGGCGACTTTGAAGGTACCTGGGGAGGGATGTCGAGCTCTGTTTCAACTCTAGACATTCTCTGACCTTGGGTCGGCAAGGTTGGCCCGGGAAAACGATGCCCTGTCCGAGAGGGGACGATGGGGGTCAACATTGTCTTTTCGGGAACAGGAGGGTGAGGTCGGTGAGGAAACTCTTTCGTAGGACTCGGAAGTCTCTTGACCGGATTCGGGAGTTCCTTGTTTGGACTCGTCACTTTCATTGGGCTGGGGAAGCCATTGTTTGGACTCGGAAGCTCTTTGGGGCTGAAGGTCTTTATGGGGGATCCTTTCGTCGGGCTGGGGAGTTCCTTCAAGCCAAACGACTCTTTCTTGGGACTCTCCTTCCTCGACAATCCCATCTCCTTCCTCGCCCTGTCATTGACAGCCTTTTCCGCCGCCCCCAACGCCTGCCTGTGTCTGTTGATGATATCATTGATCGACAGTACAGGGACGACCGGCTTTAAATTCGGAGGGGGTGGTGGTGAAGGTTCCGGCGGTTGGTGTTCGTCAGGCAAGTCGTAAGGAGCCACTATCGGGGCGGCAGGGTCCAGAGGCGATATAGGGCTACTGGGAACCGACCTCGCATGGTCTTTGCTCTTTCTGCTTTTCCTGGCGGCCTTGGGAGCCTCTGGGGAAAGAAGACTATTGTATCTCGGGCGCGAAGATGATTCCTTCTTGTTTTTGCGCCTGTCCTCTTCGTCTTCAGAGTCTGACTGAAGGATGTACCGGCGGCTTTCATTGGCAGAGATGATGCTTGCGGTAGTAGGGAGAGAGGGAAGCGAGGAAGGGGATGGGTTGAGCTCATCAACGAGGGAGTCGAAGACGTCTGTTGAGACAGACTCTGACCCTGACAATGCCGTCAGTCGGTGCAAGACATAGAGAGAAGAGACTCACAAAAAGATGGCTGGGTGTACGGCTCATCTACGCTGACCAGATCGTCATCGTCTACGATGTCCATGACTCCCCTGGCACGAGACTGTTCTACCTGCCTGACCCAGTCCTGTGTCCGATCTCCACCTCTTGATCGTCTTGGTGCCCTGTCCCTTCTGGCATGGGAGCGAGAGGTGTCAGCGGAGGACCAAGGGGCGGTGTCAGTGGGGACGCGGATGGCGGGGAGATGTTTTCTGGGGGATGTGGAGGGGGGCATGGTGGCTTGAAGCCTTGATGGGGCTGTGGAAGGGAAAGATGTGTTGTTGCAGACGAAGCGAGACACCGTTCCTTCGCACAGACCCCGAGCTAACTGTAGGGCAGAGAGTAAGATACATACCTTGCGAGTCCAGATCCGTCCAAGGGTCCCCCCTTGCCGCTGAAATCCCCCCCTGAGCAATCTCCCCCTGATGCCCTGGCCCGACCCGAGCTGAAAGTAAGCCAAACAGTGACTCATGGGCACTTTTATGGCGGCCCGATGACCGTTCGGCGGAGAGCGCCCTCGGCTTGCCTCCACTTCGGCAACTCGCAAAATGTCCTCTTGCCTTGCACATATAACAGCTCATGCGAACACTCGTTTCCATGCCCATCGTTGCTCAACACCCCCACAGCCATGGTTGCTGATCGCTCACAGACCATCGAGCTCCAAGAGAGCGGTAGTCTGCACAACGAGTCATCGATCCGGTCCGCTAACCTTGCTCATCCGGCCATCCCTCGAGAGGTTTCACAAGTCCATGATGCTACGAGCAGCGCTCCCAATGGACCTAGATCAGCTGCTCAAGAGCATACACCCATGCGCAAACGCGACTTTGGGTTCCTACCCATTCCGCAAAGTCGCAGACATGACCCGAGCAAAGCCGTCCAGGGCGAGTTTCCCTTTACCTGGAAGATAAATGCGCTCTTTGCCTCTGCAGCTGTGTGTATTACTATCTGCCAGATCAGATTGCAGCTGACATTTCTCCAGACAATTGCAGTCATGAACCTCTACTACATCCAACCCATGCTCGTCGCCATCGCCAATGACCTTGGGGTCTCTCACGATGCCGTCTCCAAAGTGCCCATCCTTGCCCAAGGCGGGTACGGCTGCGGGATCCTATTCATCTCTCCCCTCGGTGACCTCGTTCGACGGCGGCAGCTGGTCCTGATTCTGATGCTACTTACGACTTGCCTCACAATCGGACTCGCCTTGTCCAAGAATGTCGCAATGCTCTCTGGACTGAGCTTTGTAGTCGGCTTCTTCACGATCACACCGCAAGTGGTCATTCCCTGGACTGCAGACCTCGCGCCGGCTGAAAAGAGAGCGACGGCGATGAGCGTGACCCTGTCCGGCTTGATCACAGGCTTGGTCATGGGTAGGACGCTGGCCGGCGTCATATGTCTGGCGGATTGGAGGTATGTCTATTGGATGGCTGTGGGCCTACAGGGATGTAAGTGATATATTTCAACACAAGGCTTTGCTTACGACAACCAGTGATGACGATCGTCCTCTGGCTAGGTCTCCCTGACACACCTGACAAAAAGATCGGTCTTACTTACCTCGAAGTTGTAAGTCTGACGTTCAGACTTGGGCCCAATCTTGACACCCAAGTAGCTTTGGTCAATGGCCAAAATGTATGTGACTTACCCAACACTGGTGCAAGTTTGCGTCCAAGCCTACTGCCTCTCCGCCGTCTTTGCTGGTTTGCACGTGCACCCCTCTCCTCTGCTATGCCCTTCTAATATGCCGTAGCTGGACGACCCTCACTTTCCTCCTCTCCGACCCTCCATACCAGTACAACTCTCTCCAAATCGGCCTCCTCGGTCTCCTCGGCCTCATCGGCGCCATCCTCGCCCCCTTCTGGGGCCGCCTCGTCGACCGCGTCCACCCCTGGTCCACCCAGTTCCTCGGCATCATCATCAACCTCATCTCCATGATCATCGCTCTTGCCGCCGCCCAGAAGAGTATAGGCGCGGTGTGTGTGGCGATCGTGTTGTATGATGTGGGGCAGCAGTTGAATCAGGTTAGTAATGGATATAGGGTGGCGGGGATTGATCCCGCGGCGAGGGCGAGGTTGAATGGGTGTAATCTTCTGGCGCTGTTTGCTGGGCAGGTCAGTCGTTCCGAAATATGCTGGGTCGCGTTGACAGAGAGACTACTAGACATCTGGCACAGCCATCATGACCAAAATTTACAACAGCCACGGATGGCACCCCACAGCCGGTACCGCTATAGCCTTTATCGGCGTCGGTATCATCGGTATGCTCGCCCGTGGGCCGCATGAAGCTGGCTGGGTGGGGTGGAGCGGAGGATGGAATGTGAGGGAGAAGCAGCAGATGAGTGATAAGAGTGCGAATGCTGTCACGGAAAAGCTGAGAGTGAAGAAGAAGGACCAGATGGTGTAACAGCAGGGCATAATAATAGAACAACTAGACAGTGCAAATTTACATTTACTGATGCGATGCTATAATGAATAAACTACAATAACAAGGACTTTAGCATCTATGCAATGATACAATCTTTATCCTGGCCCTTCTCCCCATTCCCTCCCGACCGTCTACTCGCTTCCTTCTCGCCTACCAGTTCCGCATACTTGACCTGGAAAGGAGAGGTGCAGAGATGAGTCTGATAGTCGGCACATGTTTGTCCTTATCTCACCTGCTCGGCTTTGGTGAGGAGACCTTTATCATGTCGTGCTTTGAGCGCCTTCATCTGTGAATCAATCTCTGCCTTGGTTCGTCTTGATCACAAAGTCAGCCTAGCTCTGCAAGGACAGTGGCCATGGCTCACTTTTGCGTGGTACTCTTCACGAAAGGCACCTTGACATCCTGTCCAGCCCTCTTCAGCGCTGCAGCCGCAGCCGCCGCCCTCGCATCCATCTTTTGCCCTGTCCCACCCGTCGTCGCAGGCTCGCTATTCTGCACGACCGTAGCTGGCAAAGGCTTTGACGACGGCGCAGTCTTGGCGGGCGGAGAGGGCTTGGCGGAGGCTCCAGCGGGCGGCTGCATGGACGGCGGGAGTAGACGGGACATGGCAGACTTGCCTGCTGGGCGAGAAGCGCTGGGTACGGGCAGCTGTGGCGTTACGAGACCTGAAGAGGAGGAGCCGGGGGAAGGGGTTTGGTTGGTACACGAGTGCGCGTTGGGCCGTCGATGAGTTGGGCAAAACATATGTTGGCATGTCTATGCTAGGGTCAGCCATCTTTCTCTTGCTCACGAACAGTATTTGGACTCACATCACACTTCATCTTGACGACCAAGACCTTGCCACACGTCTTTCGCCAGCAAACCTCGCCCGCATCTCGCCGCCTCTTGACTTCTGCCTTCTTCCTCTCCTCTCCGCCCTGAAAGCCAGTGCAGGTGCCTCCGAGGATATGCCGTTCGACAGCCTCGTTTGGGTCCATACTCTTCGGGAACGGCACGATCTCGCTGCACATGGGACATGTGGGGGCGATCCTGTCGACCATGGACGGTGGCAAGGGGGCCGTGCAAGAGTGCTGCGATGGGAGAAAGTGCGGCTGGCAGAATGATTGATGGCATGCTGGGCACTGTGGCAAACGAGTCAGCTGTGGCCAGCAGGGACGAGGGGACTCACGGAGAAGGGCAGAAAGTCGTGGAGGTAGCAGGCTGGGTGGTGGCACTCTGAGCCGAGGAACATCATCTCTGGGTTGGCGGACATGGTGGCGATGGGGAGAAAGATGAGATGGTATCTGCTTTATAGTTTTTCGTCAGCGTTTGCGGAACTTTCACGAACAACACCCACTGACCAAGCGTTGCCACCCGGACTATTCCATCCCCCCACTTAAGATAAGATGGAACCAAACAACAAGGTCATGGCTCTGCCGCCCACCCTTCTCGTGGCGGGACACGATGCATGCGCAGGGGAACGGCTGGCGTGCTGTCCGTTCCAGTGGCACCCAGAGACACCCGGAGACAACCCCTCCCTGCCCCGGCCGACGAGAGATACGTGGGAGTGGGACGACGCGGACTCATCTCAAAATTGGTCCTGCGCGTTCCTCGCTCTGGTTTTACCCCGTCTCCTCTTTCATCTCCATCGTCTTCCACATCCCCCATGCGCTCCCTCTTCCGCCCCTTCCCAGGGCCACTCACCTCCCGCCAATGGTTCTATCTCTCCTTCCTGCAAGGCGTCGGCGCAGGCGCAAGTCTTTTCACGCAATTCACAAATCGACGGGAAGCTCATATTGGTGTAGATCATTGACGGTGGGGCCAATTTCGGTATCGCATATGCTAGTGAGTCGTCTTTCTATCACACTGGGACACTGCTGACTATCTTCCAGTGTACCACGGCCAAGATGAGATCAAGGTCCGTGCATCGCTCTCCCCAAAGAATTCGACTGACTGGGCTCTTCCCGTTAGATGTGGGTGCTCGCCAAAAACACCATCGCGGGCGATTTGGGCGTGACACCAATCATTCAATGCCTAGCATCAATGTTGATCACCTCAACACTGGTGCATACGGACCTGCACCACCATGCCGTTGCGCCACTGCCTTATGTCTGGCCTCACGTGGAGCATCTCCCAGACCCGCGAAGGCTGATCGACAAAATGTTCAACAAGTCCAGCAAAGATGGAGAGGAGAAGGAGGATACCGAAAAGCGAGAGACGCCCAGCCCTGATTCAGAAGAAGAAGAGGGCAGAAAGGGCCGGGCATACTACCCAAAGATGCTCACGCGATTCATCTTTGAAGGCACCGAGGCGAATATCCTCCTCTCCCCCTTCTCCTGGAAGCTATTCTTTATCAAAGTCTTTCTCACAGCTGCCCAGGGTGCAGCCTTGGGTATCGTACTAGGCTTCCCCGTATGGTGCCTTTTTATCATTGTCCTTGGTCCTCTGTACGGGACGGACAATATGGCTGCCCCTCATCATTGGAAGTGGGCACCGATGGTCATCAAATGTGTCTATGGCGCTGTGATAGGGTGGATCACCAATCCTGTCATTGCGGCGTTGGCTCTCGGCTCTCAGGCCGAGCGACACTTGCTCGTGGTCCAACACGACCAAGAAGCGTCCATAGGAGGCGACGGTATCGAAACTATCATTGAAGAAGACGCCGACCTCGGACCGCCCCAATTCCCTCCCTCTTCCCCAAGCTCCAATCATCTCGCTCCTCCCACCCCCACCAGCCGATCATTCACCGGCCGTCCCCGTGCGACCTCTGGCGCATCCTCCATGTACAGCTCGCGCTCCCGCCCGCCCCTCATCGCCGACTGCTCCGACTTTCCCATCTTGCCTGCGCCGCACTATGCAGACGGCGACATGCTCGCCGCACCCAGGTCTGCACCGCTGCTACAGTCGAGCAGGATGAGGAGTCTGAGTCAAGTCACGGTGCAGATCGGCACTCCGCCCCGCACGGCTGTACCCACGCTTCCAGCCAGTGGACCGCGCGAAACGCTACTCGTACCGCCTTCGCCATCTGCAGGACAAACACCGAGTCAGCTCTTGTTCACTCCTACGCAAGGCAGGCGGCGAGGTCTTACAACATCGACCGCGCATACGGCTGCTTCGGGTGCTGGGGCGGGAACCGTCCCAGGTAGTCCCGCGAGCGGTACATGGTCCTACGCTCTCGGCGGTACGGGTGGTCGAGCTCAGCGGAGCAAAGTGCGTCCCAGAGCCGTCAGTTCACTCAGTGGGAGAGCTAGGGAAAGGGTGGGCGGGGCGCTGTGGAGTGGGAGTAAGGTGGCGGGTGTGCACTTGACGCCGTCGATGGATATGGCTGGGGTAAGGGATCAGATGGGGGAGCAGAGGGGACCGGGAGTGGTGGCAAACAACGAGGAAGGAAGCAAGACGCCCGTGTGGGACGTCTTTGGAGTTGTGCAGGGTGCAGAGGCTGAGCAGAAGGAGACTAGCCCCGATAGCAGCAAGTAGAGGAGCCGCATATATATCAAGTGATATAATACCTGGCAAGGAGCATCATGTATTGTTGTGCACCGTTGACAGGATCTCAAAGACATGATTGGATACTGCATACCATCACATAGAGGCATTTCGAAATCTACTTCTCACCGCCTGACAAACTCTGCTCACTCAAGATCTCTATCACAACGACACTCCTACTTCCTGTTCTTCTGGTAGTAGTGGATGAGACCGGTAGTCTGTTTTTATGTCAACGGCAATCACACACACACACAGAGATCGACTTACAGAAGAGTCGTGACCCTGGACATCCTTGGCGTCGCCCAATTGGCTCAAGATGTTCTTGGCCAACACCTTACCGAGCTCGACACCCATTTGGTCATAAGAGTTGATACCCCAGATAGCTCCTTGCACGTGGATCTTGTGCTCGTAAAGAGCGACCAAAGAACCGAGGGTGGCAGGGGTGAGCTTTTGGAAAAGGATCGAGTTGGTGGGCTTGTTGCCTTCAAAGATCTTGGACTTGACGAGGGCAGCGTTCTTGGACTGCTCGGGACCGAGCTCCTCGACGACCTGCTTCTCGGTCTTGCCGAAAGCAAGGGCTCTGGATAGATCGTCAGCGAGGTTCCAGTGAAAGGGGGATGGACGTACTCGGGCTGGGCAAAGAAGTTGGAAAGGAGGATTTCGTGGTGCTTGCCACCAGAGATAGGGTTCAGGGTCTCGACGGGGGCGAGGAAGTCGGCAGGGATGAGCTTGGTGCCCTGGTGGATCAACTGGTAGAAGGCGTGTTGACCGTTGGTACCGCTTTGTCCCCAGATGATGGGCTACGCAGTGTCAGTCCAAACTCGCGTAGGAGAGATGATACGCACGCCAGTCTCGTAGTCGACCCTTGAACCGTCCTTGGTCACGCTCTTACCGTTGGACTCCATGTCACCCTGCTGGAAGTAGTCGGCAAACTTCTTGAGGTATTGGTCGTAAGGCAAGAGAGCCTGGGTCTGGGCACCTGCGTCTTATCAGCGCTGCCCAAATACCACAGGTTAGACATACCGTAGAAGTCGTTGTACCAGATACCGACCAAAGCCAAGATGACGGGCAAGTTGTCCTCAAGCTTGGTCTCCTTAAAGTGCTTGTCCATCTCGTGGGCACCGTTCAGCAACTCCTGGAAGTTGTCGAAACCGATAGAGAGACAGATGGAGAGACCGATGGCGGACCAGAGAGAGTATCGGCCACCGACCCAGTCCCAGAATTGGAACATGTTGGATTCAGAGATACCGAAAGCAGTCACACCCTTGGTGTTGGTGGAGAGAGCAACAAAGTGCTTGGCGACGTGGGCCTTCTACATGGGTCGAGTATGTCAGCGCTGCTGTAAGGGCATGGGAAAAAAGGCTACGTACGTCCTTGGCCGTCTCAAGGAACCACTCCTTTGCAGACTCGGCGTTGGTGATGGTCTCTTGGGTGGTAAAGGTCTTGGAGGCGACGATGAACAAGGTGGTCTCTCGGTCACAGAGCTTGAGGACCTCGGCCATGTCGGTACCGTCAATGTTGGAGACAAAGTGGGTCTTCAAATCCCTCTTGCTGTAGTGCTTGAGGGCCTCACAGACCATGACGGGACCAAGGTCGGAACCACCGATACCAATGTTGACAATGGTGTCGATGGCCTTGCCAGTGTAACCCTTCCAGGCGCCAGATCGCACAGAGTCGGAAAACTCCTTCATGTGAGCGAGGACCGCGTGGACCTCGTCAACGCCCTCCTCGGCAATCTTGAAGCCACCCTTGTCGGCAGGGGGGTTTCGGAGAGCAATGTGGAGGACAGATCGGTCCTCGGAGGTGTTGATGTGCTTTCCGGCAAACATCTCGTCTCGGAACTGTTCGACCTTGGCCTCTCGGGCGAGGTCGAAAAGAGAGGAAAGGACCTCGTCATCGACCAAGTTCTTGGAGTAGTCGAGGAGGATGGAGGTCTCGGCGTTAGTGAAGCTCTTGGAAAGAGACTCGAACCGCTTGGGGTCGGCGGCAAAGAGGTCCTTGAGGACGAGCTTGTCAGCCTTGGAGGAGTGGAGGGACTGGAGCTTTTTCCAGGCCTGGTATTCTGGGAGCAGCGTGAGCGGGAGCAAGGGGTAGGCTGGGGGAAACTGACGGGTAGCGGGCTTTCCTTCCATGTTGGGTGATTGTCAAGGGGTGTGGGTGGGAGAAAGAGAAAATGAGAGAAGGAAGAGAGAAAGAGATGGAAAACAACGCTGATGACGGGGACGACAGGTGGGGGATCCGAACCCGGACACGGCGGCGCGGACCGTCGGCCGGAGTATCGGGTGTCCTGATCCTTCCGGACGCGCAGAGAACATGTCCGGTCAGGGGTCAGTGTCAATAGCAAGAATTGGAGGGATATTGTGCACCATACACCATGGACACGCAGACTCTCTACCTCAAGCCAGAGGCATTCAAGAACGGGGGAGCGGCCAAGTGGGCGGCCACTAGCAGGACACTCGCCGCAGCCCTCAGCCCAGCCGGCGGTGAGGCTGCCATATGGGTATCCAAAAAGGTATGCTCAAGTCTCCCTTATGGCTGTACTGACACTGTGCAGCCTTCAGATAGCCCAAATGGCATCGAAAAGCTCTCGGATGCTTCTCTTTCGCTATCTGACGAGACTATACTATTCACCTCCCTCAATTCATTCCCCCCGCCCCTCACCCATCTCTACACTGAATCGCACCTCCTCTTCACCTCCTTGCAGCAAATATTTGCCGACTCGGGCAGACGGCGGCTGTCCTCTGTGGGCATAGGCATGGGTGGAGGAGCCGATGCGTGGGATGGGAAGGGCAATTTTGGCGTCGAAGATCTGTTGGGACCACCTGATGCCGAGACCGTCATCAACATGAGAAGACTGGCGGACCTGTATATGGACCAGCTTGGCGATCTTAAACAGATCCCTGACATTGACGTGAGTTGTGTGCTTCTTACATTACCCCACTTTGCTCATGGCTACGTAGGAGTCACTACGGGAGCGCTTCGCTGAAGCCTACAACATTGTCAACCTCGCCGAGATCCTCTATCTTCCAGTAGACGGCAAAGGCGAAGGCTTTATCGGAGAAGAGCTTCTTGACTGGGTCAATGAGGTCGACGTGGCCCCCGACAACCAGCTCGGTAACGAGATCATGTCTTGCCAACATGCCTGGGAACATCCCTCGTTCTGGCCGTACATCTCTCGCTCCGTGTTACGAGGCTTCCACCTTCCAGCAGCCTCATTCCTCCGGTCTCTCTCCTCTCACCCACACCAGCCAGTCCAGAAACTGGCTTCGTTACTCGCCCAGCACCTTTCCATCTTTCCAAGATCCTCTGAAAATCGCTGGAGAGTCGACCTCGAGTTTCTCCAAGCGCACAAGCAGTGGCTCTCCAGATTCCGTTCCGAGCTCGCTGCCCATCTCGGGGGTAAAGGCAAGGGCAAATGGTTTGAGGGCATACAGGATGGTCAAAAGTGGGAAGGCGACTTTAGATCTGTGGTGGAATTGATGGAAGGCAAGATGGAGAGGGTATTGGAAGAATCGGGAGACTGGAGAGAAGCGCTCGGGGCGTGGGGCGTACTGGTTGATGTGGATCTCCGGAGAGATCACCTTCCGTGAGTCTGCCTCCAAGTAATCGCCTCGAGACTAACGTGTGTAGTGAAATCATGGGTCTCATTACCGAAAAGATCCCAGTAGAAACATCCATCCAAGAGCACGTCGTCGAATCAGCTCTCTGCTCTGCCGACGTCATCAAGGCCCTCATGGCATCCTACTCGCTCGACCCCTGGCTCTCGGCCCACCTGTCCGACCTCCTTGATAAACTTTCCCTCATCCCCGACGATGAGGAGCATTTCGACATTTCCCTGCGCGACTTTTTCCTGCTCGAGTATGCCCAGGTGCTACAGACACACCCCGCGCACAAGGCTTTCTGGAGAGTCACCTGCGACTATTTGGCGTTTGCTGGTGAAGAAGGACGAGGTCGGCTAAAAGAGCACCTGAGGCGCATCGACATCCCCTTGGAAAGGGATATCAAGGGCAAGAACAAAGAGACTCCCGTCGACGCCGACGTAGGGATGGACGTCGAAGATGCTCCTGCTGAAACTCAACCCGAGTCTATCAAGCTCCTCGATGAAGTCCGCTCCGCATGTACCGAGTTTCAACTCGACGACGTTTGGCGCGAAATCAGTCAAGTGCTGGCTACGCGCTTGGTGCATGCTAGGCAGTACGGGATGGCGGCGACCTTGGCGTTAATGGCGAGGGATGGTTTCGCCTTGTCCAGGATTGCGGAGAAGGTCTTGCAGTCGTTCGTTGACGAAGGTACGTTCGCGCTATATCTATCTGACATTCCTAACCCTTGGTGCAGGCCCCGAAGAGTATCTCGCCCTGGTCGACACCCTTCCCCCGACGCTCCTTTCTGAAGCCCCCACAGCCCTACTCCAACTCCAAGAATCCGCCTCCGCTCCCCTCTCCTTCCCCTCTTCCAATTCCATCAGCGTTTTCGCTTCCCGCATCACCTTCCTGTCTGAGTTTAGGGACTATCTTTTATTCTTGGGACAGGACGGAGGGAGGGAGCAAGCAGCTGGAAAGGTGGTAGCGCTGTTGACTAGTGGCATCGCACCGACGGGCTTCTGGGGTGTCTTGTTGGTGGAGAGTATCTCTTTGCTCGAGGGTGCGTGCTTTGTATTGTTGCCGTTCTCAGCTGAACTCTGTTTTGCAGACCCAGAGATCCTGTTCTCCACAAACGAGACATTTGAGCTCCTGCGTGTCCTGGAAGAAGTCATCACCAACGCCTCTTTTGCCGAAGAAGAATACCTCGGCCAGATTGCCTTGTACCTCGACCATCGCTCGCCAAAGCAGGAGCAGGGGAGCAAGAGTGGGAAGGGCAAGGCGACGACGCACGATGCGAGGAAAAAGTTGGAAGAAGCCAGGCTTGCGCTGAGTAGGAATCTGGCGAGGGCGATGGTGTCGGGGCTTGACTAGTGTCGTATCATGATGCACTACTGTAATGCACTATCCCTCAAAAGGTACTGCACATTTGGATACATCTTTGATTGGATACACAATTTTCGTAAGATATCTTGAATATTTCGTCTATTTGGTTTGAAGTTGAACACGTCGTTGGAGATTTCGTCAGCTGCTTTGATACACAACACCTCGTCCTCATGCAAGTCATCACGCGCCCTTGCCAGCCAAGACGTTGGCCAGCATCTCTTCCATCCTCAATTGACTCTCTCTCACAGTCTCCAGCTCTTTCTTGAGCGCCTCCACTTCCTCCTTGTTGGCCAGATTCTCCACAATCTCCTCCTCCTTCTCCCCTACACTCTTCCCACCTGCTGCCGCCTTGGTCGGCGACTCATCACTCGAAGCAAAGACGGAAGGCCGACCAAACAATTTAGCAAGGGGAGAGTCGTACGACTTTTCCTTCTTTGCATCCTTCTTCTTCTTCTTCTGCACCTGCTGAGCCTGCTGAGCCTGCTTGAGCTTGGCTTCCTCGGCCTGGGTCATGGTCCCCGGTTCGTCGGTCGTGGGGAGAGAAGTCAGACCGAGAGCTTTGGGAGTTGTAAAGCCGCTTTGGCTGTCGCTGTCTTTGGGGGCAACGGGAGGGCCGAGTTCAAAGACGGAAGCGATGAGGACTTCGGAGCCTCCTCCAAGCCACGAGCTGCAGCTGTTAGTGTGAGTCCATTGAATATGATCGGAACGCTTACTCGAGCAGACCGATCCTCTGGACGTCCGAGACACGGTCCATAGTCGAGCTGCGCAGATGGATCGACCTCTGCTTGGCGTGATACGAGTATCGCTCGTAAGCCGATATGGAAATGAGGATAGGGAAGCTCTGTCATGAGATTCAGCATGGATCAGCGTCAATAGTCACAGTACTCACAGTCAAGCGAATAGCAAACACATTCACCCTATGCAACGTCCTCGCCGAAACGACCCAACTGATCGGCACCAACACACCCAAAGCCAAGATATTGATACCCGGAAGATACGAAAACAGCGCATCGCTCTTGACACCCTCTACAGTCTTGACCACGCGCTGAAAGAGGTGCTCCTGCTGGGCATTCTGGTTGATGGCGGCGAATTTGGCAGAGAGGATGGCGATGAGCATGGTGATCAGGAGGACGTTGCAGAGGGCGGCGTAGGAGAGGAGGATGATGGGGCCAAAGACGGGGTGGAATGATTCGCTGGAGGAGAAACCCAAGTTGGACGAGCCGAACCAGATTTGTCTAAACGTTGGGAGTTGAGCGGGTGATTGATGAAATGAAAGAGTCGAGAACTTACGCCATGAGCCAGACGATTTGTCTGACGGTCCATGTCTCCCGGCCAAGCGTCCAGAGACAGAAACAGATCCCGCTGAATGCGACAACTATATAACGTCAGCGATGTTTGTCACAAGACGCTCCAGACTTACTGGTGACAAGCATGAAGCGAAGGAACGTGGTCACCATCCCTCGCAGCTGATCGAAAGTCAGGCCGCTCAAGGTCACATTCGACTCGAAAACTTACAGCAAGAATCACGACATTCTCTTTGATGACAAAAAAGACAAGTCTGGGAAAGATGATACAAGCCGCACAGGCAAGAATATCAAAAGCCAAATCAGACGTCTTGGGCGAGTGAGATACAAGCGCAAGGATACGGAGCACAAAGTAGCCCAAGAAAATGGCAATCTATCGGTATATGAGTTTCTTTCTTGATGGCGAATAGACAGATAAGCTTACATAGGAAAGGTCGAAAGCATTCCAAGCGTTCGCCACATACACTGCGATTGGATCAGTCCGTGCCGATGATACCCGGCAACTGGACTCACCGGACCAGCCGTGCTCCTTGGACGCAGCAAACTCATCGAGCATGAATCCGAAAGAGAATACCATGTAGACGATCTCGACCACAGCAATCTGGTGCAAGTCTCTCCCTGCTACACATCAGCCTACAGTCGCATCGCTCATTCAGCACTTACAAGCCAGAGTAGCCACAAACAGAACCAGAAGAATGGCAAAGCTCGCAAACTCCATACTCTTTCTCCACTTGGGCACTTTCAACCTCGAATGGTCTAGCCACCCAGCCTCGTACGGGTTGTACATGTAGACCTCTTTGAGCTCTTCCTGATCCCCAGCATGACTATGGGTATGGCTGTACACTGACCCAAAGCCAGAGTTGCCCGCTCTGTCTGGTGAGATCCGACGCTTTTGGCGTGTACGCTCAGAGACGTAAGAGTCGGAAATGATTGAACGGGAAGACTCGGGAGAGTAGATGAGTTGGCCCGAGTAGATGAGTTTGATGAGGTGTTGGATCAGGGGCAATGCGTCAAAGTTTTTGGAGGTTGATACGATTGCGAGCTGGAAACGTCAGCAAGTGACATCAAGGTTTCTGAGGGTATTCACCTCGAGAGCGCTACTGGTCATCTCTTCGACATCTTTCCTATCCTCGCCCAAGCTTTCCCAGATCTCGTCGGGGGCTCCATCAAAGGCGCAATGAGCATGGACGAGCTCTCCCACCAAGGCAGCTTCATCTTGGACATTAGGATAGGCCCTGAGGATCCTGACTTTGTGATGATTAGTAGTGCATAGATCGCAGGTCGAGCATACATACTTGCCAGCAGCTCGCAGAAGGTGGCACGGGTCGACTCTACCATAGCTGAGCTCAGATCCCCAGCCGACAGAGTAATGAATTGGATGCTATATACTAATAAGTGCCTGTGCACTGGCAATGCGATGCGCTTACCGATTGGCCATGAGCGCGTAGAGGACCTGCCCGAGCGATGGGCCGCTGGCGGGAATGGGTGCAGACCTGTCGACGCCGAGCTCGCCACCCTGGTTGGGGGGCACGACGATGCTCGATCCGTTACTATTGTATCTGTCCTCGTCGAGCTTGGGGGCATAGCGCAGGACGAGTGGGCGGACGAGGGTGTAGTTGATGGGGGGGCTGTTGAGCTGGTCCCAGTCGAGGGCGGTGTCGATGGCGGTGGTGACTGTGCGGTGGAGGTCGTGGATGAGGGCAAAGACGGTCCCCGATGCTGCGTCCGACATGGCTGCATGGAGAGAAAGACGGGATCGTTATCTCAATCAGGCGCGTCGCGCAGTGCTTACGTCAGCCGCCCGTCCCCTACTTGCGTCTGTAGATGGGTGGTGTTCTCTACAGCGCACGATGTACCAGCGCGAGCCCCAACAATCCCCCTATGCCCACCCGAACATCGCCCCCCCACAGCGCCAGCCATACGCTCAGCAGTACTACCACCAGCCACAGCCACCCGCCAACTACCCCTACCCCCAACAGCAGCACTTCCAGCCGCCCCCACAGCGTCACAAGGGCACCCTCGCCCCGGGGCAGATCGTCTCGGTGGGTGATCACCAAGTACGCATAGAGCGCTATCTCTCAGAGGGCGGCTATGCCCACGTATACCTCACCACCTCGGAGCGGCCCATATACACTCCGAGCAAGAACCCTGACAAGAAGGGCAGATGGGGCGAGAAGGGGTACACCCAGCATTGTCTCAAGCGCATAGCCTTCCAGGACGACCATGTCTGGATCGACGTCAAGAAGGAGATTGAGGTCATGGTGCGTTTGGATGTGCATAGGAGTGTCATCGACTGACGGACTGTGCAGAAATCGCTGCCTCCCAATCCCCATCTCGTGCAGTATCTCGGGCACTCGCATGCCCGCCTGCAGACCGGAGGCCACGAGGTGTTTATTCTGATGGAGTTTTGTTCAGGTGAGTCGCATATCAACTGCCGAAAAATAATGCTGAATGGTGACAGGTGGGGGTATCATTGACCTCTTGAACAAGCGACTACGTGACAGGTTGAAGGAGATTGAGATTCTCAATATATTCACCGATGTTTGCGAGGTGCGTCTTACCCGAGTGTTGGATGATTTGCTGACAATATACAGGCCGTGGCTGCCATGCATGCCCTCAAGCGTCCACTGTTACATCGAGACCTCAAAGCAAGTCTTACCACTCCGACTCTTGGCTCTACTAACGCTTGGCGCTAGATTGAGAACGTCCTCTCTCAACCCCTGTCTTCACCTCCGACTCCCCAACGCCCCACCCCTCTGATGTTCAAGCTCTGTGATTTCGGGTCCACGACATTCCCAACTGATCGGCCGCCCCAGACAAAACTGGAAGCGGACGCCTTGGCGATGGATCTGAACAAGAATACCACCCTGCAGTATAGGAGTCCAGAGATGGTCGAGCCGATGCTAGGGTTGCCAGTTGGGTTACCGAGTGGTGAGTCATAGTCCACAAACCTTATTCCGGGCTGACCGAGGTGTAGATGTATGGGCGCTTGGGTGTCTCTTGTATAAGCTCTGCTACTACACGACTCCCTTTGAGGAACATGGGCCTCTGGCTATTGTCAACGCAAAGTATACGTTCCCTCCTGTCCCTCAGTATTCTCCCCGCCTCCAGCACCTGATCGGTAAGTATTTCATTGGCATCCTTGCAGCAGCTGATAGCGCCCAGCTTCCATGTTGGTGGAACAGCCTGTCAGACGGCCGACAGTCTTTGAGGTGTTGCGTATGTCTCATGATATGAGCGGTACCAGGCCCGAAGTGGACTATGTAAGTCTCCACAGTTCTCCCGGGCAGCGATCTAACCCGATACAGCCCATGCCATCGCGGTCCATCCCTCAACATGCCCCGCGGCCAACGAAACCCCACTCTTCAGCTTCATCCAACAACCTCTTGGACATGTCCGACTCTCCCTCTCGCAGGACGCCAGTCATGCAGCCTTCCATGGTCCCCAGCGTCCAGCCCCAGCGACGTGGCCGTCCCGCCCGGGAAGGTGGCGCGAAACCTACCACTCCCGGTGTTGCATCGCCTCAACCATCTCCCGGCTGGCAATACACTCCCAAGAGTCAACAGCCCCAGCCGACGTCGAGTGCTGCTCTGGTCAAGCCCACGCCAAAGGTGCAGATCACTGGGGACACTTTACAATCGCTCTCGAGAACGGCGCCGTCGTCTGCTATTGCAAAGTCGCCTTCACCCGTCGACGCGTTCGGGATGCCGGCATTGGCATCGCAAAAGACGACGAGCTCTGGCTTTGGGGATGCGTTTGGTGTACCGCCTTCTGGTGTGAGGGGTATGCAGACTGGGGCGAGCACGAATTCGGCAAGGTTTGGACAGGGAGTGCCGTCCAAGAAACCTTCGGGATTCAGCGACTCGTTTTCCAACACGTCCAACTTTTCTCATTCCTCGTCCATGTCTTCCCGGCCTGGCGTGTCGCGGCTTCCTTCCGGTCCTAGACCACCCTCTGCTGCGTCTACAGCTTCCACAAAGACCACCAGGCAGCAGCTCACTTCCTCGCCGTCCTCCATGCTTTCGCGCCAACAGACGAACCAATCGTCTAGTCAGCCATCTTCTATACCCGAAGGAGACTTGTCTTTCGAGTCTCGTTATCCGAGCGTTGAGACGCTGGACAGCGAAGACGGTTTTACCCCGCCCGTTTCAGGCGCAGAACGTCTAATCTCCCCTATGGTATCTCCTCCCTCCGCCGTACCTACCGGCGCTAGCTCCAGCACGACCTCATCCAACCTCACCCAGTCCAACAACTCCAACACCGCCCGTCCCCCCCAACCCCGTCTCTTCACCCGTCCCTCACTCATGGGCAACCTCACAGGCGGCGACCTCAAATCCCCACCTCTCTCTGAAAACAGACAAGGTCTATCAAAGGGCCAGCAAGCGAGGTCGACGCATGTGACGGGCACGGCGTTCAGGGATCAAAAGTCGCCTGCACCCACGCAGCCTGCGAACCAGGCGCCGCAGGGGGCCGAGGTTGATTACTTTGGGCCGTTGGAGTCGGATGATGAGAAGGAGCCGATTGTTGAGAGGAAGGAGTCGGTTGCTGAAAAGGCAGAGACGCCGGAGAAGGAGATCGAGGTCAGGCCGAAGAATTTGATGGATGACGAAGATCCTTCTCTCCTCCAGGTCCCTCTTTTACCAGGCCGCTCCACCTCGCCCGCATCCGCTTCGGGCCAATCGTCTCCCGGCAAACCTACCTCCTTGAAGCTCGATGCTGCGGGTGCAGCAGCTCAAGCGACAGGCAGGTCCAATATCATGAGCGAAGAATGGTCGCCCCTCGAAGATATGCGCCGTAAAGACGCCGAGGAGCGGACTCGGGCGAGGGAAAGGGCAGAAAAGGAAAAGAGGGATGCCGATGCGGGTCGAGTCACCGAGAGGACGAGGTCGGATGATCCTGAAGTGGACTCGAGCGAAGATGATGAAGGGCCTGAAGAGCCTAATCGGTTCAATCGCCAGCCGCCGCCTGCTAAATCCCTTGTTGAGCCGCCCCGGCCATCTACCCAGCGCGTCCCTTCGGGAGACAGGACGAGACCCCAGTCCATGTTCCTTCCTTCTTCGACAAATTCGTACTCGCGTCCTTTGGCGAGATCACCCGGGGCTGGATCGCCGTCATTCGCTTCTCCTCCCAACACTTCTGTATCCCAACCTAGTGCTGGCGCTACGGGTGGATCAGGACTTGGTAGGAAAGGTTCCATCAACGGGATCGTTTCGAGGTACGAAGGCTTGACAGTGAGCGGAAATACTACCGCCAGAGACAGCAGCAGGCGACCGGTGAGCCAATATGGTGCACCTCCTGCCGATACTCGTCCAAACACGAATGGTCTTTCTCGAAAACCATCTGTCGCTAGCAAACCCATGGCTCTCAGAAAGTCCACCGCCGAGATCAGGCAATCCCAACCTTCGACATCCCCTACCAAACCCTCGCAGGTGTCTCCGACTAGCCCTGTGAAACCGAAAACGGCAACGCAGGCCAAGCCTGTCGCTGAAAATAACAACTACTCTGGAAGTACATATGTACGTCCGGGGATGACGAGGCCGGTGGTGAAACCCAAGCCTACTCTCAATACCACACTGGGTCAATCCAAGAAGCCAGCTTCCCCAATTGTGCGAGCACAGCCCCCGCGCGAGCAGCAGAGTGGAGGCCGAGCGGATGATAGGCTCGAGAAAAGCAGCTCGGGGTCGCAGTCGCCTGAAAAGCAGCAGCCGGTCAATGCCCTCATTCAGAGGTGGAACAAGGGGGAGGTGAACAATTCATCAGCGAATATTCCAAAAGTGAACCGAGGAGGGTATATATAAGGACATTAATGAACAAATCAACGTTGAAGAAGGAAAATTGTCTTGTCAAAGCTTGATTATACTGTAACGTACGTAACTGCATAGAACGATTTTGATGCATAGGTTCTTGGAATATGTTACAACGGGTACAGGCGGTTCTAGAGTGACCAATCGTGCACGTCAATCTCCTCCTTTTCAATCTCCTCTTGCTCGGCTTCCCAGTCCAACCACGCCCTTCCATCAGCAAACTCGACCCAGTCCCTCTCTTCCCATCCTCCAGGTGCAACAACATGACACCCGGCCTCAAAATTCTTCCATCGCCACTTTTCGACCTTTTCGGCCCATTGCCAAAAGACGGGACCAGTCTCCTTCTTGGCAGGCGGTTTGCCGGTGGAAGCCGTGGGCTTGGGGGCGGCAGGTGAAGCGACATTATCAGCCTTTTGCGCTGCGTCAAGAGCCTTCATGGCCTTGTTGATATCATTGAGACCAGCTATTCGTCATTAGTGGTTTGTCCATGTCGGTGTTGAGGAGCTCACGCTTCGGGCTAGCTTTGTCGCCTTCCACCTTGTCTTCAGCTGGCTTTGGCCCTGGGACCAACTCGGGATCAGGATCATGTCTCGCGTCTTTGTTTGCAGCCAGCTTTTCCGGTGACTCCTTGTCCTCCCCTGTCCCGGGGAGTGGATTCACCGCCACAGCAATGATAGCTTGACCGCCGTCCGACTCCTCGGGGACATCACGAACTTCGGCGGGCTTGCCGTCCCTCAGCTGCACGTCGCTCTTGGGAGTGCCAGGGGTCTCGTCAGTCTCTTTATCCTTCTCACCCTCCTTCTCGGTTTTCTCCTGCTCGGCTTTCTCCCGGGCCTTCCTTTCACGGTACTCTTTCTCCTTTCTTGCTCGATACTCCTTTTCCCGTCTCTTCCTGTCCTCTGCCTGCTGGGCTTTGACCATGTTGCCAAAGACTCGGTCGTTGGCACTGGTCACGAGGACCTCAAAGCCCTTATTAATATGCTCTATGGGTTTCCAAGTGAGGGCGTGATCGAGGCGGATAAGGAAGTGGCCGTGGGCAAGAATCAGGAAGGCAGCAGCAGGCTCAGACCAATGTCGCGAAGGAGAACGCTAGAAGGGGACCATCAGCATCTGTGCCCCTACAATAGGATGCACTGACCTCGGTGTTGTATGCGCATTGGATCCCGACTGTGGACAAGACGTCGTCAATGCCAGCCTTGGTCCAGTCGACTTCAGGCTTCTCAATGACTGCTTTCTTGGCCTTGGGCCTAGCTTCAGCATCACCATCCTCACCGTCTTGCTTCTCTTCCGCAGGTTTCTCTGGGCGTGTGAGGTCGGTGGAGAGGTGCTTCACGGCCTCAGGGCTGTCCCAGTCGTACCTGTCCCAGAAGACTTTGACCGACAGCTAAAGAGTACACGCATGAGCCAAGCCAACAAGTAAGCAAAGAGCTTACCTCGTGATTATCTTCAACAACAAGATCATTCCAAAGGTCCAATAGCAAGCCTTCCGAACTGCTGGGTACCTTCCTCTTGATAGTCTTCTTTTTCTCGCTCTCAATTTGTCGCTGTAACTCCTTTTCCCATTCCCCAGTGAGCCTTTTCAAAGCCTCTCGCTCGGTCCGCTCTTTCCACTGGGGAGCCAGCCAACCGTCCTTGGTGATATCAATCCAGCAAGGCGCATTGCCAATTGCTTTGGCATACTTGTAGTAGGCCCCTCGAGGGTCACTGTAGACGGGAGGGTATACCATAGAAGGAGGAAGGTCAAGGCGAGTGCGCAGGGGACGCTCGGGGGCAGGGGATAGCAGGATCAGAGGCTCGACCGGCTCGGGTTCTTCGCTATCTTTGTCGTCGGGTCCGTGAGGCTTGTCATCGTCTTTGTTGGACTTCTCCTCCTTCTCTTCGACGGAAGGAGTCTTGGGCACTTTGTCATGCTTCGCCTCTTCTGGCTTGACAGCTTGGGTAGCACTCTCCTCTTTCTTCTTCTCATCCTCCTTTTCGGGGACTTCAAGTGCTCCAGGTGCGGGGATAGGTGGCTCGGGCTGGTCGGATACAGGGGTATGAGGGGTCTCCTCATTCAGCTTCTCCTTCTTCTCGCCTTCGCCATGATTGGCATCTACATTCTCTCCCTTCTGGGGAGGGGCGGCTTCCTTCTCCTTGACCTCAGGATTAAGCTTTTCCTTCTTATCTTTGTCAGATACTCCTCTAGGCTTGGGGGTGGGTGCTGGGTGGATAGCCAGGGCCAGAGGAGGGGGGGCAAAGAAGCGGTGAAGAGACATGACGGGCGGAGAGAAGAATGCGAAGAAGGGTTATCTGAGGGCTGGTCAACATGTTGTATCACATTTGCCTCTGCACACACTCACGGCTCCAGGGTTCGTTCTTTATTGGAGGACTGTTTCCTCCAATTGGACTGGTGAAGAGATTGATATGTAGATACAAGGCAAAATCAAGATAAAGGCTGCTCCGGTCCTGCCAGCACGGCTTGGCTATTTGAAACGGTCCCCACTTGCCATTGTCGTCTCAACCCTGGTCTGCTGGGACTATCGTGTGTCAACTCCGTCCAGCTTGATGAAAAGAGGACAGGGTGCGAGTCAGTCCTTTGCTAATAAAGGAGGAGAGCACCTTTGCTCGCCCAGGCGGCTGTTGAACCGTACGCTGTGGAGGAAAGGGGAGTCACGTAAGCCACGCGACAAAGGAATTGTGCGCTTGAGATGAAAGGTGCGTCATCTGTATGGGCCAGACTCTGGAGAGGCAAGCCGATATATATGCGATATCGGAGGCCAAAGGTCAAAGGAACTTTTGGAGTCATATGTTGATTCAGTCTTGTATCAGTCTGTGGAATGAAGACAGTCGGAAGAACTGCGGCACAAGGCGAACATCGTGGATTGATCAGCCAACGTTGTGATGCGGTCAGCCCGTATGGCTCGGAACGCCGCGTCGCTAATCAGCACCTGGAACGGTTGGAGTTACGTAGATGAACAAGTGCATTGTCTTATCTATGATCGGATGAACACAATAACTATCTCTATATACACGCCATTCTGAAAGCAACTAATTCCTCATTGGATCTAGCCTGCACAACCCGCCGCCGTCTATTTTCCACCCATCTTATCCCTCAGTTTCTTCACCATACTGGTCTTTCTCTTCAGCTGTGTCGTTTCCTTGACTTGTCCTCCATCATCCAACAACGAACTGTCCCCGCTCGCACTCCCCTTCTTTCCCTGCCGCGTCCAGTAATCGTCCCACTCGGGCAGAACTGGTGCTACCGGCGGGGCGTTTGCGCTCGGCTTTCGACGCAGACCGGGGCCACTCTGAGGAGTAGAGGCAGGCACTGAGGCGGAGGCGGAAGATGACTTTCCAAGTGAAGCTTCTTTCTGCAAAGCGCGAAGCGCGCGAGCTTTGGAAGAGGGAGACTCTACAATCTGGATGCTCGGGTTGGTAGGCACCTGACGCTGCTGTTCGGAAAAGTCGAGCGGGGCGGGAATGTGGTCATTGTTGACCTCCTTGGCCGGCGAACTAAAGTCGAGTTCTCCCAGGGCAGGAGCGACACCGACCGGGGATTGAGCCCCGGGAGAGTCGACAAAGGTCACCGAGGGGGGACCAGAAAGCTTGGGTGAGGGCGCTCGGCCGTTGGCCTTGCCACCATAGAGGTGGGGGTATCGCTGCTTCTCCTTTTCGGTGATGGGAGTAGGTAGCCCGTTCGAGCGGGTACTTGGCGAAGGTGCGTGGTCACTCGCCGCCTCGCTTGCCCCGTCGGACGGCATAGGAGAAGGTTCCCTCTGGTGAGGCGAGTAAGATCGTTCGCCAGACTTGCCTCGCATGGGAGAGTTGCCATTCTCACGCTGTTGGTTATCAAGCATCAGCCAACGGTTCTACACACGATTATAGCATAATCTTGATCTTTCCACAACAAAGGAAAAAAGGAGAAAAAGGATACAAAACACTGAGAATTGTTCTTCCGCAAGAGACGCGGCTACAACATGAACCCCAACATGAAACAAAAGACCTCTGATAACGCGCATCTATCTCGCGCACGAGAAGAGAAAAGAAAGACACAAAACGCTAGGAGACAAAGCTAAAAGGCTACGCTCCCTTTTACGTCGAGCTTCACCACCCTGCCCTCCTCTCGCCCTTCCATAGCCCCAATCCATCGCCTCCACCTTGGTTGGGAGCAGCCGCGGTCGCAAGCCCGGGGTATCCCCCGTACTGATTACCGCTACCGCTTCTCAACTCAAACTCGGTCTCTTCCACGACAGGCGAATCCGTCAAGCTGGGGCTGAGCATCGCTGATCCCGAGGACGCGGAGAAGGGCGGACGGTCATGAGACGCATCTCCCGACCCCGCACCAGGGGGTCCAGCGCTCATGCTTCGACTTCTCCCCGCCATTCCCATCCCCGCCATTCCAGCTCCCGGGGTTCCACCATAACTGCCACTTCCAAAAGATGCCGAGTTCGACGTAGGATCTGAATCCTGTTTATGACGCACCATAGTCTTAATTTTCTGCATCAAGCTCTTGGTACGCTTGATGCCGCCAGGAGGGACATTGGTCGCTGTGACCACGCCACCTCGAGGATAAGATGAGGGGGCAGTTTCTGATCCGGGGGAAGGAGCACCGCCTTCTTCTTGGATAGGTGGGGACATGGGGCCGAAGCGCGAGCCGGGAGAGCGCATAGGACGGCCACCAGGAAGAGGAGCCGAAACAGACTCTGGGGAATAGAGTTCTTCGGTGACTGTGGCTGGTCAGTAAAATGTCTCATGAGGCGTCGGGCCACTCACTGTCGATAGTATTTTCCTGTGGCGATCTGCCATAGTCTTCAAACGGCTCAGCTAGCCAAAACGTCAGATACAGCCTTGAATCAGATTGAGATACTAACGCGTGTCGATACCCCAAGCAGCCTTCAAAGCCATCCGCTTGGCCTCCCTCTCCTTCTGCTTTTCCATTCTCAATATCGCAGCTTCGTCCTGCGGCTCATCCTCCTCGTTGGGAAAGTAACCCCCATCAGTCGGCATACTAGTCGAGTACTGCCCAGTCAAGCCTCCGCCTCCAGGGCGTCGGCCTGGAATAGCTCGACCGGGTCGGCGTCGCTCGGGTTGCTCGGCTTTGGGCGAGTCTTTGGCGGGAGGGGCGGGGGCGGAGAGGGAGATGGAGGAAGGGCCGCGCTGAGGAGGGGGCGGGGCAGCTGGTTTGGCTTCTTTACCGAATGCACGCATGGGAGCCTTGGTGTTGGGGGCATTGGCGTTGCGGGACGGGGCAGCGGCGTCGTATGGTCCAGCGCTACACGAGATCAGAAATGTCTCTTCAAATTTCCCACGCTACTTACTGGTGCCACACTACGACTTTTGTCAGCTGAGAGTATTTCAAAATCGAACGATGACTCACTGGCACTTCCCATTCCTGTAGGGTCCCAAGTATCAATTACGTCCGCATGTCTGCTCCCCTTTTTGTCTGCCAGCTTCTTCTTCTGTCCCGCGGTCAACTCTTGAACATTGGGGTCGACGCCATAAGAATCTGTCGACAGGGAACGTCGAGTGCGAACTTTGCCGTTAGACTCGGGGGATCCAAGCAGGTGGAAGGCGGAGCCAGGGGAAGCGGCACTGTATGCGCGTTGATGTCGAGGGCGGCGAGGGTAGGGTGGAGGTGGGGGAGGTTGAGCAGGAACAACGCGTGGGACGCATGGTGGGAGGCATTGAATGACCATGGTGAAAAATGTGTCGTAGTATGAGTTTAAGGTATCGAAGAAAGTTGTGGGCATATGTTAGCTGGCGTCTCGAAAGATAAGAGTATCAAGCAAGTGGAAAGAAGGCCACGGATATAGGGAGTAAAGATCGTTGCGGGGACGCATGCGAAGGACACGTTGATAAAGACCCCCACACCGCCCAGCATCGGTTGTCTCCTTTATGCCCAGCCTTGCAACACCTTTTACGGCGCTTCTGCCACCTCCGACGCACCATGGCGTGCCGACACAGATCTTCGACACGCGTCTCACTGTCGTGCTCCACCATGCCCCCTAACACGCTGCCCGGAAAAGGGAGACTCCAAGATACACAGCTCTGAAAGACGAAACAGCACTCACCCAGTATGAGCCCTGGTGAATTTGGCCCTTCGCGGTTGGACTGTCCCGTCCTGTTCATATGCATAATCCTTGGCCCCGGGGGGCCTGACTCGGCCAACAGGCGGCTCGATTTCGTCGTCCGCGAACGGATTTTGGAGCTGTGCCATCCTAGAGGACGGCAGGGCGGGCTGGCCAGCACTGACAGACGCCATCTGGTCGAGATCGTCGTCGGGTGAAGGCGGGAACGCGTCGTACTGCTGGTGGTGGTACGCGGGGTTGCCAGCGGTATTGGGCGAAGGGGTGCGACGGGGGACGAGCGGGTCGAGAGATGGAAGTGCAGGAGAACGCGAAGATGGTTTGTTGTTGGTGTTGAGCAGGATGCCTTGCGTGTGATTGCGGGGCAGGTCGTCGTCAAGGAGGCCCTGGTCTTGGCGGTGGTCGCTTCGCTGAGACGAGGCGGGGGATTTGATCTGGACAGAGTCTCTGACTGCGTCTGCGAGATCCTGGTTGACGTAGTCTGGGCCGGGCTGGCGGGTGGACGAAGGAGAGAGGTACCCCTGCTCCTTTGCAGGCTGACGGGGGGCCATCGTGAAAGGGGGATTGGGGCGGTCGAGGCCAGAGGAATCCTTTGTGGCGCTGGATTGGGCGTAGGGCGGTGCCGGTGGGCGGTGGTGGCTGAGGGGATTATAGAGAGAGATGGAAAAGAGTGTGGAGAGTGAAGAAAGAGAGAAGAGCGCGTCGAGGAGAGATGAGCGGCGATGTATGTGCGGGAGGAAGTAAACAGACCTGATCTGCATCCATGCATCTGCCTCTCTCTTGCCCCTGGCCTCTGGGGACCCACCCCCGCCATCACCACCTGCTGCACTGACCACTGAGCATATGCCCCAGCGGGCCACCCTCTAGTCTCCAGTGGGCCTAGCCATAAACTCGGCGCCAAAAACCCTGATTCTCATTTTGCGGCTCATTAAAACCCACACAGTCGTTCAACCATGAGCTGCCTCTTCTTCCGTCTGCCAGCCCATCCATGGGGTAGTGGCCGTCCTCGTCCCTCCAGCTCAGCCCGTCTTTAGCGAGCAGCTTTACCTGCATCATATATGCTCGCGAACTGCCCTAGTCTGTTGCATGGCCTGTTACAAGCAGCCCAATCTGCTCCCATCAACAACATTCGGCAACCCTGAAACCCTTTTTCGGCTTCTTCCATTTTCGGTAATTCGTGCCGACTCTTCTCTTTCATGCATAGCCCAGTGCACAGTGGTGGGCATAATGGATACCATGGATCACGATGTCAACCACCAGCTTACCCGCAAAAGAAGTATTACATACATGTCGTTACAAGTCTACTATTCTACATTCTGGTACACAACCTGTAATCATGGTACGTCAGTCATCGTCCAACATTCAATTTGAGTAAGGAATCCGCTCAGTGGGCCAAAGCCTCTTATGGTTTGGCGATCCCAGCCATATCCTTGTCCGTCCCAACCGCCAGTCTGAAAAGTTATCTGCACCAATCCTCGCATCGCAGCCTAAACCTCAGGCCTTGACGCTGTTTCGGTGCATTTGTAGCGCCCCCTTCCACCCTTCCCCCGAAGGAATAAGGTTTCCAGGAGCAAGACACTGTATGATTGTGCATCTTGGATCCCTCGCCTCTCCATGAACCTCGCAGAGAGACGATCATGCCTTGAAATCCATGACAACAGTAAACACTCTCAAGCCCAACCGAGAGCCCAGTAGAATGAGACAAACGGCGGAACAAGAGAGCTTGTAGGCCCGGGCCTTTATTGCTCCCTCCACGACTCTTGGGAATGGGAGCAATCATAAACCAGGCTCTTCTCGTCACCCAAGAGCAAAGAGAAGACGAAACGATGTACGTCCTTTACGCCTTTTACGCCCCACCTCTTGGATCTTCAGAGGAGAGGAGAGATAGATGGACGCCTGGAGCTGGGACAGACACTCGGATAGACTCACACCTTTTACTAGAACACATCATAGCGGAACAGAATGGCGGACAGACTTACAATCTATTGCATCAAACTGTCTTCCCATGACCGCCCTTCAGCGAAAGATTGTTCGGGTGGCGGCCCGGTATATTCTCGTTGGCGTGCTTCTTCTGCAGCTTGAGAATCGACGATGACTGCCCAGACGGACGCTTGGACCTGTGCAAGGCATAAGCAGGCGCCAGAAGGAGCGTGGGAAACGGACCAGAGTGAGGACAAGCCCCATGCGCTTCTCCAGCGTCCTCAGCTCGGCGAGCAGGGACTCGTTGGGTGCTTCTGCTACGTTTCTAGAGAGCGCCGCAGCCTGGAATCGGTGCCCGAATTAGTTGTTGTGGTCTAGTGAAACAAGCGGGATATGGCGTACCCGCTTCACTTTATCGCTGAGCTTTGCAAACTCCCACAAAACGTCCTGCTCGAGCGAGGAAAGCTGGCCGCTGTTGGCGCTGTATGGCTGTGAGCACGCAGCCTGGCCTGTGGGTGTGCACGTACTATGGGTTTGTGGTCTGTACGGACATGGGGATCGAGATGGAATGAGGGAATGTTGTTTGGCGCGTCGAATTAATTGCTACGCGTCGAGAAAAATAAGCGGGGCGGGAGGACTATTACAAGGCGGCGACGAGCGATGCGGGCACGGTGCCCGAGGAGTATTTCTCCCTCCATTTCCCATCCCCATCTCTCATCTGCATCTCATCTCCCTCCCTCCCTAACCTCCCCCACCACCCAACTTGCCCATCGCACTCTTTTGCCTCCACAGACACCCCCACATACCCCCATCGGGCCTTCTCGCCACCCATTTCAGCCTTCTCCGAAATCTTCCTCGCCCTTATAAACCTCGGCCTCGCCACTGCTCCCCCCTCAAACCGCACCATGTCTTTCCTCGCCGACTTGTCCTACAACACCACCCTCGTCTCCACCATCACCCCCACCGCTCTCCACGCCCCATTCTACCACACCACCCGTCCACATCTCTTCTCCTTCATCTCGGACAAATATCTCTCAATCGCCGCTCCCATCCTCGCCTACTGGTTCTACTCTACCTTCTTCCACTGCATTGACACCGCCCAGTTCCCGTACTTTGAGAAGCGCCGCATCCATGATTCGCCAGAGATGCTCGCGCGAAACAAGGTGACGATCTGGGATGTCATCAAGGCGGTCGTTCTCCAGCACGTTATCCAGGCTGTGCTGGCCTGGTGGTGGATCGAGGACGATGAAGTGATTCTTCAAAGAGAGATCTACAAGGACCACTTGGCGGCTATGGGCCATATGGCCCCGTGGGTGGCTGACGGGACGCTGTTGGTCTTGGGCAGGAGAACCGGCGAGCAACTGCTCAAGAACCATGGAGAAGCTATGGTGCGCTGGCTGTATTGGTGGGGTATCCCTGCTGCCCAGATGCTCTTTGCTTTGTGAGTCATTCGTCACCTGCACCTGACATTGTTCTAACCCGATCGCGCAGCTTCATCATCGACTCCTGGCAGTACTTCTGGCACCGCGCCATGCACACCAACCGCTGGCTCTACCGTCACTTCCACTCGCACCACCACCGTCTCTATTGCCCCTACGCCTTTGGTGCTCTTTACAACCACCCCGTCGAAGGCTTTATTCTTGATACTCTTGGTGCCGCGATTGCCGAAGAAGTCTCATTCATGACTGTTCGACAGGCGACCTTGCTCTTTACCGTTTCTACGCTCAAGACGGTCGATGACCACTGCGGCTACAGGCTCTGGTGGGACCCCTGCCAGCTGCTGTTTGCCAACAATGCCGACTACCATGACATTCATCACCAGGCGTATGGTATCAAGGCCAACTTTAGTCAGCCCTTCTTGTAAGTGTCTCCGCCTCTCGCTTGGCTCAATGCTTACCTTTTTTGCAGCACCAACTGGGACAAGATCTTGGGGACAAGAATGTCCCGCGAAGAAGCCGATGGCAAGAGCCGATGGAAGCCCGTCAGTGGCGACCATGTCCTTGCGCAAGCTCCGGCCAAGAAGCTAGAATAGGTGCCTCTCTGAGGATCCGTCAAGATTGGGGGTCAACGTTTTCCTTTCTTTAATTCCATACTGTAATACCATCATTCAACACCATCCATATTCGACATTGCATTAGTGGGCGGTTCGCTCTTCTTTTATGAAATACAGTTAGCATGTATCGCAGGTGCGGGAAGCCTCATGAGTCATTGCTAATGATCATCAACAACTTGTCCATTGTCCAGAGCATTGCCAGCCAGCAAACATCGCAGCTATGTTTTAGACGCCTTCATTGTCGGACAAAGGAGCCTCGGAATTCGGAGCTTTGCCATCCCAAGGCCCCCACTCGGTATGCCGCCGGTCATTTTATCCCACGACCTGTCACCTTCACCGAAGAAGCTTGTCCTTTGGCCTTCCTTTCCCATCCGTCTCATTACAGGAATCATCCTTTCTGTCGTCTTCCCCGTTTTCCCGTTTAGCTCGCAGGCCTCGTCTCCCGGATTTCCCTGCATAGCAACGACTTTACCGCCGGCTCCTTTGTGATCCGGCCACCTACAGCAGATGTGTCTCTGTGTGGGTCATCAGCCACAACACAACCTGAACGGCAGACAAAAAGGATTCATACATGAAAGGTTGCCATGTCCTGCAATATGCGTGACAATGCAAGACTTTGCGCTCTTTTGACAACTGTCGGCATATAGAAGGCGAGCAGACGAGCAGTGTCACAAGAGTAAGAAGGGATTCGATATCTGCTTAAACCTTCCACCTATCTGCCATTGTTGATCCTTGGCGTATAGAGAGATCGTTACCGCTCATCAGTACCGATACAAATCCGACCTCGAATCATGCACAACCACCAGTACCCCTCCGACAAGTCGCTCTCCAATATCTTCGAGACCGCCCGCTCCCCATCCCCGGTCTTGCCGGCCGACCCAGCGCCGGCATACTCTGCTCTCCCCGACAGGGAGACCGAGTTTTTCCTTGCCCCCATTCTCAATGGCAAAGTAGGTGACATTGAGCTCGAGACGGTGGATGGCAAGCGGTTCCTGGTCCACAAAAAGGTGTTGGAGCAAGAGACGGTCTTCTTCCACATCTAGTGAGCCGCCTTTCTGCTCTTGTGGCCTGTACTGACGACTTTCAGCTATGGCTTCGTTCCTGTTTGGCGCCTGAGTGCTCAGCCTCAAGCCGCATCGGTAGACCATGCTCCTGGTGCCCATCGTCCCAGGGAAAATACCGCCTCTCCCCTAAACAGCCTCCTTTGTCTCCCAAAGTTGCTTGCCTCGCATCTCTCGCGATCGCCAGCAGCCGCCAACCTGCTCGCGCAGCACCATATGGCACAAGTCCGCACCGAGCCGTCAGGGATCCCAAGCTCGCCACCACCAGCATTCGATGACCTTCCCCCGCCTCCTCCTCCCCCAAAAGACATTACCGCGCCTACCCCTACCGCCTCGCCGTACACATGGGCCGTCCCCGAGACGTCTCTCATCCTCACTGCCTTCTTGTCTCTCATCTACCCTCCTGGTGTTATCTCTCCTTCTCCCACTTCACTCCTCACCTCCCTCGATATGACAGGCCGGGTTGTCCGCGCCGCCCTCGGATACCAGAGTGCCAAAGCTCTGAGTATGGCAAGGGACAAAATGGCCGACTGGGTGGACAGTGACCCAGTGCATGTCTATTCCATGGCCAGCTTCTTCAAATTTGGTGATCTCGCCAAGCTGGCGAGCACAAGGGCTGTGGGCATCGCGTCGGAAGATTGGCCGGAGGATGCAAAGGTGCTGATGGGACGGACGGCTGCGAGCAGGCTGCTTGGCTTGCAACATTCGCGAAAGACGGGACTGAAAGAGATTCTCTCCAAACCCATGGAAGAAGATGACCATTGCTGCTCTTGCGTTCGCTACCCCATGGCACGCGATGTCTGGCAGCGCATGACTGAGCAACTGGCTACCCGGGTGGCAGCAGACAGCGATCTGATAGAGTTGCTGAACGTGGATCTGAGAGGAGGTCATTGTGGGGAGTGTTTGGTGCTGCTGGGAAGGAGTGTGCAGAGGTGTCTGTATGAGGCCAAGGATTTACCGAGGATGATTTGAGTGGGTTACTCTGTAGGAATATCTGATTAGATGATGACTTGTATTGAGTAGTGCGATCATCGATATGCATCAACCTGTGGCTTCAAACAAGTTTACGTGAAACTGAAGCTCATGAATGTCCAGATATGTGCATATCGCCATACAGTCATACATGAGACTAGTCACAAAGGAGTCGCCTATCACTCGGAGCTTCCAGTAAACTGACAAATAGAGACCAGGAGGAGAAGACATAACGCCGAAAACAGGCAAGTACACAGAATAACAACAAAGGCTGCGATCACCGCTATCAAAATGGGTATGATCAACAAGGCACCAACAAAGGTTGCCCAGATGTACGCAGCGCCCAGCCTGTCTCTCAAGATCTTGCAGTCAAATCAGCACGACCGGAGGTTTGCGTGCATGTTACTCACAGGGTAGATCCAACGTCCGTCTTGAACCTGCGGGGAGTTTCGCACCATCATAACAGTGGTGTTTTTGTCGACATGTTGCCAACCATTGTAGAGAGGGGTGTACTCGGATTGAGAAGGCTCGGAATCAGAAAGGTACGGGATGTCGATGATGTCGATTGCGGCTCTTGTCGTGACAGACTGCTAAGAAAACCTGAGTCAGCTTGACATGTTGAGTGATATCTACACCTCACGCGCCCCTGCTGCTGCACCCGACCACAGAGGTATCACCAACGTACCTCGCTGCTGCTCTCGTCACTTTCTCCCTCGGTATCGTCATATGGGATGCTCATCTTGAGCCGTGGACTGTTGCTGAACGAAGCGTGGGAGTCTGAATGCCAAAAGATGATGAAGATGTAGAAGTAGACACAAATGGCGCGGTGGTCCGAGCGATTCGCGTCATTAGGGTATTGATTGCAGTGAGACTCTCGGCGAGTCATAAAACTTGTCCGTTCATGGAAATGATATGTAGTTGATATATATAATACGACAGGTCACATTGCGCAAAGTACAAGCTTCGAATCAAAGAAGCAGCCTCCTCACACGGCATCGAGATGGACTATTGTCATGTGTGTACTTTCGTCATTCTTCTACCACCGTCCCATGTCAAAAAAATGGGCGCCGTAGTCATCGATAGGGAAACAGCTCTTCTATTACCCTCCGGATGTGTGCCGGGTACATTGTCAACATCCACCAAACATCGAACCAAAGTACAATCAAAAGCGCTACTGCTGCCATCACGGAAAATGGGACAAGGACAAACAGAAACAAGCCACCGACCATGAGGCAGCCAAAAGTATACGATAACCCACGTCTCAATGTCTGGAAGATGTCAGCACGTCTTTTCAGGGATATACAAAGACTTGCCTCGACCGCACGTCCCACAACACCATCTGCTGCCACCGTCGGGTCACCTTCCTCCTCAAAAGGATGTTCGCCACTGCTGCTTCCTTCCCCACTATCGGCATCATCGGTGGTGGACGCAATGGAGGAGCCACTACTATAGAGGGATAGTCGAGATGTGCTGAGAGGGCTGGGACGATATGGTGGCGAGGCAGGACTCTAAGACGGACATTGTCAGAATCGATGACTCATGTTGATTGACAACTCGCACCGGCCAAGGCGCGCCGTTGCACTCTCACAGCTCACCCACCACTCACCTGATTCTTCTGTCCCCAACCTCCCTTTTCTGTACCAGGATACAAGACGGAGTGTGCCATTGTATGTCTGGTGGGTCTGAGGCAGTATATCGCTCGGTGGGTGCGGACAAGATAAATGCAGATACAAACACGATAATGAAAGGGATGCGGACTACGGTGGTCCGAGCGTGATTCAAGTCGTGGCGCGTGACTCTTGCTGTGTTGGGTTTCGACTCGGCCCTTCAATGACCGGCAAGAGTGGAAGTATTGAAATGTAGAAGAGCCATGCATGATCGCTTAAAATAACAACAAAAGGTCCTGAGATCCGATCGAAACGATAGTACGAAACCCGATCAACCATAGAACAGTAGGATGCCAGGACCACCCCCAGAGAAATGAATCCCCTCGCTTCCACAAAGAGATACCCACGAGAGGAAAAGTTACAACTATAATAGACTGTATCAGTCAAATGCGTGATTGAAAAAAAAAAGTGCCCAGAGTAATGACAATGTGGGAATGCTAGGTCTCGTCTCCTCTCCCAATCCCCTCCTCACCAACCATGAATCCTATAGCTGGTATCCATCAAGTTGATCCTCTTCCATTCTCTCCTCTCCCTCTGACTCTGCCCGCCGTCACCGTCCGTCGTCGCTGAGCGAACCATCGCCGGCGCCTGGGGTTGAGGCACAGCAGTTTCGCTTTCGCCTCGACCACCATTGCCCAGCGTCCCGCTACTCTGTGTTCTTCCTATACTCCCCATATTCGCCGCCTCCTCCCGCGCTGCCATCGGTCCCACTCTCGTCAACGGACGAAGCAGATTCCCACCGGCCAGGACGTTCGGTGCCGGCCGTTTGCGCTGTTCTATCGCAGAATGCTGTTGATGGGGGACAGAGCTAGCATGAGGGTCTTGATCTTGGTGGCCGTATGGATAGGGAGGATTAGCATTGCGAGCCGATTGAGGCTGGTGATGCTGCACCAGGGGCTCGGGCTGGGCGTATTGGGTGAGGTTGACAGCAGAGCGGTGAGAGGGGACCATCGATGGTGGCGGACGAGTGCGAGATGAGCCTCCAGAGAGGATCCTGGAAAGGCCGGTCGACGACTTTTCGCGCTCGAGCACGACATCTGAAACTGATCAGCACCTTTCCGATCCGAGCGCTGGATGATGACTCACTTCGTCGCAAAGACTCGGACATTTCGGCCATGATGATGTTTCTCCTTCTGGTGGTTGGCGTCATCATAGGTTGAACGACTCCAAACTCATTCGCCCTCGCCGAAACAGGAAGGGCTCGAGAGGCTGCCGCCGATGCCGGCTGGGCTGGCGCAGCATCGTGGACGGAGGCAGTAGTCGCCGAGCTACCCGCCTCAGCCTTGGCCTTGGACTTTGCTTCTTGTTTGCTATCCAGCTCGGCAAGCTTTTGGTGAATGTGAGAAGTGTTGAGATAGTCGTCATCGCCGTCCTCCGAGTCAGACTCGAGCTCCACTACAGGCTTCGTCTTCTTTGACTGCTAGAATTAGCCACTACACCACACCAAAGAGACGGGATGCTCACCTTGTGGCTCTCGGGACTGCTCCCCGTAGCCGCATTCTTGCCAGCAGCTTGCGAGATGTGTCCTCCAGTGACAGTGACACTGACACCAGATTGTACAGGCATAGCCGCAGTAGACTTGCTTCGTAGTAATGATGGACCAGGATGGGGTGAATGGGCTAATGAGGTCAATTGTGCGTGAGTCGGAGAGGACTTGATCGGAGCGCGGTCTTCCGAGACGGTCGGCTATAGTACGTCAGCAGACATTCGTGATTGGAGCCATGTACTCACCAGGTTTACCATACTAGCACCTCTTTGCAGAGCAGAAGCTAAAAGCCCACTTGGTGGCCTCGTTCCCGTACCACCTAGCACATTTTGCTTTGCAAACATCTCCCTCTTTCTCTGCGCATCCAGTCTCGCTTCAACCTTGGCCCTTTCCGCCGCTGCCGCCTGTCTTTCCTTCTTGCTCAATTTCGGCACCGGCGCAGGGGCTGGAGCAGGGGGAGGTTGGCGAGACATGACCAGATTGGGAGCAGTGTTGGACCTATCGCCGTGCCACGTCGTGCGGCGTTTGAGTGAATCAGAGCCAGCTTCGGATTGAGCCTGAGTGATGGTCGCGAGCCCGGGCCGAGGACGCGAGTTTGAACGACGACGGTTGGGATCTCTAGTCTTGGATTGGGTTTCGGAGGGCCGCTGGGGCGATGGAGACTTTTTGATGGGTGATAGGACTTTCCGGACTGGGGATTTGAGTTGAGGAGCAGGCTGAGGTTCTGGAGTGTCTTTTTCAGACTTGGCGCCGTCGCCATCCTCGTCGCTCCAATCCTCATCATCTTCCCCCTCAGGTTCCTCTGGCGCATCGTCCTGTGCCACCTTCTTATTTTCGTCCCCTTCCTCTTCATCACTCCAATCGCCATCGTCGTCCTCCTCGGCCTGCTCTTCCTCGCCTCCAGCTTCCTCTGCCTGCTTTTCAGCTTCTTCACCTTCGTCCTCCCAATCGCTCTCCTCATCTTCCCAGCCACTCTCTTCGTTGCCCGCCTTCTCATCGTGTTTCTGGGCAATCGCCTCAGCCGCTTTGCGCTTCTCAGCTTGGAACTTGCCTCTCATGGTGGTAAGAGACACGTGACGCTTGGTGGCTGGAGACTTTTTGGCCGCAGCCATGATGGCAGATGAGTCTCCTGAGCTCTTGCGTCTCGGGTGTCCTCTGGTAAAAGAGGCAGGGGGCGCCATGGTCGAGGGTGGCGGAGATTGGTGCTTGCTACTGTTATGCGGCGATGTCGCGGGCGAGTCTGAGCCACTCCCCTTGCTAGGGCTCGACTGGAAGAAGAATTTGCCCTTCTTCCGCGGAGAAACACCTCTGGCACGTTCCGTGTCGATGGGCGCTATCCGGACCCTGTGAACGTTCTCATGGGCTGAGGTTTTGGCAGCTTCTTCTTCCTCTTCGACGTCCTCCTTGAGAGCAGGCGGGACGTCGCGGCCAGACATGGACGGGATGATAGAGTTGCCACCAAGACTGCCTGCGCGGCTGGGAACGGGAGTGGGTTCAACGAGGTGGATTTGAACGCCGTTCTCGGGAGATGACCGCTGGGGCGTTTCCGGTACTGAGAATGTGGGAAGGGGTGGACTGCAGGGTATACCTCGCTTGGCGTCTTCTACCCAGTCTTTGAAGTTTCCATCATCCTTTTCAACAAGTAGTAGCAGCGCAGCGCCAAATGTCATTCGCTGTTGGCACGGTGGCTGGTGTCGCGGGTGGGGATGGCCAGGCCCAAGTCGCGAAAAGTAGGATATTTCTTGCGGGGTCTGTATCGATGCACTCGAGGCACTGCCCTGAGACGACGAGGATAGTCGACGGTCATGATGGGAGAAGGAAGGCGTGCGGCGTGGCTGACCCCAATGCCTACGTCGCCGAAAAAAAGGAGCAAATTAGCATAGAGACACGTTCGGGGCGAAGGCTATGATTGGACTGACCTCCAGGCAAGGTTCTCTAGACGCTCACCGTCTTTCACGAGATCGGCTGCACGCGTTATGACTGCAGTGGAGCGTCAGCTGTCGTTCTCCCATGCACCACGACCCAGGCCACCCCGGCCAGGTACATGCACGCGACGTACCGTTCCATAGTTCACCGACATTGTTGTCCTCGCCCGGTGAGCCGACGGCGAGCTCGTCGCCGAGAGCGAGGGCAGGGGGCGCGAGGCTGAGGAGGGGTACGTGTCTTGAGCTCTTGACGGAGGTGCCGGACGGGGAGGGGAGGGGCAGGGGCGGGGCGATCATGGCGGTGGGTGGGGTGGTGGCGGTGGTGTTGCAGATGCGAGGGGGTGCTCGCGAGGGTCAGGGTTAGAGGGGGCGGGGGGGCATGTCGCTGGTGGCGGGATGACAACAAGATGGAGGAGGCGAGTGACTGCAGTTTAAATTCTCGAGCGAAAGCCGGTAAACGCGACCCTCGTTGCCGCTTCCGTTCCACTTCCGTCAGTCGGCAACGTTTTCTAATGATGGGATCTAATCGCACTAGCCAGAGTTTGTAATCCATCATAACCACACCCCCCTTCCTCTCCGATGACCCACAAAGGATGCCCCGCTGGGGTACATCTGTCTGCCAGCGTCACCTGGCGACCGGCAAGAGCGCCATACACGGCCACGCTACAGCAATTCCAGCCCTTGCGGCAAGAACAGGCCCCCCATCTGGGGCTCAAACACGGCCAGACGACCGCTGAGGGGGCCCGCCACACGTGTCCATGTTGAGCGATCACAGTGTGCAGTCACCAAAACACCCGGAAAACACCTGCAGCCAGCGAGTGTTTGCCGCATGGCCATGCATCTCAGTCCAGCCTTGGGTGATGACGGATGCCTCATGCGGTACGAATCATCTCCTAGCGCCATTGGTCAGCTGACCTGCTTCAACGTGGCCTTTGGCCGATGAGGCCTGTGATATGCGAATGGCCGAGTGGAGAGTGGGGGCATCACTATAATCAAGAAGGCCCAAGTGAGCGGTCCAGGCATATAGAATATACAAGCTGCAAACATGGCAGCACTGCTGACTGAGTGCTGACTGCTGACGAACGGTCGTGGCGCCCCCTGCGCCACCAAGGCGACAAACTTTATTCTCTCTGTCAACTACATACAGCATTTCAGGCATCGAACGTCTGTCGTGCATATTTTGGTCAGGTGATGATGGCCTTACCAAAGAGGAATGTTCCCAGGCGGCAGGCGGCTGCTCTTACTGTAGCTACATCTGGGTCGAGCTCGGTCACCGGGTCCCTCCCTCTCTTCTCTAGATCACCATGACTGATCATCCACGCCTTGATTGTTTGATAAATGCATAAGAGGAAAGAAAATGTCAAAAGACTAAAGGTTGGCACCTCTATGACGAGGCTGGGTATCATTTTTGAACAGAAACAATTGATAAATATAGAGACGATTTTAGAAAGTCGAGTGGGGTGTGGCAAAAACAAATCAGAATCGACGATAGCCTAGCATTGTCATCAGCGCATGCCCATATACAAAGTCAGATGTGCTCACCATGGGCACCTAAAGGCGCAGGCGACTGGCCCCTCCGCTGATGCATCTGCATCAACTGCCTAGCATCTGGGTGGATCTGAGCCTGTTGCGCTTGCTGCATCTGGGTGTAGGCCAGTGGCGAGAACGGACCTCCTTGCTCTTCATGCATAGAGTGGGAAGCAGACTCGGGAGAAAACATGGCCCTTTGTTGAGACTGTTGGTTCTGGTGAGTGTAGATCGGTTGAGGTTGTTGTTGGTTGCTGTTGCCGTATTGCAGCATCGCCAGCAAAGCTAGAAACAGTCAGTCAATGGCAAATGGGGTAAACGATTGGCGCACAGTTGTCAAACTCCTCTCTATCCCTCATACCCTTCTGCATAAACTGCCCCGGCAGCAATGGTTGCTCAAATCTCCCGTTGGATCGCACATCATACTGTTGCTGCTGAGTCTGCTGTTGCCCTCTCTGCTGCAAAGCAGGTGATGGAGCATATGCCGAGTCGTTGGTCCACGCGCTATCAGTCACCCCAGAGACAGACGCTCCCGAAGCAGAGTCATACGACCCGCCAAAGCCGGCCAGCTGCGCAGCAAGCGATGAAATGTGGCTATTCGCTTCAGGCTGCTGCTGCTGGTGCTGCTGCTCGTTGCGATACCACCCATCGCGCATATTCGCGTCAGACATGCCTCGACGGAAAGGACTTTGCGTTCGGGCGCTACCACCGGTGGCCCTGGCAAAGCCAAACCTCGACTCGGTACGCTGAGCATTATGGTCGTCTGTCAACTGCTCTGAAGGACCCGGCGTACTGTCAGAAAGCGCCGGGGAATCCTCGTCAGCCTCGAATGGCCTAAAGAACCCAGAGTAATGATCCAGCCGAGGAGACAGAGGTGTAAACAGTTCAGGCACTTCAGGTGCGTGCACTCCCAGCTCTGCCAGCCCCTCCAATGTCTTGCTGAACGGACTAGGCTCATAGCCCTCCGCCTGCGCCTGGACCCTCTGCAACTCTCCATCGTCCAACCCAAGCACAAACGCAAAGTCCTTGTCGTGGGCGGGGAAAGTAAAGATGATGGGTTCCGGGTAGGGGGAGTGGATGATGAAGGGTTCGTCTGACAAGGGCTGAGGAGGAATCGAGTCGGCGATTCGAGAGGGGGTTTGGGGGGCTGGGGAATCGGAGGAAGGTTCCGCGTCAGAGTCACCTGACATGTGTTCGTCGGCATAGTCCTCGGGCGATTCGGGCGCAAACACTGGTGAAGGTGCTCGAGCCGGGGGAGCAGCAGATACAGGTACAGGCGCGGGAGGCGACTTGGTCGAAGTGGGAGCAGGAATCGATACCGCCGTGGGTTTGGACGACGTCAACGCCGGCACCTTTCGCTTTGGTGAGGTCTGGGCACTACCAGCTGCCGAAGAATCCGTGCTTCTCGCCCTTGCCATAGCTGATGACTTCTTCTCCTTTTTCTCCTTGATGATGATGGGGATTGTGGGCGAAGGGGTGGGAAGTGGGAAAGCGGCATTGTTCTTGATGGGTAAGACGTTGTTGATCTTGGTGGGTCGGGAGATAGCACCGGGACCAGGGGGGCCAACGCGGCTGGAAATCTTGGCACCGATGCCCTTGCCCCAGCTTGCAGCACTCGGAAGACCTGTGGCACCCGAAGACACTACCAACGTAAGTTGAGATCCCGCTAACTCGAATGCACTCACAAGATTGACTGTCGTCGCCCGAGGGCTTTGGCCAAGCGACCTTTGACATCAACGAAGGGACGCTCTGCGAGGGTGTTGATTGAGAGGCTTGCTTTTGCCTGGCATCGTACTCGGTCGGGCGAGTGAAACTGTGATGGTCAGCGTCTACACCCGGTATCCCTGGTTTCACCCACGCAGTCTCCAGATCTTCCTTGGTGAAACAGTCGCTCTCTCCTCCCCACTCGTGCAAGTTATGGCACCCAGAGTTGTCACACTTCACTCCCTTCAGGAAAGCCTCGCAATATCTAGTGGTTCCATAAGTCGCCTTCAGAGTCGCTCCAGGCGGCCCCTGAGGCGCTGGAATTCCATCCAACGAGCTGATACACCTCGCTGCATCCTCCCTCCTTACAAAGACAATGTAGATGCCAGGGGCGGACAAATCGTCGCCGATCGAAGGGATGGCGGTAGAGTTGGCTTTTGAGTCGGCGAGATAGAGTTTGGAGATTTTGCCGTATTGTCCAAAGTAGTCGTTGGAGCGAAGAATTGAGAGGGCTTCATCGCCTGGACTCGGAATCTTCATCCCTATCACGTAGGCGGTGTTTTTCATGACGATGCGAACACCCAAGAGATGCCGACGGCCGATACCGGTCAACTGCTTTATCGTCTTTGCCTTTTTTGCCTTCTTTTCCTTTGCCTTTTTAACTCTGCACCATTGTCAGCAGCAGCCCCCCATAGTAAAGTCGACTCACTCTTCCCAGTCTACAGGTTGAAAGACGACGGCTTTGGTATCGTACGTCCGTCGACACCCTGGACATCGAGCATCTGAGGACAGGAGCTTGTTGTAGCAGAACTGGCAGATCTGTAGACCACATTGACATGGTTTGAAATTCAGATCAGACAGATCCAGAGGCTCTGCACAGAGAAGACAGTCGGGATCATCCTACAAAAGGATCAGCAAATTGCTCCTGAAAAGGATGTTTTGACAGGATGGGCAATCTTGATCACGCAAACACGTCTATACGCGGACCTCGACATGTCCCAAACCCAATCACCGCGCCCCTTCCTGCCCTCCACTTGTCTTTCAAAGCGACTCACCTCATCGTCACTCCAATACACATCTCGAAGCGCCTTCAAAGTCTCCCTGCTGACGCCTCCTGTCGAAGTGCCTGCGGGTGGCGGGTGGCCAGAGTTGCGGGTGGTGAGGGAGGGGTGGGGCTGCTGGCCGGTGGTGGGATTGAGGGGCAGAGAGTGGAGCGGGGGGAGGGGCATGGCTGGGTATACTGGCGGGGGGGAAATGCATGGGAGTAAGAGATTCGAGAAAGACCCACATGGGATGGAGGTGAGAGCGGACGGGATCAAATTCGTGAGGGCGGTCTTTGCCGGAACTTGTTTCAGTGGCAACCGCGTTGTCTATGAAACGTCTCAAGTCGTCTCTTCTATTGTCCAGCAGAACAATGTCGGATCTCAAAGCATACCTGGCGGCAAAGTGAGTCACCATTATATACCTGATATATTCATACTCATCCTATGCAGTTATATGTCTGGGCCCAAGGCCGATGCCATCCTGGCCCGTTCATCCGACCCTAACCTCAAGAAGAAGAAGAAGAAGAAGCCAAAGAACGAAGACTATATTGGTGGCTCGGGGACCAAAGGCGAGGAACCCTCGGCAGGCGGCATACTGCTCAAAGACGAGGATGAAAGCTGGATAGGGCAGAATGAAGAAGATGAGGACGTCGATGGGCCTGGTGCGTACTTTCGGTCAGTTTGGGATTTGGCTCATCCTTGGTAGTGATTGGGAAGGATCTGGCAACATTCAAAAAATCAAAAAACTCTTGGGCGACCGTTGCCGATAAGTCTGCGCTCCCGTTACCAGAGGCGGGCCCGTCACACTCTGCCGAAGACGAACAAGTCAAGGAAGAACCTGAGGCGCCGCCAGTCCAAATGACAAAACGTCGCGGAGGTCTCAGAACATATGCTCAACTGAAAGAAGACACCGAGCGAGAGAAGGCTGCCCAGCGCTCAGCATCTCCTGTTGGTGATGACGACCGGCCAGACCCAACGGCGACAGTTTATCGAGATGCTTCGGGTCGAGTGATTGATATGCAGCAGCTCAAGGAGGAAGAAAAGCGGGCAGAGGAAGAGGAGCGGAGAAAAGAGGCGGAGAAGAAGGAGTGGACTAAGGGTTTGCAGCAGCGTAGGGAAAGGGAAGAGAGGGCAAGACTGGAAAGGGAGATGGCGGATGCGGATGTTGGGCGGACGAAAGATGATGTAAGGATGAACAATGATATGAAGGCTGAGGAGAGGTGGAATGACCCCGCTGCGGCGTTTTTGACTGTGAGAAGATTGATTTTGTGCATCTGACGCTGCTGACGTACTGCAGAAAAAGAAGAAGAAGGGGCCCAGAAGACCAAAGTACCAGGGCCCGTGGGCACCTAACCGATTTGGCATACCCCCGGGGTTCAGATGGGATGGCGTTGGTGAGTGCGCCGTCAATATCCCTCGCATATCCCACTGACAATGTGTAGATCGGTCAAATGGATTCGAGAAAAAGTTCTTCCAAGCACAAAATACGCGAGCACGAAACGAATACGAACATAATCAATGGAGTGTGGAAGATATGTAGAGAGCCAATGCGCTGGTACTGTATGAGTATGATATCACCTGACTGTTATGCATGCTGGCCGCCCTCGCGGCTTCATGGATTGAAAGAAGGGACTTCAAAGCACTGCCTTGACATGTGAATGCAATGTTGGCTTGAGGCAAGTATCAAGATCTTTACATGGATATCGGGCCTCCATTCGCCAGGCTGTACACAAGGGGTGCTCGAAGTTCTTTTGACCGAACAGCGAACACAGAAGATAGATAGATATCTTCAGTCAGTCAACTGAGCTAGTCACTTTGTGTCGGTGTCTTAATGGAGCAAATATGCATTTTCTCAACAAGCGGTTCTATCGTATAATGGTTAGTACACAAGATTCTGATTCCCAGTGAATTTCGGATTTTCTTGTAATCTGGGTTCGATCCCCAGTAGGACCTTGTCTTTTTGCTCTTGAACACAACTTTTTAAATCATGCTTTCCATCTTCACTGGGCATATTCAACAAATGCATACAATGTGTGCATATCCTCAGAGTGAGCCAACCTTTTGACAGCATGGGACTTGTATACTCGTATGGGCTATGGGCTGAATGTCTGCCCACTGAGGCGCGATTAACATTGGTGTGTCTTGTGACATATGCATAGCAGTGATTAGTACAAGAGCTATAGTACGACATTGTGACTCTCATGGTTGTTATTGTTCACATACAGGCCTCTCTTGACTATGGAGTTCGAAGCCCAGGAGGAGAATCCAGCGCCGACGTATCCAAAGAATGAATGCAGTCAGGGTATACAGACCATAAAAGAAACCAGAAGAATGATACAATGCAGGCCAAGATGAGAGACAACCAATCGTAAACACAGGACCTTTCATCCCCGCCATTGCTTGTCAGCGTCAGTGAGAGGGACATACTATTCCAAAACCAAATTGTAAGCGGTGTACCCGCTCTTTTGACTTTGCCTTACCATCACACCGAACAGCTTCTTCTTCGTAATCTCTCCTGTCAAAGACTTGTCGACCTGCCAGACGGCTGCGTATGGTCAGAGATGTCTGGCCGGTGGCATACTTACCTTGAGAACCTTCTCCGACAGGGATGAACATCCTGCCCGGTTCTGCCAGCTGCCAAGGTTAGAGCATCATCCAGGATTGCTACGCACATTTACCTACTTGATCCACAAGATCTTGAGGCATATGAGGCGCCGCCGCGCCGACATGGATGACCCCGAAAGGCGCATGCTCTTTCGAGCCCTTTCTCCCATCTCCGCTGATCATCACAACACCTCCACTCTGGCCCGTATGTTTGTCGAGCACTTGACCGCCGTCTTTTCGGAGGTTGTCGATAGATTGAGCCACCAGGTTTGGAATGTGGTCGATGCCGATGACGCGTGAATGGGGAGATATGCGGTGAAGGACAGCGGCCACTGAACACTGGTCAGATATCCATCTTCATTTTATTGACCAAAGAAAGCTCACGATAGCCTGAACCGCTACCTACATCTAGTATTCTTGGTGCCTCCTGCCCTTCAGGTGTATGCTCAGGTAGCAATTCGAGTAGATTCTCGCATGCGTGGGCGTGCATGTGCGGGGCGGAGATGGTGGCGCCATACCCTATTCTTCTGCCGTCATTGTCAGCACCGATATAGACTCTTTCGACGGAATTTCACCAACTGGGGTGCATCCTCATAGGCAGCAGTCGCGTCCGGTACATAATGCTTTCTGTCGACCTGCTTCATTGCCTGGGATACGGGGCGTCAGTATGATGTTATTTATCGGGGCCGGCCCATGGCCCTTGCGTTTACGCATGAAAGACACTGACAGCTGCAACTCTTGCGGACTGGATCAAGCCAGATCTTCGCATATTCTCAATGAGCTATGATTGATTCTCGTAAGTCTAGGCCAGAGCAGAGGTTGTCGACTGACCTCGGCATTGCTTCGCCCGCTGGACATCCACGCCATTTTCCGTGGCACTACAAGTAAGTTTCGGAGGATGTCGATCGTGTGAAATTGGACCAGATTGGTTCCTCTCTATCTAGTCTTATAAGACGAGTACAGTGTGCGAGTGGCCGTCCAGATATGATAGTTGCAAGTGTCACCTCCAGGTCAATTCTCATCCGGTAGTTCGGCGAGGAACCCGCCGCGGTCGACCTCCACTTCGCACTCAATTACGTAACCGAATATTTCTTCATGAACTCTTTCAATTTCCTCGAGTTTTAGCACTTTGACATACTTTTGCGCCCCTCAGTCCCCACGATGGCCTCTATCTCTGCGCCAACATCGATTGCAACCTTTCCTCAACCGCACGCGTCCACCTCAAAACTCCCGCATGTCGCTCTGAGCCCCGTAGTCGGCGACGCGAGGTCTGCCGTTGCTGCTGTTCAAGGAGATGGCGTTTGGACTTATGATGTAAGCTACATGGATGTTCTATATAACACTTCTGACTGGCTATTCAGCTGTCTACTTTGCGAGCGGCGACTTCATTCACGGTCCCCCCTGCCACCACCTTCACCACTTCCCCTATCAGCTATTGGACTACCAAGACGAAAGCCAAAGCCCCTGCTGCCAACGATGGAGGCATGGACGTTGATGAGCCTGAAGCTGGGGCGCTGAATCTCGAGACTGAAACTCTCAAAGAAAGAGTCACTGTTGTCGGTGTTGGAAAGGAGATTTGGGTATGGAGAGGGGAGGATGGTGAGAAGGAGGTTGTCCGGGTACGTATAGGAACATGTCCCCTGAAGGTGTATTGACAAAGTACAGATAAAATCTCAAGTCAACGCTCTGCATAACATCCCATCATCGTCCACGCCCATCCTCGCCCTCACTTCCTTCTCTCAATTCTACCTCGTCGATCCCTCAACAACTACAGCTCACTCGATAATGCCCTCCTCCAAAGGCGAACTTCTTACTTCCAGGATCATTCAAGGGGAAACCACGCGTTTGGTTCTTGTCAGTGTAGATGGAAAGGTGGAAGTTTTCAAGGTTTGGGTGGAGGATAAGATAGTTGACAGATTGTTGGAAGGCAAGGTCGGAGAGGGCGAGTTGACCGGGGGTGATATCAGTGAAGATGGTGCCATCAGTGTGCTTGGTGAGCATTTCAGTATTTGGAAATGGCATCGGCTGACGAGATTCAGACAAAAAGGGAAATCTCTATTCGACCTCAATCCGTACCCTGTCCTCCACCTCGGCCCCTATTCACTTGAATCACCCTTCAGTCGCCCCCGTTGTGTGCTCCCTTCCCTCTGCCTCCCTTCCTCTTCTGCTGGTCCCCACTTCCCACCCCAATCCTTCCCTTCTCTTGACAGTACCCTCTTCCACTCTTCCTGCTATAATCAGCACATCCCCGCTCTCCTCGTTGACCTCTTCCGGTACCATATCTGCTCTGGGTGTCATCTCATCCAAGCACGGAGTCTACACCATTGGTGTTGTCTTGTCCCACAAACACGGCGAGAGCGACGCTTCCGTTGGAAGGAGTGTGCTGTACACTTGCGAGATTGCGTTGCCCGCTCAAGGGATTGGAATGGGTCTGCTCTTGGGTACCAAGAGCAAGACTGAGGAGTACTTCAGTGTTGGAGGTGCCGATAAAAAGGAGAAGAAGAGCGAGGAAGAGAAGAAAGAAGATAGACTGGTAGAAGCAGTCAACAAGGCGCTGAGGGCAAAGGATGTGGCTGGTGCCACCAAGGCATGGAGAAATTATGCTGCCTCTGAAACAGTCTTCAGCAGCAGATTCGTCAAGGCTATCGTCAGCACCATCTTAGGTGCGGCTTTAAACGGCGAAGGCAGGCCTACGGGCGTCTATGCTGTAGAAGTTGCCAGAGATCTTGTGAGCAAGGGCCTCGTGAACGATTCGATGTGGAAAGAGAGCGTCGTCGTGGATGGTTTGCTGCCACTGGGTGACTGGGTATGTCTTCTGTCATTATGGGTGAACTCTACGCTAATACCATACAGGATACTATTACTGTTGCGCTGTCATCGATAAAGACCATCTCTTCTTCGGCGCTCGTCGCTTTGATTCGTTCGTCCATCACCTCCCCCAACGCCTCCACAACTCCATCGACCTCCGCCCTGCTCAAGAGCATTCTTTCCCTGCCCCCTCCTGGCCCCACTTACAGGGTAGATCTGCATCAAGGATTGACGGTGGAGGAGGCGACCCGGGTTCTGGAAGTGTACAACACTTGGGCTGCTGAGCATGTGGAAGCGCTCTCTTACGGCCTGACTGGCTGGGAAAGTGCCTCTCCTATCGAGGGCTCCGACCTGCCTTCTCTTACCAGTCTCGTCACTCATACCTCTTCGCTCCTCGATGCCCACCTCCTCTCATTCCTTTCCCACATCCCCTCCCACGAGACTCTGTCGCAGCTTCAATCTTCTTTAGACCCGCTGTTGGCAGCTCAGAACGAGTATAGACAACTCCGAGGACCGGTGGAGGCGCTGCTGACGTTGTCGAGGAGGGAAGCGAAAAAGTCGGAGGAGCGCGCGCAGAAGAAGGGAAGGAAGGGAAAGAAGGCTGGCAAAGACGAAGGCAAGTTGCCCGAAGAGAATGTGGGGAAGTGGAAGGTGGAGGATCTTGTGTTTTGATTTGTACAAGTACTCTACCGTGCATGGTGATGCATCATATCATATACTCTGCGCTTTCTGCACAATGTCCTTGATTCATCCACAGCGACCAGGTCATCGAAAAAAGGTGTCTCTGCTGCAGATCTCTTCCCACTGTTCCCCCGAAAGCCGAAAGAAAGACGATCAGCAAGACGCGTTCTACTTGCTGCGCGCGCACAGCAGGATGGCGCGCAGCGAGCAGTAATGGTGTCTGTGTCGTCCCCAAAGGACCTCGAGCGATACGAATAGAATAGGGCTGCGGCACCATTATGTCCTTCAGAGAATGCATGCAAGAAGCTGCCCGATATGGCCTGATTTGGTGTGGCGGCGGTGTTCGCCGTGCTACGGTGCCATAAATGATGAGGGCCGCAGCGCGTATACGAGTTCGGCGTAGCAGACTTTCCTTCTCCTTCCTTCCTCCTCATCCCCTTCCTTGGCTGAATCACCCTGTCCTCAGAAGACATCTGAACGTACGCCCCATCTTCCTCCGACCCTAATCGCAGATCTCGCCCTCCCCATCCACCTTTTGCAGGACTGACATTGCCCCATCATAGACACGCCAAGTCGTGTAGAGAAACCACTTTTCCCTAAAGTCCAAGCCACTTCGGGACAACCTTGCTTGTACCACTAGGCAAGATGATCGTCCCCCGCTGGAAATACATTGGTATCGCCGGTGCTACGGTCGTCCGTCTCCATCTGCATGCCTTCATACGTTTCATCTACTAATTTTGCGCTCTAGTTTATTCTGCATCTCCTCGCCTCCATACACCCTACCTACCGTGCCAACACTACCCCCTTCAAGCTCAACCTCCTCCCGCAACCAGACTCGTGGTCCGGTGGGGCACCACCCGCATCTGCTGTGGTCGACAGCGAGATCCTGAAGGGAAATGATGCCGCTTTGGAGGGCAGGAGAAAGGCCAATGCTGTCTTTGTTGTTCTCGGTGAGTACACACCGACTCTACGGATTCGTTGCTGACTTGCTCCAGCGCGAAACTCCGATCTCTGGCCGTTCCTCGACTCTATGCGACAGATGGAGGACCGATTCAACCACTGGGCCCGATACGACTATGTCTTTTTGAACGAAGAGGTGTGTGGCGTTGGATGGGGTCCGTTACGGGGCTGATGCCCTGCAGGAATTCACCGACGAGTTCAAGAGGTACACCCAATCTATGACCAAGGCCAACTGTTTCTACGGCAAGATCGAGCCCGACCACTGGTACCAGCCCGACTGGTAAGTGTTGCTCCTTTTCATGAGAGAGATGCTCATACTATCCAGGATCGACGAGGACAAAGCTACCAAGGCCCGAGAGGAGATGATCCGCAAAAAGGTCATCTACGGTCACTCTGTTCCTTATCGAAACATGTGCCGATTCAACTCTGGCTTTTTCTACCGTCATCCCCTCCTTGCCAACTATGACTACTATTGGCGAATTGAGCCCAGCGTCAAGTTCTTCTGTGACCTCGGTACGTCATCAGCTCATGAATGCCTGTGAACTGACTTGGATGTAGCCTATGACCCCTTCCTTGTCATGCAGGACGAAGGCAAGGTTTACGGCTTTACCATCTCGCTCTTTGAGTACATTGAGACTATTCCTACCCTTTGGGATGCCACCAAGGAATTCATTGCCAAGCACCCCGAGTACATCCCCGAGGGTAACGGCATGCAATTCCTCAGTGACGACGGCGGCGAGACTTACAACAAGTGTCACTGTGCGTTATTCAGCTTTGCTCATTGTCCATTCACTGACCTACCTTTACCAGTCTGGTCCAACTTTGAGATTGGAGACCTCAACTTTTGGCGAGGCCAAGCATACTCTGAATACTTTGAGCACCTCGACAAGAGGGGTGGATTCTACTACGAGCGATGGGGAGATGCGCCTGTGCACTCTATCGGTGCAGCTCTCTTTGCCAAGAAGGAACAGATCCACTTCTTTGACGACATTGGATACAGGCATGAGCCTTTCCAGCATTGTCCCCAGGGCGATGCGCACACCAGGGGTCACTGCTGGTGTGACCAGTCCAACAACTTTGACTGGGAGTGGTGAGTTTTCCTTTCCTTTCCTCTATCCCACCACTCACTGACATTGTCTTAGGTACTCTTGCACGAAGAAATACACGGAAATGTTCCAATGACCCTCACTGTATCTCTGATCATCTTTCATGAAATGCGCATCCTTATGTGGGCGACGTAAACAAGTTTCCATGGCCATTCATATACACAGACGAATACAACTGGGCCGTCAAATTTGTTCTAATGACTAATTGTTCTCAGTCTAATGTCCTTCAGTTCTCCAATACCATATCGCAGGCTTTAGAAAACGGTAGCAAAGCCAGCGCCGACAGCGCCAACAACCATCGCCCCACTTCCCAAGAACCATTCATAACCCATCGGCATTCCAACGGCCCTCAAAGCAGCGCTGCTCGCGGTGCTCGAGGACGACGAGTCGTCTCCGCTAGAAGAGGCGGTGGAAGATCCAGAAGCTGCCCCGGAGGTGGTGGCGGCTTTGGCACCGGTTGCAGCGCTTCCAGCAGCCGAGGAGGCTCCCGAAACAGCACTGGATGCACCGCTCACCGCGGCAGACGATTCGCCAGAGGCAACGGCGAGAGAACCTGTGGCGGTCGAGTCGGCAGCTCCGGAAGCCCCGGAAGCCCCGGAATCCCCAGTTGCGTCCGAGGCTGCCGCGCTGTCGGTAGAGTCAGAAGAGCCCGAGACGGCCGCGCTGGTGGCGCTTGAATCGGCTGCTCCAGAGGCGGCGGAGGACAAATCTCCATCAGAGGACGAATCGGCAGAGACACTACTACGTCAATGTCAGCTTCATACGGTTCAAGCGAGAGGAGAGACTCACGAGTCATCACCGCCGTTCTCGTTCTGGGGCAAAGCAAAGGCCGCCAGGGCCGAAAAGAGGGAGGCCAAGAGCAAAGTGTTCTGGAATCTCATTGTTGGTTGAAATGCTTGTTGCTGAGTCGGAAGTGACTTTTAGTGGTGCGATAATCGTCAAGATCAAGGCGAATCAGATGTGATGGAAGAGAAGGGGCGTGAGAGGGATGGACTCTTTATAAGTCTGTCTCATGATCCGTTTGCCACGAAACTCCACTCGGACAAAGGTAAATGGCCTTGCTCGGAGACCTTCAAAGGATCGGAATCTGAGAAAGGGTCCATCCAGTCATAATCATCGCCTCAAGACTTGACCGCGTGACTAGACTAGAGATCTAGGAGGTAGAATCAAACGACAAAGGAAGTAACTCGTCTTTCGGTCGGTAACGCCATGCCACGCCTGGTTCGGTGTTTCAGTCGTACAACATGGACGTCCAAGGAGCGATAAGATAAAGGACTGTGACGAACTGAGTGAAGGGGCGGGGCAAACGTGGGGGACGGCAAAGGGACTGCCTTTGCCGAAGCTGACCTTGGATGGGGTTGCTGTCAATTGAAACACCTTCCAAAGTCTGCGGATAGCCGAAAGACAAATTCGGTGATTCATAGAGAGGCTACACTTGACTTATTCGGTATCACAACATTGTCCGTTTAGAATAGACATTACTACGATATAGCTATGGGGACATGAGAGAAGTTGGTTTCGCGACAAAAAAGGGTCGTTTGAAACGACAAATCGAGACAGCAATCACAATCCAGACTGGACCATGCCGCCCATCCATAGTTCGTTAGTAGGCTTGAAAGATCCGAGGTCTTGTAAGGTATGTCAGTGGCGAGTAGCATTATCTCGCGTGGCCAAACTCACTATAGTCTGAAAGATACTCTGCCTGGGGGGACCAAGGCATGACATTCGGATCTATAGCAGGTGTCAGAAGATATATGTAACACTGTTGCGAAGCTCACCCATTGGAAACATGCCCATCATCAATGCCTGACCAGGGGAAGGATAGCCGGCCATGCCATATTGATGTGGGTGTTGATGCGCCTGCTGGGGAGTGTGCTGGGGCTGGAGATGACTGTGATGGCCGTGCTTGATGCCTGAGGGATGGCCGTTGCCAAGACCAGCCTGGTTCATCCTCAAAGTCTTGTTCACTCGGTTGAAGTTGACGCCGCCGTGAGAGTTCGTAGCTTGATTCATGGTTTGGTGGATCGCTGAGCTCAAGGGACGAGGAGCGGGCAAGTCTGACCACGGGTGAGCAGATGATCGGAATATGTATGCGCTCACCTTGGTTATCGGGGTGGAAAGGGTTACCGAGAATCGAAGCGGCCAAGGTGGTAAGGACTCTCTTTCCTTGAAAGACACTGACATGGGTCAATAATCTCTCGGGCAAAGATGGGACGTATCTTACTTGTTCTGCATCCAGCCATACACTGCCAGCGCCTGATCCTTAGAGTGACAGTTCACCACGCATTGACTGACGGGACAGGTCAGCATGGTCATCTCCTCCATTAGAGAGCGTGCTCACCCTTTGCTTTTTCCATTGACCTTGTGCTCCATGAACATGATGTCTTTGTCCGTGATGGTAATGTTGAGATGCTCCAGAAGTTGAATGATGTCCCTGTCCGCTGTCCACTGTCAAATGTCAGCGGCCGTGACAGTGAAAGGACAGCAGAACCCACCCAGTGAAGGTCGTGAAACACAACAGAATCAATCTCTTCAACACTGGCATCAAGTCCAAATACCCTCTTGCTGCCAGTCTTCTTCTTTGTTGGGTCGCGGGCTCCAGAGTGCGCTCCTGGATAATTGAATCTCTGTCTCAAAGTCAGCTCATAGGGCGCTAGGTAGGACGAAGAAGCTTACTTTGAGAGGGTTGGCATCATTCTGCACATGGGAAAGATGAAGTTGTGCGTGCATAGATGTCGAGAAATGGAGTTATGATAGAGTTACCACCAGTCAGCATAGCGAAAGTGCAGATTAGAGGAGAAGGTCTTACTTGACGATGCTGATTCTGGTCCTGAGAGGCGAAATGAGTGTTGCCGTCCTGTCACGTCGGGTGTTAATTAGTGAGCCTGACACACATCGGGGGCGATACTTGGGCTGGAGAGGCAACATACCTTTTGAAGATCGTGGGCGTCCATGGTGAGACTGAAAGTGGAGGACGGTAGGGCGAGTAGGGCGGCGGGAGGCAGGGAGACGAGGGAGGGGTATACTATATGCTGTCGGGTGGCGGGGGTAAGAAGATGGAGATGCGAAAGAGAGATAAACCACAAATCAATATAAGCTGACGCGTACGTGACGGGTGGCGGTCCGTGCGTAATGAGCCTCCACACCGGCCGCTGGAGGCCCGCGCGCTGAAGAAGCTGGGATCAATGTTGAGTGACGAGTGACAGTGCACATGTGGTCCCCAAGTTTACCCCAGCTATCGAACAGTGCCATACGGCGAAGAGAATACTCGCTACCGGGTACTTCTAGTAGGCAAGTCACGTCAAGAGAGGCTCTTGGTGCATAATTATCGACCGTTATACAGCACCATCTTCTCTGAGCTGCCGTATCTCTTCCTGGGAATAACCCAGCTCAAGTAAGACTTCATCCGTATGCTGACCCAAATAGGGGGGCGGACGATAGAGCTAGGAAGCCACTTCGTCAGCCCGGCATATTGCATTCAACATTGGGACTCACTTTGAATTTGGATCCATCGTAAGAGACGGCGGGCCCGGCTAATTTGATCTTTCCTGCCCGTGGGTGCTACATTATCGATATCAGCGATAACAGACCAATGTTGAATTTTCACACTGACGTCAACTTCTTCGACTACCTTGCGAGCAATAGCTTGTGGATGGGCAAAGGTCTGGGCAATGTTGTTGATAGGGCTGTAAACAGGTTCGTCAGCACTGCGTCAAATGAAGGGTACCCGAAAAGCGCTTACGCGAATGGCACCCTGACGCACAGCTAGTCAGCAACATGCACGCTCGATGTTGTCAAGACTCACCCCTTTCCCTTGAGCTTCTCGCACCACTCGGCGGTAGTCTTCTCTGACAGCACTTCCCCCAATTTCTTCACCATCGTATCCCTATACTCCACTCTAGATTGATTTGTAGCAAATCGCTCATCGTTGATCCACTCGGGTCTGTCGAGAACATCCGGTGAGCACAGGATCGCGAATTGCGAGTCGTTGCCTCCAGCAAGCATGATAAATGAGTCTTTGGTTGGGAAAACTTGATACGGTACGATAGAGGGGTGCGAAGTACCCCACCGGCCAGCTTCTTGTCCAGCAATGAGATAGTTTGATGATATGTTGACAAGCGAAGCGATCTAGCTCCATGTCAATCACTATGGCAGATAGCAAGCGACATCGGACCTACCTGGCTTTCAAACAGACTGACTTCCACACGAGATCCTTTTCCCGTCTTTCCTCTCTTGATCAATGCGGCCAGGACACCTGACTGGGCATAGTGGCCGGTCAATATATCCGTGACCGCTACGCCCACCTAAAGATGATCAGCAGCGCAAGAACCGGCCAGCTATATGTACTGACCTTGACCGGCTTGCCTCCCTTCTCTCCCGTGATGTGCATCAACCCAGCCTCTGCCTCAATAACAACGTCATACCCAGGAGCACTGGCATAAGGCCCAGTAGAGCCGTATCCTTACTACGTGAGTTGAGTGTAAACCATGGTGTAGGTATAGCTTACCGGTGATGGAACAGTATATGATCTTGGGGTTGATTTCGCGTACTTGCTCGTATGACAGGCCGAATTTCTCCAGCTTTCCGGGCACGCTGAGCGCTAAGTAAGCGGCATCTTAGATTAGAGATATATTGTTTGACATACTAATTCTCGACCAAGACATCGGCCTCTTGAATCAGTTTGTGGATGACCTTCTTTCCCTCTTTCGACTTGAGGTTTAGGGTCAGCCTAACAGGTACGGATATCAGAGAGTTTGAAACATATAAACGCCTGCGAGGTATTTACGATCGCTTGTTTCGATTGGCTTGGAGAAAGTACGCAGACTCCGGAGGCAAGTCAGGTCTAGGATAGTCTTTCAGAGGTATAGGTGCCGAGGGCGGGAGCCATGAGCGAGTGTCATCGCCGTTCTTGGGCGATTCTATCTGAGGATTTGGTCAGCTAGCGCACCTATCGCCATCCATATGACTTGCTACATACCTTGATGACATCCGCTTTTGATCACCTGATGTCAGCATACCGACAGTAGCCATCCCAATGGACACTCACCTCCTAGATCGGACTGGGGCCGTCAGCAACGAGTGAAACAGATTATAGATCGTCGCTCACCAGCATCATAGTGGCCAGAGGACCGGCCAAAATCCGGGTCAGGTCTACAACCTTGACACCCGAAAGAGGCCTCTCCTCTACCTCGGTAGCACTCGTCGACAGTCGTTTTGATGTGCGTAGGCCGACCAATGGAGGCACCCGCTGTTTGATCGCCAATGCCCTCCAAGGGTTTAGGGCGGCATAGGTTCTGGTAGCCATATTACCTAGTGTTGAACGATAGATGAGGTCGAGCGAGCGCTGATGGACCCACCAGATGTTCCACCAGGACAAACTAAAGTACACTCGTCGGCTGAGCGCCGCGGCATCCCGAGCGGGAACGCATTTACGTAATGCTTGCCCATGCTCGTACAATCAATGCAAAGAGAAGGAACGACAGCAGCAGTGGGTATCTTGCCGGTCTTTGCCTATAGACGTTTATGGACCGCATGGTGGACAACAAGTGACAAGATACTGCAAACGCCCCTCAAAAACACCGACTCGAACCACGCCTACTCGTCTTCGCCCTCAACTTCAGCCAGAACCCGGTCCCACTCCCAGTCTTCCTCTCCGCCGCTGTCCTCTTCGTCACCGCCCTCATCCTGTGCAGCACCCCGACCATGCTTCCTGACCACACTCTCAAGAAGACGAGAGCTTTGTAGATTGTCCCCGGTAGACCGGTCATCTGGTTCAGCGAGTGCCGAGGACTGAACCGGACGACGAAGGGGTTTGGCAGTAGGAGGCGGCGAGCCGAAGGGGACACCACTCTCGGGATACTCTGGATCGAAAAAGTCGGCAAGATAATCATGGGTGATGGATTCGGTGCTTGTAGCGTTGGAATCTCTGCTGTCCCTCCTCTCTTCCTTGCCCGACTGTCTACCTTCCTCCTTGGGCGACCAACTTCTGTCTTTCCTCGTACCCATCAATCCTTCGGACTCTCTTCCTCGAGGGAGAACATCATCATCTTCTGCGTCCTCTACAGAAAAGTCTTTCGCCAAATGTGTAAGAAGAGACACGGGTGACATCCGGTATGACCAGTTGCCCCACGTCGAGTCTTCTTCAAGGTCGGAGGAGCGACTGTCGTGCGAAGGGGTCAAGGAGGGACGGCGGGCATCAGGGACAACGGGGGTCATCTGGGTGCCTGCATGGGGTACGGAAGTTGATTTGGATGTCGTGAGGGCTCGATGAGGGGTACGGCGATGATGTTTTGGTTTACGTTGAAAGATATCGACCACTTCCCCTGCCAGCAATTCGTCCTCATTCATCTCGGCTTTTGGGGTCCCCAGATCTTTGCTGGTGCTGACATTATGGGCGGTGAATGTAGCTTCGAAAGCATCATGATTCGATGCGGCGAGGAGCAGCGAGTGTGCAGGAGATGGTACACGGCTGGGAGTAGACGGGGCTGCGTTGGGGTGCAAGGAGCCATCGTAGTCGGTAGATGACTCGGGTGAGAGACTGGGAAGAAGAGATGTGCCGCCAAGTGGGGATGGCTGAGGCGGAAACCGGTAGCTGGACAGTATCTGGTGGGGTGTACGGGGACGGGCAGAATCCTCGCTTCGGGTGCCGGTGATAGGAGGCGTGGAGGGTGTGCGAGAAGGCAGCATAGTGGACAGGGGAAGAGTCAGTCGAGGGAAAGGGGAGATGGAAGGCCTGGCTTCAAAAGCATCAAGATGAGCAGATGGAGTAGATGTTATGAAGAAGAACATTAAAGCCTGGCTTATAAAATGTTGGTGAGATGAGAACCATCCCCCTTCCTTTGGCACTGCGCTGTCACCCAACATGGGGCTCGGTTCGTTTAATCAATGGCAACAAATCTCCAGTTCTTTCGGCAACCCCCCAAGTCACTTCTGCATGTGTCCACTCGCCACCAATGATTTATGTTTTACATTAGACAAGCGCCATGCGCGTGATATCATACGCACAGTCATTCGTCCCCTTGATCCTCTTCCGCATCATCAGAACGGTCACCGTCCTCTCCCCTACCTCCCGCATTCACATCACTTTCACTGTCACTTTCACTATCGCTCTCAAACTCAAGCTCCCGCCCAGGCTCAATCGATCCTGTATTGAGCGTCTCCTCTTCATCCATCCCTTCCTCTTCGTCTTCATCTCGTGTGGAACCCAGCCGACCCTTCTCCCACTCCTCCAGGACCGGTCTGCACACTTCGTCTGGGGCCGGCTGGCCGTTCTCCCAGAGGTACATGTATTTCGCGCGGACAAGGCCCTTGAGAAGGGAAAAGTAGGAGTAGGTGTACCATCCAGATTTGACCTGCAAGGGAGTTTAGTAGGTGACCGTATTCGCATACAGGCTCCACAACGTACCGAGCAAGTCTTGGACAAGTGGTCTGTGTTCTCGATGTACTTGGAGATAAATGGATCTGCGATGTCGCAGAGTTGGTAGTCGGCTCGCTCTCGGTGGAGTACTTGTCCATCAAATATGTGGACCTTCCTATTGTCGTTGTCAACAATGCCTATTGATGTCGATGCTAGGAACATACCAGGGATTGAGAGGCGGGCGTGCACCATCCGCTATGAGCCGCTCTTGCTCATCATCCCACCAACCCTTTTGCCGATCCACTTCCTCGTCATCGTCGGGCCGGGTAATTGGGTTTTTGATGGTTTGCTTATGCGCATAGAATGACATCTTTTGCCAGCTGGGGTGCTGGTTCAGTTTTGGACCGTTCGCGAACACTTGGCAACGTACAAGCGAGATTCAGGATCAAGTCTTGGATCGTAGCCATATTTGACAAGACATTTGTAGTAGACACCTGTTGTGATCACGTAGGCCACAGAGGGGACATATGCCTTGTTGCTATGTTCTGTCAGCCAATGCGATTACCTATTCCGTCGGTCCTTACTTTTTTATCAATCTTCTTTCTCTTTCCGTCAACTCTGACATCAACGCCTCTCTTCCCCACACCTTCCTCTGTTCGAAAAGCTCCTTCAGTCTCGACAAAAGCGCCTTGTCCAATCCCTTCTCTGCGTCCTGTTTGACCTGTTCGTTGGGTTGCTGAGGAACATCACCAAGGGTATGTTCATGTTGCATGACTTGGGGAGCATATCCAGTCTTGCGGGAGGTGTTGACGTATCGCGTCCTCGGGGCACCGGTGATGGGGTGTGTCGTTTGTTGAGCGACGACCGTTGCGGGAAGTTTGTAGCTGTGGACAAGTATAAGCGGGACCGTCTCGTAGAATACCACAACATGACGTACTTGAACGTGCTCGGAACTGCTCTTGTAGAGAATATGGGAGGGGGTTGGAGATCCAGTCGTGATCTAAAAGGTATGTCCGGATCAGATGTGTCGGGGTTAGGTTCGACGTAATTCTCGTCCAATGGTGTATAGCTATAGTCCAAGATGGCATTATCTGTGGAATGACATGTGTGAGCTAGATCATACTGCAGATTCAAAACGTACAATCGAGGTTCTTGAGAGCTTTGATGATGGACGCTGTCGGTCCCTCCGGATCGGGCGTCCAGTGGTGGTCAGCCATCGCTAGCATACTTGTTAGCCGGGGATCCACTTCGCATCTCCATAGGATAGTTTGACGCCAAGCTCAGCCCAATCAAGACACATTGGCCTGGAGCATCTAAGGACCGGGTAGCCGAAACATCACGAGAGCGTGTTGAGGCAAAGTGCTAACGAGACGTAGTCGATTGACTTACCAACAAATCTCACAGTGGATCCTATAGAGCCCATTGTTTCCAGCTTGAACACTCCTCCCTCCGGCTTGTCTCCACCACTGCCTGATGTCTTCTTCCTTCGCCTGACCACCTTCACAAGCAATTTGGCCCGTTGCGACCTGGTCCCTCTTACTGGCGGACCCGCTTCGTCTCCTCTGAATCTGACTTCCAGGCTTGCTCTGACCGCTGGAGGCGCATTGAAGCACTCGTTGATTGTCTCCTGAGAACAATACTGCAGGATAGCGGAAGGATGAGACACGGGGCCGGGATACTCGATGGAGGTGTAGGCTTGCTTGGGTATGCTATGCGTCGGGGCTTCTTTTGCAGTGGAAGCAGTGGACGTTGAGGCCTCTTGGGACATATGGGATGTTGGGCACTATAAGGGAGAGGGAAGATGAATATGATTGTCAGAGCGATAAAGACGATGTGCAAAGCGCCAAAAGACAGACGCGACTTCTTGAATCCTTCGTTGTCTCCGCACTCCCACCCCTTCTCCTCTCACGCCCATATCGTCCCGCCATTGGACCATCCACCCGACCAGATACCACCATTAAAATCAGCACAACCGCATCTCTCTACTGATACCTATGTTGCCCACCTAAACCGCGTATATTCTTTCCCCATCTTGTCCTGAAGTCTCCCCGTGATGAAGGTACGTCTCTGGCCCGATGGCGTATTACCGGTATATCTGCTGACAATGCATCCATCCACTCATATAGTATCTCCTGAACTTCCTCGAGGATGTGCCCGATGCCCCCGACATCAAAGACCCAGGGTTCCAGCAACTGCTGGTCGATGTCCAGTCTGTCAAGGTAAGTCCATGCCGAGAGTCGTCTTTTTTGGCGGGCGAGCGCTCCTCGGTGTCGTCCAAATGCTGACTGTTGTGTGTCTCTTCAACTTTGAATCAACCCTCTCCTTCTATATATCACAGGGGGCAATCAAGATATCCGCGGATGCTTTTTATGAGAGTCTGGAGAATATAATCAATGAGCTCAAGACAAGCGTACGTCCTGATGGAAAAGACGACCCGATATGTGACTGACATGGGGCCTGGTCCAGCCTGAATCATTGCCATTCCAGAAGCCTGTCAGCAAAAGGGAAGCTCCTGATTACTATGAAGGTGTGTTCATCAAAGAACTTGCAAGGGCAGAGACAAGACCGACATTGACTCACTTTTACAGTGATCAAACGACCCATGGACCTTTCGACAATACTACGCAATGCGAAGGCCAGGAAGTACAAGAACAAGGCAGAGTTTGCGGCAGACCTTGATCTGATATGGAAGAACTGCCACGAGTACAACAGTCAAGAGGTATGGTATTCTCTGTTGAGCCATCACTTTTACTGACGCTCTTCTTTCAGACACATCCTCTCCGTTCTGCAGCCAAATTCATGAAACAGAAGGCCGACCATCATCTAGAATATCTTGCAGATCGAGCGGAACGGACCAAGCATCTACAGACTCTTCTGCCGTCGTCCTCTGCATCTACGCCAGCAGGTCCGTCCGGCTCTTTGGGAGTCAACGGGGCAGCTGGCTCCTCGAGGCTGAGAGAAGGCTCGACTATGGGCGGCGACGAGGATGCTGCCGGAGAAAGCGATGACGCCCTTGGTGAGGGTGACGACGCCGATGGAGAGGTTGATGCGAGTATCACTGACGGAGAAGCAAAAGAAGCGGCGGGTTTTCGTGAAGGGGGTGCGGAGAGAGGAGAGAGGGGGGAGGCGCCTGGCCGAGGTGAGGACGGACAAAGTAGAGGAGTCAGCGTAGCCTCCTCGTCCCGCGCAGGTCAGGTCAATGGTCTCAAACGCAGCGTAAGTGACATGATCTTCGGGGTAAATGGTTTTTGACAATCAACTACAGCCATCTGCAAAAAGACCTCTCCTCCCAACCACCCTGGACAGCGTTCCCGCTCTTCTTCGCACCCCCCAGTCTATTGCCTCCTTCTCGCCCGTGTTTCCGGTAGCAGAACCATCGTGGTCAGATAAGGGCAAGGCGAAAGAAATAATATCACCCTACTCTCCGCCTTCCTGGTATGCCTCTTTCGCTGGACCATCGACTAGTACATCTGGCTCGCCCTCAGCTATGGAGGTCGATGCCGAAGACCAAGACGCTCAATTCGAAGGTTGTTGGTGGGGAGCTCTGGCGTCTGATGAGGTTTTGGTAGCAGGCCTCCCGGCTGTACCAACAATGGCTACCCCCCGGCCTGTGAGGCGGAAGAGACTGAAACCTTCTTTGCCTGTCCCGCCTTTACCAAACGGAATTGCCAACCACTCGGCAGAGCAGATGCCTTCCCCACATTCCCCACAGAAACCGCACATTCCTCCTCGTTCACGATCGCCCTCACCCAGCCCCGGAAAACTGCCCGCAACGGAAGCACAAGACCAATCATCACTCCAGAGACCTTCTACTGAAAGCGCAGCGCCGTCAGATAAACCGATATCCATTCCAGCCATCGTTAGACGGACTATCAACAATCTGGACAGCGCCCGGTCGATCGCGCACAGAGTCAGCGAGTTTCAGCGAATTGAAGCTGAAGGGGGCGTCCTTCCCCCGAGGAGCTTATCGCCACCTCTATCCGAGCAAACCTCTTTCGAGGAAGCACGCCAATCACGGCGGGAAGCTCTCGCTAGAGAAAGGCAGGCTATACTTGATCGACGGCGTGAAGGAGGCGAAGTCGGTCGGGAAGAAGCCGTTTTGACGATGAGGATGTGCACCGCTGGACTACTCGCCCGAGCAGGGTTCGAAGGCGCCAATGAAGGAGCCCTTGATCTTTTCACCAGGGTTGCTGCAGACCATCTCGAGAGACTGGGAAGAACATTTAGACTCTTGATGGACGGATTGTCGCACAAAATGTCCCCAGAGGTGAGCATTGATGCGTGACTTGTGCACGATGGACTGACAAGTTGCAAACAGGAGCTCATCCTCCATGCACTGCATGAGAATGGCCAAGTGGAGACCAGGGATATTGAAAGTCATATCAAGGATGATATCCAAAGAGAAGACTTCAAGGTCAATGAAATGCACAAGAAGATGCGACACGCATTCTTTGACATTGTGAGTCACTCCACCATGACATGGACGTTGTGGCTGATACGCCACTGTAGACCTCCGCGCCAGTCATCGAAGACGATCAGATGTTTGCGGACGATGGCGAGATGTTGCTGGAGTGAGTTTTTGTGATATTCGAGCGTGGCCGAAACTAACACATATCCAGTGGCAACTTCGCAGAAGAGCTTGGCGAGGATTTCCTTGGGCTTCGCGAGCTGGGAATTGCTGGAGAGAATGGCATGTCTACCCTGAGTGTTCCCCAGTCTCTCTTCTATGGAAGAAAGAAGCGACCGACCGATCACGAAAGAGGGGGGTATGTTATTCCTGGTTAAGAAACTGTATCCAGTTGACTGACCTTTTTTGTAGTAACGGTAAATCAGATCTACCTTATCCGCCTCCGCCGCCTTTCGTTTCTCTTTCCCCGATCACTATCTCGACTACTGTTCCCGCATTACTTCACGCATTCTACAGTGCCCGTGTTGAATCAGGATTGTCTCTCTCCGAGGATGATGCTTTCGATGCTGCTAGGGCCCAAATAGGATCACTGGGGCAAGTCCTGATCAAAGGTGGAAAGGACGCGAAGTTTGGAAATACCGACGCCAAGGGCAAAGGCAAGAAGAGAGATCGAGATGAAGATGAAGATGGTGAAAGGAAAAAGTCCTCAGCCAAAAAGTGAGCTCTCACAGCAAGAGGCGTAGGATATATGACTGACAAGAAAGATGAAGGGAGCCTGGTGTAGGAAAGGGTAACTGGAGTAAGTCGGCGGCAACGGTATCAGAGCGATTGCTTACACACGTCTCTAGCTCGCCCATCCAAGACTGAAAAGACCATCAAGATACATGTCCCAGCCTTGCCGCAGGTGAATGGATCCAAGTATATCGCAGACGATGAAGAGGAAGATGCGGAAGGAGAAGAAGAGTAGGACATGATCTAGAAGCGGTACACACATGTACTCGTACTGTACTCGTACGAGCGGCTGGAAGCATTTGTTTGTTGGATACTTATAGCATTTTATACATGTGGTCAAGCACATAATCATCAATGCACACCCGCTTGCAATTCGAGAGCTGGTTGTTGTCGTTGGGGGCTGCGCGTTCGGGACCAGTACATCCTTTCGTGTTGACAAATCCGACATACAGTATAGCAATAGCATTTCGCATTGAAGCGCTGTTTAATGATTATAGGGCATACCACCTGACCACACTTGTCTCTAATCTTCTATACTGAGGCCTTCATTCTTCTGATTTCCTGACCTTTGTTCCCCTAATCTCCGCGATGAACTGCATTCCAATGGCTGCTCTGATTCAAACTCTGGTTCTGGAAATTCTGGTTCTGAGCATCAGGAGGAGGACCCCTGGTAGTCAAACTGTGAGCGACTCGAACAGAGGCGCAAGCAGAAGCTTACATATAGTCACTAAACAGCTGAGCCCACCAATCACCATCACCCGCTCCCATTTCCTGCCCTCCAAACGCTGTCGTACTCATGTCGAGCAACTGCGACTCGAAAGAGTTCATGCCCATGAGCGAGCCGTAGAACTGATTCTGAGCACCTTGTCCGTCCCCGAGGTTGGGCATATGGCCAAGGTTTGGGAGCGGGTGCGTGCCCTGACCCTGAGGTATCGAGGATTGTTGATACGAGTGTGGTACGCTGGGGGCCGGAAAGCTGGGGAAGGATGGCATGTTGGATTGAGATGGCGGGAAAGGCGCTTTGAAGCCAGATTGCGACTGTGACTGGTGCACCGGGGGCGGAGGCGGGTGTGTTTGCGATGGCATAGGGAACACAGACGCTTCCGAAGGCGACTGGAAAATGGCATCAAAATCGGGAGTATTGGACACGGGCGTTGACATGTGACCCGTAAAGTTCTGGCTGCCAGATGGGAAAGGCATGTTGGATGCTGGTGGGTTGGACAGCATGCCGCTCATCTCAAAGAGGCCATAGTTTCGGTTCTCACTCGGTTCCGAGCTGGGCGTTGGGGGAGCAGGCATGGATTTGTCCACATACGAACGTATCGTTTCCTGGGGCGAAACAACATCTCCCGCAAAAGACTCCCGGGAAGTGAACCCTGCTTTGCCCGTACCCTCCTTTCGCGTGGGCTCGGACTCGCCGCGGCTGTACGTCCTCTTCTCAGAGACGTTCACCTTGTCGGCCGTCGGCATTCCGCTCTCATTCGCCAACTGAGTCAAAAAGTCTGTATACTTTCCACTCTGCCTCCAAATCACCTCCAATTCCCTGCTAGCCGCCAGGCATCGTTTGATATCCGATACGGCCCTTTCGCGTTCTGACGTGGTCTGTTTGCCAGAGTAAATATTGATGAGAAGGATGATGGCGGAAATCCAGGATGGCAGCATGAATGACACATTCAAAGCACGCCCCGGAAGAGCACCCTCTTGTCGGCCGCGCCTGAGAGCAGCGTCCGTAATGTTACAGATTGACCTAGCAGCATTGACGCAAACGGCCAGGGAAGGAAGATCGGACGTTCGGTGGTTTCGAGGGGTGGGAATGAATGGCCGATGGATCAATATCTGACAGTAGTAGTGATACACGTAGAGCACCGCAGACTGGAGAAAGAGCGTGGGGTCCTGTCGACTAGGGTCCCATCTCAGCTCGTGCGGGACATTATCCGCCCACGAGTTGAGGGCTGAATCCAACTCCACCACAAGGGCTCGCTGAGCGGCGATATCAGCCTTTTGTTCAGGGAGCTTGTTGATGGCGTAGACTGTCTGGAGGACGGCGCCGACAATATGATCCAATTTCAGTAATTGGATGAATGCGGCTATGCGGGACGGTTTGCCCTCGGGCTGCTTGAAATCCTTTTCGGGATCCCCCGTGTCCCAGTACTCGTCGTCGACATCTTGGGGATAGTCGGCATCAAAGTCGGTGTCCTGTATGGCGACCGAACGTCCAATGGCAGCGCAGTTGTATCTGTCGATGTGGTACAGACACCAGAACGCCCGGTTATACAGCGCCCTCTCTATCGGATCGGCATGGAGCAGAGTAGCCCGTACATGGATACCGAGCTCTTGCGCAGACCGAAGGCCGAACCCCGAGATGATCCACATGAGATGCGGCACCGCACTTCCTTGCAAAAAGTTGCAAATGAGCACCTGCGTCTGAAACTCAAACAGGTTCGGGCCCTGCATGATACTCCTGCCCATCCGCAAAAGACTGCGCATGAAACGCCACCCGGCAGAATAGCGTAGTGTACCATCAAGGTCTTGAGCGAGGCGACTCTGGCCTTCCTCGGTCATCGACCATTCTTTCGGCCAGTATACGCGTGGGTCTATACCAGTATCAGTAGAGCTCTCATGTATGTAGACGAAAAACTCGCCATCTAAAAATCTCGACCCGTTGGCAAATACCATTAGACACACTCTCGAGAACCCATGATTAGATTGCCACATGCCCGAGTCGTACTGCCGCTGAAAGAAGGGGCGATTGAGAAGCGGCAAATGGAGGTTGATATGATCGAAATAAGCATCAATGAGGTCTTGGTCTAAGCCCTTTTCTGGCCATGTAGAATAGTCGAGAGGATGTAGACCTTCGTTGGCGATGACGAGCTCCCATTCGGGCACTTGCCAGAACTGGAGACGTTTGATCTGATTGATCTCGTCGATGAGGTTGGAATCGTCGCCCATCTGGCCTTTGAGATCTTGGAACTGGCGCATGAGATGGGCGCCAGAAGCCTTTCCGTGGTATCTCCAGTGAGCATCACGCACTTCGAGCTGGTTCATAGAGTTTGCGATAGAGAGCTGCGCAGCAGCCTCCTCTTCGACGTCCGAGTCGTCGTCTGGTGGCCGACTCGGGTTTCTTTCATACAATTTCCATGGCGAGTGCCCGAGGACCTGGTTCGATGGCGAAGCAGCTCCAGCAGCTGGTGACGCCGAGTGGGTGTTTGACGTAGACGCAGACCCATTGGATTCTTTCCGATGTTCGAACTGGAGGGGTTTTAGAGAGGGATATGGTGGAATATTCTGTTGACGGAGCGTTTCGCGGTATGCGACGATATCAAAGTCGTCGCGATCTGGTACCGGTCCCACATACTCGTTGAAATCAACAGCAGGACGAAGCTAGTGCGTGTGGTCAGTAGACACACCGACGGCACGCAGCACGACTTGCCTGCTGTAGTATACGCTCCAGCCTGCCGCAGCGCTGCTCGACAATCTCTACATACCTGCACCCAGTCAGCACCATGCACAAGCATCGCATTTCTTCGCTTGCCCTTTCGGTGGACCCCTACGCTTGGCCTGTTCGTTGTAGGTGCATGCAAGGCTGAACTCTTCGCAATGTGCACATTCTGACCATGACCGAGGCTTAGTGCCGAACATAACCGGATCCGACTTTTACTCACTTTCAGAGGACCCGCTCTGCATAGGACCTTCGCACTTGATCTTTTTGCGTCTGGGTATTGTTAGTTTATACTGTAAGGCATCGCATGGAGATACCTACCTGCATACATCGCAAGCTCGCTGTGTCTTCTGTCAGCTGGGACATCGGCCATGGTATGACTAATCGCACCTGTATTTTCCTCTTCTTCGCCTCGGCCTCTGCAAGGCTATTGTTGATGGACCCTTGCCTGCTCACGCCAGCAGACGTGGATCGGTCGCCGTTCATGCTGTGGTTGTTGGCGATGCCAAAGTGGATTAATGCGGGCGCCGCGAGAGATGGGTGGGTGGGCCGATGACGACGGTGGTGTATATGCAGGGGATGGGGTGGCGTCAAAGGCCAGATGGATGCACGATGTGGCTGTGTGGAGGAGGGGAGAGTATAGAACAGGTGGGACGGGGGCTGGTGTTAGAGGAGATGGGCGGGATTGATAAGAGATCGAAAAAAGGCGGATGCAGAAGGCGATCTCTGTTCCAAGTCAGTCTCCCGGGGTTGTGCAAACTTTCCAGCCCGTCGGTCACCGGTTACCCCTTGGCATCCCCCGGCAGATGCGCCATGCATCTCCATCTCCTGCGCCGGCAGTGTACACCCGCTCCCACATGCATACGTAGCCACCCAGGAGCCATGAGCCGAGACTTCGGGCAACTGCACTTCACGTCACATTCGATTCCTCCGGACCCCAGGCACATAGAAGGAACAGATCTCACTTGGATCTCACGGCCATCTTTGTTTGGCAGTCAATGCATTTCTTAGGGAGGTAGATAAAGAGTAAGAGTATGTATACATGCAAAGCGCACTCAAAACAACAAAGTACAGTACAAATGTGGTGGGAAGAAATGTTTACAACTAGACTGTATAGGCTGAAGTCTGAACTGCACGACGTCTCTGTTCTTGTCATCCAACTCTCTCGCTTGTATCGCCAGGCCCAGCCGACGGTGACATCCCACCCATCTCAACATCCAGCCCCTCTTCAATGTCCTTGGGCAAATACGCCGACCCCGAGGGGTCGTTCTCCAACAGACAGCAGACGCCGAGGTTGATGAGCGACATGCCGACCATGACTATCCACCAAAGCCGACCGTTCATCACTTGGCCGTCCATGGATATCGCAAACAACGCCGAGACCGACGATGGACCAATGACTCTTGCCATGCACTATACACGTGAGCACTGGGGTCTCTTCAGGGGAGATCTGGAGCTTACACCTGCTGCTGTGGAAATGCCGTTGATGGCCCCGAGGGCGGTCCGGTCAGGACTCGAGTAATTGACGACTGCCATCAACAGACTGGAGCTGATGGCCACAACCGACGACAGGGACAAGTACAGATTGACACAAATAGCTGTAGGCCATTGCCTTGTTTCTGGGTATAACAATGGGTGGGTGTACTGGTCATCTTCCGGGGGCGGCAATGGTGTTTCAGTCGCGGTAAGGACGTTTCGGAGCAAAGGGAGGATGAGCCATATCAGAGGCCATCCGGCAGAGAGGACCTTGTAGCCCATGGAGATGCCGAACCAGCGTCGGATACGGCTCAGAAGAAGGATCTGGCAGAGGATCGTCCATAGTCCGTTGAGCGCCAAAGAGAGTCCTATCGCCGACGCCTGTGGCCTGTTAGTCGAGCTTTATAAGAGAGTCTTTGCGTGCTTACAGACATGCCTAGGCCACTGAATCAACGTCAGCTGTATCTTATTCTAGCTCGAGCGACTCACTTGTGTCTATCAAAGAAGAACAAGAGTACCGCAGCTCCCCAAGCACCCTGCATAAATCTTGGACGTATCAGCCAACTGCCACAAACCTCATCCAACTCACGAATTCAAAAACTGTGTTCCAACCATCACCCTGACCTTCTTGAACCTCATCAACTCGGGAAACGTCCACTCTCCCCCATTCCCATCTTTCGACTTGCCCAACAGATCCTGCGTCCCTTCAGAGTCGACCAGCGTTTCTGATTCAGACACCAACGAAGCCATTGACGCCTGTCGCTTATGACTCGCCGGCGAGCGGGAGAAGGGAGAGAAGGGGGAAGGCAAGGAAGACGACAAGCGCGATAGGCCGGTGTCGATGTGGAGCGGGAACAAGGCTGGGCGGTGGGGCGTAGCGAGCCCGGGGAGGGATTCGTGGTAGAATAGGAGAGAGAAGAGAATACCGATTACTGTCAGGCCTGCTGCGACTAGGCATGCTGGTAGATGTCAGCATGGTACGGCAAGGTGTGAGTGACTTGCGAAGTAGATAAGGGTACTCTTGGAGAAGAGTGAAAGAGCCGAACCAGTTGGGGAGCCTTTCGTACGGGTGCGATAGTGTACCGCCCATCGCATTCCTATCACCTATCAGTGATTGAGATGACAAGATGGACGATTGCTTACCCGATCATGGTGCCGACTATCCATGTCAGACCATACATGGCAAAGGCCTCCGTACTGTTACTATCATCCGTTATATCTCCTATCGCAGCTTTGATCACCTTGCAATCTTGGTCAGTATATCCCCTCTGGCCGAGCTGAAGACGTACAGCGACATTCCCGTTGAGCGCGCCGCTTAATGACCGAAAGACGATCATGGCCCAGAATGACTTTGCCAGTCCGCTGAATAGAGAGTTAGTACATGATCTACCCCCACAGCCAAAGGTCGTACAAGAGTGAGCCCGATATCGCCACACCCGTCAAGCCCAGTAACAGCACCGGTTTCCGCCCGATCTTACTACGCTCAAGTGTCAGCCTCTGTAAACACAACTCCAGGTGGGAGGAGCGTACTCTGACATCTTGGCCCAGTGGTAGACTGTGAAGAACTGCACAAAAGCAAACACCGATTCCTGCAATCGGCCCCTGTTATCAGCACCTTTCAACGCACTGTGAAGCAGGATATGGACGCACGACCAAACCTGAATAGAACCCGACCCGATCAGGGTTATCCGTCACCCCAAGCTCTTCGACCATCTGGTTCACGAACGGGAAAATGACATTGTACGCAACTAACCCCAAGGGTTCGTATCAGCTAGCTATCGCACATTCGTTGTCAGAGGAAGCTCAGACTTACTAGGCTCGGCGAGACGGACCGCCATAAGCACGGTGATCTGGGCTACAGGCAGCGGCGTAGCACCATGCTTTGAGCGCCCAAACATGGTTTAAATCTGACTAGGCGGACGGCGAAGTCCTGGTTTTCTCCTCGATAGCTGCTGGCTGCAGTTGACGCCCAAAGAATCCTGCGTTGATGAAGAGCTGATGTTTATGGTGGAGAAGTGAGAATGTGCGCAACAGGATTGGACCCGGGGACGTACGGCAAGTTGCGAGAGGACTTGTGGTCGGGGATCACACAATCGCGCACCATGCGGTCTTGCCTGCTGAGAGTGGGGAGAGAAGCGTGCGGAGGTACCCCTGGGACGGCTGTTTCCGATACGAGCTTCATACTCCACCCTGCCAAATTGACTCGCTATCTGCCCGCCCTCATTATTCCATGGGAGCCCAGAATTCCAGGCCGCTTGCTCCATCTTGAACGCCAGAAGTGGAGGCATCCCAGGGTCAGCTGCAGCGTTTCGGACATGGCCGACAGGGGAGGGATCTTGTCCCGTGTGGCACTTTTGCAAGCCCGATGCATGTATAAGGTGCGGACATCTGTAGCTATGTGTGAGCACCAAGAGAAAAAAAATGTTAGAGCCCAAAAATGAATATCTATGGGGCGTGGGTCGCAACCAGACACAGTCTGTACGCCTGTATATGATTAAAGAATTTTGACGAACAATAAATATCACAACTGTACCAATCACACAACAAGATCGTCCCGAGAAACCCCTTCTATCTAGAATGCAGCGACGGGCGCCGGGCCCAGTACTCGCTCATTCTCCAGCCTCTCCTTCTCCCTCTCTCCTCTCGATTTCTTCTTTAGCTGCTTGACCTCCACCGCGCCTGTAGCCTCGATCTGGCTAAACAACGTCCCCGCGGTGTGCATCTCGACAAGCTCCTCGTAGCTGCCCAAAGACTTGCCTTGGAGGGTGATCTGCGGCAAGTCGTCGGTGCCCAGTAATCTCGCGATGGTAGGGATAAAGACAGTCTGATCTCTCCGCTGGTCGACTTCAATGACGAGTGGTGGGGGCGAGATCTTGACTTGCGAGAGGAGGCTTTTGAGCTTGCGGTAGCGAGGGTCACGCATCTTGCCGAAAAGGACGAGAGGGTAGAGGGTGTTGATTTCAGATTGGACGAGCTCGAGGTCTGCCCGAGCACGGGGACTCGCCGGATCAAAGTCGAGCACGAGCGAGGGGTCTAGAGGGAGGGCAGGGTCGGTGTGGGTTATCACGTTGGATGTCGTAGCCGTCACAAACTATATGGGTGTCAGTGCGTTGCTGACTACAGAGAAGATGCGACTCACAGACATGAGAGCAGCAAACTCTTGTTCGACATTTTCAAACTTGAAAGGCTCCACTTTGACCTCTTTGCTCGCGCTCCCCACCTTGCCCGGTACAGCGTGATCGTTGAAGGCCTGCTGAACATAGACATCGCGTTTCGCAAAGTCGCCTTCTTGCATTGGCGAAAATACGGACGCATGGCTTGAGCCGGAGATGGTACGGGAAACGAGGATGAAGCTGAATGTCGCCAGACAGATGGCGAGAAGCAGAAAGGGACGTAGTCTCCGAGGGATTCGGAGCAGATGGACGAGGCGGCTGGCGGTGGTCTCGTCTTGTGTATAGGGGTTCAGCACCAGGCTGGGCTTTTTCTACCGCATCATGAACATCAACTGTCTGGGGCCAAGACCGAGGACTTACGGTGGGTAATGACCAAGGATAGGATTTGGGTTCGATTGGGTGTCCCTTGGGTGTACGCAGGGGGCTGACTGGACTCTGTTCATGGGGGCTGCAGAGTTGGGTCCGCAGGGGATGGCTGGGCGGTAAGAGAGGGAAGCCCTTGGTGGTGGCATACTTGGGGGAAGGAAACCGGGGGGACGAGGGGAGGCAGGGGGTGAGGATGCTGGGCGATGGGGGCGAGCTGTCGCTGTCGCAGGAGGCGGAGGAGTGGGGGCTGGAGGGGGAGGCGGGGATGTAGGACATGGCGGATGGGGAAGAGGACTGAGGGGGTCAGTACATAATTGTATATATACGTGCATCAGGGCGGGCAGCCGATGTTCCAGAACGAACAGAGACTGAAACTGTAGATGGCGGTTCCTGTCCATCAGACACGAGCTAGGTCCGTGCCACAATCCTCTCGCCATTGTTCGGGCCCGCCTCGCCACAGCAGCTCACCTTTGATCACTCAGTATGTAATGTTGTATTGGTGACCACAATCAGGGGGTTCGTGTCGTGTTGCTTGGGCGGCACTCGCTGCGCACAGTCAGCGATCTGTTCATCAATCACACTCGGATGGCCCGCTGATCGGCTACCCAGCATAAAGGACATCAAAGAGGCGCCTGGATATGTATTGAGAAACGCGTAGACACCCCTTTCGCTCCTATCGCCCACCAGCACTCCAGAGTCCAGATACGAAAGTGGCGATAGCGTGTATGTATGCAAGAAGGTTGAAATGTTACTCACCAGGCACGCTTCAAAAGGTCACTTGCGAGATGTAAACGAGCGGCGCGAAGGTTTTAGAATCTTGGGTTCTTGAATCTTGACAGTCGTAAAGTCGTACAGAGGTGGCAGTATATGTATGGCAGCAAAGATGGGAAGCATCTAAAACTTGTTACAACTGTAGCCCTACGGTGATTGAAGACCACAGACCCCTTCTTTATAGCCCCTGCTATCGACCATGCTACCGATTCGCGCATTAATGGCATCCGTTCCAAAAATTCGGAACCCCTATTCTAGAAGCAAGAGATCTCTCCGGATCTTGCAAGAGACCGTCACTGATCGTAGATTGTGTTCACCAAGACTGCAAGAGAATAAACTGTATCTCGATATCTGCTACCCGCCTGCTCCCCCCGCCCCACTCCTCGAGAGACGTGACCCGCAGCTTGCTAATCTCGCAAAATGGAGACGGACACGGACAAGGGAGACCGGGAAAGAGCAGCTCTGACTGTAAGCATCGTGCTGCGCAGCTGTCATTCGACTACTGCGTCCTTGTCTGTTCTGGCCTCTGGCTCGGGTGACGCCTTCTTTGCGCGTTTTGCGGAGGGCACTCTTGTGCGATCGACATCGACCCCGACGGTCTACATACAAGAACAGTCAGTCTCGAGAGGTAGTAGAAATGACTCACTTTTTTTAGAAGCAAGTATTACCCTGTACCAATCTTTGCGCCATGGTCTCTCGGCATTCGGACGATACAAGTTCGGGCCAAAGACCCATGTGGTAGATCGTCTATATCTCCGAAAAAAATCACATCTCCTATTGTCTATAGTCTCTTTCATCTTCATTGTTCGCCCCCTCTTCGTCGATCACTCCTCACTAGCTCCTGTATGGTATCCTGGCCTGGTTCTCCTAGTCTTCCGGTTCCCCCGGCCTTTGAACTGTTCGAGAGACTTCTGTTCAATAGCACGTGACGCCTTCGACGCGGCGTCTCAAATCCTTCACGGCCTGTATTCACGAAACCGCTTTCCCGTTGGAACTCATCACATGCAGACATGCGGTATAGCTTCTTGGCGGAGAATCACATGCGTCGAGCAGCATCCATCCACCCACGTATCTGTATCCATCAGGTTACCGGATGATAACCCAATCTCCAGTCATGCGGGCAGGAAATTTTCGAAAAAAAAACTGGTGAGGTCATCACATCGTCACGACACTTTGATTTCCGCGGTCAGCCCACCGTCGAGTACTCGTACGGCGTAGCTCTTTTTACCTCAACATACTCCTTCTCACGCAATAGGCTGGTTCCTTGTACGATACACAACTGGCGGCGCATGGCCGGGCCGCAAATGCACGGCCCGGTCTCTCCATCGCAACCCCCTGGAAAGGAGCGCGCGTCTTGCGTGTACTACCTGGTAACCGTACGTATACGAAACCTCAACGACAGCAATGCAGCGTATCCCGTCGTCTCACCAGCGGAGACTATCATCATCGTGTTGCCGAGTACCCAACAGAAGATTGATCCGAGCAGAAAGCAAGAAGCGATAAGCGTTGATGTCTTGGCCATGCCGCCGAACGCTTCTATCTTGCCTACTTCCTTCCAGGCATGGACATTTGGACAATTGACCGGCTTGATGTCGAGTTTCATCATGCCTCTTCCTGGAAACCCCCAATATAAGTGCCTTCCCCCTGCTCTCTTCCTCGGAACATCCACCATCCGAGATCTCGTGGCTACTGGTATAAAGACCGCCATCCGCAGGCTCAACTTTTTACCCAAGTCACTTTCTTTCGACTTCACCCCTATCGCATTTCTCTAATCTACAGCTCTGGTAGCTTTATTCTCGCATATTTGTTCCCTCTGGCAGGCTTCATTCAACACTCTCCTTACGCCCTCTACAAGACCATATAACTCTTCAAAGTTTATCATTTCGACAATGTACTTCCCAGCCGCCGCCGCTTCTCTCTTCAGCCTCCTCCTCCTCCCCACCACTCTGGGTATGGCGATCGACCCCCACAACGTCCATGCCAGGGACCTCGAAGGGAGGGCAGAGTTGACTGTCCAGCCGCAATGCAATGGCGGGTCTCTGAGTGCGCACGATTGCAACGTCGCGCAAGTCTCCTCCCTCTCCAATGAACCCAAGCGCTGATACATTGATGCTAGACTTCTCTCCCTGGGCGGAGGTATCCAAGGTGCTATTCAATTCCTCCGAGTGGATGCTACTACCAACTCCTCCTCCAGTAACGGCTGTACCAGTAGGTCCCTTTACGCCCGATCTTCCGTCAACGTATACTGATAGATGGGTAGTGACCGTGACCGCCGTTGATGGTGGGACTGCCATCGATATAAGCAGTACGTCTCCCCCTCCCAGACCCAGACTGGAAGCTGATGTGGGGTAACAGAGGGCAGGTTGGAGCAAGCGCAGAAGGCTGCTATTGACATGTGCGGCCAGCAGGCGTGGACGGTGACTGCTACTGGAGGCAGTACGGGCGGTAATCTCAAGATTGAGCAATCGGCAGACGCGGGTAGTAATACTACCGTGGCTGCAGCTGTTTCAGGCTGTTCTTCGTGATATCGTCCAGAGGTGGATTGTTGTACTTTTGGCATAGCGTGAAACATGCACTGTGCGATGATAGGAATACATGACTAACAACATGATATAGAGCCTCAGCTTCTCAGAGTCCACATATAGAGAATTCAAACCACACATAACCGTAATATCGTTCTTTGGTCGTTAATACAATTTAAGACCCCATGCCACCTCATTCAAACTGGCGGCACTCGAAGCCCAGATGCAGAAGCCCTATGCCCAGGTCGGCAAGGGCCAGTCATATGAGCAAGATTCGAGGCAGAAGGCTTGGCCTTGATTCGCTTGCGGGGAGAGGAATCGTTGGAATTGTCGACGTGGAGAGATAGCGCGGCGGAGGGATCCGGGTGCCTCTGTGAAACATAGTCGCTGGGTCGAGTGGGAGAGAGATTGTCGGGGGTTGAAGGGCTGTCGTCTTCAGCCATACGAAGGGTTCGTTTGCTTCCAGCGGAGCGCAGAGTCGGTTTGTGAGTTTCGCTAATCTGAAGGGCGTCCTTGGCGTGTTGATATCGGGTAGACTTGCGAGGAGTCAGGAGCGCGGGTACCACCTGAAGCCTGGTCGCGAGCGTATCTTCCAGCCTGCTCTCACCACACCCGACCACCTGTCCTTGACTTGCCTTCTCCATACTCCTTCTTGCATTATACCTCCTCTTGCTCTTCACATGCCTGCGAGTTCCACCGGATTGTCGTACACCCGAATCCGACCCATTCTCCTCATCAGACGACTCGAAAACCTTGAACTCTGGTCCATGCCGCAAGTCGTTCATCGTCTTTTCAGATTTGCGCGGATCCTCGACCTCGGAAAAGTTGTCATCGGAGGATTGGTCGATGGAAGAGGTGGGGGAACGGTGCTTGATGGGGATATAGGGCGGAATCTTGTTGGATGGGAGGTAAGGGTTGCTTGGCGTTCTTGAATATCTGCAGAGATTTCGTCGGGGCGACTGTCGGGGGTTGTCAACGGGAACTCTAGTAAGTGGGGAGTCGCTTACGGCAGCTTCGATATGTAGAGTCTCGTCATCACTGCTCCAATCACCTTCCCATCTACCTACATATCCACCATCTTCACCCCGCTCGAATTCCACACCAGATGATTCGTACAAGTCACTGGACTTGTTGGTGCTGGTAGATCCACTAGTTGCCATGGTGTCATGTTGAGGATCCAGACCGTATTTGCCGGGTGTTAGAGTAGCCGAGTGGTGGTTGGGTCTGACTGGGGTCGTTGGCATGTTGAGTGATCTCTGGCGAGCCGGCAAAATTCTGAAGGTGAGTACGCAAAGGCGATTGGACACTAGGCTGATGAGACCATTTGGTCAGCAGTGTCTCGAACGCATAGAGTGACACACCATACAAACAAGGCAAATCGGTCGTCCAGGATGGCGTGCGTGCGACTTGACGCGACGGCGAGCCCGGTGTTTGGTTCGCGCGGTAGATCTCAAGTTCGAAAGCGTCGAAAGTCCCAAGTCTCAGAGGGTAATAGTCCTCCAGGGTCTCGAGCACTCAAAGCGTCCTGCTGCGATATAGGGTTGGTGTAGAAAGTGAAAATGCCCGTCCATAGTGGTGATGAGCAATTGGCGCCCAACTAGTCATTACGTAAACAGGGAAGCATAACGGGGCTAAAGTGCGGGGACCGCTGCAGGGCATGACGTACCCTGGCGCCAAGCCTCTATGTCCTCGAACATTTCCATCTCATCCCTCATCTGCCTCTATCACCGCCATGCTCGCCACCCTCCTCCCCGCCGTCCTCCTCCTCGCCGCCCAGTCAGTCGCAGCCCGCACCTGCTACAACGGCTACGGTAAGCTCCCGCCATTTCGCCACCTTGCAACTAGACTAACCCACTGATCCCACAGGCCGTCAGTACCGCTGCAGTGGCCTATCTTATGGTGCCAGAATCGGCATAGGAATCGGAATCGCCGCTGGTGTCCTCTTGCTCTTCTCTCTTTGTGGTTTCTGGCGTCGCCGGTACGCATATCCAGAGCAGCGCTCACAGCCCGAAATCCTATGCTGACTTGTTTCCTTTGTCCAGCCAACTGCGAAGCCAGTTCTCCAAGTACAAGCCCCCAGCTCTCCCCTACAATGGCCAGCAACAGGCGCCCCAGGGTCAGAACCCGTACCAAAACAACCCGCCTCCTCCTACTTGGAACAACAATGCTCCTGCTCCCCCTCCTGCCACCTACCAGCCGGGCTCGGCCGGCGCTTATGGCGCTAGCACGACCGGTGCCGAGGGCCACGAGCACGGATACGAGTGGGAGCAGGCTAGGCAGCAGGAGGAAGAGGAGAGGAGGAACAAGACCTCTGGTACCAATGAACCTGCTCCTCCCGGTTATGACATTGCCACTAGTGAGTGAATTTTCCTTTTGCAAGTGCACAAGGCGCTGACGAACGATAGGCACCCACAACACTGGCAATGCTGGCACCACCACATACGCTCCCCCTGCTGGGCCTCCTCCCGGCAAGTAGAGTCATCGTGTAAAGACATGATAACATCTCGAGGTATCATTAGAAAACTGAGTGGAAAGAATTGATCAGAAGTCACATATAATTTATACACGTTCTCAATGTCATTCATCTTGTACTATGATATGCACCTTATAACTGCCTTGCGCCGCTTCGATCGGTGACAGACTCGCCACGAGGGTATGTGTTGGGTGGTGTGCTTGAACACTGCCAGCGTGTCCTCCTTTCTTCGCTTATCGCCTATCTCTTATCGTACACTGTACTCTCTGCCAGCTATGCACAAAAGCCATCCCATGCATCTGTTTTCCATTGCTCCATCTCTGATCAACAACCTCTGACGTACACGACGGGATCAAATCGGTTTCACCCGCCAGCCAGATCCGTAGAGACCGACTCTTCTATACACGTTTGCCATCTCACAGCGATACAAGTGCGCACCCGCGACCCCCAACACCCATACCACCGCCCATGCCCACCACTAGCATACCCACCCCCGAATAACCCGCCCACTCTTCCTCACACGACCCTCCACCACATCTCTCGAAGGGACAAACCCACGCGATGGGGTTCGCCAGCCTCGTCGGCGAGCTGGGCATGTCTCAATCCACAAAAGTATTAGTGGCCACAATACTGGGCTATACCAGTATCGCTTGCTGGCTGTGTGCACAACTACCGTGAGTCGTACCGGCGGTGCTAGCGGGGGAGAGCTCGAGCTGATCGTTGTATCATTTTTCGCTTCGTTGTTTCTTATCGCTATTACGTTATGCCTGAAAACATAGTCAAGTGTTGAAGAATCTGTCGCTGCACTCGTGTGAAGGCCTGGCGCTGCCGTTTCTGATAAACTGGCTGTTTGGTGGGTCTCACAGGTGTGATCTTGGGGCCAAGCTAATGAATACTCCAGGCGATATAACCAACCTCATCGGCTGTCTTTTGACAGACCAACTTCCGTTTCAAGTATGCAAATCATCCATCATATCGTAAGCGATACTGACCTATGTCTAGACATACCTCGCGGCATATTTCTGCATCATTGATGTGGCCCTTGTCGGACAATACATCTACTACCAGAAACCCCAGCCGGTCCCTACCCCGCGCCACAATTATGCCGCTCTCACCGAATCACCTCGCCAGGCCGTCATCCTCCCTCCCAATACCGCCCCCGTCAGCCGCAATCATTCTGCCTCTGGCCCCCTCGCCTCTCCCTTGACCCCGGGTGCCCAATCCGCCGGTCTGCCGAGACAACGATCCAAAAGAGGTCTTTACCTACCCACCTCCTCCTACTTTCCCGGTCCGGACCTGACCGTCACCTCTCCGCCTGACGGGTCGTACGCGGCGATATACGAAGCTGCCATCGACGTTGCCCGCGCCGCCGAACGTGCGAATGCGCGGAGTCATTCGCGGAGACGGCGGTTAAGTCGACAGAATAGCGCGGTGTTGACTGGCTCTGAACGCGGAGGGGAAGAAGGAGAAGGGATGATGGAGAGTTTCCATTCGGATATGTCTGGGAGGACGCAGAGTACTGCAAGGGGGAGCCCGAGGGTGGGGGTGGTGCCGCTCGAAGGGGATGGGAGGGGACGGAGTCTGAGGAGGGGCAATGGGACGTTGAGTGGTGTGACGAGTTCGGGGGATTTGTATGCTGAAGGCGGGGACAGGTTTGACAGTCTGCCGCCGCCAGGACTCTCGGCAGACGGCCGACATCACCGCCATCGCGAGCCAAGCAAGGATTCTCGTAAAAGCAGGAGTATCAGCATGGTCAGAGGGTCAGGTGGACGAGGGTCGAGGAGGACGGCGGGGATAACGTTTATGAGTTTGGGATTGTTGATCGGGTGGGGAGGGTTCAGGCCGGATGCTGGGAGCGATGTAGTGGCTGGTGGGAGTGTGCTCAGCGAGCCTTCTGTCTCCCTGGGTGTGCGCCACCCTTTCGTGGTCAGCCCGCCACAGACGCCAGACGTCTTCCTTCTCGAATTCCCTCATAACCACACGACAGACGAACCCTCAATACCGCACCCCGAGGTGCCGTTCTCGTTTCAGCGCACGGTTGGTAGAATATCTGCGTGGAGCTGTACAACCTTGTACTTGACTTCGAGATTACCTCAAATCTGGAAAAATGTGAGTCTAGAGAACTCGAGGTGGGCCAATATTGATGTGATACAGTATCAACGTAAATCCGTGGAAGGTCTCTCCATCCTGCTGTTTCTAATGGCATTCTGCGGCAACGTCACCTATGTCGCTTCCATCCTCTTGAACCCCTCTGGTGGCGCCGATCCAGCCGATAACGCACACTATCTCCTCGAATCTCTACCATACCTACTCGGCTCGGGCGGTACCCTCATGTTTGATCTCACCATCATGATCCAATCCCTCATCTACGGCTCTGCGCCCCCAGTCGCCCTGCCCCCCGCTCCTGCAGAATGGTCTAGACGGAGATTGGCTTCACATAGAAAGAGAATGAGACATGTGGAGGACGGGTATGGAGGGATCTTGCAGTCGGTGTCGGCAGAGAGGGGAGAGAGGGCGCCACTGTTGTTGACTTCATCCGTGAGCGGGCTGCCGGGACACGGACACAGGCGGCAGGGGACGAAGAGGGAGAGGAGTATCAGCCCGACGGTGCATAAGCGGGCGCGGAGCCTGGCCGCGTGATGAGCTGTTGTATAGAATACATGGACGCGTTATGAATGCATGATGATGAGCTGCAGTGTGCCTGGGTGTGCTTATCTCTTATCGCGTCCAAGCGCTCCTCCACCTTCCGACTTGTCCGCCCTTGGGCATGAAATTTGCATCTCTTCTGGATCCGCCCTTTGTACATACCCAGTCAGTCAGAAGTAGGTACGCATACCCCAGAGAACTTATCCCGAGCTCACTTGTAGCCAGCCGCAGCGGAGAGCGACCATGTCCACGCCGCCCACAGAGCAGACCCAGCTCCTCGGCACCACCCAGCCCACCCTCGCTGCCTACGCCTCCGACCCTACGTCCAAGCCAGTAGAGCCAGTCTCAGAGCACCACAATATCGCCGGCCTCTCCCCGTCTCGATTCCGTCTCGTCTGCGCTTCCATCTGGACTGCCTCCTTTCTCGTCGCATTCGATAGCACCCTCGTATCTACCCTGCTATCGGATATCGGATCTGCCTTCAATGCGTCAACCCAGACCTCGTGGCTTGGTACTTCATATCTCTTGTCGGTCTGCTGCTTTACCCCCGTCTATGGACGCCTGAGCGATCTTATCGGCCGGCGTAATGCCCATCTCACAGGACTGGCTCTGTTTACCATGGGAACGTTCCTATGTGCCGTGGCTCCGTCCATGTATGGGCTTATCGGAGCTCGTTTCCTGGCTGGAGCAGGAGGCGGTGGTGTCGCAAGTGTTTCGGCCATTCTGATGACCGACTTGGTCGACCTGAGGCATCGCGGAATCTTCCAGGGTTATGTAAACCTCTTATAGTAAGGCATTCCCTCTTACCACGAGCGCCAATACTGAGATGAAATGCAGTGGTCTTGGTGCCGCCCTGGGTGGACCGGTTGGAGGATGGATCAGCGACAATTTTGGCTGGAGATGGGCCTTCCACATCCAAGTTCCTCTTCTTGTCCTCAACGGCGTCTTGATCTACACCTTTGTCGTCGTGCCTACTTCGGAGCCTCCTCCTCCTCCTCCTCCTCCCAGAAGCAGATCAAGGGCCAGAGAGGGCCTGCCCACAGAGCAGCCGAGCAATCGTCCGCAAACGTGGAAGACCAAGCTCGCGCGTATCGACTATCTCGGATCGTTCACACTTGCGCTTGCTGTTGCTTCGTTGCTCCTGTCCATGTCTATCAAGACTTCTTCTACCAAGGCATCTGGTGAAGACTATGCCTTCTCGGATCCTCTCATCTGGGGCCTGTTCCTCGCTTCTGGTATCTTTGCCATTCTCTTCTTGCTGGTGGAAGCGTACTGGTCACCCGAGCCCATCTTGCCTCTCAAGCTCCTCACCCGTCGAACACCCGTCGCCATCGCCCTTTCCTCCTTCACCATGGTCACCACCCAGTTCTCCGTCCTCTACAACATCCCCCTCTTCTTCACTATTGTCCAGCTCCGCACTTCATCCTCTTCCGGCGCCCATCTCTTGCCCAACTCTATCCTCATCGGTGCAGGCTCCTTGTTCGTCGGCTGGGTCATGCGCCACACTGGCAAGTACTGGTGGCTCGGTGTCAACTGTGCGCTGTGCATTGTAGCAACTAGTGTCGGAATGCTCTTCTGGCACAAGGATAGCCCAGAGTGGTTGACTTGGGTTGCTCAGGCTCCCGGTGGGTTTGGGTATGCGGGAGTGTTGACGACTAGTCTGGTGGCCTTGATGACTCATGTGCAGAGAGCTGGCAAGGGCGAGACGTGAGTGGTCTTATATATAAGGCGAGCCTCTGCTGACCTCCATGATAGTGCCGTGGCTACCAGTAGTGCGTGCTCAAATTACGCAAAGGGTCAAGCTAACATCAACTAGTGACCTATCTTTTCCGAACCGTTGGCCAAGTCCTTGGTGTCGCGATCAGCTCCGCCATTGTCCAGTCTGTCGTTCAGCGCGACTTGCTCAAAACAATCGCCGGTCCCGATGCAGCCGAGGTTAGTATTTCCCTTCACACATCGTGCACTCCTGACAATCTTACAGATCATCTACCTCATCCGCCACTCGACCTCCTCCATCCACACACTTCCCCCTCACTACCAACTCCCAGCCATCGACGCATACGACCACGCCCTCAGCTTTGTCTGGGTATTCAACTTGGTCTTGTCAGTGTTTACCGTGTTGGCTTTGATGTTGGTGGAAGAGGAGGAGATGCCTGATAGGCAGGTGGTCAGGAATCATGTTGAGCGGGCTGATGGCTCGGCTTTCGAGAGGTATGAGTAGATCAGAATCTGCTCAACCCCGTCGCTTATAGATGCATACACCTTTACCGAGGCTCATGTATGCAAACGAAATTAACAAGACATAGTACATAGTTTACATGGCTATCGACACAGACGGCTCGCCACCTAATCCCCATTCATATGCGGGGCATACTCGCATTCTATACCGTGCTTCTTGCAACGAGGGCATCCGTTGATACCACCTTTACACTAAGAAAGCGCCCGACGTCAGGCTCTACTCGTCAGATAGAGGTCCGATCAGCTTACACCTCGTTTAGCCTTTTGGCATGCGCAACAGGCATGGGGGTTCCTTCCACTTGGTGTCTTGCCTGTCTTTGAGGGTTTGAAGGCCTTGTCTGAGGCGTATCTACCTCGGCTGTGGTGTTTGTTTCTGCTGCCTTTGGGGCGGCCGCGACGGGGTCTTGGGTGGCTGGGCGGAGACTTCGGCTCCGGCTCCGAAAAGGTAACGGTCTTCGCTATCGGAGACGACTCAGCTGAGGGTGGTGAAGCTGAAGGACGAGCGGAAGGCCTTATTGAAAGTGTGTCATTATCCGTCTTGTTGGCGCGTGATGGGGATGAGGCCAAGGACGAAATCCCACTCTTTTGCTTTCCTGGCGTATTCGACAGAGTAGACGGCGATTCCGATGCGTTGTCGGAGAAGCATATCGAAGTGGGCCATGTAGTCAAGCTGGGCATGTCGAAATCGGTAAACATGCCAGGACGGATACGCAAAGAAGCAGGTCTGGGGCAGACTCGATCCAAAGAGACATGCTGATATATAGCGGCGTTGTCGATTCCGGGAATTTGAGGCGCACGGTGAGGTAACCCTGGTGGTGGTATGACAAGCATGGATCTGACAGTGACCGGGTGCACGGGCTTTAGACGTTGGAGTGGATGTAAGGCGAGTTGAGGATGATCTCGAGTGGTAAGCTGACAACCTCTCCGTTGCTTCTTAAACCTTTCCTCGAGTATATATTTGGCGTCGTGCGAGAGATGTGTGTATACTGGTCTCACAACGTACGCCGAGGGATCGTTGGGCGAAACACTAGAGTTTAGGTTGAGACAACGATGATCTTTCCTCATGATAATATAGTATCCGCGGACCATACGCACTACAACATACAACGACGCGGATTACGAAGAAGAAGAGTGGCGCTGCTTTTTTTTTTTTCCATCCAACCTTATCCGCTGCATCTTGCTGGGATCTGAATGTTACGTCTCAGGAGCTTCTGGTAGCTCACCCGCTGAGGCTGTGTAGTCATGGTGCTCAGTACAGCACATCCTCAGTTGCAGCTACTATTAGAGCACTACGAGGCGGAATGACCAGTGCAGATGAGGCGCGCGACGAGAGAAACGACTCCTCCAGCAATGAATGCGTACACTCTGCGAGAATGTTCCCAGGGAAGCCCCTAAGCCCGCTTCAGGCGTCGTCATGTAGATTGAGCTGGTGTTGGCTGGTGATGGAATCTGGACTGATGTCCTGTCGGGTCTGGAAGCATGAGACGATTTGATCCATCCCAGCAGATAAAAGTGGCTACGTAATCTTCTGTAAGTCACGACTTCATCGATGGAGAGGCTGCAGGTTTGTCTGAGCTCTCTGAATATGACTGACTTCTCTCTAAATTACATCCTCATGTGGTGAACATGTCCAACCAGAAGATGATGTGTCGGCGACAACGACCTTTCTCAGCGAAATTTGAGCGAATCCGCACGCACAACATGACCGGTATCTGTTGAGTGATTTTGCTGCCTATGTGACGGACATTGACCTCGAGAGGATATGGGGAGGCTTTCTGCCTGTCATGCTTACATTCTTCCCAACGACACACTGGAAGCAGCCGTACCAAGCTCTCATGAGACATCATGATTTGACGGGGGAAACGACGGCGGAACAAGCGGGTGACATCAGCGACAAATGCTCTGCCCATCAACAGGGCCACCCAAGCTCGACACTGCGAGCAGTGTACCTTTAGCCTTCCTAGGTAATACTCTGGGTGCTGCTTTACTATTTTTAACACTCCTACACTTCGACTCGGTCCATACTTGTGAGACTGCATATCGCAACCTCTCTCATCAGCCACAGCTGTCTTTCCGACGAAGCGCGTCGAGTCTTGCGTTTCCGCTTTGGCGGCTACGGTATTGCTTCACTTTCCGCAAACGTCTTTTGCACCATGGATACCAGTCTATCCGCCATATCCGTGGCATGGTGTTTCCTCTCAGTCATATAATGATGGCTGAGTCCCCGCATCTCATTCTGATTCACAACACCCACCATTATCATCACCAAAACCCATCCTCGCCATTATCTTCCCAATGGTCTTTAAAACGTCAACCCCAATGCCCCCCAGCATTTCTATGCCTTCTTCCCAGACTGTCTTCCTATTCCTCGGTTTATATTTGGAAGTCGTGAAAGACTGGTGGACGATGATCTGGCGGCTCATCTGCACCTCACCTTTCCCCTGTACGTTGATTTTGTCGGCCTGATCGTTCCACCTTGCTGATCCATGGCCGTGCAGTATACAGACTCCTTTTCCAACCAAAGAAAAAGGCTGTAAAAAAGGAGTTTTCTCCATGGAAGAACCCCAACGCCAACGTCGTTGTATCATACAAAGACTTTCGTCGAGTTGAAACGCCTTACGAGTCATACGAAAACAAGAAGGTGGTCTTCAACCGTTGCTCTGGGAAAACCCCAGAGAAGCGCATCCTGAAGGGCAAGTGGGGAGAAGTCCATGAGGAAGTCAAAAAGCCATATGCGTATCACGACAACGGCGAGCCCTGTTGGGATCCCGAGTGCCCGGAATTCGATGCAAGTCAACTACGACAAAGGGTTCGTAACACAGCTGACAGCGCGCTTAGGCACTCCCCGAGTTGAAGAAAGAAGACTATCTGAAGGAGGAGGCCGGCTTCATCAGGTCTTTCAAAGGTGCACTCATACCTGAAGATATCCCTCGCGAACCAGCCCCCATCAAGCCCACCCGCAAACGCTTCTCTCAGCACTCTGTCTTCATCCAAACCAAGCTTTCTGCCTCCAAGCTCAAGGCCAAGTGGAGACTCACCAAGATGAGGAGGGAAGAAATGCGAAGGATGGCAAAGATTGAGAAGAGCTGGGCGTGGGAGGTGTCCGAAATTGCGAGGTTGAAGAAGGATCAGGCGGATCAAAAGGCAGACGCGGAAGCTGCAGAGAAACTCTTGGCCGAAGCGCGTCTCCCACCTCAACTACCTCTCTTTGCCAAAACAGGTACTGAGCCCGGAAGCCATACTGTGGCTATCGTGGTGACCCCACCAATAAGCTCTTCCACTTCTCTCCTTACAGAGTCCAGCCCATCCACAGCTCCGTCCTCCGCACCGTCTACGGCACACACCACTCCTGTCTTGTCCCGCGCATCCTCCATGTCCTCCATGTCTTCATTCTCCACCCTCTTCTCATCGTCATCCGGCCCGGATTGCGAAAAGAAGAAGAAAATCTCCTTCGCCTCCAGCAGATCCTCCGCTCGAGTCTCCGAGACCATCCGCAAGGCCAAAGTCCGCTTTGCGCGAGAGCAAAAGCCACCGAAGTCGCTCGGGCTGTTTGAGACTTTCAAGGCGCGACAGGAGTACAACGACCTGCGCTCCCCGCCTAAACCTGAGAGGATCAACTGGGAGAAGAGGGGCCTCCCGGAGAACAAGTGGTGGAAGAGATGTTGAGCATGGAGTCATTCGAGGAGTCGTTCTCCAGATACCGGACATTTGCTACATTTACAACGGACGCGTGCCAGTATTTATAGAGCTTCCATAACCCTTAATCAATGATACCGAGAGGTCCACTTCTCTGCATGCAACAACAGATCATTCGTCGTCATAATAATGATACAATATATACGTACGTCCGGTATAATCGACGCGAGCCTATATCCAATGTCCTTAATCCATCTCTTCTCCCGTACCCCTTCGAGGTCCACCCTACCAGCACCTAGAACCCAAACGCCAACTGCGCCCTGCTGAAAACAGGGGGTTTCCACCTGAGATAGTCGGGGTTGATCGACCGTCTCGTCTTCGACATTGTCTTTTTGTGTTGTTCAATGACGGCGTCGGACAGGTGGATGATGTGGCTATTTTTGTAGTACTTGATCATCTGGAGAGCCTGGCAGCTGTACGATTGATTAGCAAAGACACGCACTGTTACTTCAATGACTTACGTGTGCATGATATCGCCATGCGTGATCGATGTCCTCTGTGCAATCTCATCCAAGCTAATCTCATAGTCACTGTCCAACAACAGCTCCACAATCTTCTCCTGCCAGTACGCTCTGTACCCCAACAGACCCAAATCTGAAAGCGGCTTTTCGGGTGATCCCAATTTGCCCTCGACTTTGGAAAGTTCGTAGGAAAACTCGATCAAAAGTCGACCGTACCCCTTTCGTTGATGTTGAGGGAGGGTGAGGATACAAGCCACATTATACCCTTCAGGTGATTCCTTTTCTTTGGAGAAGTACCCTATCAAGTGACAACCATACTCGTCATTGACGGTCATGCAGTAGTACATGAACGGGTCGACATCGTAGTAGAGGGTCTTGTGGTCGAGGAAACACTTTGAGATGAGACAGAGATTGCGACACCATGTGCGCTGCTTTCGCCCGTCAATTTCAAAGAATGAAATGTTGTCGTACCGATATATTTCATTTCCCGGCGGGTGCTTGAGCGTGCACTTGGTTCTGTGCCGTACTAGCTGAGTGGCAGAGGGATAGTAGAGTAGACAAAATTCGCAGATGTGGAGGACGGGGAGGTGCGCGTATTCGATCGGGTATGGCGAAAAGTACCATGTCTCGACCTCGTGCTTTCCCATTTGAAGCTTGTCGAGGTTCTTGACACGACTGACCTCGGAGTGAGACTGTGTCATGGAACCAGACGTACGGAGCTTTTCAATCTCTTGCTTTTTCGAAAAGACGGGAGGAGCGGCCTGGGGGTTGGAAGGGGCAGCGACGACTTCGCTATTGGGATCGATAGCACCGTCAGAAGCCTCCATTGTGATGTCGGCATCGGGATCCTCGTCTTCGCCTTCAGCATCTTCATCTTCATCATCGTCGCTGTCCACTTCCACGGGCTCTGCCTTGCCTCGTCTCTTCTGAGGCACCTTGCCTGCTTTTCCCGCCTTGCCCGCCTTCCCAAGCTTGGAAGGAGCCGCCTTGCCAGTCCCCGCTCTACTAGCGGCCTTGTTGGCAGCCTTCTTCAGCAGACTATCGGAGGGCATGGGTGAACCTCGCGAGGGGGTAGCCTTTGATGGCTGAGTCTTGCCCGGTCTCTCCTTCTTCTTTGGTTCTTCCTTGGCTTTCGGCCACTCCATCTCCTTATCCAAAACAAGTCGACTGCCTCCTACCCACTCATCAAGACGTTTGTTGAACTCGACATAGTGGACGTAATACTCGGTATCATCTCTGGGGTCTGGTGGAGGAGCGTTGGGAGGCGGGGGAGGGGCAAATGCGGAAGGTTTGGGTTTGGGACGAGTAGATAGGATTTCAGCTCTTCGTTGTTCTGATTGACCGCCTCCGAGGGGTTTGGCGACGTATATCTTGACGCCGGGGGTAACGTCCTGTAATCAGTCAGCTATGCATGTGTTTGCAGTATGGTAAACACTCACTTGTATAGTGTATGACCCAGGTGGCGCGATGACAGGTGCAGGCGTTCCGGGTTCACTCCCGGTCCCCCTGCCGTGAGGCGTCGATGGCGTCGAAGGGGCCATGCTCGGAAGGGTCTGCCGCCACTACGCGTATCTCAAGAAGTAGAAGGTTTTCGGAGGTTGTTGGAATCGGAGGACAAGAAATGCGTGTTTTTCCGTCTGATGGGCGGGTTCCGAGGGATGGTTGTATTGTGCGAGGGGGGCGGATGGATGGGTTCAAGATGTTTTTCGCACGCCGTGTAAGAGAAAAAGAGGCAGGCCCTGCGGCGAATTGCTTCCGTCGCTGAGTGGCAGAGTCCGCCAGTTCGCGTCTGGTTCGCGTCAACGGTCAAGCTGCAACGAAAGAGTTTATTGTACTTGGGAATTGCTAGATCCGCTACAGCTGCATACAAACCGACAATGCCTCGCTAGAAATGGCCTCCTACTTTCCCTCCTTCTCAGCCCCGTCCCCCATGGCGCTGGCGGCAGCTTCCACCAACTTCGACGACCCCCATCTTGAGGTTACCGTCACTCCCTCCGCCTCCGCCTTCTATGCTGGAGAGACATTCTCAGCCACCATCACCATCCGCAATACACGCACGCCATCCCATGATGCCAAAGTGCCCGAGACGCCGCTTACTGTGCCGCCCACAGCTGAAGTCTCGTCTGCCACGTCGCAAACGCGGCCGCTGCCACCAATGGATGTCAGACATCCCTCTGATGCCCCTCAGTTACCCCGGCGGTTAAAGCAGATCGGGGCAGGCTTGCCTGATATTCCTCTCAATGGCAAAAAGTTTGCTGAGATTGCTGAAGCTGGACCATCTGGTGGCCGCACCCCAATGAGGATCCAAGCAACCCCTCGGTCACCCGACCTCGACTCTGGGTATCCATACAGCCCTGGTGCAAACACTGCTTTCAGAGCCCCTGGCCCGAGCTCGCCTCAACGCGAAGGTCTCATGAACTTTCGAAGTCCGGAAGGATGGGGAGGCAAGGAGAATACCATGTCGAAAGAGCTCGGTCATCAGCGCAGGGCAAGAAGTTTGGCGCTGGGTAAGGGAGCTATGAGCCCGCAGGAATTGGTCTGGGCACTGGGTGGGCAAAAGAGTGAGCGGAAGGATATAGATGAGCTTAGCGCTAACCAAAGCAGCCCCGCCTCCATTACCATCACGTCGTTCGCGCGACACTCAGATCCCAGCGCACCATCCTCATTCTCGGAAAATCTCCATCGCCAATCCCATTGCTGCTGAAACCTCTGGGCAGTCGGAGGACAATACACCGCCTCCATTAGAATCTATCATTGAAGGCCAACCGTCTCCGTCGGGCCGACCCCGCTCATCAACTCGACCGTCGGCATCGCGGTCAAATTCACAGAACGATTTGAAACAAGGCGACAGGCCTGTAGCTCAAGCATCCCCAAACAGACCCAGACGGCCGTCCCACAACCGCACTCCATCGTACCAAAATGCATACGGCGCCTCCTTCATGGGCATCCACACCGACACGCTCCCACCCCCGCCCTCTCACCCATTCATCCGCGAACGCGAACCGCCTGGCACCACCACCGTCCTCTGGGCCTACACCCGCCTCGTCGGCCACTTTCATCCTTCCAACACCTATATCCCCCCCGACCCTCTCCTGCCCCTCCGCGCAATACTCTTACACCAGCCCGTCGGCTCGGGATCGCTCCTGACGCCTGGGGGCAGTAGCGTATCCAACCCAGCAGGCAAGTCGTCGAGCTCGTCGAGGTGGCAGTTGAGCTTTGGCACGGGCGCGATCGGGAACGCGACACAGCCGAGCTTGACTGGGAGTTTGTTTGGGTTGGCAAAGGAGCTTATCACGGGTGGTGGTGGGGGGAGTTTGGAGGAGGAGAGGAGGAGGGTTTGGAATATGAAGGATCTCCCGGTGCTCGAGTCTACCAGGAGTTTGATGGGAGTGGATATCCGGTTGAAAGAAGGTGAAAGTAGAGATTGTGAGTGCTCAATCCAGGACTGAATGGTGTGCTGAAGTGATTAGTCGTGTACACCATGCCATTACCTACGGTCCTGCCCCCGGCTCATCGCGGAAAGGCCTTTCGCTTCTCGTACGACTTGGTCATTTCTCTCAGTGCGAGTCTGCCAGGCGGCGGTCATAGACAAAAGTCCAAAGACATTGTCATTCCTATAAGAATATGGGCGAACGTGTCTGGCAAGTACTTTGAGTCAGACGTGTGCAGTCTCTGACACTTCGCAGTGGGACATCCATATCGAACTTATGACGTTCTCCACCCCGTCATCCAGACCAAGGAAGAAGGCAACGTCCAAAATCTCGAGCAGCCCGACGTCCCCTCTTTACCGGCATCATCCACACCCCAGAGTCAAGAAATGCGCCGGCAATCATCTGCATCGGATAGACATCGTATCAAGAATGGGGACACGCGCGACTCTTTACAAGCGTATGCTTCTCATCTTGTCGACACCCTCAAGCCGAATGGGGAGAGCTTGCAGCCAATGTCGCCCAGCAAGAGAGATGCACGATCTCGTACGGCTTCACCTTCGTCTCCCGTTTTTCGGATACCCGCTACGGATCCGATAGAAGATAATACAGATCTGTTGGATATCCCACAAGCGCATAGGAAGGGCAAGGGGTCCAGACACAGGAACGAAAGCTTTGTGGAGGGGGACGAGGAGTTGCTGGATGAAGTTGGTCATGAGGGTGGCTGTGGGGAGGCCGTTGAGATACTTAGCAGACATTCGCCCAAAGGTAAGCTCTTGCAAATATTGGGCCCTCGCACCCACTAACTCGCGTAGCTTCTTACGATATCAACAAAGATGGCCATCCGGTCTCTGTCATGACGCTCGCCAAGACGACCTACCGCCTAGGCGAATCTGTCCTCGGCATCGTGACCTTCAACCACCCCACCTCCATATTTCGCGTTCTCAAATTCTCCGCCTACCTCACCTCCCACGAACTCATCCCGGAACCCCTCCTGCCCCCACCCGTCCACGCCGGAGGACCAGAACAACCGAATTTGCAGACGGTGCACGCCGAGTATCACACTGCTTATGCGCTGTCGGCAGAAAGGCTCGCGTTTCTGCTCGACATACCGTCGGATGCTACTCCTGCGTTCAGCTTGGCAGCTGGGGAAGGGGACAAGGGCGGACTGGAGTGGAGGATCAAGTTGAAGTTTACGGTGGGCGTGCCTGCGCATGGCGTACCAAAGAGCCATAGGAGGAGCGTCGACCATTCGCGGAAGAGTGTAGATGGCCACGCGCCCGTCTCTGAAGCTGTCAACCTCATCCCCACCAAACGGCATCGGCCGGGAGATGAAGGGGACAATGCATTCTACTCGGCGCTGCAGAGCCTGAACCCTGTCATCCCCGTGTCGCAAGCATACAGAGATGCTGTGGGCCCAGATGGGGGCGCGGAATGGTCGGAAATGAGGACGGAGATGGTAGAGTGTGAGGTGCCGGTGAAGGTCCTTGCTGGCAACACGGCGTTCTTGGTGCGGCCGGCTGTGTTTGTCGTGTAGTGCAGCGCACGAGGGAGTGTATGTATGTATTTGTATGCAGCATCTATGCATTGAGGGGTCGATATTGCACCACACCAGTCTGTCGTTCCAAGGATACGTAACAGGTGGAAGGCCCGGGACCAAATCGGCTGGCTCGGTTAGCGGTATGGCGCACAGATGGCATGATAGCGTCGGCCATCTCCTATGACTTTTTCTGACTCGCGATAAGTGAGGTATATAACAGCCATGCACAGTCCATTATTGCTATCCCCGTCCAGCATGCCCTCCGTCGACCCCGCCCCCGTCAAGCTGGACTACGACCACTTCCTCTCCGCCGAGGCAAAGGGTCGCGTCCGATCCCAGCTCCGAGCCCTCGGCCCCTACCAGGCCATCCCTGGCATGATCTCGGTGAGCCGTCCGCTTCCTTGGCCCGCGTGGCCGCTCATTTGTTCTCTAGTTTGGCGGTGGAATGCCTCACCCCTCTACTTGGCCAGTAAACGCCATCACCCTGTCTGTGCCCTTTGCAAAAAAGTCTGTCTTCGTACCGGGCTACCAAGGTTAGTAGGACTCAGCCCCTTCAAATACTGCTTAGTAATCATCTCCCAGGCGAGGATCCCTCGAAGCTCTACCCTTTGGCGCCTTTCACTCCCACCACCAAGCTTTCTCTGCAATCTGACCCCCTCGACCCGAACCTCACTAGGGACCTCCAGTACTCTTCCACTTTCGGCCTTCCATACTTTGTCGACTGGATCACAGAGCATGTCAAGAGGATCCACAATCCTCCTTACCCTGAGGCTGATTGGCAGGTGCACTGCACTGCAGGTAACACTGATGGATTCGACGGTGTTGCGAGGACGTTGTTGAACAGAGGCGAGTATGTACTGGTTGAAGAGTTTGGTGAGTCTTCATCTACTGGTGTGAGATATAGCTTATCGTGTGGCAGCATTCCCGGCGACTATCAACCACTACACTTCCCTCGGAGGTCGAAACATTGGTGTCCCCTTGGATGGAGAAGGTTTGGATGCAGAGGCACTCAACAAGATCTTGTCCGAGTGGAACGAAGAAGAGCGCGGAGGTGCTCGTCCCAAGACTCTCTTGGTGGTCCCGTGAGTCCATCGAAGGACATTATGAGTACCCGCTAATACATTCGACCATAACAGGACTTGCTCCAATCCCACTGGTGTGACCTACACCGTGCCCAGGAAGAAGGAGATCTACGCTATAGCCAGAAAGTGGAACCTTTTGATCATTGAAGACGACCCTTACTGCTACCTCCAATCCCGACCTGACGGCTACGACACGCCGCTTGTCCCTTCCTTCCTCTCTCTGGATGTCGATGGCCGAGTCGTCCGTATCGACTCTTTCTCCAAGTTTATCGCGCCTGGCAGTCGTGCCGGTTGGATCACCGGACCCAAGGACATTGTCACTGCCATCATGAGGAAGGGTGAATGCAGTGCAGTACGTGACTGCCTCGCATGATGCTCGATCTTCTGCTGATCCCATGTCTTTGCAGAACGGGCCTTCGGGCTTTGCAATTGCCTCGATTGCTGGTATCATCCAAGCATGGGGCAGCCACGAGGGGCTCGAGAAGGAGTATCTGCCTCACATCTCTAGTACGTCATCCATCCCATCACCGTTGATCTCGTACTGACAATTATACAGCTGTCTACAATAGCCGCGCTTCGGACATGGTCCGCCATATCCGCAAGTACGTCTCCCCCGAGACTCTCGAGACGCCCGAGCCTACCGGCGGAATGTTCCTCTGGGTGCGTCTTCGCCTCGAGAACCATCCTCTATTGGGCAAAATCGACCCCGAAGAGATCTCCGCCCGCACCTTCAAGCGCCTCATCGAAGAAAAGGTCCTCACTGTTCCTTCCCACAATTTCAAGGCGGGTGGCGGAATTGAGCTGAGCAAGGAGGAGGAAGCCAAGAGGATCTTTTTGAGGTTGAGCTTTGCTACTGCCGATCCGGAGCAGATGGAGGAGGGAGTCAAGCGGTTGGCCAAGGGGTTGAGGGAGGAATGGGAGCTGAAGGAGTAGACTAAGGACACTGGCCAGGCTGCGCCCAGAAAAGTGAATAGAATTGCTACCATCTATGCCAGATATGCATCCAACTTCTCTCTGCTGGCCCAAGGACTGTCAACAGTTGTTACTAAGAGGTGTGAATTGTACTGCTACCATCTGGCTACCATCTATTTGCTACAAATATGCATATGTAGTTGTCTGGGCATGTTGATATGGACCGGTGCTCTACTGTTTTCTGCTCTAGTTTTCACTTTCGTCTTCGTCTCAATTGCCTCCTATCGCTACAGACTCATTCTTCTAGAGACTCTCAGCTTCGCTCTCAACCGCCTTGACAGTCTTTTTCACCTTCTTTTTAGGCGTGGTCTTCTTCACAGGGCTATAGTCCCAGCCCCTTGCAGCAGTAAGTCTTACCCGCGACCTCTCCTGCTGCGTTGCCTCGTAACCTTCAACCCACTTGGCCGCACCTTCAAGAGCCTCGATTGGGGCATATTTATGACCCGTGAGGTAGCTCTGCAGGGCCGCCATGGTAATCTTCTTGGACAACTTAACTTCTTCAGCCGGGAGATTGATAGAGTTGGGGGTCGAGAAGATGGCATCGGCAAAGTCGCTCGCATGCTTTTCAAGGTCGGCTTGGTCTGTAAAGATGACGACAGACTTTTCAGGCTTTTCGTTCACAATGTCAAAGTTGCTTCGCTCTGTGTGGGGGCCAAAGTCTTCGAGGGGGAAAAGGTGGATGTAGAGATCATGGGCTTGTCTAGGAATGAGGAAGGTGAAATGAATGTGATTGTCGAAGCGGCCTTCGCGGATTAGAGCAGGGTCAAGTCTCTCTAGGTGGTTACTGACGTTCACAGATTAGTCGTTGGTCTTCTTGGCGATATTGACTCACGTGGTAGCAATAATGACACATCCCTCTTGACTTGAAACACCATCAAGAGCATTTAAAAGTCCCGAAATCGTGACGGTCGACGGTGGCTGTCCTCCTCCACCGACGAAGGCATCACGATGCGATGCTGCTCCGTCAAGCTGAACCTCTGCTTCTCCACCATCGTCTGCCTGTAGACCATCGATCTCACCGCCAGGGGTCTCGTCGACGGCGGAAAGCATGGCGGAAACGTTGTTGTGCCGACCGGAAGGGAAGATGCAGTCACTGACGGCAGGTCAGTAGTACTCTCAAGTCTTGCGGGGAACGCACATGTCCTCAATAAGGACGATGGTCTCGGAAGGGCAGTTTCGGAGCAGAGTTGATAGCTTGGCGTCATCCATCCCTCTTTGAGCAGGGTTGACGATATACATGTCAATGTTCAGCTTGCTTGCGAGAGCGGTGACTATCGACTCGTCAGCACGAGAGCAGCTCTGATTCTTACATTGGACCTACCAAGAGATGTTTTGCCGGTCCCCGGCTCTCCATAAAGTACCATGCCTTTGCGGTGAGGAATACCTCTGGAAGCGTGCCAATTCCTATCTTTTTCCGACAAGAAACGCTTGACATCTTCAAGTATCTCTTCTTTCATACCAGGGGGTAAGATGACGGAACCCCACTCTCGAGCACGACGTGTGATCGGCTTCATCCAGGTTGGATTGATACGCCTACCCTCCACGTCAGTATCGCTAGAAGAGGCACGGTCAGAGGAAATCCGGCGTGGTCAGCTTGATTCTTGCTTCTTGTTCTTTGTCTCTTGGGATGCTCGGGATGATGGCGAAAAGCTTGGGAAGATGTGACTCACTTGGAATGGAAGATTCGCAGCTCTTTGTCTTCCTTTTCGTAGAAGTTTTGATTAACAGCGGCAATGAAATTTTGAATGATATGAGGCCTATAAGCAATCGTCCTGCCGTTCACGCCACGGTCAGCATCTAGTGAGAAAAGGAATGAATGGATGATACTGGATTTCGACGCGAGCCCCTTCGCTAAACCTATGCGACACCCGGCGGGTGATCCACAGATAGTTGCCGTTGTGTTTGATTCTAATACTTTGACCTGTTGATTTCTTCAGTAGCGGACTATATGGAGGATGTACTTGACTCATCCACAAGGGGAACTTGTTGCCCAACAACATCGCCCGCCCTCCAGCTAGACGTGTGTTCACCAGCTATAATGCCACCGATCTCGAACATGGCCCAAGGCTCTCCTTTGGTGTCGGTTTGACGCTTGCCACTTCTCAGCCATCGCGCTTCAGAGGTATTCAGCTCGTAGTCATGGAGTTGTCGCCTGGCTCCATGGTCTTTTGCGATCCAGACCATGATCATTTCGTAGCTGGGATCTCGAGAACTGATATGGACGGTTGGAAATATGGCTAGGCAGGAGGTCAGTACGGTCTCGAGATTCAAGTGAATGAGATAGCTCACCTCGCGAGACACATGCTGTTGAGTATCCCCACAGACGTCGGCTGCTCGTCACCAAAAACCAGAGCAGGACGGCACGGACGATGAGAGGTATGAACTCCTCGGGGTTGGTTTGGCCTTTTGATAGCTGAGATACAAGCTTGACCGGAAGACTCTGCAGGTCGTTTGAGAACGATAGAGCGGAAATGAGGAGCGACATTACGTCCAAGAAGGTAGGAAGAGACGAATGAGAAAACCCCATGGTTGGGTTTTTGTTCTGTCCCGCAGAGGTGCGGCGGATAAGGTTGACAAAGATCGCCCCTTTGTGTAAGCGGAAACCGGTTGTCATTGTCCTCCTTTGACCGTCATATGTTTTCAGTGGGAATACAAGGGACCTGCAAAAGCCTAGTCCTTCGTTTATGTCGATCATGTCAACGTCAATCGGTGTATGCGCACTCATTATGGTAGACCCAACCTAAACGAGACCGGGCGACGCGTTAGATCACCTACACTCACTGTACATACCGATCAATGTTTGCCGATCCCACCGGCGATAATATGATCGTACTTTACATGCCCGGAGCTGCGGGTTGTGTGAGCCTGCGACCCTGAGGGTTCGAGGCATGTGGCTGCTGAGAGAAGTATGCTACAAATTTGCTGCATACACGTTTGAGTGAAAGGGCCTTCTTACAATTCCTAGTCCGCTTGTGATTTTTTATCCTCGGGTCAACGCTTCAGGTCCAAGCAGAGCCGAGATTCAGCCCATCTCTCAAGTTTCGAGTGCAATCTAGGAGCAATCAACATCGCTTTCGACCTTCTTGGTAGTCTACAATGTCTTTCCCTTGGACGGTGCCCCTTTCGGGCTATAATCATAACCCAGCGCGGCCGTAAGCCTTACCCTGGACTTCTCCTGCTTCGTCGCCTCGTAATCCTTGATCCACTTGCTCGCACCTTCAAGAGCATCGATGGGGGCATATTTATAGCCCGTGAGGTAACTCTGCAGCGCCGCCATGGTGATCTCTTTGGAGCCTTTGACTTCTTCAGCCGGGAGATGAATAGAGTTGGGAGTAGAAAAGATGGCGTCGGCAAAGGCGCTCGCATGTTTTTCGAGGTCGGCCTGGTCCTTGAAGATGACTTCAGACTTTTCAGACTCTTCGTTCTCCAGTTCGAAATCGCTTCGCTCGGAGTAGGGGCCAAAGTCTTCCAGGGGGAAGAGGTGAACGTAGAGATCCTGGGCTTGTCTGGGGATGGCAAAGGTGAAATGGATGTGATCATCGAAACGGCCTTCGCGGATAAGAGCCGAATCCAGTCTTTCGAGATGATTACTGGCATCGATATGTCAGTCATTTCTGGTTGACTGAAGATAGCCCACTCACGTGGTAGCAATGACAACACAGCCCTCTTGACTGGAAACACCATCAAGAGCATTCAGAAGCCCCGACATCGTAACGGTAGACGGTGGCTGTCCTCCACCGGCAAAGCCATCTCGTGCCGCTGCTGCTCTGCTAAGCTGAGTCTCTGAATCGCCTTCGTCGTCAATTTGCAAGTAATCAGCCTCCTCGTTGTTGACCTCGTTAGCGGTGGAAGAGTTTTGACGACCGGCCGGGAAGATACAGTCGCTGCTATCAGGTCAACACACATACAGCCCGGAAGAGAAGCACGTACATGTCTTCGATGAGGACGATAGTCTCGGAAGGGCAATTGCGCAGTAGAGTAGATAGCTTGGCATCGTCCATACCTCTCTGGGCAGGATTGATTATATACATGTCGATGTTCAGTTTGCTTGCCAGTGCGATGACTGTGCCATTGTCAGTACAGTGAATTTGATTTCCAAGACATACCAAGAGATGTTTTGCCTGCCCCCGGCTCCCCATATAGGATCATGCCTTTGCGATGAGGAATGCCCCTTGAAGCGTGCCACTTTCTATCCTTGTCTGACAAGAAACGCTTGATGCCTTCAAGTATCTCCTCCTTCTTACCGGGGGGTAGGATGACGGATCCCCATTCACGGGCACGACGCTTAATCGGCTGCATCCAAGTTGGTTCGATACGTCTACCGGCCGGGTTAGTATGAGAGGCACAGTCAGGAAAAGGACAAGTGTTCTTCTTGTTTCTTGATCTTGCTGTGGGCACTTGACAGAGAGTGAAGATATGAGAGCGATATTACTCACTTGGGATGAAAGATCCGCAGCTCTTTGTCTTCCTTTTCATAGAAACTCTCATTTACAGAAACGATAAAGTCCTGAATGATATGAGGCCTATAAGCAATCGTCCTGTGGTTCAGGTCATGGTCAGCATCTAGCAAGAAAAGGAACAAATGGATGATACTTGATTTCGACGCGAGCCCCTTCGTTGAACTTAGGCGACCGCCGGCGGGTAATCCACAGATAGTTGCCGTTGTGTTTGATTCTAACACTTTGATCTGTTGACTTTCTCGTCAGTCACGGACAATATGAAGAAGCATATACTCGACTCACCCACAAGGGGAACTTGTTGCCCAACAACACCGCCCGCCCTCCAGCTAGACGTGTGTTCACCAGCTGTAATGCCACCCGTATCGACCTTGGTCCAATACTTATCGCTGGTGCCAGTCTGACGCTTGCCACTTCTCAGCCATCGCGCATCAGTGGTGTTCAGCTCGTAGTCATGGAGTTGTCGCCTGGCTCCAGGATCCTTTGCTATCCAGACCAAGGTCATTTCGTAGCTGGGATCTCGGCAATTGATATGGACGGTTGGAAAGATGACTAGAGATGCAAATCAGTATAATAGCATACCATGGGCCAATCCCGAAAACTCACATCGTAAAAGACACGTAGTCGCATACGTCCAAAGACGTCGACCGCTGGTCACCAGAAGCCATAGAAGGATGACACGAGCGATCAGGGGTATGATTTCCTGAGGATTGGCGCTGCCTTCCGATAGCTGAGATACCAGCTTGGCCGGAAGATTGTGAAGGTTATTCGAGAGCGCAAGAACCGAGATGAGGGACATAATTGTGTACCGTGTCAGATCGGGGAGGTATATGGGAAGAGGCGAGTGGTACCCCGAGCCGCCCATTCTATATACTGTCCCTAGGATGCGGCAGGCATGGCTGACAATGAAATTTCCTTGGTATCAGCCGTGATTCTGTGATCCTTTGACCGTGGAACCGTTCCGAAGGGCATGAAAGGGACTCGTCGCCACAAAGTTCAGAGACATCGAGTGGAGTCGATTAGTGTGCTAATTTCGAATGAACCCGCTCACTTTTGGCTCTCGTAACGACCAAGATAGACGCCCCAAACGATCTTCGCGAACGCACGTAACCACCGACACATAGTGTACATGTCATTGTAAGATACAGTGTTTCTGTAAATCCCGCACGTTATGACCCTTGAGGGACTCGCACGGTCCTGTGAGGTGTGTGATGATGAACCTGATCACGAAATGCTCGTCAACACATATGGCCACGAAGATCATCATGCGGACGCTTGCACACTTACTTGCTACTCTGCCGGATCTTCACAACCACGCGAGGTCTGTCACCTTTGTGATAGCCTCGTTTTTTGCCATCAGCTCCCACGTCTTTCCGTCCTGTCCCACATTGTAAACCTCTACCCCTCCTCCATTCTGTCCAGCCAAAGCGACAAATTTGCCGTCGAGGCTGAGTTGCATGGCTCGGATATTGTCGACGCCAGTTCTCACGTGTTGCACGGCTTCGAGTGTTCCGTCAGAGGATAGTGTGGCGATTGCTACCGCGTCACCCTTTTCCTTGGACTCGAATTTCCCACTTGACGCTTTGCCAATGTCGAGCTCTAGTCGGTTGGAGGCGTAAAGTACGGGGAGGGAGGGATGGGCAAGCAGCTCGGCGGCATTCAGATATTTGATATACTGTTCCGGCACCGATGGTGGGGCGATGGAAATGCCAGAGTCGGGATGAGGGATGATGGGGTAGGTAGGGTCGGTCAAGGGAAAAGTGAGAAGAGTGTTTGCGAGCTCGGTAAGTACATAGAGGTGTTTACCTGCATTGCAATGTCAGCGGCATTCGTGAGAACTGGAGAATACTTGCCGTCTTTTGAGATGGTAGCATGTCTGGGACCAGTCCCAGCAGGTGCCTGACACCACCCTTTGACACTCAGACCGCTCTCCCCACCTCTCCAGACGACCCATACTCTGTCGTTGCCCAGATCAGGAACGTACAAGATACCATCGTCGCCCTCGATGACTTGATGGCAATGGGAGGCATCTTGGCGCTCAGGATTAGGAGGGGTCTGACCTTGCTCGGTGTAGACGAGGTCAAATTTGAGCAGAGGAGAAGCAGAAGTAGCTGATAAGGTGCCGTCCTGTTCGGTTGGGAAATAGATCAACGAGCCTCCGAGATACTGGACAATGGTCAGTCAGAGCTTGCCAGAGTCATCATTAAGAGCTCACATTGGCAACGACTATGCCGGAACCATCCTTCATGATATGAACTACGTTCAAATAAGCACCCAAGGCCCTAGCGATCGACATGGGAACGCACCGTGACAAGACCCTCCCAGCGTATCTCTCTCGCTGGTGACGGTCACCTTGTCGTCTTTGACCACCAGACTGAGAGCCTTTCCCTTTTCGGCCTCTGATAGAGAGTATACGATCCGAGACCCATCCGTTGATTTTTTTGCAGCTGGCTCGACCCAGGAAGCGTTCTCAGGGGCAGGGGAGTCCGATAAGACCTTGATGCCCCTGGTAGACGGGTCGAAGGCGACGAGGGAAAAGTATTTCCTGTACCCGCTGACAAGGAGGGTGTAGCTAGACATGGCGAGATGGGATACTATAGGATGAGCCGCAGAGATGGAGATGCAAGAGATGGTCGTGCAGTCATCTGTCGTCATCTCGGCCTTCCTTGCCCACCCTGGCGGCGAGTGCCGAACCTGCATGTAGCATCCGCTCCAGAGCGGATGAAGCCAATATTTAGACGTCTGTATTGATACTCACAGTCAGCCAGAGACGACAACAAGACATATCACAATGTCCGACTCGCAAAGCAGCGTGGCAGGTCCATCTCGCAACGAGACGTCACTCGAAGCGCGCCAGCAGGTCACTCCTCGACAGCGGGAAAAAGCACCTCAGCTAGATGATGTACTGCTCGACGAGACTGCTCTAGAACAAGTGGGTCTTCAGCTGAACCTCATGGATATCCGACTGATAGATTTGTCAAGGAAATCGATCTTCTCATCGGCCAATATCTTGAATCACGCGGAGCTCCTTCAGCAGCCAGAATTTGGGATGAACAGATCCTGGGCAAGGGTGCAGATGGTAGCACCAGGAAGGACCATGTAGAGGATGTGGAAAGGGCTATTCAAGGCAAGTGCACCCCAAGCTAGTGTTGCTTGTCTCTGACTCGACAACGTAGACGGAGATTGGGGAGCTATCGAAGGTCTCATTGCGAGGCCTGGTTTATTGAGACCTCAAACCCAAAAGGCTTTCCTGTATCTAGTGTACAGGCAACAATTCTTGGAACATGTTGAGAACCGTACGTTGATATAGCTGTGGACCATTATGCACGTTGCTGAAGCAGGTCGCAGGTGAATCGCAGAAAGCATTCAACTTACTGCAGAAGCGTCTGAAAGCTCTGGAACACTATCAACCTGTACCATACGATTTCTATTCGCTTTCATATCTCACGTCTGCCTCTACCGTTCATGACGCACCAACATTTCGGGACTGGGCTGGAGTCGGTCCGGAGAGAGATCGACTGACGGGGGTTTGGAGAGAGATCATCGATTCTGAACGAGGCGGGGAAGGTGAGTCTTGCTTCTCGTGTCATGATGGTGGATGGTTAATATATCCAGTGGGAGAACGGAGATACGTGCCTCCTAACCGACTAAAGACCCTTTTGAAGCAGGCAGCAGCTTGGCAAGTTGGTCAAATAGAGAGGAAACGCGACAGTCCCGTGAAGATCCCTTCGTGAGTCGTCATCGACCTCGCGTTACCAGCACTGACTCTGTGCAGGATGCTTCAGGACTACAGACCTGTCGAGCTACCGAATACCCTCCAGCGGTCAATTCATGGACACCTCGCCAACATCAAAGCGGTTGACCTGATAGGTTCCACGGGTCACTACGGCGTCAGCGGGTCAAGCGACTGCACCCTCCGCATATTCTCCACAGAAGACAGCACGACAGAACACATACTGTCAGGGCATACATCCAGAGTCTGGAGTTGCGCATCGTCGCCTTCTGGGTCCACTATAGCGAGTGGGTCTGGAGATGGCTCGATTCGGCTCTGGTCTGTCGCCAACGGGGATTGCCGAGGGGCGCTGGCAGGTGATGGAGGAGACGTTTACAGCGTCAAATGGCGGCCTAATCGAGATGTAAGTACGCGCGAGGTGCGATCGACCTTACTGACGTTATTCAGGATCAATTGGCCACGGCGTCTTATGATCGTATTCTTCGTTCTTGGGATGTGGAGACTGGCAAGCAACTGCGGACATTCTCAGGCCACAGTCAGAGTACGCTCGCTGTCGCTTACGACTCTACGGGAAATATGATGGCTTCCGGGTGAGTGCGATTCTACCTGCGCAAGAAAATACGCTGACCGATGGCTAGTTCCAAGGACAAGCATGTGAGATTGTGGGATGCCGTGGGCGGTGTTTGCATCAACACCATGACCGAATGTCTGGGAGAGATTACCTCGGTAGAGTTTGAAGACGAGGGAAAGTACCTGTTGGCCGGGTGCAAGGACAACTCGAACCGTCTATGGGATCTCCGGATGGTAGGCCCTTCTCGAGGCCGAAGAGTGCAAGCACTGACAATGCCCTAGCAAAGGAGTATCTACCGATACACTGGTCATCAAAACACATCAAAGAACCTGATCCGGTGCACCTTTGCCTACTCTGCATCCCTCGTTATCGGCGGATCAGAGGACGGATCGGTGTACATCTGGGACCGCGAAGGCAGCACTCCAGCCAATACTTTGAACGAAGCCAATCGCCCACCTGCCCTCCTTGCTCCTACCGCATATGGCCCCAGCGGCGAACCCATCGCCCCTACACTGTCCAACGCCGATATACCTCTTCGCCCCCCTGCTTCGCCGGCGTATTACCCCCCAAGGGACGCGCGCACGACGGGCTCCAGTTTCAGCAGCAGTATCGCCCGTAGCGGGGGCATCACCGTGCGGCCTTCCAAGGTCTTACTGGGACATGGCGACGGAGCGGTGTTTGATGTCAAGTGGAAAGACGGGAGGATGATTAGTGCTGGCGAAGATGGAGCTGTTGGTGTCTGGGGCGTCGAGCGTTGAAGAGAGCCTTCATGCTCGGCTTAAATAGATCGGGGATTTTGAAAGCTGATAAGCTACAGTATGTATGCGCTCTGGTTATCGACCACGATCATGCCGGCAGTTCATGAAGACTGCCGTTGAGTAAGCACCAAACAAGCATGTAAACAATTGAGTACGAGGAGCCGAATGTCAGTAATAAGCAATTGCACTCAATCGCAATCAAGCTTCAAGGGAGGGGCGGCGGCCGGCGAATTTTCCCTGGTGCAAGGCGTTGCCAGGGCACAGTTATACATATTTCTCAATGGCCACTGGTTGCCACACGTACACTTATGCTTGCATGTCACACCATGCACCAAATATTGGCAGATGGGATGGCCAGCATAGAGTCATTCCCGGACCCAAGAAGACGACTCTCGCGCAGCGCGAGACGCGGCACGCTAGCTACCAAAAACGCGCCAACGCGCCCGAGCTTCCCGAAGCGCGTTTTGCTTCGTAGTCATTACTGTGGACTTTTTTTGGCCATTCTTTCCCCCTCCTCATCTCCTCTTCTTTCTCCTCGTTCTGCGTTTTTCCCCCGTTGCTCCCTGCTCCGCCACAAAAAATCCCCCACCTTCTCCATTGTTTCGGCTTTTTTTGTCACCCTTCCCTGTGGCCGGCTCCGATTGTACCTGAAAAAGGCCCGTCCGTCGCGAAACATTGACCGATTGGTTCAATTGTTGTCCCTCGGGGCCCATCGTACAGCCCCTCTCTTTCAATAGTTTCTATTGTTCTTCAACTTTATAACCTCACAGCTCGACGCTATCCTCTCCTCCCCTCCCTCTTCGCCGCATCAAAATCGATCCAGCGCCTCGACTTGAAACTCCACAACAAGGAGATTATATCAGCCAGGACAAAGGACGCCGGAGTGATCCATCAACGCTCTGTTGTTGTTGTTGAGTGACTCATCGCGAGTAGTCAACAACACCTATCCCTGACTTCTCGCCGCCCACCTTGAGCATCACTATTCCCTCACTTCCTCCCATCATCCTCCCATTCCCCCACCCTCCGCCTCCCCTTCGGCCGTCCCGAGCATCTCGCCAGTTCCGCACAGACCTTGTGCCCAAGCGACGCCACTCGTGCAGATCAGAGGAACGCCGCTCCCCACGCTCCCACCCGTCTGGTGCATCTCGTGGAAGCCTGAATCAGCCCTAGATTAGCGGACCCAACCACGCTAGCCTGCGCGCACCACATTAGTGAACAACACTTGCCTATTCTGGCATCTCGTATTGTGCTCTTTCCCAAGACCAAAGCTTTGGTTCCTATCCCATCTCATCCCATCTCTCTTCGTCTTTTGCATCTTGATTTGATTCTTGTCCATTATAATATTAATACTATCATTGTGAGCGTCGCCCAACACCTGTTATTCGCTCGACTGACAGATTTACAGATGCTCGCATCTAAATTTCAAGAGCCTGAGCGGGCTTCCGTCGTCCTCCCTACGGTGACTTGCTCGTCGTGCTCTGCCCCTATCGCCCTGTCCTCTCTTGGCAACCACGTCTGTCAACCTGCCCCTCCTATGCCCCGAGCACAGCCGTCGCGACCAGCCCAGATTGCGATTCCCCAGTCACGGCAAGGGGCACCTGGATGGAATCCATCTCGCCAAGATCCATACTCTGCTCGGCCTGTATTTGCAGGTCCATCGAGCGCACATCCATCTCCTACAGAATTTGCTATTCCCAGGCGTCCATCCGCCAACACCCTCACCCCCCACTCTCCAAACTTTCCACAAGCATACTCTCCTCAGATCAAAACCCCATCTCCCTCCAGCCCGTTCTTTCCCAATTCAACAGGCGGATACAGCTCATACGCTTCCCCGGAGCATATGCAAATGCACATGGTGGATACTACCACCGGAGGCGAGTCTGGTATGGCGGGTGTAGGGAGAAGAGCGTTCGCTACGGCGGCCTGGTCAGTGCGAGCGGGCGTAACGCTGGCGGCAAATGCAAAGCAGCAAAGTGCCGATGATGCGCATGTCCAGGAGCCTCCGCAAGTGCGAGCACCTCCGCAGACCACGGCTTGGCCTCAGGCCCGGTCAGAAATTCACCACTCGCACACTGCTCCCATCCCTCAGCAGCGAGAAGCTGCGCCTTCACGAGTGCAGAGCCCTGCCTCGCCCCCTCAGCGATCGTACTCTGCTATGGACCAACGCACGTATCCCCTGAGAGGAAACGCAGGGCGGGGCGTCTCGATGTCGTCATCTGCCAGCAGCCAGAGCGGACTTACAGATTTGCTCTCGGGTAAAGCCCAGAGACAGTCTAGTAACAAGCGCGACTTTTTTGAAAAGGTCAAGGAGCTAAACAGAAGTGGCAGTGTGCTCAGTCGTAGCAACACTATGACTACCAGCAATTCCAACGACAGGATGGTCTCTAGCCCTGTTGACACTTCCTTTGATCTCGACGACGACTATGAGAATCAGCCTTCGGCTCTTCCTTGGGCAACACCAGATCTGGACGAGACGCCCCGTCTTCACATCAATACCCACTCTGCCTCACCTGAACGGGTACACCGCCGTCAAGCTACAAATGGCAGCGATACCTCGTCAGATTCCTCAAAGTCTGGTCGATGGGGTGCCACAAGTGGGCCCGAGAGCGAAGAGGTTGTCACACCCAGTCAGAGCTTCGACGGGCTGGCGGACAGAGCGCGAGGAGAGATCAGGCTGGGACAGATTGAAAAGGAAGAAGAGGATGTCCTTGGACTGATGTCAAAGGTGTCGATGAGCGATCAGGATGGGGGCCGCATACCGCCTTCCGACTCTGACTCAACCATCGCTTCGTCTCGAGGGTATCCTACTACAACAGTTCCCAATACAACACCCAATTATAAATACTCTCCGAACCACTCCCACCAGCGCATGCCCAGCGTCATGTCCCCGAGCGCAAGTAAGCTGGCTCCTCCCAGTCCTTCCCGGAGTATTGCCCGCAAACAAAAGAGTTGTCAAAAGTGCGGAGAGATAGTCGGTGGATCGAAGCGGTTCGTGGAGCGAGATGGGATTGTGCTTTGTGAAAAGGACTGGAAGAAACTCTACTTGCCCTCGTGCAGGAGGTGTACCTTACCCATCGAAAAGTCTGCCGTCTCTAGCTCGGATGGTCAGCTCAAGGGCAAATGGCACCGGGCTTGTTTTACTTGCTCTGACTGCGACCGGCCGTTTGCGGATGATGACTTCTACGTGTTGAGAGGAAAGCCCTGGTGCCAATTCCACTACCATGAGCAAAAGTGAGTTTGAAATATGATGGTATAAAGCAAGACAAGGCTGACATACGCCGTAGCGGTACCTTGTGCTGTTCGAGCTCTTGTAGGCAACCCATCGAAGGGCCTTGTATTGTCCTGCCGGGACCCGACCCTCAGCGATACCACGCCGGCCATTTCCGATGTGACCACCGCGGTAGCTCCTCGAGCTCTCACCCGTGCAAAGAGAGCATGGACGAATACTATGATGTTGATGGGAAGCGCTATTGCGAGAAGCACGCCGGGGAGATGATGAGGGCCGTGAGGAGAGGTGGCGGGAGGGAACTGAAGGCAGAGAAGAGAAGGACGAGATTGATTGATCTGTCGGCCATGTGAGAGCTGATTGATGATCTGTAGGCGAGTAGTATATAATATATATGTCGACTGGTTGTACCATAGAAACTACAAAGGACATTTAGAATACCATATCATTTGTTGGACTTAGCAATTATAGTAGTCTCCTTGCATGTGATGTATTGTTTGACTCTACTGCAAGCTATTCTCGTGTCTTTTCCAGGCCATGCTAGAGAGTGGAGATGATATGCGCGTCGCGTCGGTTGACGGTGGTTGACGCGTACAAAAAGTACGTGTACGCGTTTTTGGAAGTCGCTTCATCATCGATCGAATCCCAAGTTGATGTAGTACGACTACGTATGCGTTATAGAATCGCACAGTCGGCAAATCAGCCTCCATGCCGCGATCCTCATCGCCCGATATAGTTCCTATATCCCCGCCGCCACCACCGGCAGCTTCCTCTTCGACCAGAAAGCTCACCTTGCCCAAGCGCAATCTGCTGCCCTCCCCAACGTCCGGCCGGCGATTCCCAAAGATATTTCGCGATGGGCCCAAGGGTGGAAGGTTTAAAGATAAAGCTAGGATGAAGGCCAAAGAGGATCGGCTGAAGAAGCGGAAGGAAGAGTTCTTTGTCGGCAAGGGCAAGGAGAAAGTTGCGGAAACGATAGAGGTCGATAAAGAAGACGAGGGTGAGGGTGAGGTTTTGGAAGAAGTGTCAAGGGCTAGGACGACAGAGAAGATGATGAACAGTCTCGGAAAGTCAGGCAATCCAATAACAAATTCGTCTATGCCTCAGAGGTGTGCACGAACAAAAGAGATCATGAAACTGATCGCTGACAGTGCATTGTAGATCAGACTATGTAGCATCGTGCGCAACCGGTCATCAGAGGGGTGAAGCACGGGGGCCGGTAGTCAACAAGACATATGCCCAAGTCAGGACAGACCAACTGCAAAAGCAATCCCGAGCGAATGTAAGTCTGAAGAGAGTTAACAGTAAAGCAGAGGTTGATGATGTCGAACAGAAAACGATGCTATTCAAAGGCTGCTTGTTCTATATGAATGGGTCGACAGGACCGAAAGTGTCCAACCTTCAGCTGAGAAATATGATTGCTGAGAATGGTGGTCGCTTCACGTGCGTAGCATCCATACATGTTAGTTGGGACTCGAGCTGACAAAGAACAATTAGGACTGTCCAAACGTCTGCCTGCACTCATATAATCGCCAATGCTGGGCTATCTGGTGGCAAGACACAGAAACATCTAGATATGCAGGGTGGTAGACGGTCAAGTAGACAGGCTAGAGTCGTTCGAGTCGAATGTAAGAGGGCAAGGTTGTCTCGAGGCCAATTACTCATCAGTCTCGCAGGGGTCTTGGATTCTGTTGCTCAAGGCGCAAAGCTGTCCGAGGCAGGGTATACAATGATAGACAACCCTGTCAGTCCCTCTGGCTACTACAGGTATATGGGTCCAACTGACGACCCCATAGACACAACCAAATCTTTTCACCACGCTAGGAGTCAAGCCAAAGTCATTGCAGTCTGAGTGAGCAGTAAAGCCAAGATCATAGAGGACCCCTTCATGTTGTACAATCACAAGCATCTTGTATCACCAATGGACACCGTCAGAGTCTTGCGGGCGGTTGCGTTACTGATACATGTAAACCCAGTCTCAAGATGTATCCCTGTAGATACGTCACCATACCACAGCCTCTAGTCCTCCTCGTCGTCAGTGTCCTGCTGTACTCTTCTTCTCTTCCCTCTATCCTCTTGCCGTCTGTCCTCTTCCTCCTCCTGTTCTTCATAGTTGAAGTTGTAGTCCTGCTCTTCATCTTCATCGTCATCGTCGTCGTTGGTACGCTTGGGTGCACGTTTCTCAGTAAAGTTGGCTCCTCCAGCCTGGCCGTGTGTGAGAGTATCGGGTCCTCTAGGGGCACTGAAAGAGCATATCAACATATGGGACGGCTTTCAGATAGTCAAGGATCTCTTACCGTTGTTTGGGGGGCTGCTTCTCTCGTACTTCTTCACAGGCATCCACCCAGCTAACACGATATCAGGCGTTATGCTTCAACACTCGATCTCAAGACTTACTCGCAGTAAACGTCAACAGCCGCAGACAGGTCTACCGAGTATGTCAAAATAGGTTTCTGATTTCAACGGACGACCAGCTTACTGTTGATAGGCGCACTGTACTTCTGACCACATACTTTGCAATGCAAGTTTCCAAACATTGTCGCCTTGTCACTGGGTTTCATTAGACCTGTTGTGTTGTTTGTGACCTTGCGACTTACAGCTTGACCGTGACGGCTTTCTCGTGATTACAAAAGAGACATTTGAAGACACTCGCTTTGGTAGTCGTCAGTTGGAAACTCTTTGAGATTGTGATGCTCACATAAAGGTTCAGCCTTCTTCTTGGCAACGGGCTTCTTGGCGGCTTTTCTTTTACCCATGGTGGCGCGAGGATGTAACTGAGTTGTAACAACAACAATAATCGCCCGTCTTGCACTGCAAGAACGAAAGCGCGCAGGCGGAGGTGGCCGGAACTCCGCTTCTTCGATGACAACGACGAACGCGCGTTCTCTGGGAGCGTCTTCAACTCATTCATCTCTTCTTTCTACAATCCACAAGCTAGAATAATCGATCACAATGGAAGAGATCGGTATCGACCTCAAGATTGAGGTAAGTGTGGAGAGTTGCGGGTGATGCGTCAGAGCTGACGTGGCGAAACAGGACCCCACCCTCACTGCTCAGGCTTCAGAGAAGCAGATTCTCCTCGACTCTCTGCCTTCTGGCAGCGAAGAGCTTTACAGTACCTGGAAGCGACTCGAGGCTCACAGAGAGTTTCTCCAGCTCCAGGAAGTGAGTTTGACCATGACTTGAAAGAGTGGAGTGCTGACGGCTATCGCTCTCTAGGAGTACATTCGTGATGAGACTGCCAACCTTCGACGAGAGCTCTTGCGAGCCCAAGAAGAAGTCAAGCGTATCCAATCCGTCCCTTTGGTCATCGGACAATTCCTCGAACCCGTTGACGAGCGTCGGGCCATCGTTGCCAGTACAACTGGCCAAAACTATGTCGTCCGCATCCTCTCTACCCTCGACCGCGAGCTCCTGAAGCCGTCATCATCCGTCGCCCTCCACAGACACTCCAATGCCCTCGTTGACATCCTTCCCCCTGAGGCCGATTCCTCTATCGCCATGCTCGGAGCGGACGAGAAGCCTGATGTCAAGTACTCGGACATTGGTGGTTTGGATGCCCAAAAGCAAGAGATTAGAGAAGCGGTAGAGTTGCCCTTGATCCAGATGGATCTGTACAGGAAGATTGGTATAGATCCTCCTCGTGGTGTCTTGCTTTACGGACCTCCAGGTGAGTACTGGTGTAGACCCAAGACGTGATAACTGATCTTGGATTGAAGGTACCGGAAAGACGATGTTGGTCAAGGCCGTCGCCAACGCCACAAAAGCATCTTTCATCCGTGTGGTCGGTTCCGAGTTTGTACAAAAGTACTTGGGTGAAGTGAGTCTGCCATCATCAACCATAGTCCATCACTGACTTCTTGCAGGGTCCGCGAATGGTCCGAGACGTCTTTCGGATGGCTAGAGAAAACTCCCCCTGTATCATCTTCATCGATGAAGTCGACGCCATTGCTACCAAGCGTTTCGATGCCCAGACTGGATCAGATCGTGAAGTGCAACGTATCTTGCTCGAATTGTTGAACCAGATGGATGGATTTGACCAGCAGACCACCGTCAAGGTACGTCTCTCGGCAAATTCGCGTGCGATCATTCCACTGATATGCTTCATCAGGTCATCATGGCTACCAACAGAGCAGACACCTTGGACCCTGCTTTGCTTCGTCCTGGTCGACTTGACCGAAAGATCGAAATGCCGCACCCCTCAAGACGAGAACGACGACTGATCTTCCAGACTGTGACTTCCAAGATGAACCTCGGTCCTGATGTTGATCTTGAAGACTGTACGTTCTGCATTCACCTTGGTGGTGATAGTTGACTGACGGCTGGATAGACGTTTCCCGACCCGACTCTCTCAGTTCCGCTCAAATCGCTTCCATCTGCCAGGCTGCTGGTCTCCAAGGTACGCAACATGCACAACTCCGCGTGCATACCACTAAATCCCCATGCAGCTGTCCGAAAGAACCGATACGTCATCTTGCCCGTGGACTTTGAGGAAGCATGGAAGGTAAGTGCCACTCGCTCTGTCGCGGTCATAACGCCGAAAATCCGTTCGCCGCGATATTTCAATCGAAAATTCGAATCTCGACTGATCTTTTCCCCATCAGTCTGTTGTCAAGAAGTCGGACGAGACCCACGAGTTCTGTAAGTGTCGCTTGTCGCTGCGTGCGACGGAATTTGCGCTGACCATTGTCTTCCAACAGACCGATAGATTTAATGACACAAATAGTAGGTTGTCAGAACGATTGTTTATCAATGTCAGTGCTGACAATATCTCCAGTGTATCACAATCAGCATGCAAGCACTGCGTATCACAAGACCATCTAATTCCATCCTTCCCCATTTCATTCGTCCCGCTCAGCGACCCACCTTCCTCGCTTGCACTCTCCACAGTGTCAGCGAACGGCGTTGCACAGGCGCAGAAGGACTGCCTTTACGGGTTTCCAACGTTTTTTTGCTATCCTCTCGGGGCCTTCGAGCCAACTTTACGAGAATGGTACTTCACAGGCGTTGGACATCTTTCTTCTATTTTGTCTCTTCTTTTTATGTCGGGTGTCTGCAAGGACGCGGCGCCGAGGCAGGAGAGTCAGTCGGCTTCGGGCGAATGGCTACTCTCCCACGTCGCCGGTTTCTTGTCCATTATCATCCCCCACCCCCATTCCCCAGCAATCCCAAGGTGCTTAACACTCTGCGAGCGATCATATCCAAAATCGACTTGCTATTTTAGGAACACCGAGAACGAATTCATGGCAACTTCTCCTTGCTCAGGTACTGTTGTCTCCCAGTTATTACTCACCAGCGCGGATTTCTGAAGCGACTGGTCTATGTATTGGGTACACTGTTGTCAATGCATCATCCATTTTATCATACCATCAGTGATTCACGCACAGTCTGCATTCATCCAGGCTGCCTCGCACATCCCTTCCAGGCCCGTGTCCACAGTGTTCCAGTTACGGGCCCAGTAACAGTAGTCTGCATTGGGTCGGAACTGAATGCCCGCTTTGTTGATTGCACCCTGTGGATTCACGATGTTCGCTATATCATATGACTTTGTCAGATTCATGCTGTTGAGAGTGGTGTCTAACGATTGTGTCTTGACTATCTGGTGATTATACAACAGGCAAATCCCAAAATGTCGGATTTGATGCTACAAATGTGGTGGTCCACGACAGGCCATCTCTTAGAGTCTAGTCCTTTCCAAAGACGTCGGCAGGATTTGTCTTGGGATCCCAAGCCGTTCCCTCGAGCTTGTCCATGCTCTTGAGAGGATGTTCTTCTCTTGCTTGCTCGAGGAGGACCGAAAGACTTTCGTTCTCTTTGATAGACTTCTGCTCAGACATGACTCTGGTCAGCTTGATTCGGTGATGCAGAAAAGTGCCACGAACCTGGAGACAACCTTGGTAGTCCTTCCAGAGTGCGCCACACGCCCTGTCATATTCCTCTGCCTTGATCTGCGCCCGCGTCTTGCCAGTCGTATCAATCTCAAACTCCTCCACGTCGTATCCACCCTGAGGATGGTCTTGGGACTCGAGGCCGGCTCGTTCGCCCACGTCGGCCGCCTGGCCATGATGCCCGAAATGCGCATGCTGTGACTGGCGGGGAGCAACAGGAGAGCGCCGAGCGATGGAAGCTGCCCAGGAGGTGATCAGGGGCTTCTTCTTACGCTCTTCTTCGGCGTTCGCCTGGGTGGCAGGAGGAGGTGCGACTGCAGAGGTAGCAGATGACGAAGAGGAAGGGGTCGAGGGGGCGGAGGAGGTGGTTGAGGGGTATGCGACGACGGGACGGCCGTCGAGGGCTGGCTGGAGATAGCCCTCGAACCAGAGGTTGAAGCAAGTGTCGTAGCGATGCTTGAGAGGGGTGCACTCGGGGGAGAGGGACCTAGAGGAGACGTCAGCTGGGGTGCACTTTGAGGTGGGAGGGCGCCTTACTGCATGGTGCGCGTGGTGCGTTTTCTTTCGCTCGGGATGTTGGAGTTTCAAGGCCGGGGGCTGTTGGCTACCTGTGCAGTATTCCAGCAGTATTCAGGATGCGTTTGGTTTAATGCATGCGTGCACGAAATCATCATACCGCGGCATTACGTAAATACTGATGATGCTGCTCGGTGGCCCGTGGATTGACTACATGGTACATTCCCTCGCATCTCGCTACAATAGACAAGTATCTCGCTCGGCTTCACCATGGCAGGACGCATAGACGGCATTATCATACTCGACAACAACGGGTAAGCTCGTCCCAGACTCATGCAGAAGTCGCGCTCATGCTGCTGCAGCAAGCCCATCATCAGCTCGAACTTTTCATCCCACGCCCCCTCATACCCTTCACTCCACATAGACGCGTACAATGCCGCCCGCAAGAGAACGGCCGAGCTGGATCCGGTACTGTGGGTCAATACGCTGGATAATGGGAGGACAGGGATGGCGGGGGCCGGACTCTGTCATTCGCAGAGGGATGGGCTGTGTTTCTTGATACCAGTAGGACAAGAAGGTAGAGTCTGATTAGTGATATAACCCATGAGCTGCGAGCTAATTCTTGCATAGTGAACCCACTATTCGGCTTCTCCTTCCTCGACTCGTTTCTGGAAACGCTTCGCGACTACTTGGGCCAAGTCACAGAGTCTACGATCAAGGACAACTTTGATATCGTCTACATGGTCGGTGGCCTACCATACTCCTATACCTTACTAATGCAAGGCGCAGCTCATTGAAGAAATGCTGGACGAAGGGCACCCTTCGACTATGGAAACCAACATGCTCAAAGACATTGTCCTACCTCCCAGCATTGTCAGGAAGATCCTTAATGCGGCTGGTGTCACAGGGTGAGCCTGGATAAATGTCAAAGACCACTATCGCTAACAGCTCTAGATTATCAACAACAAATTCTGCCCCATTCACAGCGCCCATACCCTGGCGAAAGCCTGGCGTGCGGCACAACAACAACGAGATATATTTCGACATTGAAGAATCGCTAGATGCTATAGTAGACAGGTATGACATTGCGCCTCGTGACGAGTATCTTAGCTCATTGTTTGACATGTAGGAAGGGCAATGTTCTGTCATCGAACGTATGGGGCCGCATCAATTGCAACTCTAGGTTATCAGGCAACCCCGACCTCTTGTTGAGCTTTGCCAACCCAAAGACCATGGACCAATGCTCCTTCCATCCTTGTATCCGGTAAGCTTCATCACCTTGACGGCTGCTCAAAGGCTCACTGCCTTTTAGACATGGGCGGTGGAAGAAGGATAGTGTGTTATCATTCATCCCTCCAGACGGTAAATTCCGGCTACTAGAGTACGAGGCCTCAGCAAGTACGGCCAAAAACCAGCTTCCCATATCCTTGAAAGCGGCCATGGCTACAGAAAGCCACAGCGGTATGTTTTGAGATCGGCGTTGTCATGACATACTGACTCTTAGTAGGCCGATTCTCCCTCACCCTTTCTTCCCGCGTCAACGCCTTACCGCTGGAGAATATCGTCGTCTCCATCTTCCTCGGCAAGGGAGCCACCTCGGTCAATGCCACTGCCACGGGGGACAGACGGCCGCTGCATAGTCACGTCGGCAAAGAGGAGAATGCTGAAGGGTTCGTGGGCGGCGGCACGTGGGATTTCGACCCTCATACGCAAGTGCTGCAGTGGAGAATAAGCTCGCTGGTGACGGCGGAAAGGTCGCCCACTTTGGCCGGGTCATTTGCCACTTCGTAAGTATCGTGTGTCCGTCTAAGAGAGAGTCCCTCTGATCATATCCCAGTGAGGCCCAACCCATCATATCTCCGTCATTCGAGGTCAACTTTTCTGTCCAAAACTTTTCATTCTCCAATCTGAGAGTGGACAAGCTCAAATTACAAGGGGACGTCATGTACAAGCCGTTCAAGGGGGTGAAAATGCTCGGACGGGCGGGCAAGGTGGAAGTGCGGTGGTGAGGGGGCGGAGAGGACGGAGGATGGTCTGGCAAATGTGGCTTGCTCCAAGCGTGCGATCAATCAGTATCACCGGGAGACCGCAAAGGCCAAAGCAACAGGAGAAGAGCAAGAACACCAACGAGGGCGATATATGGGAAACTCTGTGGAAGAGGCGTAGTATGTCAAAAGGGCGATGGGATGATACCACAGGGCACCGCGGCTGGAAGCGTGATACAGGGACCAAAGTTTCTGGAGTTATGCGTAACGTACATGATTGTGATGAGCACCCAGTATCTTGTCTGAGCACCGAAGATTCGACTGCCTGGGAAGGTTTGAGCAAGCATGCGATAAGGTCAGGCTGTATCGGGTCAATGGCTGTGTTTGTCACCTTTGGAGGCCGAAATAAAGGGAGCGGAACCAATACGGGGTAGGATCTGGACCCTGAGACTTATTATCTTTGGGCGGCGCTCCCAAGTCCGGAGGGGATGCATGTCTCTTCATCTCGCTTCCTTCTTTCTCATTCTGCAGCTGTCCCCACCGCCCACTACCACTCCAGCCCCCATCTAGACATCTCGGGTAGCCCTCCTGCACGTACGCACACCTCTTCTCGACAAAGTGTCATCACCGCGCGTCACGGGTTCACGGCTGACGCTTCTGAAATCGAAATTCATAGTTTGCACCTCTCCATCTCAGCAGCACCACTTTCTTCTCTTGTTCACACTCCATCCCCACTGTCGCCGACACTCTCATCGCGACACTCCGGTCCAGCCCACCCCTACAACAGACCCGCCCGTATTCTGACAGCACATCCGCGCCTCCCAAACTTAAGCTAGCATCCGCCTGTGTGAGTGTAAATTCCTTGGTCCCGCTGTCACGTGTGTCTCTTTCAGTGTCGTATGGGATGCGCTGTAGGGGGACTCTGAGAGGTGACGGGCAGAGCGAGCTCTCAACTGTAGCACCGCCCACGTATTGCGCCCCGCAGACGTCTGCGGGAGGTCAGACGAGCGGCTGGGAGACGGGCCAGGAGCGTATCAACGCCGGGCGCTGGACTTGCTTGCGTAGGATTGAAGACTTCTTCGGCTCTCCCTGGTATATTAATGTGCCTCCCTGGTATATTGATGTGCCATATTGGACATCTCCGTGGTTTCCGATCACTGTTGCTCTATCCCCTCCACACAAGACACAAGTCTGCCTCTTCACAGCCTGTCTCGTCGAGAGCAGAATGTTCTAGTGGCAAGCGAAGAGTGGCAAACGGAGCTTTTCTCTTCTGCCCTTTCGCCTCTCCAGACGTGGACATTTGTGGGACACGCGGTTCCATACGCGGATCGCTCAAAGGCCCATGGTAAACTACTCCTTTGCACAGTGATATGCCCCCGTGTATCAGCCTGTCCTTTGCTCTGTGAACTCTGCCTTTGCTCGCTTGGTGGCTGTTTGGTCCTCATGCTTCCCATGAGGTAATGTACGAGAACAGGGGGATGATAGAGTGATCTTCTTCACCTGCGCCGCATCTCTCATACACATGTTCTTTCAGATCGTGTGATGGGGCTTTCTACGTTGCCGGCGTCTCAGGTGTGCCAAAGGCGTTGTTGAAGATGGCCAAAGCTACTTAACAGAAGCATGTTTGCCACTGGACTGTTTACGCAAGTCTTTCCATTGTCCAACGCGATCCAGTGGCAACTTTGCGCTTTCGTGCTTTACTCTGCTTCGACTACCCGAGACACGAGCCTTGCGTCCATCTGCGACCTCGCTTGCCCACTTGCTTGGCAAGACCCCTTCTCCCCGGCGGCGTTTGATCAGCGATCTGCGATCGGGGGTGCCGAACCAAACAATTTCATCCGCTGACCATAAAATCTTTCCGATGCCCTCTCCACGATCCATCAACCTCCCCCTCATCGTTCCCCATACCCCCTCTTATCGACAACACCCCAAATCCCTCCCCGAACCACCTTCCCCGGACGATCCTGCTATCACGCGACCGAACTATTTCTCTGCTCTCTCCATCTCGCCACACTGCAATCCTGCACTCTCGTCTCGGTCGCGGGCACCACGCTTGCCTCCTGTCGCTGTATATTCTGACTCACCGACTCTTGAATCGGATTCATTTTTTGTGAGTCATCAGTCAAATTTATTGTCACTGTTCGCTGACATCAACCCGCAGAGTCCATCAGATTCAGAAACAATGTCTTCTACGTCAGCTTCCGGTCCTCTCAAGCGCAAGGTCGTCATCATGGGATCCACCTCAGTCGGTAAGTGGTCAGAACGTCGCGGGTCTTAAAACTGACTCTTGTCCCAGGCAAGACCTCTTTGACCCAACAGTACATTGCTCCTCCCACGTACACTGCATCTTACTATCCCACCATCGAGGACACGTCCCACAAGATCGTCAAGCACAAGGGTGTAGAGTACGATATGGAGATCATTGATTCTGCTGGTTTGGTGAGTAGTCAGCGGTAGGCGTCGATCATCCCACTGAATCCATGGATAGGAAGAGTACTCTTTGTTCCCTGGCAAGTACGCCGTCGGCGTCCATGGGTACATGCTTGTCTACTCTATCGCATCGCGGCAGTCATTTGACATGGTGCCCACGATCTACGACAAGATCCTCGATTACGCCGGATTAGAGAGCGTGCCCCTTGTCATCGTTGGCCAGAAGACGGATCTGAGGGACCAAAGGTGTGCACTTATTGCGGCTGAAAATCAGGTGACTCGCTGACTCGTGCAGATCCATCACCAAGGATGAAGGCGAAGCGCTGGCCAAGAAGCTCCATGCTGGTTACGTGGAGTCGAGTGCCAAGGACAATAATAATGTCGGTGAGTAGAAGCCTTCAGGCTGCATCGCTCGAAGCCATACTGAAACCCTACAGGCGTCGCATTTGAAATGCTTCTCAACGAGATGCAGAAGGTGTACAACCCCGAGCCGGAGAAGAAGAAGTCCGGCTGGTGGCCCTTCTAATCTCGGATGCTTATGGTATCTCTCTATCATTCTTCCCGTCGATGGCCCAACCTTGTGTCATTTGTCTATTTCAGTCGCCCTTCCTGCTCCCTTCTAATCTAATCGTATCGCTCTTTGCTTTTGTATGTGCCATCACCGTCTCTCCCCTATAGTCGACTAGCTACTCTTCTTTCCCTCTTTGACTGCAACTTCATCGTGACCGTCCCCGTGACGCATCCTAATCATGTGAATTCTCAGTCATGCACAATAGATTTCTCTAATGGCGATGTCCAAGTGCACATTACTATACATAAACGGGAGTATATATCACCGTCTCTCGCCTCCATAAAACCAACTCCCAACCCCGTACCTGATCCCAAATGCGATGGCACTACCCAGCACTTGCACCCCCCCGACCAAGGTACACAGCGTCGGCTCCCTCATAGGCCCAAAGAGCACGAGCAAAAAGTTGATGAGGGTGAGGTTGGAGGTGGATTTGATATATTGTGGCTTGTCGGGTGATGGCGGGGTGTACTCGAGATGAACGAGGTGCAACGTCTCGAGGATGCGGAGGGTGATGGCTGTCTTGGCGGGAGGGGGCTGGTCGAATGTCGCGCGTGAGGGATGGAGTAGGTCGGTATCCTTGTCAAACCTTGAAAGTCCATCAGCGCCTGTCATGGACGTTAACACTAGAGTACTCACGAAGGAAGTCTATGCCTGGGACAAGGCACCAGACCGAACAACTGCGGGCAAGACAGGATAAAGTTGAATATTTGAGGGATGAAGAAGAGGATGAGGGTCTTGGAAAAGTGTCCCTGAATGGCGACGGCGGAGAATGCCATGCCTGTAAAGTAGCAAAATGTGTCTCCGGGGAATGCAGCGGCGGGATACCTTTGCTTTCTGTCAGTGGAGAACTTGGTGATGAGAGGCGACGCACCAGTTATGCCACAAAAACCCAGTACAGATCCCCGCCATGGGGCCCATGAAATACAGACTCATCAAATGCCGATCCACCACTTCTCCCAACGCCCATTCGAGAAGACGTCCCTCTGAGACACCTTTCCCAGTGACACCCAACCAGGTGAGGAGGGTAGGGGACCAGATGGGCAGGTATAACAGGTCGTTCAGGATGACGGAGAGGGCGATGAGGAAGGCTTGAAGGACTTCGACGCCGTTAATGCCGGCGAGAATATTGATCGAGTTGGTGGTGAATGTGGGCAGGAGGACGAGGTAGACGTAGTATATAGGGCCTGCAAGCTTGTTAATGAAGTTTGATTTGACGAAACATGTAGCGTACCGAGATGTACTATGCCTCCGCTTGTAACCCAGTCACCCAGCCCGACCAGTTCTCCTACACTCTTGGCCCATCCAGCAACACTCATGGGAAGCACGACATTCGTCACGCCTCCTACAGAGTAATACACCAGGAGCGTTGGGACAGCGGCAACGATGGGGATAGGCAGCTTGTGTCGCCATCTGATATCAAACAGGTCGTCGATGAAGCCTAGGAGGGTCGCCGTCAGAAGTGAGAGGAGAGATGATAGGTATAACGTCAGCTAGCATCAGAGTCAGCTTGGGGTTGGATTTCATGGTTAAAGTCTTACTTCGCGCTGAGGGAACACTTCCAGGGTGCCTCCTTGGAATAGATGGGAGAACGGGAAAGGGATGAACAGCATCATCAGAGCGATATACAAGCTTGCACATGGGAGACCCAAGCTCTCTGGTCTGGGAATCATCAGCAAGACTCTGCGCATCGCTTCCCGACTCACATCCAAGGCCCGCTCTCTCTGCCCCCAGGCTTCAAAAGATCTCTGCCCCGCAGGCCCTTGTCGATGAACGCCTCTCCCACTCTTGGCACTACCCATACCCCTCCCACAAAGGCTAGTATCGCGAACCCAATACTCGCCTGGAGGGCAGGTAAAGTCGGCGGGCCATCCGCAAGCAGAGACTTTGGCAAGACCCCGGCAACGGTTGGGGGGAGATGAGAACCGACGAGTGGAAGGAGAGGGTTGAGGATGAGAAGGAGGGAGATGGGGACGAGAGTCGAGATGAGGAGGACCGGCGGGGGGCGGCCGTATGGCATTTTTGTTGGCTATGGAGAAAAAAGAATCGACGCGACGTGGAAGGCTGTTATCTATATCTAAGGCACGAGAGGTGATGGCCACGTGGCATGGACAGCACAGAGGAACAACGGAGCGCGAGGGTTTCGCAGCGAGTGACGTCATCACTGTGGCACTCCATGGAGTCCATATATATCCATTCCATCCGCTCTTTCACCACTACCACATCCACAAGAACAATGTGCAAGTCCCCCAGAGCAATGTGGTAGACCGGCGCTAACCCCATACAGCCGGACTCCTTAACCAAGCTACCCAAGCCGCCAACAACCTGGCCACTCAGGCTACCAATTTGGTCAATCAAGCCGCCAACTCTGACACCACTGCCAATGTCACTTCCCAGGCCAAGACTCTGGGATCTCAGGCAGTCGGCGCTGCTGGCACTCTGGCCGGCCAGGCGCATGCTCAGGCCCACGCCCTCGCACCTGGGATTGTTCCCGCCCCAGCAGAGGGTGTTGACCTCAGCCACGGCTTGAAGCCTGATAGCGAAGCCGACAAGGAGAAGCTTGCAAAGGCGTTGGAGAAGAAGGCCGATGCGAGCGAGCTCAAGGACAAGGGTATCCTGAAAGGTATGGTTGTCTCGAATCTTTTGTATCACATGCTGATTAGCTTCAGGCAACCCCGGAGACTCTTTGGCCGGCAAGAAAGACGAGCTCCAAAAAGCTATGCAAAAGGTCGGCTTATTGATCTTACAAGGTATACGCGACTGACACTGGGTAGGACGTTCTCGACAACGAGATCGCTCAAAGACCTCACCCCGAGGAGCTTGTGTCGAAGGGTATCCTTTCTCGTAAGTGGCTATATAATGCTACAGTGGTATCTGACGAGCAAAATGTAGCCGATGAAGCCCCCAGGACCAACTGAGCGGTGTAGATCTCAGCAGATGAGGACAGGAAGGAGAATATCAGGATCGGATGAAATTGGGACAGACTTGGCTCGCGACTTGCCGGGTGTAATTTTACCATGTAGCTTGTAGTATATGCAGCACCATGCTCGATCGTCGTACATACCACAGTTGCACACGCCATGTACAGCTTGATTATGCATGAAGTACGTAGTCAGTGTGCAGCTTGAATATGCATAGAGTAGTCACAGATGGCCTGTATTAGCTGAGGGACTTCGCGTCATCCCGCCGATTTGACTCCGCCGGTTCGGCGGGGTTCTTCGGTGGTGCCGCTCACTCAGGGCTGGTTACTCGCAGACAGACTGACGCATCTCTCTTTCTTATTTCTCTCGTCATCCCCCGTTACCATGTCCGCCGCCGCCCCCACCGCCAGCCCCGGCCCCCCTCCCCCTGCCGCCGCCGCCCCCAGCCACCACCTCAAACCCGTCGGCATCAGAAACGAGCAAAATACCTGCTACCTCAACAGCACATTCCAGGCTGTGAGTCTCTGCCCCCTTTGTAAACACTCTTACTGACGATCGCTGGTACGCATAGCTGAGCGCGACTGCCCCTCTGACGGCGCTTTTATCACAATCACCACTCTCCCCACTGCGGCCTCTTCCCAATTCCATCCTCCCCTCACCCGAAGCGACCCCCGCCGAGATCCCGTCTCTCCTCCCGGAAACCCTCGAGCCACCCTTGTACAAGACCCTGCCCCTCACCCGCGCATTCACATCCTCCCTACACGAAGGCTACCGCCGCAAAGACGATGGCCACCGGATAGACGCCGGCAAGCTTGAAGAGCCGATGAGTCTCAGGGCGCTCTTGCGGGCGATAAGCAAAAAACATATACAGTATGATGGTTTCGACCAGCAAGATGCGCACGAGTTTCTGAGACACTTGTTGAATGGCATGGAGCAGGAGGAAGTGGATGTAATCAAGGTGCTGCGGCCCAAGGGGCAGACCAAGGAAGAGAAGCGACGGGTAGCGGAAAAAGCCGAGGCGGAGGCTGAAGCTGCCGACAGCGAAACGGTGGATGGTACAGAGAGTGGTCTTCAGCTGGATAAAGGCTCGACGGTCGACTCTCCTGCCTCCCTCGCGAGGTTGGATCCCGTCGCAAACGCCGTGCCTCAGGAGAATGATGTCAGTATCGTCACGGGTCAGGCGATCCGGGAAGAGCCTACTACTGCGCCTGCCACGGCGCAAGTAGAAGTGAAATGGGGGAATGGCGAGACAGCGGTGGAGCCGTTGCCAGAGGTCGTCAATGGGCCTCATCTCGTCCCTTTTGTGGACGTGATTTTCGGTGGTCTTTTGGCCAGTGTCGTGGTTTGTGAAAAGTGCAAAGCTGTGAGTACAATCCCTCTGCCAATGGGTCTTTTGGCTGACCGGTCCTAGCTGTCACATACCTATGAAGGCTTCTTGGACATTTCCCTATCCGTTCTCGACAGTCCCCGCGTCAGAAAACGAGACAAGGTCAAGGCCTTTGCCAATCGATTCAAGCCCCGGGGCACATCCAGCAATCGACAAGGTTCTCCCGACATTGGCCAACCGCCTTCTCCGATGCAGCTCCTCAACAGCGTCGTCTCGGATGAAGAAATGTCGGATTCAGAGGTGACTGCCAAGGAAGAGTCCTTGAGGAAAAGACGAGAGAGTCTGGCGGTGAGCGAGAGCGACAATGGGGACGGCGCTTCTGGGATTGGACGGGCGAGCTCGACGAAAAAGTTTGGTGGGCTGTTTAGAAAGAAGAATTCGAGTTCTCGTCCGGGCAGCTCTTCTTCCAGTCTGAACGCTCTGCCGCTGGACAGCGAAAAGTCTTCTCGGCCACAGTCGCCTCATATAACGCATCAGCCGCATGCTCAACCCCATCAACATCATAGGAAACGTCAAGCTAAGCCCACGGCGGCTCAGGCTGCCTACATTGCCAGGATCCTCGCACCTGCACAGGGTCAAGAGGCGAATGACCCTATCGCTCGTCTTCGTGCCGCCCAGAGCGGGACCTCTACACCTGTCGAGCCTGCCAAGCAGGAGAGCGGACTGGAGCGATGTCTGCGCGATTTCACCTCTGTCGAAGTGCTGGAAGGACAGAACGCTTTTGCTTGTCAGAAGTGCTGGCGGATCAAGCATGGCCGGTACGATCATCACGAGGCGACAGTCAAGGAAGAGGATGAGAGTGGTCAGACGCCTGCCATGTCGACCTCTTCTGGGCCTCCTGTGGGTAGACGCCCCGATGCCCGCAGCACCTTGTCGGAAACCTCTGTTACGACCATGTCGAGTGTTGAGTCTGGTACGATCCCCATCAGCCCTCGCGTGGCACCGCCGTCCATCTCCATTCAGACTGATGTCGAAGACCAGTCCAGGCGGGGCCGAGGGGTGCCTCTGTCGTCGACAGTTTCTAGTGGATCCTACGTCCGCGCCCGCTCTCCCTTGGGCCGACCAGTCGATGAAGAAGAGACGCTTGTAGAAGATATGAGCCACGTCAACATGGACCAGTCCTTCACCTCCCAAGACTCCAACTCGGGCTCCTTTATCCTGCCTTCTGAGACCGGTCAGACCGTCGAGGGTGATGATGAAGATGCCGAGTCGGATTCTGCGTCAGATTCGGATGGGTTGTCGGATTCAGAGACCGAGTCGGAGGAGGAGCACGATGGGAAGAAGAAGAAGAAGAGCAAGCACTTTGTCATGGGTAGGGCTTTCAAGAGGTTTTTGATTTCAAAGCCGCCTCCAGTGATGGTCTTCCACATGAAGAGGTTCAAGCAGCTTTCGTCATACTCTGCTAGCTTCTCAAGTTTGAGAAAGTGAGTCCACAGTCCAAGTGTGTACGGACGGTACTGACGGGCAACAGAATCGACGACTTTGTGTCATTCCCAGAGCAGTTGGATATCGCGCCTTATCTTGCGCCTGATCGTAAAGACTACAAGATGACTCCTACGCCAAATGGGGCACATGCGCCATTCATGGACTGGCCCCACCCTATGCAAGGCCCTGCCACGGATCCCGTCTTGTACAAGCTCTACGGTATGTGCTTTTACGTATCGCCTTGACCTTGTGCTTACCTCTCTGATAGCTGTGGTTGTCCATATTGGAGATATGGTTTCAGGGCACTACATTGCATATGTGCTGGTCGACCCCGAGGTCATGTTTAGTAAAGAAGCCTCCAAGACTGTGGAAGGGGAAGGCGAGCAGGCAGAGGAGCCTGCAACACCCAGGACGCTGCCGCAAGATCGAAAGGGAGTGGATAGGAGAGTTTGGGCATTCTGTTCCGAGTAAGTCTTCACGGGTACCTTTCAGGGCTCTTCGTATTGACGTAACCTTCCAGTGAGGTCATTAGAGAAGTGGATGTCGAGGAGGTACTGAGGGCCAAGGCTTATTTGTGTTTCGTAAGTAAAAGACGCGCCGGCTCGAGCCTGGCTAACGTTCATCTCAGTACGAAAAGCAAAACTAATATGTCATGTCGTGTATGAGCATTACAAGAATCAAGCATGTCGGTGTAAGCGGTAAGATACCATTAGATAAATTAGGAAAACCAAGTGTCATAGATACGTTGCTCAAGGCTCGCGCGAAGGGTCGGAGCACACCCAACACATCGAGCTTCATGATGGCATGTGATAGTTAGAACGTCTTTGTACTGTATGATGCATATTCTGACTACTGCACTCTCTAAGCTCTAGTCTCTAGATAATCCAAAAACCCATCCCCAAACTTTGTACATCTTTCAAAACTCTTGTCAAACCCATCTCGCCCGCCATAGTATGGATCGTCGATTTCTTTGGCACGGGTTTTGTGAGATCCCTGGTTGGCTTTGGGGACGGAGGGGTCGAAGGAGCCAAACATGGAGACTTGGGCTTTGGAGCCCGCTGGTTTTCTGTGCAAGAGTGTTTCGAGGCTGTCATCGTCGGTTAGCCTAGGGTATCATTGCAGCCAGCCAGTACTCACTTGTTTTGGTCCATGGCTAGGATGTAGTCGAACTTCTGAAAGTCTTGTCTTTCGACGGCCCTGGCAATACAATTTATGGGGACATTGTGCTGCGATCCGGTCAGCTTGTGGTGGAGCCACCACGACGAAGGATATCGTAAAGGATTGGTATTTGCCTATCGGAGGTCGAAAAGCGATGTATTCTTCTGTAAGGGGTCGGATAGGTGAGGCGTAACCTAGGGTAGCTAGATCGGATAGGTGCCTAGGGGCGGTTACGTGGAGGATCTAGCTGCCCTAGGTTACGCCTCACCTATCCGACCCTTTACAGAAGAATACATCGCTTTTCAACCTCCGATGGGCAAATACCAATCCCTTAAAGGTATCGAGACGTACTTTTCGGCACACCGCGACCGTTCTACAAAGTTTCATCAGCAGCTGTGACGCCGTGGTCTGATGGATGACCTACCTCGGGTCTGCAGAGTCTCCTTCATGGTACGCTCCTGTACCAGCGGAATCTACTCGAACATCGAATCTGGCCTTGAAGCTATCGGGTCGTGCAGTGATCTGGTGCTTCAGCACGGCTTCTGCCATTGGTGAACGACTGCAACAATGGATCATTAGCCAATCTCCATGAAGATTACAGCTCAAGACTCACCAGATACTGTAGAGTAAAGGTCACTCATTGATCAGCTTGCAGCATATGGCCATTGTCGTTACAACTCACTTGCTACAATGATACTGTCAGCTCCGAATCTGCTCGTCGAGACAAATCATCTCTCAGGACTCACCCGAGGCATACCATGAGAACGTTGATCTTCTCGGGCTGTGCGGACATGTTGCTTGAATCTTCAGGTGACACGACGGAACATTTTGAATACTTTTGATATCGTTCGGGCTCGGCGCTCGGCGGGCGGCGGACGGCGAACCTGGTTCGATATGACCGCACTGTTCAACCTGATACATATGCGATAAATGATACACAGACAAGCACTCCCCCCGATGATTGTTGCTCTCTGCTATGCCTCATAGACAGCGCGGCATGCATACCAAATGGCACAGAGAATGATCGAAGGGTGAGTACGTAAGACGGCTATGACGCGCCCCTCCACTCCGGACTGAGGTTGTTGTTTGGTTAGTCAATGGTTAGTCCATCAGCTATTAGGTGCATCTACAGTATCTGGGGAATGCCATCCCATCTCATATAATACAACTATCAGAACACAATGGCCAGGTGAGCAGCCCATTCCGCACACAGACATCAGCTCACCACCTCCTGCATACAGAGATCCGCCCTCCCGTCTCGGCTCAACAGAGCTCGAGGATATATCTCTGACTCCCTCCGCTGTCAAAGCAGCTGGGGTTACTATAATACATCCTCAACTGCGAGATTTAATCCTGCCACTCGAAAAGGGCAGGGTGTATTACCCGCGAGGGCAGAATGTCGAAGAGATGAGATGGTCCGATGAGGACAGTGTCAGCAAGGAAACCAACAGAAATGTGAGTGTGGCTGAAGACTATAAGAGTGTTGCTGACGAACATACTGAAGGGAAGTACAAGGACAGCGTTCAGACTAGACTTTCCTGCAGTCTGTCTTACCGTCGGGTATGTGTCCCGCGACCGCGGTATGACCAATCGTTGTACTTACTCGTGCTCTACAGATCCGGTCTCTTTGCATGTGGCGGGCAGCATGGCGAGCTATTTGTCTGCGAACATCGCCAACTTAACCCTCGAATCCCTTCACGCCTTCAACCTTCCCCACGCTTTAGACCCTTCAAGCTCTCAACTACTCTACCCTATAGCCGGTCTATCAACAATTCTATCATTCTCCCTCCCTCATGGCCTCGAGAATGGGCCAGACATTCACGGGAAAAGCAACTAGGGTATCTGGGAAGGGGGTCGAGAGAGTGGGAAGAGTTTGAACCGAGAAGTAGTATCCTCGGACGGGCGGAACATGGAGAATGGATCAGACGGAGAGCAGGCCAAGATCGGGGATCGTCCTCAGTAGACGACGAGGACGATTACCTGACTGACGATCAGGATGAGGAAATGACGGAGGCGCCCTCATCGCCTGTAGCGACATATCCCAACACACTACCTGTGCGATACGTCTCGTCACGGCCTTTGCACCCCTCAACCTCATCCCAAGACGCCCGGGTTAAGGCCCGTCGCCGAAAAAGAGAGGAACCTTGTCTCATCATATCCAACAATGACTGCAGTGTCAAGTTCTATAGCCTCCGATCTGAAGAGGATGACACAGCCTCAGTCTTTGGCAATGCGCCGCATTTCGGGATCCCTTCCCTCGCCCGTCATCCTCCACAACAAGGGTACTATCCTCAAATGCTAACGCTGGAGGACATTGCTGTACTGAACAGCCCTCCCATAGAGTTCCCAAGTCATCTACAATGGGACCCTGATATCCGACAGATCGATGTCGAGATGGGCGCCGATGGTCGGCCTGGGCGGGCCCTATACGATGTGGTCGCGACAGAGAGGTTCGGAAGGTTGAATGATACCGAGGAAGCTTGGCCGGCGAGGCAGTTGCTCGAGCAGTATCGCGATCGAGAGCTTGCACGAGGTACTTCGGGGCTCCCGCGCGCGGCGGGCAGCAGCCACATGTCGGATGGCGGCAGTGGTGGTTTTGTGTCCATCTCTGCCTTGTTGAGGGCTAATGTACAGCCCGGCCCCGCTGCGGGCTCTGACTCCTGGCTTGAGGGCGGGCAGGGTGTATCGCAGCAGCCGAGCCGGTCTGATGCAGAGAGCGAGAGGCTCGACTTGCCGCCGGCTGATGCTGGTAAAGGCGAATCGAGATGGCTGAATCTGGTATCTGAGGCTCATTTCCCGGTGGCAGCAAATCATTGTGGGTTTTCATGGCTAATTCAGGTGATTTCAGCTCGCTGATGACGGTAAAAAAGCTTCATTGTCACCGGATTTGAGACATATGGTCTCTGTGGGAGATTCGACTGATGTCGACATCTTTGAGATTGATGGAAGTCGGCAGTTCAGGAAGGTGGCGACTTTTACAGGTGAGCCTGGAGTATAGCTATTGTTTTGAGTCAGAGGTTGACGTCATTGCAGCTGCTACAGATGCTGGCTTCTCGAGTGCTTGGAGCAAGGATGGGCGAAAGTTTGCCGTTGCAAGCCAAGGTCAGTCTCCGAAATATCACACAAGAGTACCGAGCTGATGTCAAACAGATGGCCAGGTCACTGTTTGGGACCACCGCTCTTCCCGTCCTCTCGCCATATTCCACACATGTGCCAAGAGCGATACTCCCACCGTACCATCGTTCTCGAATGACCTTGGAGCCGCCTACACCAATTCTCGTGCTTCCTCTGGGATATCTGAAGGTCATGGAGACTATCAAGTCGCCGCCGAAGGCGGCATAGTGTTGAGAGATCCAGTGACGGGAACTCCGAGGACGGGGAGCAGCACCTCGGGCAAAGAGGCTGCTCGGGTTGTCAAATTCAGTCCCGAGGGGAGCAGCAGGGATCTCATGGTCTTCTCAGAGGTACGCTTCGGCATCCATACAATGTTGGGAGATACTGACAAGGCGCTCTAGGAAATTTCAAATATCCACATAATCGACGCCCGCACATTTGCAACCCATGTTGTACTCCCCGTACCACATGTCCCCACTGGGACGACAGACTATAATGAACGGAACAGCCCGCGGAAGGGTGTCGACGGAGGCACTTGGGGTATAGCGGGGTTGGCGTTTGATCCCACGGGCGATTGGTTGTACTCTGGGACGGAAAAGACAGTTGTGGAATGGGATTTAAGAAAAATGAACAGGGGTGGGGAGGGTACGTGGGGCTTGAGATAATCTTGTGGACGAGGCTGCGAGTCGTGTTGCACTGTATCATCAGGCATTGTGCTTGTGTACATCGACGAGTTTTCATAATGATCGTGTACACTGCGTAAAAGCAGTTGTTGTTGTGCGATGAAATGCATCTGATACTACGAAAAGTGGGTTGATCAGAGCTGTCGACCTGATCAGCTTTACCGGTGATGCTGCTCGAGAGGCGTCAAGACGATGGGCGAACAGGGGAAGCTCCCACAGGCCTCTGGTAGTCTTACATGATGCAATACACTACTGATACAAACAACACGCAAGTATATGGCAAGATTCACCAAATCATTGTCCCTTTCTTCTCATCTTCCAGGCTTAGCTCCTCCACCAAACCCCTAATGTCCGCCAGATCTTCCATTTCCCGGTCTGCTGCGACCCTTGCGTACGTTATAGGACAATCGGTCGAATCACACAATATCTTTTCGGCCGGAGGTACATCGGAACATGACGCGCAGATTCGCTGCAAGTCGGCAAGTTTCGTTTCCGCGATATATTGTCGGGAGAGAAGAGTGTGGGATGTTGTAGATGGTTCGTCCCGGCACGCGACGCATAAGACTATCAAACAGTCAGCCTTTGTTCAACCCTACCAATTCTTTCAAGCTCACTATCAAGACATTCCCCGCCACATACGATACAATGGCTCGACTTGAAATGCGAGTCGATTCTGGACCCAGTAGCCGCACCTCTTCCTCTCTTGCCCCGTCCCCGCCCCCGTCCAGGGCCTCCATCCCTGCCTGTCCCCGTTGACCCATCACGCTCGTACTTTCCCGCCCTCTTTGTCCTCGGCATAGTATCATACCACTCTTCTACGTCCGCCCCCACGAGGTTAAATATTCGAGATAGAGGCGGTATGAGAAGGTTACGGATGTAATACTCGGCGTCTATACCCAGAGAGCGCTTGGAGAGCATCTCTTGGGGCATACGGGCCCGATCGATGAGTCGGCGGCCATCAGCGTTAGAGATCAGGTAAGGAACTCGCTCGGCGTATTGAGGTTCGTCGCGGGGATCTTTCAGTATCCGTCGATAGGCTACCGCTGCGCCAGGAGGTGGCACGCCTTTTTCACTGAGATACAGTCAGCTGATATTCAACAGATGAGACGAGAAAGCTTACGAGTAGGTGCCCAGTTTAACCTCCTTGGCTATGACAAAATCTTGTATAGAGACTCTTCCTTGCAAGATCTTGGTCCATTCCTGCCGACAAAAGTCCTTGATCTGCGACAAATCCTGAGTTCGGAAGAGCAACCTAACATATATCAGCGTTGATAGTAGTGTATCAGACATGATGACACACTTGAGACAAACTTCCTCCATCTTCTGCTGAGCTGGGAATCCATCTCGCCTGATCGTTTCGATTCCCTTGGCATCGAAGACAGGCTCAACGTCATCGGGGTTTTCATATTTGAAGCCCACATAACGCTTCTTCGCCATCAAGACGGAGCCCATATAGACTTTTTCAAACTTGAGTGTGACCGGCTTAGGGTTCATAGCTGTGACAGCTTCGGCGATGTCGAATCCAATCTTGAAAGCTTGGTCTTTGGATCTTCCAGGAAGGGCAACAAACAGGGAGTCAGTGTCTCCATAGACAACTCGAGCATCCCAGTCCGGTCGAGAGTGGATCAGTTCCTGGGCCTTTTAGGTGGTCAGTCTACGTTGGTATCATTGACTCAAGGGCGCACCTTTTCCAGCGTTTCTCGACCAGTCTGCACGATGGAATCGGCGACTTCTATGCAAGGCATTCGTCCAGAATATGTTGCGCTCGTGTAACCATAAGTCACATTCTGAGTATCAAGATCAGCTTGGGCAGCTCGGTCTTCTTGGAGGGACTCACGGCCATCAACTTCAATCCCAGCTGCCGAGCGTTCAACATGGATGTTAGAGACTGGAAGCACTCTGTCAGCATGGATAAAGTTCTTCTGCATTGGTGTGCTCACTTTGTCGCCTCGCGCCCCTTTCATGGCTTGTTTGATCATGACTCGCGTGTCCAGCATCTCGGTCAACATCTTTGCTAGCAAGCTTTTTCTGACAGCAGGCTTGACAAAAATCATACCGTTTGGTGTGACTTTACGAGTACATCAGCAAAGCGATCGCAGCGGAAAGGCCGACTCACCATTTACATAGTCTTTCAGAAGCTCCAGAAGACCCTCAGATATCTTCAGATCCGTAAAGCCAAATTTGTTTGTGTTCTTGAATTTCTCAACTCGGCCTAAACATGTCGAGTAGCAAATATTGTAGGCAATCATGATTGAGGGGTAGAGTGATTGAAAGTCCAAGACGATGATAGGATGAGTGTAGTATTTGGACTCAGGCTCTGCTATAAGAGGCACAGCGAATGGCGCATTTTGCAATCCGACCTTGGAGGAACATCAGCTAGTTTCAATGATAGCGCAAAATGACACTGTACTTACCTGTTGCTTTGAGGGGGTTACAAGGACGAAACTTTCAGGTTTAGCAATGCGAAACATGAAGGATTCAACCTTGTACTGAGATCCTCGCGTCATAACAGATGCAAAATCAACGCCAAAGACACGAGCAAACTCCCTATACCTGAATGAGTACAGTATCAGACATATAGGTCTGCACAACTCACGCAGTCTTTGTGATGATCTCTGCCTGATCAATGATCTCGACATTGATGACCGCTCGTTGAAAGAAGTATTTAAGCACTCGACTAGCGTGTGCTGGTGTTTGGCTCTTCCACATAGCAGTCAAGCTAGACGAGGAGTAGTGAGGGATACGCTGATGGAGCAGATGAAAGACGACATTTTCGAAATTATATTGAGTGAGATTGATCTCTGACCGACATATGCGCCAAATGTTGAGAGTATGCCGACCAGCCACTTTGAAAGTTGACGAGTGATGAGCGGCATATCCATCGTTCTTGCGACCTGAGCGTCCTGATACGACTCTCGACAAGTCTTCCATGATATCGGCACCTGAATAACATCAGTGACGAACAGCTATGATAACTCAATACGCACCAAACTCATGATGAGCCCTGGCGGCCAGATAACCCCAGGATGAGTTATGCAGCTCCCAACCCGCCAACACATCTGGGTCCCAATACTTTGTGTTTTCTGTAACCCAGTTTATTAGGTCCAATTCGCTTTCGACCACGTCAAAAGCGACACCATCGAGACGGAATCGTGAAGGGTTTGCGAGCTCTCCAATCACCACATAGCCGGCGTAGTAACCAGGGTGGACGGTAGTATCAGGAAGATCATCATCATCGTTTTGATAACAGTAAAATATTGCAGTGACAGGATCCTTTTCCGGATCGGGCAGAAGCTGATTACGGGACTGGGCTACAAGTCAGGTCAGACAAAAGGATACGACGAATGTCTGAAGTACTCACCAAAGACTTCAAGGCTTAGGACAGTCATGTTCTGAGCTTCTGCAGAAGCGTCTCTGGCCTTTTTCTTTTGCGAAAACTTGACCCCGTATTTGTTCTTTTGGGTTGGGTGCACAAGCTATGACAAGTCAGGCGTGTTCGTTCATGTGCAAATCAATCTCACCTGAGAGGTCTTTTTCTCTTTCCTCTCGACTGTAACAGTCAGCTTACTCCGTACGGGGAAAGATGATAATTACACATTGAAAGTGCCAAGTCATCGGCCTTGTCACACCAAGCAACGACATCTCTTGCATTTGGCGGCATGACGCTATACTCCCAGCCAGCTTTCCACGACGTTTTCTTTGTCCGTGAGGCTTCGTGAACTTCTTTCGATTTCGAACGACCCCGCTTCTTCTTTCCGCTGTCAAGGGTCGCCGTAGTAAATTCAAAGTCCTCCAGATGCTCTGCCTTGTCAGACTTGAAACTGAACATTCTACCACCCAGGATTTTCGGCTTTGGGATGTCTCCTGGATTGCTGTAGAATGGCTCTTGGTATTCCACAGAAGGAACACTATATTCTTCCATGTTGCCGACTACGAACTCGCTCGTAGGAGGTGGCGGGAGAAACCGCCAAGCTTTGCCCATGGTAGGTAGGCAAGGACTGGAAGATATGCCTGTTGACTGGGAAGGGCGGCTGTTGCTTTTGGAAGACGGACCGCCAATCTCATGGACAGCATCGTCAAGTTTCACCCGTTTGCGGGGGCGCAGCTCTTTCTGGCTGCCGATAGATGGGTGAGAGTGTTCATGAGAGGAGATGCTGTCTTTGAAGGTAGGGCTGACACCAGGCATCGTAGGCTCAATATCCTGACCTTTTGAGGCTTGTTGTTTGGTGACGCCTTGTGTTGTGGCGTTGCCCCGCTCATCATGGCCGTCAACCTGATTACCTGCGTTCGTTGTTGGGACAGCAGTACGCGCGGGCGTTCCTCTCGGTGGCTCGTAAAGACCACCTCCCGCTGGCGGCAAAGAGAGCTCAATCGCTTGAATCTGCTCAAAAGTGGGATCAGGCCCGAAGAAGAGATCATCCTCTTCCTGGGTTGGAGCTTTACCTTTCTGTGTCGACTTTTGTGATTCCTCAGCCAGCCGTTGTTGCAGACTGGGTCTGAACGGGGTCTTACCATGCTTCACAACCTCTTCTTCGGGAGACGAAGTTATCGGACCGGGCGTTTTTTTGGATTTAGGCAGCGTGATCACGTCGGCGGTGTTGTATCTGGATGTGGGGGTTTTTCTCCTCGAAGGCGAGTTGAAGGGGGATGGTTGCCTATTTCTAGCAAACATGTTGCGTATTAGCGAGTTGGGGGTGATCAAGCCGGTCGCAGGGCTTTGGGCTCTGGTCGGCGTAGAGGGGGCCTGCGGTCTATCGTCGTATGGATTTTTGAAAGGGGATAAGGATACAGAAGACCGATCAAAGATGGTACTACGACATTGACATTAGCTTTGGACTCTAACAGGTAATGGCCGACCCACCTCAGGTCTCCAAGTCCCGCATTATCCAGAACGGCTTGATCTCGTTTCCGTTTCCTGGTCTCGGCGCCAACCGTAGAGCTTCCGGAGCGCTTTGTGGGTGTCCATCCCGCCCACCTACTGCCCTTGTTCGGAGTAGTAGGGACGCTCTCAACGCCCAGTCCAGCAGCGACCGTCTGTCGGAATACATCATCCATCTCCTCGTCGTCGTAGTCGTCACCATCTGCATGTGGGGCAGGCATTTGCGTAGCCCGAATCTTCTCAGTCTCTTCGGCATGCACTTTGGCCTGTTTCGCGTCCATTTGGTCGTCCCCTTCTCCCAAGCCTGCGCGCTCGTCTTCGTTCTCGGGATAATAGAGATCGTGTTCATCGTCCTCCTGATAGTTCGTGGGCTGGACACGCTGGGAGAGTTCAGGTTGGGGTGGAAATTGCTGGGATGCTTGGGTCATGGCAAAAGCTTCGAAGGGGTTTGCTTCCTCATCTTCGTCGGCCCAATCAAAATCTTCGTGAACGGGGTCTAATGACTCTGGGACATCGAAGGCGACACCCCTCCTAGGCATGCTAGTTGGAGTCGAAGGGGACGGATCGTCTTCCGAGAATCGTGCCTTCCGGGTAGGCGAAGATGCAGTGTTGGGCGGAACGATCCCAAACTGCGTCGTGGGCTTTGGCGTCTGCCGTGGTATTTTACGAGGTTGTTTGGGCCAAAGCGCCGAGACAGCTTCAAACGTTGTCATGATCCACTATAATCCAGTAAGCCCGTATTCTTCACATAAAAGGGCTCGACCTACCTTGTCCCACATGAGCTTTTCCCCGTTCTGACCGGAAGCACTCTTCTTGGCAAACTGTTCAAACGTCAACGGTCCGCGTTTCTTTCTCTCGGCGGCCATCCGTTCTTCGAGTATCTCCCATAGTTCCTCTGAGATTTTCCAGTCTCCGCCAAAGTGTGGTTTCTCATTGGTAGCGGCACCTTCTTTCTTGACCTTGTACCCCAGCTCTTCTTTCGACCGTCCGTCCATGCCTCCGCCTTTCGGCATCATCTCGGCTGTCCCAATACTCAGTCCTTTGAGTAACCGCCTCCTCCTCTCGTCTTCCCAAAGCTCCGCCACCGCTGGGACCAGCTTCTCACTGGGATCCAACGGTTGCCGCAAGAGCTCCACAAAGTCGTGATGGAGTAATCTGGGAGTGAGGCGTTGTCTATTGAGTATTTGGTGAGGAAGGATGTCGATTTCAAGCCCGGTGTATGACTCTTTGGAAGGCGAGAGACCGGGAGCGTAAAACATGGAATCAGGGATGGTGAGCGAGTTGAGGATACCAAGTGTCCCACGAGGCAGGTTGGGAGGCGATTCGTAGGGGTCACCCTCTGACCATCATCAGCAAGAGTCTACACAATGGTCTCAGGCTCACCAGGGACAGGTTCTCTGAATGTGCCGCCAGCAAGATCCAACCACCCACAACCATACAGATCAAAATCACACATGAACTGCAGCACATGATTCAAATGCGCCTCGTGCGGCTGCCACTCTCGGCCCAAGACATTTGGCTTTCTCAGCTGCTCCAGGGCGACATACATCCTAGCCGGATTGGCCAAGCTGACTTTCATGTAATAGCTGTAGCCCATGTGGTAGCCGTAGAAGGGGGTGCCCTTGACGAGCATGACAGACACGACGTGTAGGTGCTTCGGGTCGACACCTCCTCCGAACCGGGTACTGTTGCCCATAGACGAAGGGTTTTGCCGCAGGGCGAGACAGATCGCATGATTGAGCGAAACAGCGAAGCGCTGGCACAGTTTCACCACCCTTTCCGGTCTGAGAGGATCGGACGAGTCCATGGGGAATGGCACGTAGAAGTACGGGTAGCACAGATGTATGTTTGCGCAAACTTTTTGCAAGGACGGGGTGGTACCGAATATCCTGATGACGGGCAAGGTATGCGGTACGACGCCGACGGGGACAGCGGTTGCGAATCGGGTGGGGACATAGTGCTGCCGTAGAGTGGGTATAGGAGAGCCCTGTTCGGAAGACATGTTGTTTATTCGAATGCGCAGGAGGGGGTTGGACGGGGTGGGCGGCTGGGTGGAGGCGAAGAGGGGCGAGGAGGAAGGCCCTGTGTCGACGATTGGTGGGTCCATGGCTGCTGGTGTATGTTGGCGTCTGACGTTGGTAGTCAGCGCGTGGGTGATGTTATGAGTTGGGCATGGTCGGGTCGATCAAATGGAAGAGTAGAATGATGAAATGGATGATGTTTGAGATTACGCGTATCTGGTTGACGCGTTCAGACATTACGAGTTCCGTAATCGCATCGATATGGGTAAACATCAATTTACCCCTATACAAGCATGCATCCAAAACAATTCCAACAGCTGCTATAAGGCACTACACATCCTTGCTATCCAGGTAGTGCTCCGCCGGCAACGCCCGCAGCCTCCCAGCCGCCTGCTCGGGTGTCAAATCTCTCTGCACCTCTCCCATCATCTCGAACCCGACCAAGAACTTTCTCACAGACGCGCTCCTCAAGAGAGGAGGGTAGAAATGGAAGTGGATATGCGCGACGTCACTTTCGGGATTGTTTGGGGGGAGCGGGGACTGGTGGAGGCCCATAGAGTAGGGGAAGGGGCAGCTGCGAGCTGTGTCAGGTTACGTGTGTGATGAGGTAGATTAGACGCACGCAAAGAGATTATCGTATCTCACCAAGACCTTTTGGAAAATCCTTGCTAGGCCTTGCACTTCATTCTCTTCGAGTTGCAAGAGAGAAGGGATATGTCGCTTGTAAGGCAACACTATTTTGGTATCAGCACTTGCTCTTGACACTGGAGAAAGACGGACCCATAATCTCAAATGGCCATACCGCCCAGAAAGGCACCACAGCAATCCACCCACCCTCCTCATCAATTTCCACCACTCTCTCCTTCTGTTGCACTTCCTCCGCCGCGTACGAACAGAGCAAGCACGCGCAGCCATCGCCTCGGACGGGGTGGTTCGGCTTGGCCGCCCGGGTGTTTTGGGTGAGGTTGGTGAGCTCTACTTGAGGCTCGTCTGGAGTGCTAATTTGATATCAGCGTTAATACGAGTTGATGCGCGAGTGGCTGACTAGGAGAGAGTCCAAACCTGAAGACGTATCAGCAACAGATCCACGTAGCTAGAGAAAACATGCCTGGCCATGAGGATGAGGAGCACTAGCGCCCATCATAGAACCACGGTTCTGCAAACATAAGCACGTCTATCAGCTGAATCAAGTCGCACTTGCCTCAAAGATCTGAACATACCCCTCCCCAGAGCTCAACCTCAGCATCTCTCCTTCCTCCGCATAGACTCGCTTCCACTCGCCAATAATCTTTTCAATATCCTGCGGCGGCATCCTTGCGAGTGTAAGGTCATGGCGGGGGTGGAAGCAGATAACTTTACACCGGCCCCTAACAGGTTGTGAGGCGAAAAGAGCGTCGGTGCCGGGCAGCTCGCCTTGAGCGTCGATAGAAGGAAGCGGATCGGTGAGCAGAGCGGGGAAGTCATTCTCAAAGGTCTAGCCCCATATATCAGCTTGGTCCAAAGTCACCCAAGTGGGACGTACAAAAGTCTCGGTGTACTTGGGATTATGCTCTCCATTACCTCTCTCGTTTCCAGGACAGAGGTTACACGTTTCTTCGTATTGAGGAAGAGCTGCCAGAACGGGCTCTTCAGTTTGGCCCTGCGTAGCTGTATGAGCACCCATGTTCCTCTTTCTCCTCCTATCAACATGGTTTCACCTTCCATGGTCGCTTGGTCCTATGAGGAGAGACAAGTACGTGTTTACCAGTCAGAGGGTTGTCTGCACGAACGGCACTGTTAGCTAAATTATTCTTCAAGATGGGTAGAGACGCACATCGCCTGTGCGCATGTTCGCTGGGGTCAAAGGTCGGAACTGCCAGACTATCGGTGGACATGGCTGCTGAAGTATAGACACTGAGAGGCTAGTTGTACAGACAAGACGGGAGGATATAGGGCTAGCGAAGCAACAAAAGTAGCGCACATGGGTCTCGGGACCTGGTTCGGTCAGTTCGGCAGCGCCCTCCGAACTGGCGTCTCCGCGCAGGTGGAGGTACAACAACATGACATTCAGCATTGAGCTACTACAAAAGACCCATTTCAGCCTTCATGAACCCCACCCGCAGCCATCAGACATCAACGTCCGACTCTGCACAATCTGGCTCAACAGTACCCTCAGGATCCGAGCCGGTATACCACGGCGTCTCATCCCACACCGCCATCACCGGCTTGTTATCATCACTCCCGGGGCTGAACGTGATATCGCACTTTAACCAACATCAGCTCTCGATCATCTCATTCTTTGAGAAAGAGAGAGAGGGGACTCACTTTGACAACATGTAGAAACTGACTCCCATCCACATCAGGTCCAAAATCCCCATCCCCATCTGGCTTGTAGATCTTGAAATACCTCGTCGACTTATTCGGCGCGTCACTCACTAGAGAGACGGTGTAGTTGGTATACCCATTGCCGGTGGCTGTAGATTTGTAAGGCGTGTCATTCGCTGTATGGTCCTGCCCACCCATTGTGAGTATACAAGGCAAAGCGGGAATGGTAGATCAGGCTTACGATCATCAAGACGTTTGCGCCTAGTTGGTATGTCAATACGCCATAGTGTTCACTCGAAGCTGTTTCTGTACTCGATGCTTGGACTCTTGTTGTGGTACTTGTGCTTGACAATGTGACGTCCGCAGTTGAGGAAGTATATGAATGGGCAGAGGTGGTGGATGACGACCCACCTGTAGACGTCTGGCTACTCCCATCCCCACCCGAGCTCGTCGCATCACACCCACCGTCCAAGCTTGTCCCCGAACCAAATACGACTGACACAGATGAACTCGCAGCAAGCGAAGAGGCGTAGTATTGATATATCGACAAGACTGCTGGTAGTGGGCAGTTCTCTAACGTTTGCGTTGGTACTGCTACACCTTGAGAGATTGAGGCCGATGTGCAGGAGGCTTGTGGCAATGCCAATATGGCTATTAGGCCCCGAGGAAATCGTCCCAGAGTCATCGATGCCAGCTGAATGCTTCAAGCGGTGGGTTACATCCAAAGCCTTTCTTTGGCTACGTACATGACCGACCCAAACTCTATGCGGTGAGTGGATTGAAAGGACATTCGCTCTTCCATTGAAGGCGAGTGCGACTCTTGCCCCTGCCATGACCTGGTCCCCTTTGTAAGGTATTATGAATGTCACCAGATGTACTCGTATGGCACATACATATATGTAGCCCGCGTTGACTGGCTGACGATCTGAGATCTCGTATAGTCGATGTGCCGGCGGCAACCTGATTCCCGAAAGTGATCGAGGGACTAACAGAAGGTGCAGAAGGACTACGTACTTCGGTGCTCTCTTTCGGGCTGATAACCTTACGCGTGCTCCACTTACGTCTCTATCCTGTGCAATGACTTGAAGTATACACTCGTGGCAGTGCTCAGCCATCCAACTTCTCAACCTCTCCAGTCCTTGAGGACGCCACCGACGCATATACACGCATACACTGTCCCTCACACAGATAGGGTATTTAGGGACACGGGAATTGACACATGCGGAATGCACTTTGAACGGAGATGCTGATAAATATTCGGCAGCAGTTTACCCGTGCACTTGGCTGTTTGGCTCTGGGCCCAAAGAAGGGAGGGAAAGAGGGGCCAAGGGGGGGACCCTTGGGGGAAACAAAGGGGAACCGCAAATTAGCGCGATGACGCGGGTGGCCCCACTGGCTCAGGGATCTCTCCCTTCCGATGTTTGCCACTATCAGATGATTCGGCTTGGCGGCCATGCAAGACATCCATCCCGACCCCATTCCGCCGGGTATATAAACATGCACAGTCCAGTCAATGGATTATCCCATCTCTCAACTGCATCTCATACTTTGCACGCATATTCGCCATGTCTGAGGAAGACGTAACCCACACCGCCAGGGGCCACGGCTACAAGCACCGCTCCCAGTACCCCCTCACTGCCGCCATGGTCGACGGAAAGCCCGTCACACAGCACGTCGAGGGCGGCTCGGAAAAGCCCGCGCTCGCCAGCGACAACTCGGACGACCACCACCCCCTTGCTCGCAAGAAGAGCCACAAGGTCGACCTCATCTCCAACACCAATGCCAAACTGGCCAACCCGCTCGGCGACCTCACAGACGAAGAGGTCATGGAGAATGCCGCAGCGTTTGCCGCAGCCAACAACTTGCCCGTGGAGGCATTCCGCAAGGGCGGAGTGCTCGCCAAAAGGCCACATGCTTTTGAAAAGTTGGCCATCTTGAATGAGGAAGACAAGGCCCGTCTCAGGTTCGAGGTCGAGCATCCCTACCGTTCTCAGACATGGCAGCTCTACAGTGAGTCGCTTGCGCTTGAGCTTTTCTGGAAATGCTCACTCGCGACTAGACATGGTCATTGCCTGTTCCGTGGCTGCTGCCGTGCAGGGTATGGACGAGTCGGTCATTTCAGGTGCCCAGCTTTTCTTCCCCTCGCAATTTGGTATCGGCGAGCCCAACATCAACCCGCAATACGCCAACAACCATGAATGGTGAGTTATTGTTCATTTTCGCGTGACTTGCGGCTGAATCTTGCTCCTCAGGATCATGGGTATCACCAACGGCGCCCCATACCTTGCCTGTGGTAAGTTTAATTTTGGGAACCAGATCAGATATACTCACCATCTCGTCAGCTCTTATCGGATGTTGGCTTACTGACCCACTCAATAATTGGCTCGGACGGTAAGCAATCGATTTCACCCCAGAGGCAAGCGCTGACATAAGCCACAGACGAGGAGCTATCGCTGTGACCGCTTTCATCTCTTTCGTCACTTGTATTTGGGCCGGATGCACCAGTAAGCCCCTTCAACTTCTCTTTGGCACCCATTGACATATGATTAGACACCTGGTGGCACCTGTTTATTGCTAGATTCTTCCTCGGTATCGGTATTGGTCCCAAGTCTGCTACCGTCCCTGTAAGTATCACATGACCAGGATGTGCCAGCCCTGATGCGTCGGAATGTCCAGATCTTCGCGGCAGAATGTGTTCCTGCGCGAATCAGAGGTGAGTCATCATCCAAGAAAATCGGTGAAACGAAGTTGACTGGGTGGAATAGGATCACTCGTTATGCAATGGCAACTGTGGACCGCATTCGGTATTATGCAAGTCTCGCAAGACCCCGTTCATATCAAGTACTGACAAACTTTTAGGCTTGGTTACGCGGCCGATCTCATGTTCTACCACGTGTCGGACAAGCCTCATATCACGGGTCTCAACTGGCGTCTGATGATTGCTTCGGCTGGTATCCCCGCCTTGGTTGTCCTGGCTCAGCGTACGTCCCACCTCCTTTCGCCTCCCATGCTGATCATGTATTCAGTTCCCTTCCTTCCTGAATCTCCTCGTTGGCTCATGAAGAAAGGCCGCTATGAAAAAGCCTTCCGCGCCATGATGCGTCTCCGTGGAAATGAAGTCATGGCTGCGCGGGACTTGTACTACATCTTTGTCTTGCTCGAGGAAGAGGCTGCTATCGTCCGAGGCAGGAACAGGTTCTTGGAGATCTTTACGATTGGACGTAATAGGCGAGCAATGATTGGGTCCACTATTGTCATGTTTGGTCAGCAATTCTGTGGTGTCAACGTAAGCCTCTTTTTCTTTTGCTTTGGTGGGACGCTAAATGATAGGGGTAGGCTATTGTTTACTACACTGCCACCATCTTTTCCAGCGCTGGATTCTCTGAAATCGAAGCTCTTCTCGCTAGTTGGGGTTTCGGAATGTTGAACGGTGAGCCAAATCCTTAGAGATATATAGATCACAGCTGATCCCTCGAAGCCATCTTTGCCATCCCCGGTATGCTCACCATCGACAGATTCGGTCGTCGAGCATTGCTGCTCTTCACTTTCCCAATCATGGCCCTGCTCTTGTTGTTCACTGGGTTCTGTTTCTGGATCCCCGAGGGAAAGGCAAAGATTGGGTTGATCACTCTTGGTATCTATCTGTGAGTCGTCTTTTTGGAAAAGTAGATGTAGGAAGCTGACTCGTGAGTAGGTATTGTATTGCATACTCTCCCGGAGAAGGACCTGGTAAGCCTTGACAAGCAATCGTGCTCGCCCTCTGACCCTCCTTAGTCCCATTCACCTACTCTGCCGAGGTCTACCCTCTATACATTCGAGAACTGGGAATGTCGCTCGCGACCGCCACTCTCTGGCTGTTCAACTTTATCGTGTCTTTCACGTTCCCTCGTTTGTTGACTGCTTTCAAGCCTCAGGGAGCGTTTGCTTGGTAAGCCGTCTTTGGTTTTGTCCTGAGGAACGATGCTGACATGACTCGAAGGTATGCCGGTTGGTGTGTCTTGCTCAGTATCTTGATCTTGTTCTTCTTGCCAGAATCAAAGTAATTATATCCCTTGATCCTATCTTTTTAAAACTCCAACTAATGTCTCGCAGGGGATACACTCTTGAAGAGCTCGACCAAGTCTTCTCCGTCCCTACCGGCGTACACGCCAAATACCAGCTTTACAACCTCAAATGGCATTTCAAGCACTACATCCTCCGCTCTAAAGAACCCCACGAGGCGCTCTACAAGTTCGACGATGATTTGGCTGATGACAAAGAGTTCTTTGAGTCTAGGAAGGACGGGCAGATCCAGCATGTGGCGTAAATGCCTTGTATCGATAGCAACAGAGTGATATCTCGCCCGTGGGAAGGGCTTAATAAAGTATTCGCAATCGAAAAACAAGGGGTTCAAATAATTAGATCATTTTTTGTTCATATGTGGCATGCTTTCTATCTTTTGATGGGACTGCTTTTGGAATGTATCTATAATGCACTGTTCGAGCATCCCTTGCTGGTCTTGATGTGAACGCAAAAGTTGGAGCTGACACTGGCGATACCAGGCCGCTGCCAATGCAGCTTGTTGTGTGATTTGGTATTCCATGCATCAGAAGAAGACTACGCCTTTGAACGTTTCTTCTTCTTGGGCGCCTCCTCTTCACTCTCACTCTCACTTTCCTCATCAGAAACCACATCTGACCCCTCTCCTTCATCCTCATATACATCCATCCCCTCCCAAACCTCCTCCTCATCTTCACTCTCCCCTTCCTCACCTTCTTCGCCATCGTTGACCTTGACAACAATCTTTCTCTCGCCATATCCTCTCCACACGGCCTCGCCGATACCAACACCGCCGACCATCCCGACGATATCGCCCTTCTTCCCTTCCGGCCCCCAGTTGCCCTTCTCAGCCCCAGAAGGAGGGGTAGTCGCGCTATGGATACGGATGGACGCGTCGGAAGAGATGGACGCAAAACCTATACGTCTTGTCGCTGAAGGCAAGGAAGACGAAGGGTCGAACCTGGGGATGGGCAGCATGTGGTGCGGTGTAGCAGTGAGGGACGAGTAGCTGTAGAGAACTTTACCTGTACGCAAGTCGAGGGCGCCTAGGTAATTTGATCGGTCTGCGAAAAAGACCTCGCTGCGGTGCAAATCAGTACCGTCCTGGCAAACGGATAGATGGGGCTTACTGTTCCAGACCTGTAGTGAGAGAAGCAATACCGCCCTCCCTAGACACTTTCCAGTCGTCCACCGGTTTGCGCTGCCTCGTATCGAACCGCCTGATTGTACCCATCTTTGTACCGCTCACCAACGCATCCGGCGAATCCAGCCAGCTGAGGGCGAGGTGGTACACCGGCGGCCGGAGTTTGAGGTAATTGTTGGGCATGTTTTTGGCTTGCCATATTTGTCCCGGGAGGAGGGCATTCTTCTTGCGCTTGGCGTCAGACATGTCGGTGTCGGACGATGAGGCAAAGGTGCGTTCGACGTCGTAGATGGAGACGTCGACTTCTTTTCCGCCGAGGGCGAATTGGGTTGGAGCGAGGGGCGTGGAAGCGAGGCATGCGAGAGGGGATGGAACAGAGCGGGAGGAAGAGGGCGATTCGGAAGCGAAGGGGTGGAATGTGAGGTGACCAGACTTGAGAGCAGATACCGTGCCGCTGCTTTCAATCAGCGTGGGCTTTGCAAAGTGAAAAAGATATCATACTTTTCAACGGGAACAAGACCAGCCCATATATCCTTTGATCTAGCTTTCACTGTCTCTTGGAAGAGGATCGTGGGGTGATCTGGCTCTTCGGCATCTGCAGGAGACAGCTGAATGGTAGACACCTGGAAGGTATCGTCTGCCACGACAATCTGAGGCGCAAGTATGAGTTGATTGTCTCATAATAGCTCAAAAGACTCACTCTGTTGTCGTCGACATCGACCATCCTCTTCACTCCTGTGAGCGGTTTATGGTCGCCATACTTGACGGGGAAGCGACGGACGACGGGGTCTCCTGGGGAGGAGACGCCTGCGATGTTGATGCTGGGCTCGTTGAAGGAGACGTCGAGGAGGGTGTTGTTGTGGAGGGAGGGGGCGAGGAAGTTGTAGGTGCGCACCATCTTGTCGCTGGATTATTCTCAACAGCACCAAAATAATGCACGCTGCAAAATTCCAACAGGTCAACATTGACGCGGGGCTCCGAGGGCGGCGATCCCCGCCTTTACCATCTTCGCTTTCTTCGCGGCGAATACAAATATCATGCTGTCTTTGGCTATCCCGCACCATGGACGTCGACCAGCAGCAGAATAACCCCCTTGTAAAGAAGCTCATGGAGACCACCGCCCAGCTCGAAGAGCAGCCGCAGAGTGCCGCTCTCATCCGGACACAGATCAGTCTCTACCACCAACTCGCCATGGCGGACGAAGCCCGGCAAGCCTATGCCACCCTCTCCAGCCTCATCATGCTCCAGGAAGGCAAGTGCTCTGTATTTCCTATTGTAACACGCTGACTCGAGGATAGACGAGTGGGTGTCGTATCTGGACTTGTCAATCGAGCTGCTGGGTACCCCCTTGAACGACGCCCAAGGCTTCTGTGATGTCTTTGAGATATTCAATGCAGCCTTGGGAGACTATACATGTAAGTATACAAACTCGATTTGGTCTCTCAAGCTGACACATAGTAGCTCTCCCTCTCATCCTCAAGCAAGTGAAATTTGTCCTCTCTTGCTATTACGCTGGCCACCCGCCCGCCACCCCAATCGAGGATATCCCGTCCATTCAAGTCGGCGACGAGATCACCGGTCTCCTTGACGAGGTTTCAACACGAAGTATGTTGCAGAGTGCTGTCGCCCACAGCAATGCATTGTTGAGTGAGAGCCAGCAAATTTGGGATCTGTGGATCAGCTGGGAAATGGGCCTGCTCGAAGCCGCTCCGGCGGAGCAAAGGTGGGTCTATCTTGTGTGTGGGCTAGGCTGACTTTCCACAGAAGTGAACAGATACAGCAGGTGCACCAGGTTTACAACGATCGTCTGAGAATACCTCATTCCAGTAAGTCGACCCTAATCACGTTGCCTTCTGTCTAACAGCCACGTAGCGATGCAGCAAACGACAAGCGACTATTCAAGCTTTTGCTCCACATATTGCAACCAAGAGTATGAAAAGCGCTTGGTACAAGCTACAGAGATATCACAAGAAGCCAAGCGCAAATGGTCCGGAGAGAAACGGTTCGGCAAGACTCGTGAAGAATTCGAATTCCAACTCGTGAGTGCCTTCATCCGATTGGCAACATCTACTGACTATCTCACAGGTGTCAGCCGGTGGAGACCCTTCTTCCGAGGCGCCAGTGTATTTGGAGTATGTTAACTGGGAAGCCAATGCCCGCGCCAAGCCCAATGCCCACGGCAAAGCCCCCAACCTCGACCCCATCCTCACTGCAGCCCTCTTTGAACGTGCCGTCGTACCCTATGCCATACTCGCCGCTCAAACCCAATCCGCTCTGAATAGCGTAGCACTCCAGATCGAAGAAGCAGAGGCCCAAGACGGCGAGAAGAAGAAGAAGAGTAAGAAAGGAAAGGGAAAGAAGAAGGACGAGCCAGAGGAAGAGGACGTCAAGGGGATACTGGTGGAACAGAAAAAAATGGCGGAACAGGCGTTCAGGGCGTATAAAGATGCTGAAGCGTCTATCTGGGCCAGGTATGCTGCCTGGGCGGATGATAATCAGGGGCCCGAGCAGGGGCTGAGTGTCAGGTTGAGGGCGGTCAGGGCTGTACCTCAAAGCGGGACGGCTTGGGCAGACTTGTTGCAGGACCTGGCAAGTATCCTCTACTTTTGTTTTGGTTTCAGACTGACGATTTGTGTAGGAACGAAAGAATGCCGAGCTGCAAGACCTCGATGTCTACTTTGAGCGTGCGCTGGCTATCGGCCAGCTCGTCATCCCGGCCGACCGTACAACAGACCTCGTCGAAGTTTTCCTTGCCAAAGCTGCATACGACGCTCGCCTGTCTACCCCCACCGTGTCCCTCAATGCTGCCCACCCCGCGCTCGCCTCCATCACCAGCGGCCTCGAAGCCATTTCCCACATTAACAAGTCTGGTGATCCCAGTCTAAAGCTGGAGAAATTTATATTAGACTGGGCTGAGACGAAGGGGCCGCAATTTCTGGACCAGACATTGTTGATACTCGATAAACCCATCAAGTCGAGGGCGAGCTCTTACCAGTATGCGCTTCTGAGGGCTGGTGTTGAGATGTGAGTATTCTCTTCGATCTGGTACGCTAGCTGACTTGTGGATATAGCCGCCGAGATGACGCTTCCGCCGCTCGCGACATCTTTGAAGACGCCATCGCCCGCACCGACCTCGACTGGCCCGAAGCCGTCTACGAAGCCTTCATCCAATTCGAGATCGTCCACGGCGACCCCAACACGCTCCTCCAGACGAAAAAGAAGATTGAAAAGGAGCAGGAAAAGCTGGCGAGGAGAAGGGCAAAGGAGGCGGCGGCGCAAGTGCAGTATACGGCGGCTGTGGTGCAAGGGGCGGCGAGTGGAGCGGCAGAGACCGTCATCAACGATGTTGTGGGAGCTGCTGAGGCTGGGCAGGAACCGGTCGCGACAGCAGAAGCTGCGACTGCTCCAGCTCCCGAGTCTGTAGAGAAGAAGGAAGAACCTTTGAAAAGGGATAGAGAAAATACCACGGTTCTGGTCAGTGGCTTGTCCAAGGGCATCACCACCGAGCGTATTGGAAACTTCTTCTCTGGAGTGAGTCTGCTGTCCTCTTTCCTCTTGTCGTGACTGACATTGCACAGTGCGGAGATGTCCGTGAAATATCCATCTTGTCAAACGAAGAGTCGATGCACGACGACGCTCTGGTAGAGTTCAAATTCGCCGACGCCATCCCCCGCGTGTTGGAAAAGGACCAGAAAAAGTATGAGGGCAGCCCCGTATCTGTCTCGATGCTGTGGAGGTCGACACTGTTTGTGACAAATTTCCCAAGAGAGATGGATGATGAGGGGATCAGAAAGCTGTTCGGACAGGTAAGTTGCAATCTGTTTGGGATAGAGATGAAGCTCACTTGAGTAGTATGGACGAATTCTTGAAACCCGATGGCCCAGCAGAAAGTATGCCGACTCGAGGCGGTTCTGCTACATCACCATGGATTCACCAACCTCCGCTCAAGAAACCCTCGTCCTTCAGGGGTACAAGATCCCCGGCGCTTCTACCAACTTTGGTCTAACCGTCTTGATCTCTGACCCTTCTGCCAAGACAAAGCGGAGCGACGCGGCCAACTCTACAATGTTTGTTGGTGGATTGAACAACAAGAGCACAGAGAACGATGTCAGAGGATTGTTCAAAGAGGTGAGTCTCCTGCAACATGTGGGATAGTGACTGACGCTTGGACAGTATGGAACTATCGGACATGTCAAGCTCGGCTGGGACCCTGTCAAAAAGATCTGCAAAGGCTTTGCATTCGTTGAGATGTCTACCGAGGCGGAAGCGAAAGCCGCGCTCGCCTTGCACGGCACTCAGCACAAGGGTAAATACCTCAAGGTAGAAATTAGTGATCCAAACCACGCGAACAAAAAGCCCAAGGACCGGTAAGGC